TACTAGATACACTTAAGCTTTAAGTGCCCTTAAGGAGAGCAACCCATAGTATGGTGGCCTAACCTCTCATCTCAAACTCCCCCTCACATCCATCATAATCTCATAAACGTTATCAAAATATAAGCAAGCTAATTAGTATAATACATACAAAATCAAAATTAGAAAAAGCATAAATTGCGTCCGAAAGAGGCATCTTAATTTAATTAAGACTATAGTGGGAAATTTAAAAAATAGATCGTTACGATTTATATTATTTGATTTTATAAATATTATAAGTTTCTTATCAGCTATGTTATTTTTAAGCTTTGTTTATGTAATTTTTAGATTATCCCTAATAAAAGCATTGTGGAATTTTGATTTTGACTAAGTGAGATCAACTCAATTAGGAAACTAAATTAAAAGTTAACAATTATCAATATGAGTTTTGATTTTTAAAAGTTTTTTAATCTGAGTGAGATATTGAACCCTGAGAATTATCTTTTATCATTTACATATAATTCTACTTATTTAATTAATAAATACAAAATACTCAATTTACTAAGATCGATAAATTATTTCAGACATTCACAATTGTTCTCAATTAGAGACACTATAGAAGTTTTAATCTCAAAAATTCTAAAAACTATATGAAGCAGCAGAAAGATTATATGATGATTAAGTTTAATATATTTATTTTGAAGACAAGACATATCATATTTCTTCGAAACAAAGACTAATACAGAAAAGGAAGGCAAATCAGATAATAATTAGCTCGGTTCAGGAATCAACAAACCTTACTCACTTAGGATTCTACTTGTAATTTTTTAGGGTATATTTTTGAAATTTATTTCTTTATTTTATTCAGGAAACAAATAAACAATCATATTGATTGTTGTCGCCAAAAAATTTGAAATAATAAATTTTGTTAATTTTTCAACAGTTATTCTTTACATATAATCGTTTAGTATAATGAAATTTAAAAAATAAACCTTTTATAAATAGATTTTTTACAAATCTGAGATTGATCAAAAGTAAAAATTAATCAATTTGGCTTAAATGATGAAGGTAAATTATTTTAATGCAATGAGTCCAATCGAAGAACCATTTCTATAAGAAATTAAAGTGATTTAAATGAAAATATCAGCGAATTAGAATTTTTGTATTACCTAAAAATTTAATAAATTTTAAAAGTGAAAACAAATTTTAGATGGATTTTAAAATTATTAAATTTTTGATAAAAAATTGACTTGAGCAATATTTATTAACAAATTACAATTAATTTGTTGATATAAATTGAATAATACCACATCAACAATTGAACTTAAATAAAATAAGTAAATTAAATGTTTGAAAAAAATTTATAGTTCAAAGGTAATTTATAAAATATAAAAGTTATTATAAAATAAATTAAATTAATTTTACTAAAGCTTCCTTTGGTAGATATTGCATACTAACTAATATAACTTCATAAATTTATAATAATATAGAATAATAAAAGTTCTTTTTAATTATTCTAAATTTTGGAAATATTGAAAAAAACAGCTATTCAATGATCAATTTTCCTGATTGATTTAAACTTTAAAGATTTATTAAAGCAAGTTTTATTTTTGTTCTTTACGAAAATTATATGACATTTTTATTGAATTCTATTGGGGTGAGACCGGTGGAAGAACAAATATATTATTCTGCATTCAAAACTTTAGACTTACGGATTGGACTATTGTCTAAATTAACAAGAACTTCTGAATTTCAAATGATTCTTTTATTGGCTAAGTAATTATATTAAATAATGGATATATAGCCGCAATGATTTTTCCTTATTTTACTTATAAAGAATAAATATTTTGTATTCTAATAGGATTTCAATTTTCTTTTATCCTTTCTTTATCAGAATGAATGTTTTCTTATTTTTTTTTAATTAACAACCTCTAAATAATTTCAATTCTTAGAAGGATATTTAACTTGAAAATCATTTTATATTAGATTAGGTAAGACAATGAATATTACTTTTGGTCACAAGAAATACAAAAATTTTTAAAAAGGGCTCAATGTTAAATTGAAGAAAAAAATAGTTCCAAAAAATTTGAACTTAATAACAAAAAAATACAAATTGTAAATAACGAAATGGGGATGAGAAAAAATATAATTAAAAAATAAGTGGGTTTATTTAACCAAATTTTTCCTCTTTTAACATTTTCAAAAGAATCGCTAATGTTTTAAAAATTCATAGAAGTAATGATGGGTAAAATAAATGTTTAATATTTAATTTAATTATATTCCTAAAGATAGTGCAGCCATCATTCTATATAATGATCAATTCCTGACTTTATAAAAGTTGAAGTGCCTAAAAATAAAAAAAAGAAGGTCTTTTTGAAAATAAATCTATGTATTATTTTTAATACTTAAATACTGGTGAAATTTTAGATACAATTTAAAAATAAAATAAAAATCAGGTTTTATTAAGGATTCAAGTTGCATTAGGCTTCTAATGGGGTAAAAGATATAATTAGGGGATGCAACAATATATATTTTGGAATTGGTATGGTGAATAATTAATATACGGACAGACCATTTAGATTGGAATTCCTTAAATTTAAGGTTCAGAAGTATAAGAGTTATCTGAGTTAGGCTCAATTTTAATACACGGTTTTTTTCTTCCTCCTTCCCCATAAAACTATGATATAAACTTTGGATCGTAATTTTTTTTTTGGATGATTAGATTTACAATAAATTATTCATCAACCTTGTTATCATTGTTCTTCTTAATTATTTTAAATATACCATTCTGATTTCATTTGAAATTTTTCTAATTATAGAGTTATAAACATTTTTGATCTAATTATCAGTTCGGTGAGGCATACTTTTTGAAATTCCTGCCCAATTTTTTTTCTTATTCTAAGCTTATTGAAAGATAAATAGTATTTCATCTTAATTGAATTCATTTCTATATTGAGACATATAGTTACTTATTTATGTTTGGATTGATAACATTATTAAATCTCTCGCGAATCTATTTTGGATACCTTACAGTTTAACTTCTTTTTATAAATTCCAGCGCAATTATTAACCAGTCCTTTGATTTGGAGTATTACCTACTCTATAAATAATTAATACTATCTTAATTTAATAAGTAGGTCATCTTCTTCGGGTTACCAAGGCTATTCTTTAAGTTTATAATTCAGCAAACCCAACCATTTTGTCAATAAAAATTCTTCTGGGAGACCCAAGATAATTGAGAGCGTCTCAAAAATTTTACACTAGTACTACACCATATTTAAAGATTAAGTATTACAACTTCATGAAATTTTATCTAAAGCTTGACTATCAATTTTGAGACGCACCATATCAAGAAATATTTTTCTGTGTCTCCCCATTTGCATTTTCTTTTAATCTTTGATCTAAACTGCTATAATAGTTTTTATACTTTTGAAAATCTGAGCTGAAATATTATATTATTTAAAACGATGTCATACATTTATTAGGTATCCTTATATATTGACTAAGTAGAGGTTTATCAAGTTCATTATCTTAAAAATCACTAATAAATTTAAGAAATTCATTCCAAGTAGGAGGAATCATTTTAATTCAAAAATAAATTATCTTTTTTATTTTTCTTCTATCCACAGATAAACAAGACTACAGAAATATTTAAAGTGAATCAGGTTAAGAGAGTTACTAAATAATATATTAATGTTATTTAGATAACAAAAAAATGACGGAGTTTAAATTTAAATGTCAGATTTATTTTTGTTGTGAGGATATATTTAATTAATCATTTAATAAAAATATATTGATAGCCTTGATGTCAAGAATAAAGAGACAATCAATCAACTTACTTTGAATTTTGAATATTCAATCTGAAATTATTCAAATTAGTTATTTATAAAAAATTTTTTTATTTATCTGTCAAATATCACTGTTTTAAACTGATTTTTTTGTCTCAAAAATTCCTAATAACCTTGATATATTAAATCCATTCTTTAAAAAGACATCTGAAAAAATAAATGTAATTTATCGAGATGCCTCCTTCTTTCAATCCTTCAGATTTTTATATCTAGTACACCTAAATTATTGAAATTCAGAATAATTAGTCTATTCTTTTTCTTGGATTACTTTAATTGTCTTTCTATTCAATTGGAAAAATGCAGAATAAATAAATTATTTTTTACCATGAACCTGATCCTCAAAGATATAATCGCTTCCAAAGAGCAAGAACTAATGTAATTTAGTCTTAAGAATTAAATTAAATGATTTATTATTAATCATAATATGATGCATTTTTTATATATAGAACCTTCACCCTAAAATAACATTTATCAAATTTAGAAATTTTCAAACAACCTTGTTTATTGTTTGATGTAGCATTTGAATAAAATTGAATCTAAGATAAATAATCATGTTTATTAGTTGAAATTATAAATTTTTTCTTTAAGTTATTCTTATTTTTGTTTATATCACAAGTTTTTCTTGATTAAAACAATTGCAATGTCAATATTTACAAATCTTCTTAGTATATTAATTATAATAAAGATAATTTATATCCGAATAAATATTAATGGAATAAATAATAAATTTAATTAACTAATTTCATCAAATTTCTTGTTAATGCAAGCTTTTAACATGACTATTAATAATAATCTAAATATATGAAAAAATCATAGAGAATCCTTATTTTAATCTTATGGTGATTCTTCAAAATAGTTAAAGTCGATGAATAATGCGGCTGCCAATAATAACGCTTTTTATCTACTTGTAGATTACTAAGGGAACATTAATCTAAAATTGGTTGCATCCACATTACATAGTGCATTACAAAATCCAGCTGACTCTTTCCATAATTCTGAAACTTTCTTTAGATATTTTGATTAAACAATACCTATCCTTGTGAATCAATAATATCAAATCTTGCCCTTTAACATGCTTCACAAGGTAATTTTACTAAAAATGGCCATTGGCAGCAACTTCCTTTGACAGAGTATAACAAGGAATTATTTTCATCTCTTATTTCAACTCCCTTATCGCAGCACATAAAGGGATAGCATATATAACCTAGTTTTCCTCCATTTTATAATTAAACTTCCATAATAGGTCTAAAATTAATTAAATTAAATACCTAGCTAGACAAAGAAATGTACATTTGAACTCTCTGCTTAATCTAAATACTGTGTTTGTGTCTTGTTTTTAATCATATTATTTGACTTTCAAATCAAAGGCTCTGCAAGCTCCAGGAAGAAAATTTCTTTAGCAACAGCTACTATCCTCTTTACATTTAAAAATAGGAGCTTAATGCTTAAAGTCTGGCTAATTTCCCAAGGTATCAGATTAGTAAACATAATAAACATTTTTTTTTTCACAGAATCCTAAAGATTCTAAATAATCAGGACGTTATTTGATAAAAATACTTGGACATCTTGAGATCGCTTCTAATCCAGAGTTAAATGAAGTCTATATTTGATATATTATTACATCAATCTATCCAGGATTAATATATTGTTGTTAAGGTGATTAGTATGCTGCTTAATACTACATTTATTAATTTTAATTAATTATTATTAATTGAGAGTATTAATTTAGAAATTACACCAAATTTATTTAGGTTTATATGGATTGAAAATAAAATATTAAATAAAATGGAATTTAAGGTTGATTTAGTTTCTTTAACAAAAATCAAGGACTAGGAGAGACTTTTAATTGATGATCAAAAGATAATGGCACTAAATAAAACATAATGAAATCATTTAGCAATATGGATATATATCCAGAATTTAAAAAATAATGGGTTAATTTCAAGAAATAATATTTATAGATAAAAGTTAAACTGATAAAAAAGTATTAAATGAAACAAACATTAATTTTTTTTCAAAATGGATTAATAGAGTTTATTGAAAATAATAAAACTCCATTATTATTTTATTGAAATTGCGATTCTACAAAAAATAAAATAACTGTTTTTATATTTGAAGTATCTGATTATAATGCTACACTTTTCTTGTAATAAGGTATTTGAATTGCTTATTAAATAGTAAAAATTTCTTAAATAACTTGCAATTGCATTTGGAATTATTTTTAGGATGTATTGAATGAATTGTTATTTTTATATTGTTCTAGTTAATTTTAATAATCAATTCAATATTTTAATGCATAATTATTGCTATTAAAATAGTAGTCCTTCTCCTTCATTTCTAATTAAAGTATTCTTTCATATCTATAATAATACTAAGTTCTAAAGTTCAGTCACAAGATAGCTCTATAAAAAAATTTAGTCTATCTAAGTTATATAAGTTTAGGCAACAGGTAATATATAAATTTAAATTGCTTATACTTTTGGTTCACAATAAAAAATAAATTGAGTAAGGTTCTTATGCTTAATTCATCTAATAATATTTTATTTATAAATATATGTTAAGCACAGGCTCGACCTTTTATGGTGTTGATTAATAAGCAAAAAGCAATTTAAGTGAAATATAGGAGCTAATATAAAAGGCATAGTATAGAATTGGATATTTTATTGATATTGATCATGATATATTATAAGAATGGGTGAGAAAATATAACGAATGTCTGCATCAGATAAATGAATCTAAACAAATGAATTGTGAAATAAAACGGATTCTCTAAAATCTTATTAGTACCATAGAAATTATAGAAACTGAAGGAATGCTTTTAGTGGGTAATTTTAAACCCTGGATGAGTGGAGTTGGTATGATCAAATTTCCTTATGGGTATACGTTATATGGAAAAATCTAATTTGGAATATTAAATGGATAAGGAATGATTGAAATTTATAAAAAGAATACAAGATTGATTGGAACTTTTTCTTAAAATAAATTATAAGGAAATGGAACTATTATTGTTAGAAATCAATATTAAATTAATGGGATATTTCAAAAAGGAAAAATCATATCAGGGCCAATCTCAATAAAGTATCTTAATGGTTCAGAAAATCAGTATTACATATGAATTATTATAGAGTTTAAGCAGAGTTAAAAATTAATGGCGATTAAATCAGACTTGGTGATTAAGAATAATTAAGGAACAATATCTCTCTCAGTAATCTAGAATTTAATAGGCCTAATAATGTCCAATACAAGGCATCTTAATTTCTTTTAGGATAAAATAAATAAAGTTCTTTTGCTTTATATTAAAATGACGAATTACAGTTAGAATATAGGGATGGAAAATTAATTTATGGAGTAGGTTAGAATCATGAGCCCAACAACATTTTGTTGATTGGAAAGTTTAACTAAGGTGCACTATTTGGATTAGGAAAATTAATTGATTACAACAATCTTTTGTATAAAATTAAACAATACTTAGTCTGTTGGAGGGAGAGTTTTAAAATAGTATTATAATCCACGGGAAGAAATATCATTTAGAATCTAACATATTGTAAGTTCTTTATATATACATTAGATATGAAGATGGATAATTCAATAAATAAGTATAATTATCAGGAAATGGAAAGCGATATTTTGAAATCGCAGGTTTGATGTAAATAATTTATTAAAATAATATAGAAAAGAAGAAGGTATGTTTGAGAATGGATAATTAAATGGGAAAGGTATCAGATACTATAATATTAATGGTGAAGTAAGAAAATGTTAGTGATTTTTAGCAAAATTAAATAATGGAGGAGGGTAGTTTTAACAATGGAATATTGATCAAAGGCACAAAGTTCTATTAGAATGGTTTAATGTAATATCTAAAATATAAATTTCAGATAGGAGAAAGGAGAATTTAATCAGAATGGACTTATAAATGAAGGAGAAAGAAGGCATCCTAATGGTTATATGTAGTTAACTTTAATTAATTCATAGACAAGAATATGGTATATTTTTGGATGGGCAATTACATTCAAAAGATGATATGTCTGGGAGAGCAAATGATAATGGGGTTATTATTGAAGTTGGATATTTCTAAAAAGGGTAACTTAATGGAGAAGGAGAAAGAAGACATCCGAGTGGAAGAAAGTATAAATTAAGAATTATTATTTTAGAAAGGAAGTTGGGAATTTTTCATTAGGATTACTTGATGGAAGTGGAAAAAGATATTATGATAATGAAGAGAATACTTTAGAGGAAGAGGGAGTATTTCAAGATGGTTAGTTACACAGCTTAACTACTATTTCTAAATAGTATTACTAGGATGGTTCTTTAAAATGCTTTGGATTATTATAAAATGGATTGCTCACTACAATAGATGGACTTCTATACTTCAACGAATATGAAATGAAGGGTGTTTTTCAAAATGGTCAAGTGAATGGAACAATGAGAATCTTAAATTCAAAAACTTAAATGGAGTTTAGAGATCATCATTTCCAAAGCAATGAAACATTTTTAAGAGCAGCCAATAAAGCTAACGTATATTTAGGTTCTTAATTTCATACTAAGGCCTAATCAAGTTATAAAAGATTATGATGCATAAAAAGTATTCAATGCTTTTATTTATATAATTATTTTGCAATAATTGGTGATATGATATCCATTAGCTTTCCTTCTACTAAAGTAAATATTAATGTTTATATTCTATGGATAATATGTCCTGCAGTGGCTTCCTTATTTCCCAATTAAAATCTAATATTATTATAATATAATCTACAATGCTGATGTGACACATTGCTAGGTAGAAACTGTTAGAAGATCAGTCTAATTTTTTACCATAGCTGTTTAAACAAATCCAGGTCGTAAAGATAGAAAATCAACGTTTTCCACTTCAATTTGTAGGGATCTGGTAAAATAATCATTAAATGCCTTTAGATTTTATATAAATTTTTACTTTAGTTGCACTATATACTTGATAATAAGGATTGGAAAATCTTCCTGCTAATGAGGAAAGATTTATGACTCCTGATCTTTGCCTTTTCTTGAGAAGAGGCAATATATATTTTGTCATAAACACCACAGGGATGCAATTGATGATAATTTAATTTTATTGATCGACATCAGATGTCTTGTGGAATTCCCCAACAGTTAAGACTCCAACATTGTTGACTAAAAGACCGATATCCAAATCTTTCACTTCTTAATATATTTTTTGGAAGAAGGATTCTTAAAGACAATTCTAAAAATCCGCAATCACAATTTTATATTATGGTTTACCATTAATCTTCTTTAACTCTTCTATTAAATTCTCTGCTTTTGATTTATTTCTAGCAACAATGCAAACATTGACACCTTGTCTTGAAAATTCCTTGAAATAAAACAATATTCATTACTTAACAAAATCCTTTACCTATCCCGTCTGTGGCTCCAGTGACTAAAGCCCAACATCCCTTTCCATATTTTTATTATACATTAGGATTCCCAAAAATAATTACTTTGCATTCCTTTATGAATAAGTATCCAAAATAACACAAAACAATTATTCCAATCCACTCAATTATATCCATTTTATAAAAAATTAAAATTATTGCAAATTAAATTCAATAATCATCCTTCTTAATTCATTCTTTTGTTCAAATCTACTTTGCTTGTGTCATATTCCAATCAACTATATTTAGGAAGGAGTACTCAAAAAATAAATAAAACAGAACTATTTTTTAATACTTATCAAATTATCTAAAAAATATCTTAGATATATTATAGAGTTCCTGCTACAATCCTTAGATTGAGAATTCAGGAATTGAAGTATCGATATGCAATATTCTAAAATTCAAATGACAATATATTATTATTAATAATAATTATGTTATAATCATTTTTGCTTAGTTTGGCTTCTGGAATTGTCTTATTCATTGTTTATATGTATCACAGGGCAAACTTATCGGAAGGATCAGCTAATTACAGATATTATAATGAAGCAGTAAAAGGAATGTCGAGATGGCTGGAATAGACGGTTGATCTAACCTAATCTCATTTTTAGCCATGCAAGTAATTGATTATAATATTCAAAGAAATTGTGGATATGAGATTGCTTTAGTGCATGATAATTCGTATTGTCTTAGAAGCGACCTCTTTAAGTTGTTGCATCCAGAAGTAATAGTATAGGATCAAATGGTATTGAGAGATTATGGTGGTCAAGATTTGGCAAGAAAAATCATATAACAAAATATGTATGATGCTCTACCCAGTTTTGTATAAACCAGACAAATTGAGATTGGATATCATTTAACTCCATTGGAAACATCAATTGTATATCCATATGCTAAAAATTATTTGCGAACTCATACTTTTGGAAAATAAGCTGGTTGTATTTTCTAGAAATATTTCCATGTTCCAGGTCAAGAGGAAATAGCATTAAAATCAAATCAATCAACACACTTTCATAATTACATTGATAATTTGAAATTAGAAAATAAAAGTGCTGAGTGCATCAAAGATGCTAGTTATGAAAAACCTACATTTAGAATGTGGTTGAAAGAAGAATGTGACAATTTCTTTTAGATTATTAACACACAATAATACAAAGATAAATTGGAAAATGAGGGAATCCAATATATTTATAAAACAAATAGACATCTAGGCAATGGAATATTACTTTTGGATTATTAAAATGAAAAGATAATAAGATCATGGTATAAAGATAGCCAAGGTTGTGGACGCAATCTGTCTTAAGTTATAATTTAAGAGTACCTTAAGAATCCTTACTTATTCAAAGGACATAAGATGGAGTTTAGATCATATTTTTAGATAGCATCTACTAATCCACCAATCTTGTATGGCTATAAGAAGGCATTGATAAAACAATGTGCATTAAAATTCGATTTATTGGATTTCACCAAAGAGGCACATGTATGTAATACAGCCGTAACAAAAACACATAAGCAAACAACTGGATAGGAATAAGATGATGATCTCTATATTGATTGGAATTTAGAGGAGTTGCAAGATATTTTGTTAGAGTAGGGTAAGATAAAGTCTCGTAATTGGTTGAATGAAGAACTATACCCTTAGATTATGAGAAAGATAACCCATCTATTTTTCTCAGTAGAAAAATACCTCTTGAAAGATAGTAGAGTTGGAGAGTTCTTTGGAGTTGATTTCATACTTGACGAGGATTTAAATCTCTGGATTTTTGAATGCAACCGTAATCCAAATTTCTTGGCTGTGACAGAGGGAAGAAAAGAGAAATTTGGGAAGCTGATTCCTGACATGTTGGAAATATAGATGTAATTAGTTAGAAGCAGATTTAAAAGAGTAAGAGATTTTATGTATAATAAATTGTTGCCAGCCATTTAGGCTAGACAGTTTTAACAATAACAAGAGAAGTTCAAAGAGGAGTTTCTGCAATTGATGAAGGATAGATTTGAACCTGAATATTAAATATCCAAAAGCAATTTAGCTGAGTTGGCGTATATTGGGGAAGGATAATTTAATGGATACATTAAAAAAGAATGTTTAGATTCAAGTAGAGTATTAAAAAAGTGAATATATATATATAACCATAATAAATTAATTATAGTATGCTTGCACAAAAGTAGATTCCTAACAAATTCTTATTGGCTAAGCTCAAGGAAGCTGAAGAAAGAAACGATTCTCAATCAGTTCCCTCATTTATGAATCAAACTGTTACTATCAATAATCAGCATATAAGCGATTAAATTAGAAAGGCCAAGAAAGAGGCTGTAAGTTTGCACACAAGTTGTAAGTCAACATAACATTCGCCTAAAACTTCATTAGACCTTTCAGAATTTATTAAGCAAACTAAAATCTAATAAATGACACAATAGAAACTGTTGATGGAGAAAAAGTTCTCACAACTTGCAATCTCCAAGGTACGGGATGATGTGAGTCATTTTTATGATTAAATTAAATCGCCGAATACAACAAGTAAGTCAATTTTCATAAATAGGGGAGTAACGCAGCTTTTAGCCAAGACGTTAAAGAGCTACGTTCCACAAAAAATCACAAAGCGGTTAACAAATTCATTTGATAGATATGAAAGAATGTTAAAAATTAGAAGATGGCTTGAATAAAGAAATATCATCTTTACATACAGAAGATCCAGGAGGAAGAGTTTAGAGCATATAGTTAAGAGATTGGTTTTAAAAATAATAAGGCGATGATTTAATTCCCATATTGACAGTTACTATGAACGAATTAGTTAAATCACTGAAAAAAGAATGTTTAGAAAGAGGAGAATTGGTTGAATAAATTTGGTCGAAAGTTATTTAAATGGTTAATAAGATTAAATTTGATTCTGAAATTTTAGTTAAAAAAAACGATGTATTAGTAATGGATGAATAAGCCAAAGTATTTTACATTTATTAAGAAAAAATGTCAAGTTTGTAGAATTAGATCTAAGAAGTCTCTCTCAAATACTCCTAAGAAGTTACTCAACATAATGTTTGTAAATAGGAATATAAGGAATTGGAGATCAACTTTAAAAAAAATAGATCATAATTAAATGATCTAAGAAAAATTGCATCTTTTTTATAAAAAAAATTGAAACAATCTCATCAAGAAATAGAAATACTAAATAGAAAGTTATAAACAATTACTTAAAAACAATTAGAATCCTAATAATAAATACATAGAGATATCAATAGTACTCTCTAACAGGTTCATAGTTAGAGAATATTGATAAATCAAGAGAGCATGTTCTCATTAAAATAATCATAATAATTATAACCTCCTTCTTTAAATTAAATATAGCAATCTCAACAACAAAAGGTGTTGCAACATATCATCAATTCGAGCTAAGTTTAAACAGGGTAAAGAATGTCATATTTGGGCAATTCTTAAGTACAAAAATCTTAACAGGAGAAGTCAAGTTCTTCTGATGAAGATGATTTGATGGATGGATTGTTAGATGATAAAAATATCATAGAAATGGACAACATGGTTATGAATATGGATAAGATTATTAAAGTGGCTTGTGTGGAAACCTAAGTTGAAACAGACATACTTCATTTATATTAGAGAACCCAAGAGATACAAACAAATATTACTATGATGGCTAAAGATTTCAATTTAATAACTGACTCTTAAGTAAAAATCTAGAATGTAGTTGAGTAATTTAAATAAAGAAGTCAAGTTGAAGAGACACTCAAATTATGCGAAGATAAGACAAACAAATCGTTTTCAGGGAGATAATTGAATTAAATAATAGAATCGAAATTTCTTAATAAGGAGTAGCCATCTCCTGGAGTTTATAAATAAAATTAAATACGATAAGACTCATTTATATCTAAAAAAGGTGTAAATTAATCAAATGAATATGTTACAAGTAATGATTAGAGTATGGATATCAATTCTGATAGATATGTCGACTTTGAAAAAGTTAAGACACTTGTTTTGATGATGCAAATTTTAGAAAATAAAAACAAGGAACTGTAATATATTATTGATTAAATGAATGAAAAATGCAACAAACATATGCAAGAATTGGAAGATGCTAGAAGTAGAGCAGTGTCTATTAGTACATTTAAAATCTTAAAAGAACAATAATAATAATAATAATAATAATAATTGACATCATAATATATTGATGGAGAATCTTCTCCCGAATAGTATGCCAAATTTAATTCGTCCTAAAAAATGATAAAGCGCCAAAAAGATAATAAAAAATTGAATTAGGCAAAGTTAATCTTCAAAGGTCCTTAATTAGGTCAGAAAGTTAATATAATCTATGAATTTTAGAAAGTGAATGCTGGGCCACAATTAGTTGAAAAAATTAAATTAAAGTAATTGCCTAAAATTAAGCATTTTATGCCTTTAAAGTTACTCTTGAAACAAATCACTGTTATTTATTAGGATAGAATACAACAGCAAAAGGATAATCAAGCCTTTAAAGATTAGGATATGGCATCATTTGTATACAGTTACTTTTTACAATAATTTGGGATAAAAAGGATAGCAGAGTAAAAGTTCTTAATTCTGATAGTTTCAGTTAAACATTATAAATAAATAGTAAGAATAAACAATTTTGCAAAATTCTTAGGATTATTTGATGATTGTGTTAATTACTCAATAGATGAGATGAAAAAATATTTGGAATCATTTGATTATGTTACTAATATTTCAACACTTGGTATTTAAATTCCAGACCAAGATTCCGAGGTCAGATACTTTGTACCATATGTCAGAGCATAATAATACATAGGGATGTTTGCAGATTCAAGAATGACAATTGAAGAAAAAGAGGAATTAAAAAAGGAATTAGATTTACTAAAAGAAGTGGATACAAAAACATCAAATAGGTAGTCAGTAATAGATTTTGATTAATTTATGATTCAAATGTTTGTCAAATATAAAATATTAGTAAGTAGAGCCAAAGAGTATGTTATTAACGCATTTGCTGCATGTGATTTAGGTAACCAAAATAGCATATATTAACTTAGATGGTAATGGGATGTGTAATTTTGAAGAATGGTATTTATTGCTTAGACATATAGAACCTGATAGATTGACTAATGATGAAATTTCTGAAATATTCTTCACAAATGCTGATTTATTAATTAAGGGAGAGTAGAATTTTTCATTTGAAAAGTTTGCAGTTGTATGTGTTGAGTATGGATTATTTTCAGAAGAGGCATAAAATTCATTTTTATAGATAAAAGGGACAAAAACAGAGATTATGATACAAGTACAATAATTGTTAAAAGTATTTATAGTTTTAAAAATTAATTGATGGATGGACAGGATAGAGAAAGACAATAGAATAAAGATTTGAATAGGTGACGTTACTGGAAACAGAGAAAATAGATTCCTGGAGAGCGATAATTGAAACTCTAGAGAGAAAGATACTGGATCTGAAGGAACATTTGACTTAAGCTGGAGTTGAAAAGAAAGTCAAGCCTCTTTTGATTGCTAATTTACTATTGAATAAAGAATCTGAAATGCTGTTAGAATTACAAGAGGATATTGATGATGATGGATCACCTAATGCTAAGGCATTTCAATAAAATTTTGCATCAAACGGGTCAATTCGTATACAAATGGATATTATAAAGGAATGATGAATTAAAATTAATATATATGTTTTCATCACTATCTGCTGGTTATGATGATTTATGGAAGGCCATAATTCGACCTCCAAGAGACAACGAGTATACTGAGTAGGATTTAGGTAAGATCAGTTTCTTTACTTAGGCCCTAGTCAATTTAAAATATAAGGAGTATTGATTAAGAGAACGGACATCCAAATCAAAAATAAAAGAGGACTAAAATTGGAATGCTCATTTTTTGAGCCAATGAAAAAACCATGTGAGTAATTGCCATGTGTAATATACTTGCACGGTAATAGTAGTAGCAGATTAGAATGCTTGTCATCTTTGGATGGGCTTCTATAAGTATTGAGATATTTAAATATGACAAGCAATATATCTAAGTGTTTAGTTTTGATTTTGCTGGTTGTGGTAAATCGGAAGGCGAATATATATCCCTAGGTTGGTACGAGAGAGATGATGTTGAAACAATAGTGGACTGGTTACGTTAAAGCAACAAAGTCTCTACTATAGGATTATGGGGACGATCTATGGGAGCAGTTACTGCTTTAATGCATGCAGATAGAGACCCGAGTATTGCTGGTTTAGTTTTGGATAGTGCATTTTCAAATTTAAAGACTTTGGCAGAAGAATTAGCAAAGTAATATGCTCAAAAAGTGCCCTCTTTTGCTATCTCAGCTGGATTGTCAATGATAAGGAAAACGATTTAATCAAAAGCCAATTTTGATATTGAAAATATCAATCCACTCAAGAATCATGTTGCGAAGGCCTTCATTCCTGCATTTTTTATTGCTGCCGATGAAGATACTTTTGTGTTGCCTCATCACACTAAGAAATTACATGAAGCTTATGCAGGAGATAAAAATATTGTACTTGCTTTTTATTTTATTTTAAATAGTCAATAGTTCCTGGGGATCATAATTCTAAGAGGCCATCCTATGTGATGAACTCAATAGCAATTTTCTTTTACAACACTCTATAAGTGAAGCATTTAGTTCCTGAATACAAGGTATTTTATGTTAGTATTATAAATAGCCAGATTTAGAGAAAATAGACAATGACTTCCAAAATGATGAGGCAAATTTTCTATATAAATATCAAAACCATGTTGGAAATGCATTTTAAGTTTAGGGAGCTATGAATGAATTTGATGATGATGAAGAATTAAGAAAAGCCATAGAGGAAAGTCTAAAAGTAACTAATTCCGAATCTAACCAATAAAATTAAGAAAACGCATAAAATAGGCCATAGGTTTAACCATATAAACAACCTGAAGACCTATTAAAATTTTCAGATGATGAGAGTTTGTTATGAAAACATGATTAAGATCATTCGTTTAATTTATCAACTATTTCACATAACACTTATGAGGTTTATCTGAATTATTTTGGTATTTATGATAGTTATCCTAATCTTTGTTCTATATTTTCCAATTCTTCATGAGGCTTAAATCTCTGCATAGCCAAAGTAGAGACTGATAGTTTTTAATCCTCCTCTCTCATTCCCAATTATTCTCTTAACTTTGAAATTTCACTTTCTTCTATCAAAATCTAAGATCAATTCCTTTATATATATACATTATCACTCATTCTTTTGATTGCATTCAACTTATTTTATAGTAACAAACTCTCAATTGCCTCAATCATATATGTGAGATCATCCAACAAGGACAAATCAAATTTATCTATCATTCTTTATTCTCCATTTATATACTGTATCTCTCGAATACAACACATTTTGGCTATGTCCTAAAAATCTACTAAATCATCGGCTGATTATTTTAATAAGATCTTTTTTAAATTCTTTTTCATACCGATTAAATTTTTTACTACTTAAAACATCTTTCTTGAATTATTTAAATATTCCTAAAATATAATTTAATCTCTGTACTTTTAATTAATGTAAATTATGTATTAAATTAAATATTTATTTACTAAAATTAATGTATTGCTAAGCATAAGGATTCTTTATGGTTTGCAAAATTGAATATTATTTTTTTTATTCCTGCTATTCTTTGACTTTCTTAAATCTTTATATTAAAGTTTAGCTTTCTAGTTTCATTATTTCAGTTTCAGTACGGATTTTTTTCATTACAGCCTATTTTGTTGGCTATTTAGATTTCCTAATCGAATGAAGATGATCTAAGTAATCATGCAAATTTTATTCATCACTTCTCTATATTCTAGGAGTAAGAATTGGTAACAGTTTTTATCTTGATGTTAATGAACTTTCTGCGTTAATGCTACTCTCATTTCCAGGCAAGGCAGTGATATTGAGAGGAGGAATTTTGCTTGAATTTCCTTGTCTAATACGAGTCACCGATTAAAATCTTTATATTGGTCTCAAAGAAGAGGATTTATGAGCAGTGATAGTTTCAGAATGTTTGAATGTTGGAAGCACTAGATGATTTTTATATATGAGACTCATTAAAAATTATATAATTTTTATCTTCTCTTTATTCTTACTTTATTTATATACACATATATTCACTAAATTTCAACTTATTATAACTCTTGATATTTTGTGATCCTACTCCTCCATTTATCTCCAAATATTTATAAACAGCTTTTTTATCAAATTCTTAATGATCAATTATTTTACCTAAGTTGTTGCTTGAACAAAAAGCTAACCTTGATGGATATTTACATTTAGTCTAATTTATATCGATATCAAATTCAATTTTTATCTAATTAAACCCATAAAGAAATTTTGAACTAATTGATATACATAAATCACAATTTAAAGGGAAATGAATGAAATACCAATTCCCATAAAACTTTACTTAATAGTTGACTGGTAAGTAATATTTCATATATTAATATGAATATCAATTAACAATAGTTATTATTAATTAATAACATTTAAAAATATTCTTAATATTTATCAACTCCTTTTTCGTCAAAAACATGCTTCTTATTTTTTCGCTGAAATTGTCAACAAAGCGCATTGAATTAATGAAATCTAAATTTTCATTCAACTTCAATGGTTCTCAACAATATTAAGCTTTTTATCTATCTCAAACAAGTCTATGATTTTTATGAGAATTAAAATAATAATCACTGTTTGGTTAATTATTATTATTTTTATCAGACAAAGTTTTATGCAAATTTTAAGATATTATCATATTCTAAGTATTATTAGATAGAGTATCCTCAAGCTAATTAACAGTTCTATTAACATTTAGGTATTTTAGAAATTCTGCAATAATTGTATTCCATAATTATTGCTAGAAAGTTCACTTAGATAAAGTAATATAATTTATGCATATGTCAACATTCACTCTTAGAACTTTGAAACCCTTTACTTTTTTATAACGACTTACTTAAAATATGAAAAAAATGGTGGCAATTAAATTTAATTTATAAAAATTATTGATGTAAATTGTTTTCATAAAAGTTAATCTGCATCAGGTACTTCTTCCTTATTAATAGATTATTACTAAATTAAATTTATGAAATTTTTACAAATATTCCAACGCTGTTAAATAACTTATCCTCCATTAGTTCTGCCACTGGATCATCAGGCAGTTTTTCATCCTCCTCAACTTAAATTTACATAGGTTTACTTTAGCCTAAGGCAGGATTAGTAAATTTGTCATGATCAGTGCCATCCTCAAACTTTTCATCGCCATATCCATCCAATTCATCCACATTCATGGTCTTACCAACTTATGCTTGATTTTCTCTTTATACTTCTTATGACACTTGCTATTTAATTTAAGGCCTATTATTCTTTTATTAATTCTCTAATTCTCTTTCTTTTTTCTTATCTTCTAAGATCTTTTTACCTTCTTCTTTCTGTTATCTCTTTTTGTATGCTTTTTGAATTTTAACAGCTACATCATCAAGCTCTTGCTACTCCTTTAATTTCAAATCTTCCTCCTTTTTTTTTAAATCTTCCTCTTTCTTTTTTAAATCTTCAATTCTTTTTTCTTCTTTTAGCTCTTCTAATAATTTCTTCCCTTCTGATTTATTTTTTTTGTGTCTGTAAGCACCTTATATTCTTGATGCTGCCATATTAATTTCTTCTTCTTTAGCTTCAATTTCTTTTTTAACTTCTAATTAATCATCAAGCTCTTATTCGAATTCAAAATCATAATCATCCTCATTATTTTTTTTATCTTTAGAACCTTTTTTATTATTTTTAGAGATTGAATCTCTTTCATTTCTTTTGCTTTCCAACAACTATTTAGTTTCATCTGCTTGCTTTTTATCTTTAGAGGCTTTCTAGTTTTTCAAAGCCTTTTCCTCCTCCTCTTTCTTTTATTTCTCTTCCCTCTCCTTCTATCTTCTTATCCTGTCCTCTTCTTTTTGCTTTTAATCATTAACAAATTTTTCTCTCTTTTTTTATTCTAACAATGCTTTAGCCTCTGCAATTTGTTTCTTTTTTTAATATGCTAGTTATATCTTCAAGGCAGCATCCTCTTCTTCTTTTAATAGTTTTTCTTTCTCTTCTTATTCTTTTAATAATCTTTACCTTTCTAACTCTTCCTATTCCTTTTTGGCTTACAACTCAGCTTAATATTATTCCTTTTCTTTTTTTTTCTATTCCAATATTTTCTTACCCTCCTCCTTCTGCTTCTTCTGTTTATAGGCATTTTAGATCAGCAATGCTTTCTCTTCTTCCTCTTTTCTTAATTATTCTTCATATTTCCTTTATTCCTCTTCCTTCTATTTTTATTTTTATTCCTCCTCTTACCTTTTTCTTTCCTCTTCCTATCTTCTTAATTAATCCTATTTCTTTTTTTATTCTTCCAAAATTCTCCTTTACTCTTCCTCCTATCGTTTATTCTCCTCCTATTATTTCTTCAATTACAATTCCTACTTCTACTTCTTTTCTTTTTCTTCAAGGTATTATCTCTTCTTTTCTTTCTACTACTCTAGAATCTTTTTACCCTCCTCCTTTTACTTTTTCTTCTTATAAGCAAGTTATATCTTCATAACAGCATCCTCCTAATCTTCTAAGTCTTCTTATGGCTTTAATTAATAATCATCAAATTATTCCTAATATTCTTCTTCAGCATCCTCCTATTTATCCTATTCTTCTTCTAACTTACCTGAATTCTATGAAATTTTATCCTCATCTCTCTCAAAGTAATCATCATAATTTTCCTCTTCTTCATTGTGCTTTTTATTTACTTTTGCAGGTTATTAATTAGGATCGTTGTCAATAATTTAAGATGAATTTCTAGCATTACTTCTCATCTTAGCCTATTTGGAAGTATCTGAATTCTAGGTTTATATTTTAATATAATCGTTAGAACTGTCTTGTTTTTAAGTATTAGGAGGAGAATTTTATTTTTATTATTTTTCCAATTGCATCTAGCGATTCTCCTTAAAATCGTCTCTAAAGAATTGTTCCCATTATAATTAAATTAAATCCCTGTACACTTAATAAATGTGTATAAATAATTAATCTTTTTACAACTCTGTAATTGATATTTGTGACTCTATAATTAATTATTCAAATTATCTTATATTGATGTACTCTTAAGTTTAAAATTTCTACTTAAATTTCCTTGTAAGTTCTTCTTTATTTTTTAGTAATGTCTATGAATAAGATAAATATTGTATTTACTTTTCGAACTTCTTAATAAATTGATGATCCATCATAAGTGATGTATTCTTGAATAAGAGACAAGATCATATTTTTGAATCTATTGGCACTTATCATTTTTTGAATTGGTTAATCATATCCATCACTTTTGAGCAATGCTTTTGCAAATTTTTAAGCTTTGACTGCATTCATATCTAATTTGGTCTTTAAAAACTCAACGACTCCATTCTCATTTAATCTACCTTTATTCAAAGTGGACAATTTCTAAAATGGTTTGAATTTAATACTTCCTTGAATTTGGCAAAGGGTATATTATCCAAATACAATTAACAACGTATTTCATCAGCATAACATTGTGCTAATTCTTAATCTAGTAGAATAGAATCTGTACTATTATTTTACCTTAATTGCTCTTATTACTATTGAAACTATGCTATTTGTTGTTATTAAGAATTAGTATTATTTTAATCCTTGGGACTATATGATTGCTATTATTATAAATTCCTGCCTTGTTTCTATTCTAATTGTTTTCTATTGTCTGATTAAAACTTCTTCAATTGTTACTCCAATTTTTGTATTTTCTCCTTGTATTCTTCAACTAAGTAATTCAATTTGGTCCTCTCCTCTATATCCTTGTCGATCTCCTCCTAACTGATTACATATTAACCATTAGCTCCTCGCTTCTTGAATGCTTGTAGTTTTTGATTCAACAACTAAAGATCTCTGCCTTGCTTGTTCAATGATTTCTACTATTGCTGAACTTGATTTTCCAATTAGGTATTCCTCTCCTCATAAAGTCTATGATTATAATCAATAAGGGTTTTACTTGACAATCTGAACTAATTCCTAATTGTCCTTGAGATAGGTTTCATTCTATTGTTGCAAGTCTTTGACAAATTCATTATTTTGAGTAGACTCCTGAGCATGACTATGATATAAATAAGTATACTTCTATTATTATTGGAGGATGTCGTCTCTTTCTTTTAGTAATTCTCTCAATCTTTAGAGTTCTTCATAGACTTCCCTGATTTCAGCCTTGATTATGAGGTATTGCTTACATCGAGCTCTTAGAATTTGCTCACTTTAGCATTTTTCTTAAAGTTCTAAATAGTTATTTCCTTTTCTCTCAACTCATTTTGTTGCTCCTTGATTTGCCTCTTCATTTAAAGAAAGAGTGATGTCTAAGAATATCAATATGGAATTCAAACCTCAACTCCCAATTTCATTTGCACATTTTTCAAATTACCATTATTTTGAAAATCCTCTATGATTCTCTCATATTTTTGTATTGTTTTCTATGATTAATTTGTTAGCAATACTTCTTGTTATAAAATGGTAGTCCTCAATTAATAATTATCCGTCTTCAAGTGGTTGATTTATGTTTTAGCCTAGGATAAATGCTCAAAAAGTCTTTCCTTATCAAACACTTCCATATTATTCCTAAAAAAATCAGTTTCTTGTTAAATCTATCTCGCCCTGATTTCATTCTAACCACTCTGTGGTCTCTCCTCCATCAAGTTATTCACTTTAACCTTTTTCACACTAATTACAATAAATTAAGTTACATTTTAAATCCTTTAACAGAATTTCCATAAGCTTGGTTAGAAGGCACTTTTTAACTAGGATTTTTGGCTGATTGGGCTCGAATTGCTTTCTATTAATTTGAATACAGCTATATACTTATCTTTCGGACATCTAAATTATTAATTTATTATATTTATAAAGCAATTATATTTTATATAGATATTATATGATTGATCAAAGATCAAAGAGCGTTAAATAAGTAGTAAAGGTCATTTATTCACTTTAAAATGCACTTTTTTTTGAGAAAGCTTATCATTGCTTGGCTATCCTTTTTTAAATTGGCTGTACTTCATTTCCTACTTTAAAATGCTTTTCACAGATTTATCGTCAGCACTTTGGCTTCTTTGACTTTCCATCTCTTCTTTTATCATTTCTTCTTTGTTCACTTGATATTCGCTAATCGATTTTAACTTATCAAGTCTTTTCGAATCAAAAGACCTCAATGAATTTTTAGGTTGGAAATCGCCCAAAGGAGAATCGTTCTTCTTTTTCTTTTTCAACGAACTTTGAGAAACCATTATGTCTTCATTGGCTTCTTCAATTTTTTAAGGTATATCATCGAATTGCATAACAATCTCTGCTACCAATTAAATATCCTTATTTGATAACTATTCTGATTCTTGTTTGCTATGTATAGATTTATTATCAGCAAATGCAGGTGTCGATGGATCATCTATTCGAAATTGACCATGCACCCCTTTTTATTTTTGAATCGGAGATCTTCACAATAGTCAATTGGAATAAATACAAATGTTTGTTTCTATTCTTGTTCCCATCACTTGGATTATTGGGATCCTTTGAAGAATGAGAAGTATCTTTCATTCCTGTTGCTAACTCTGACGCCTGCTCTATTGTATTAACAGAACAACACTATGAGCTTCCCATTTAATAAAACAAATAATAATCAATTAGAACTAGATAAAATATTTATAAATTAGATATATTATATTAATTAATGAGTTTCGCTTAGGATTTTAAGAATATTTAATTATAAAAAATTATATCGAAATTAAACTATTAACCTTACTTAAATAAGATGAATTAATTTGAATAATATGATGTATCAAACGAGGAATTCTCTAATTTATTCTATGATTTATCTATTTGCAGATTCAGCAGCATTCACTCCATTGCTTCTCATGCCCATGTTCTAGAATCCGTGGGGAAGACTTTCAAATACTTTTAGTTTGATATTCTCTAATCCATTATCTTTGCAATAATGAACGAATTCTACAGAGTTATCCAATAATACATCATCAGATCCCACAAAGATAACAAAATCTTTGGGAAATTGTTGTATAACTTCCTGGGGAGTTAGAATGGGAGATGCATAATAATCATTTGGTAGATCTGATTGATTCTTAAGATAACTCTATCTACACAACATTAAGAGTCCCATGGGTATCATTTGATCATTCATGCTTTTGAGATTAGAAGGCACTACATCACAAAGATTCAAATTGACAGCAGGGTATTGTAAGACAATTTTATCCGGGACTCTTTGATTTGTCTCTATTGCTCTAATCACTATTCCCAAAGCCAAATTACCACCAGCAGAGTCTCCAATCAAAATGATATTTTTAGGTGAGATATTGAAATAGGCAGAACTAAAATGAACAATCCACATGTAATATTGCCAGCAGTCATCAAGAGCCAATGGAAATGGATTCTCAGGGGCCAAACGATAATCAATTGAGAAGACGACTGTATTAGCCAGTTGATTAACCCATTTTCTGGTGTATGATTAATGAGAAAAGGAAGACATAGAGATGAATCCTCCTCCATGTATGTGAATGATTACATTCTACATAGTATGTACACCCAATTCTCCGATCTCATTCCTTGATGAAATACAACAACCTCCAAAAAAGTTAGACGACTACTACAGTTATTGTATATGTTATGTCCTTTGAATTTGGAATTCACTTTTGGTCAAATTTCTTACTGCCTATACAAAATCTTAATTAGATATTTTTTGCTTAAAGATTTACTTATGACACATCACTCTAACTCTAATGTCATAGTCATTCTGTTTCTTTCTGATAGTTCTGAATGCTACCTAATAGAGTAAATTTTTAGGAATATCAGTTGAATTGGTATTACAATGATGCAAAGTATCTAAGGTAATTTGATTGAATAATCTTGGAATATAGATTATTTTCTTCAGTTTCACTTATTCCAATTGTAATTTATATCCGGCTTTTACTATTTTGGAGTCGTCTATAATTCTCCACAATTGCAAAGCATGTTCAAGTGTTGGATTAGTGATTATTTCTGTGGCAGCCAGATCGGTTTCCTCTTGGTTTGATAAATAATAAAGAGCCTTCAAGTTCCTAACTACACATTACATGAATTAAGATTGATATTGTTTCCCAGAATTTATGTATGCGTGTCCCAAAGATACTTTTTGATAGAAATTTCTTAATTACTATTTGACATTCCCAGGTTCATCCAATTTGATTACTTCGATATTCGGAATATTCATATATTCTTCGTCATTGAAAATAGTATTTTTTGGTTTTTTGTTGATATAAGGCAGCATCTCAGTAACTTTCTTTATTTTTTCAAGTTCAAAAGCCAATTTTATTTAGTTACCTCTGTTGTCTTCCATATCTGACAATTCATCAATTTTTGAAAGCACATCATTCTAAACAATATTCAAACATCTCTTCACGAATATTTTGTTTCCATCTGAGGAATTCACTTTCTCTATAGTACTTTTGAATTGATTTAGAGTTTAAATGATTTTTTAATTATTTGTTTTCTATATGATAGCTGTTATATTGATAAATTCTTCTTCAGTCATTTATTTTATAATATATATTTTTATTAAAATATCATGGATTCATAAATACATCATCCTAAGTCCTTGACATAACCAAACATCACTCCCTCAATAAACCTAAATTTTATATAGTAATATTGATCTTAATGCTTAATTACTATAATTACTATAATTACTATAATTACTATTATTAATTTATTAAATATAATGAAATTTAGTCAAACCCCAAAATCCACTTTAACCGAAAATTTCAATCCACCTCCTGGATATTATATTGGGAATGATTTAAATGATATGCTGAATACCATCAAGACTAAACCACCCCAATAACAATTCTCGAGATCTGATCGATTTGGAGATATTCAAACAAACATTCTTCCTCAGAGTAAAACTGTAGAAGGATTCGACAAAATTGCCTACTAAGCTTCTCTCAAACATTCCTTTTAAAATCAAAAACTAAAAGATCACAACTATGTATATTAAGCATAAGTATGTAAGTTTTATTAATTATTATAGTCTTAGCAATAATTGAAGAAGACTCAAGATGTTGATAAGAAAATGAAGAACTTACTTATCAAACAAATGGAAAACTGTTTGAACTAATAACTCGAAATAACACCATCAGGACAATGTGTTTTGGATAAATCTAAACTGTTGCAAAAGTTATAAACCATTGCTCCATTACAAGTAACATAAATCAACTAAAACGCTAGCCTCCCGGTCCTGGACATTACAATTCTAATGAAACCTTAATTAAGCCCAGAGTAAGAGGAGCAATCATCAAAGAGGATAGCAAAAGAACAACATTCTAAGAGCCATTCTTGACAGCCGATGTGATCTATGGAAAGTAATTAACTAATAATGGATAAAACGAATCTGAATCTAATATATCACAAAAGTAGAAGCAGAAGAAAATCAAATTTATTCAAGGAGATGAATATAACTTAGAAAAATTATTTGAAAAAGATAAGAAGAAGAAAGAAAGACAAACTGCTCCCCCACCTGGTCATTATGAAATCGAATCCCAATTCGGAAAAATTACAGAATTGAACTATTAAAATTAATGCTTTGATAGTAGAGAACCCAGATTTAAATACATTTCAGATGAAAATCCAGGACCTGGTTAATATAAAGCCGATAATTAATTTAATGAATTTGGTGGATATATGTCAAAACTACCTAGATAACCTCCAAAAGATAATATGATTGTTCCTGTTGGGAATTACATTGTATAAGATTTATCAAGACCTCAAAGAAAAGATGGGCTCTTTCCATCGAGTTTTGGATCTGGGTCTAAGAGAATGAAAGAAGTCGTCATAAATAGTGAAGTTCCTGGTCCTGGTAGTTATGATAATTTGGTTTAAAAAAAGAAGCAATTTAAATATGTGTTTAGAAAGAAAGAGAAACGACCTACTATTGAAAAGTATCCTGAATCCTTTGGTTTATCAGTAGCCAAAGAATTAGTGTCTGTCAATACCACAAAGGAACGAAGCAAATCTCTTCAAAAACCAGTATAAATATTATAAATCTTTAGTAATAATCCTCTATGTTTTCTTCGAATGTCCAAAGATTTAAGGATAAAAAGATCACAGAAGAGTTAGGCCCAGGAAGTTATACAGTGCATGATCAGTTTACGAAAACAACTTTTAATTAAGGAAATGATATCTTTGGAAAGGGTTAAAGAATCTAATAATAATAATTCTAAGAAATAGGTCCAGGGGCTTATGATGGAGATTACAAGGTTCTTAAGAAGAATTTTGTTAGAGATGTTCATTTTTGACTTTTTAATATGTGTAAATCATTTAAACATATTTTACATTATTTCCTTAAATAAATCTACTTTCTCTTTATCTTTAAACATGACCTTAAGAGTGTCGACTTAAATAGAATCTTTTTCATTTTAGGATTGAGTCTGCTTTGTACTGATCGCCCTGATAATAATGTTTTCCTATTTGGATCCCAAGGGTTTCACTTCTGAAATTCCTTTAAATAATTATCCTGTATACAATATCTATTGAATTTGATTCCTGTTTATTAATATAATGAGTACCGATAGATAAAGTAAAATGTTTCCTTCTCTTTTGCCTTTTCCAAGGCAACTGTTCCTTTTTCTACTACATCATTGGCATTTTTTCGGAACTTCTCAATTTCAGCCACAAGTAATTACTCAGTCTATGCTGAATAGTCATATTTCATTTCAATTTACTTTGGTTCTTCATCTTCTGGTTTTTAATCATCTTCTGCTCCTAAATTATTATGCGAAAAGAAAATACCTGCATCCTCGCCACCATCACTTTCATCTGATTTAGGAATTTTGTAATCAATGCCAAATAAAGAGGGACCTGGTTTAGTCAAATCAATCCCATTAATATTTGGCTCTTATTTATTTAGAGCGGCAAACAATCCTGTGCTTGGTTTAGTTGAACCAAACAAACCTCCACTTTAATTTACTGGTGCCTCTACATTGCTAATTAAATTGCTTTAATGGTTTTCAAATAAGGATTAGATTTATCCTTCTCCATTTTTCTTTTCATTTGATTCTGTCACTTTATTCTCCTATTTATTGTCCTAATTTTAATCGGAATCCTTCTCTTATTATGGTTCGTTGACTTCGTCTCCTTTTACAGATTCATCTACTTTTGACTTCAAATCAACTGATTGTTAAGCCATATTATAATAAAAGTTTTTATTAAATAATTAAATTTAAGAAGACACTATTTTTTAATTTTTTAATATCATTGTGTTTATATTGTTTTATATTCTATTGAATAATCTTATATCATGCCAAACTGCCTCCTGTCCATCTTGCCTTAATTTCTATGGTCTCTCCAGGGGGTATAGATAACTAAGCTAAAGTTCTATTGCATTTTACCCCTTGGAGTGGGATATCATTATAATAAAGATCCAAATCAACAATAGATCTATCTTACATTGATTTATTACCTATCTTGGAAGCCAAAGTATTTAAATAGTTGATCCTTGATATCATTGATAGTATTATTATCTGATAGATTTTTAAATTCGAATCCTTGTTTGCTTAAATTGGCTGTTGTTTTAAATTTCAAAGTAAACTGTCCTTAATTCATTGCACCTTGTTATGAAATCATCAAATTTGATTGTGGGAATAAATCACTAACATCTGGTTATTTTTAAATTGGTTGAGAATCCCCCAAATCAGGAGGCTCACTATCAACCAATTTGGGTTATGATTTTATTGCAATATCATATTCAATGAACTCCTCCTCCCTTAGAATTAGTAATTCCACAGGTGGACCTTAAAGTGAAATCATTGGAAAGTAAACTTCCAAAGCCTTATTGAGCTCATCTCCTTTGCATAACATTCCTCTATCAGACAAATACACTCCTGGATTCAGTAGCATCTACTTTTTACTATATTTAATCACACATTTTTTACGCATATGCCCCATCTATAGTGTGTTAAATCAACTCGTTGAGAGTTGTCTTGGGATTGATTTAAGCAGTCAAACTCCTTCCACAATACTTCACTGATACTCGTATATTCATTTACAATTTAATAATAAATATATTGTCTATTAATAACTTTTTAAAATATATAAGAATAGTCACAAGATTCATGTCGAAATATTTCTCATTCCTAATCAATTTAGTAAAGGAGGTCATTATCATCGTTGAGGAAGGATCTCTAAACCTCATTGCTGACATCTTCGTATTGCTGTGAAAATTGGGGAATACAATTCGCATTCATTATCTATCTGATTTTTTCAATTATCTCATAGAGATAATCCTTGTGATTTTCTAAGGAATTTAAATATACTCCTTTTAGGATTTCCAGTTGTGTACAGCTAGTTCCTTGTATCATTTGGTCAATACGTTTTTCTTTATTTAAGAGTAAAAAGAAATTTTAAACTATCTGAGGCACTTAATCCAAATGTTGAGATTATTCAATCAATTTTTCGCCGATTTGTTCTGTAGTGTAATGTAACTCAAACATTTTTAGAAGTGAAGTTAGTTCATAATAAAACTATTCATTTAGAAGGAATTTGATATTCTTAATAATTGAATTCCATTTCTCATTTTTGAAGAGTATTTTTTAATATTGTTGCTTATCGAATCGATCATGTCTAAAAAAATAAACGACGGCAAGACTCTTGCATTTCCAATTAAACAAACTTCGAGCTACGTGCTCCATATAGGAGTATGTATTTTTGTTTTAAAAAATAGCCTATAACTTTTCTTATTTGGCCTAGGCCTTATCGGAGAGCCCATCTTTGTGTATATTCTTTTTTGTGCCTGCCAAACTCAAATAGACGTGCCTTCCAATCTGAGTAAAATATTCTATTAGTTGTCTTTCCTCCTTAAAAGAACTCCAAATTGCTGGACTTTCCAATTTTATTATGTGGATTCCTACAGGCTTGCCAACTCCCTTTTTCAGTTGTACCTCATGTGTTTTGAGCTTTTTGATGTTTTTTGTTTTCATTTTTAATTTGTAAAATGTTCTAAACTATTTCACTTTTGAATACAGACTTGATTTCTATTAGTGTAATATTATTTCACCTTCTTAATTCAATAGAATTTCAATAATAGAATTAATGAAAATAGAAAATATAATATTTTTAAATTTATAATCTATATATATAATACATCAATCAGATACGTATTATTAATCATAATCCTCCTCCACTTACATGCAGGCAAGTAATTCATTAATATACGACTCATAATCCTATAGAGTTTGGTCTAACTCGTAGAATTTCTCATATCGACTTTGCAGTTTTTCATCAAAATCTTTTTTGCTAATTAAATCTATATCCTCAAAACTTCTAATTAAGTATTTTGTAAAAAGACATTATAAAATGGTTTCAGCAGTGCTTAATGTTTTGTTATGTTGTTCTCGATACATTTGTTGTAAATTATCGTATAACAATTACGCATTCTAAAACTATAAATATGTAAAATATTCTTTGTGAAACTTCTAATTTAGCATAGGAGCCAATTTCTTTAGGGAAGGATAATTACTATAATTATCAAAATTATCGATAAGCCTTGGAACACCTTCTATGATTTGAAAATCAGGATTTGATGATTTGAAGAAAAAGACAATACAATTTTTATTTGATTTCTCAACAATTTGGCAATATTCCACAATAAGTTTTGGAATCTTTATTTAAGCAGCATTTAGAAATATCCCAGGAGCATCAATTTTTTACTTTGGTTTTGCTTTAGACTATCCATTCTACTCCACTGTCGCCTTATTATTCTAATCGACTGCTGCTCCATTTTAGTCCTGCTGCTCAATTGCCACCTTTTTTATGCCAGTCTGCTAAAAACAAATAAATCTCCCCAAACGAGATAGCGCCTATATTGCTTAAGTACTCTATTAATCGGAGCTCCATGCATTTGTTTTCTCCAAAGGCTTCTAAGTGTTCATTCCCTTTGGCTTACCAATTTTATTGGGTCTCTTCTCGTTATTTGGATGCTACTATTATTACATTATTTAATTTAATAAATATCATTAATTGTTTTCTTCATTATACATTTATAACTTTTATTATACAACTATTAATCTCTCAGCAAGCGTTTACTTCTATTAATCTCTTATTAGAACAATATACTTATTGCATTTCTAAATTGTTTTTCTCGTTCAAAACAATCTTTTCGTATTCCTCAAGAAAAGCGATTTTCTACTGTATTTTTTCCATTTAAACATTGATGATAGCATTGATACATTAATTTAATTTATTTTCTTCCTTAGTGATTTCAGCATTAGCTTTATTGATTGAGTCCTCTTTGAAATTGACAATTTAAGTTTGATCAAGAGCAATCTATCAATACTAATAATAAATACTAAGTTATTTTGCAAATTGGTTAACTCCTTGTTTGAATTACCATTGCACAATTTTTCCCCATTGTGTTACTTCGATTCTTCAACCTAATTAAGGTGTTTTTGGAAAATGGAGAGATGATACGCATATAGATTGGAGGAATCTGAGAATATTTAGGGCTATCAAGAATTATATGAATAATACTTCTTCACTTGCAATCCTACTAGCCAAGTCATAAATGGTCAATTTTTGCAATTGTTCCTATCCATCCAAAGAACGAATAATTGAGGATTACTTTTGAAAGGGATAGATGAGAAAATAGATAAGTATCTAAATAACATCTAATTTGACTTTTCTATTCTCATTTATAAATTCTGCAATTTTATCCCAACCTACTTCTGGATTTTCTTGGATGTAATTCAACATTTCTGATAACTCCTTATCACTTAATTGAGTGTCTGATTGCTCTGCTTGATCAATTGAGATGTTAGTGCTTTTCAATCTTTCTTCAATATCAGTTTTAAAGAAGTCCTCTGCACAGAGTATGTTTGGGAAATGATTATTCCCATAGCATCTTATACATAGAATAATTTCTTTGATATCTTTAATAGGTTTTTATTGGTACCAAACTAAATTACATTTCATTTAACATGAATCGCAAATAGGCCTAATATTATTTTATCTTGTAACCTTAATTTAAGTGACAAAGCTCTTATTGAATCAATAATTTATTATTCACTTAATTAATATTGTTCCAAACTATTTTTGGATTAAAATAACTCATTAAATAAATTATCAGGAATAGCAGGCTAAGGGATAATTTTGCCTTAGTATTAGTCTGAATCCACCTGAGAATTGATGATTCCCCAGTGATTCAAAAATCCATGAATTCTGACTATTGTGCATGCATCAGCAGCTAGTTGTCTCCGACATGCAGTAGTAGTCAAATATACATTTGGAGTGTTATAATATAAATTAATAATAAAGTTCCTATGTTTCTTATAAAGTTGAGGGGTTTTGTGTTTGTTCTCTTGATTGAAATACTCCTTAAAATTCTCCTTCTCAATTGAATGTATTTTGTCAATTCTGAACCAAGAAGTACAAGAAGGTACAATGATTTCAAAAGATCTCTTCCTAGTAACAAAAGGATCTGGAGGGAAAATTTAAAAATTTTGAGGCTGGATTGGTGGATTAGTCAAAGGTTACTGCAAAATTGGCTTATAAGTGTGTGGAGGAGATGCAGAAATGATAGATTGTTTGGATTATTAGACTTAAATATTTTAAGGATTCATTTATGGATATAAGAATGCTTGCTTAGGAGAAAGCATTGCTGGATTTATTTGTAATTGTTATTAGGTAATTTATGATTAACTAGGTAATGTTGTTCCTTAAGACTTATTTTTAATCTAATTGGTTGATTGAGGAGGAGGTAATTGAACAATACTTTTTGGAATACGAACTGTTGTATCTGCATCATGAACAATGAATCCATTTGCAACTTTCTTTAGAGTAACTTTAACTTATGGCATTTTCTTCTAATTCATTAATTTATTTATATACAATATAATTAATTTTATATAAAATGAACACAAAGTCATTTGAAGTTTTGATACATTCATAATATGCCTTCCACAGATGCAGAAGTGAAGTGCACAAGTATGAAGATTGCAGATAGACCACATCCCCAATTCCCAAGGATCCACGTCTGTGCAGAAACACCGCTAGAGAATTGGTTGGATGCTATAAGGAGGCGTAATTAATATGAGATTATGATCATTAGAGAACGTATGCATCCATTGTGTTTGGCTCCTTTCAATGATGTCAGGGAATGTGTATTTAAGGCTGATGGCAATATCTTCAACTGCAAGAAAGAATCACAATAATTCGTTGATTGCCAAATGAATTAAGAAAAATATCAGGATTTCTTGGCTGTAACATAATATAATACAAATAGTTATCAACAGACAAATAAAAAGAAGCTTTATAATTTGATTTCTTCAACTACAGAGGCCATTTCGACAAGTATAGTTGAAGTATTAGTGATTTATAAATATAAAAAGACATAATAATATTAAAAATATCGATATTTTATTAAATGAGTGAACAGTCCTACCCAATATCAAGAGAAAAACCCGAACTCAACCCTCAAAAGTATTAACAATCAGAGATACTCTGACACTGATAATTCCTATAACAAATAACCGCAAAATTATAAACAGACCTATTAGTACAATTATTTTCTTAACTTCTTTAGTAAAAATCAGAATCACGATAGACAAAGCAATATCAACTACTCTCACAATTATAACACCTATAGACAAAGCAATTCCAAATATCCTCAAAAACAAAGAGACTATTACTATCAAGCATAACCTGATCCAATATCCTAAAGTTAAAAGCCACTCAAACAATCTGAAACTGAAAAAGACTCTCAACAAACCAATAAAGACTTATTCCAATAGGCAAATCAAGATGCCCAATTCCAAAATCAAATCTAAATTGGTGGCCAATCCAATCAAAATCAATAATTGAATGACATTAAACCCTCAACTCAAGTTTCCAATGATAAATAAGAGCTATCAACGCAATAAATTAATGGTCCTCAATCTTAAGAGTCTGCATCTAAGGAAATCTAAAAACCATAATTTAATGAAAAAGTATAAACAATTGCAAATGCAAATAGTGAATCAACTGCTACAATCTAACACAATAAATAGCTTCTTGGCATTTCATAATAATAATTGATTTAATAAAAATAAATACCATTATTAGTATAATTTTTGATTCTACCTAATGACACAACTTCACAACCTTAATTGATCCCATTAACATTAGTAATTATTAAACTAATTATCTATAGTAAAATTTAACACAAACATACGAGTAATTAAAGCTATTAATTTAAAATGATGATTAACAATAGAGTTGAAATGTAATAATGTGTGTGTGCATATAAATATTATTAATATAATAAACTACTAAATAAAATACATATTCTGGTTTTACATAAAATAATTCACAAATCAGATTTGCTTTTGTTTTATTCTGTATGTGTAAGCTAAACATTTTGTTTAACAAAGGCATAAAGATTCTCCTTGCTAAATTCTTAATCAAAATTAACTGGATTAGATGTCACCTTTGGAATATATAATTTAAATCCTGGGTAGTTTTCAATCTTCACACTCTCCAAATCATTGTATGACAAATCTATTTGAGCCAACACTAAATTCTCATTGCCCTTCAATTCCTTAGCCAAATCTTCAAATTCTGGTTCATAACTATAATGATAAAATCAATACGTTACCATTTGCTACTGGAAGTTTGACAAAACTGAACTAAAGTATTCTTATTTGAATTCAGAACCAATTCATCAAAAGTATCTCCAACAACTTTGAGAACATTGGATGTTTGAGTTGGTATAGGTTGAGATTTTTGTTTTCTTGCAATTTTTCCGTTGTTGGCCCCATGAACAAATCTCATCACATTCTCAACAGTGATTTGTCCATCAAATTTATAGACTTCGTTGGTTGTCTTATAATAATACAAAGAAGGGAATGTGGGAGTATTAATAAACAATTGACCTGTGACTTGATTCAACATGTAATTATCAGAGTAAACAGAAACTACAGTGATTCTTTTTTTGATGTTTGGAGCTATCAATTTTAGAACATCCTTGGTTTCTTAACTTTATTGACTCCAAAAAAGAATCAAAGCTGGTGTATTTTTATTAAATATGGATGCGTAGCTCTTGTTGTCTAATTCCTCAAATGATGGAGTTGAATTCTCATATAAGAAATTTGTTAATTTTTCTAAGGTTATTGAATCTGTGAATTCCTTTCTTCTCTCCTCGAATGTTCTGAATAGGACTATTTATCCTTCATCTACATCGTATAATTTCTATAACAATAGTTAACTATCTTACTCTGGCATATGCTGAAGTGGTATAACCAAATTTCAAATTGGGGAATATTTTAGCAGCCAATGAATAAATCTGTAATTCAGGTTGTTGAGAATCCTTAACGAAATATAATACACTCAAGGTATTATCACTTAAAAACTAAATTAAAGTTAGAATTTATTAATACCTTGTAAACATCATCAATTTCATCAACTCTCACTAATTTATCCTCAAGAGCTTGAGTTACAAAATTCATTAATCCACTAGCACTTCTATCTCCATTATAAGGTACTGCATGTCCTTTAATTAGCAATATTATCGTTGGGAAACTCGATACTTTGTATCTATTTTCAAATTCAATTATTAAACCTGTTCATAGCTTATTTTTCTTGATCTCCACCATTTAGTTTGGCAACAATGAAAGATTGACCAGCTTCTTTCACTTGTGTAGCAAATTGAGAATACTCGGGGGCAAATTGTTTGCAATGGCCACACCTATAATGAGAGGTAAAATATCAATTTAAACCATGAAGCATAAAACTCGACTAATAAGTAATCATACTGCTTGATTGCAGCATTTATTGTATTATCATTAAGTACTAACACATCTCCATCATATGGGAATGTGTATCCGAACACTGATAATCCAATGACACAAAGTATTAAAAACTTTAGCATAATTAAATATAAGTTTTGTTTTTTCAGATCTTAATTAAAATTAATTTATATTTCTATTATTTTACTTGACTATGGCATACAAGCTTTTGATTATTATTTATCCAAAAGAGTTAGATATTTTGGACTTTCAGATTACTTTAGAAGGAAGCACTTTAATATAAGAGTTATATGTATTTGTTTTAGAAACATACCGTAATAAGTATGTTTGATGTCCATAATTTAGAATTCATAATCAAATTTATACATAGTGGATATCAAAAGTTAACGGATTGGGAAAATTTGCTTATGTAGAAGGATAAACAATATCAAATATATTTGGGAGTATGTAGAATGGTCAACTTTCTATTTTTACAGAGCCAGATAAAGTTCCTAAAGATAGCGAATTGGATATTCTTTGTATTATCGCATCGTAATTATTAGAAACTGAAGATGATAAACCAATCTGTGTAAGCTTTATGCTAATCGATGGATCAAATGGAGTGACGTCCTCATTAGAATACTAGTGTAAACCGAGTACTTTATTTTCCGATGGAATAAATGCATTATTCAACTTTAAATCCTACACTCAGTAATATCCAATTTAACAAAAGAGGAACGGCTGATTTTCAATTTGAAAAAGATGGAAAATAATTAATATTTGATTAGAAAACTACTTTTCGTTAATTAAATATAGTTTCTAACACAATTTTAAAAGTGAAAACGAGATGGACTGGAGGATGTTCCTGTGGTGATTAACTTAAATATTCAATATTTTAGAAATGTTTGCATTGAAATGTTATATATTATAGCTTATGAATCATGTTAATAATTTTTAGTATGAGTAAAATTTGGGATTCTTTCCAAATTATCAAAAAAACCTATCTGATATCACTGATATACTTTCAATTATAAATCAATTTTATTATCAATGGGAATTTTCTCTAAGTGATTGTTTGGTAATTAATATATATTTGCAGATTTACGCAGTCCTTTATTAGTTCTTTTTATAACTTATTAATGCATTTTTGATTTAGAGACACTACCTTCTCGTTAAATATTTCTCTTTTCATAATTATTATTATTAATTTGTATGATTTCCTGTTATTAACCAGATGAGTTAAATTATTTTTGTAATGCTTTTGAATTAACTATTAATATTAAAATTAATATTGATAAGTCAATGGCTCGTTGCTACAATAGTGCTTAGAATATATAGTGTAATCATGAATATGAATTTAAAATTGAGTGGAGCATTCTTGTTTTTCTAAAAGGTTGTTTAAATAAGAATGATATTTATAAAGTCAAGTTTTTAAAAATAATATTAAGAGAATTCTAAATTTATATATATAATTACTGTTATGAAAAGTTTAAATTATCGATTTCCTCATTCAAGATAAGATTCTGGTTAAATGAACTTAACACGATCTCAATTGGGATAGGCCCAGTAAGTGACGAATGTACTAAATAAGTAAGAAAGTGATGTGAATGTTAAGCCGATAGAATGAATAAAATATTGATAGGTCACCAGCGCCGATGGTACACGGTTTGCATAAATTGGCAGTACCATCAAGTTAACAATCATCAGCCAATCATTCAAAGAAATCGTCGATCTCTAAATAGCAATAGCCGAAACAGATATCATTTCTTAACTACTTGATCTTGAAGGATAAATCGTAAATCGCTTAAGATGAAGAGAAAGAAAGTTGAATATAACATTTGAAATTAGATATAAACGAGCCTGTAGTATAAAAGAATATGTTTAATTTTCAATTTGTGATTGGAATAGGAGGTTTTGGAAAAGTTTGGAAGGTGGAGTACAAGAAGAATGGATAGATTTATGCAATGAAGGAGATGTCAAAAGCACTGTATTGATTACTTCATTATATTTAAGCATAATAGCCAAAAAGAGTGTGAATTCTGTGATGAATGAAAGAAACATCTTGAGCAATCTCAAGCATCCGTAAATAGTGCATTAAACATAGATTTTTAGTGAATATCTACTATGCATTTTAAGACAGAGAGAACCTATTCCTTGTTCTAGATTACATGTAAGGGGGAGATCTAAGATACCATATTGGAAAAATGAGAAGATTTACTGAAGATCAGACAAGTATTTGATTACAATATGCAGGATTCTTCATGGCTTGCATCTTCTTGGGATTGGAATACATGCATTCCAAAAACAGTTTACATCGAGATATCAAACCAGAGAATTTAGTACTTGATAAACATGGTAGAATTCATCAACTATATTGGTTAGGTTATGTCAGAATAACGGATTTGGGAATAGCTCGGAATCTAAGGCCTGAGAATTCATAGGATACTTCAGGCACTCCAGGTTATATGGGTATGTTTGTAACCTTAAATTCGTAGCTCCAGAAGTGATGTGCAGATAAAATCATTCTTTCGCAGTGGATTATTTCGCTTTAGGAGTTATTGGATATGAATTTATGCTGGGCAAGGTAATCTTTAATTGAAATAATCAGCGACCATATACTGGGAGAACGAGAAAAGATATCAGAGATTAAATTCTAGCCAAACAAGTTCAGATTAAAAGATCAGAAATACCGGATAATTGGTCTCTAGAATCAGCAGATTTTATCAATAGAGTACATAATTACATTAAGTTGTTTTAGTTGATACAAAGAAAACCAGCTAATCGATTGGGTTTCAATGGACCTCATGAATTAAGATAGCATTCGTGGTTCAAGAATTTTCCATGGTCTAAATTAATGAATAAAGAGTTAAAATCACCTTACATTCCTAATGTATAAATCCGTTAAATTCAATTAGCAAAATGAAGATAATTTTGATGCTCGTTAGATATCTATGGAAGACGAAGAAAACAATGAACTAATACAATAGCATTCAATCATGTTGAGAAGAAATTCTATTTAATGTAAATTTTGGGTCTATAAAAATTTAAGCCTAATTTTCTGGATATGAGATGGATAATTTTAGTGAGAAGCAAAACACATTGTTTAACAATTTTTGATAGTTATTAAAATCATTAATTTTAAGATTGTAAATTACATTTTAATTTCTAATCCTACGTGGAAAACTTTAAATTCATCATTCTGAAACTTCCTGATCAAATATGATTTACTTATAGAATTGACTAATTTAAAAAATAATTTATATATACTAATGTCATTAAGTTTAAGTGATTTGACTAATCAATCATTAGACAAGATCAAAAAGACAATTACTAAAAAATAGTTTGAATTGAAAAAAGCAATAGAAGAAACTTTATGTAACATATTATTTCAATTTAAAGAGCTCAAAGATTACTTAGATGCTAATCACTTAATAAAAGTGTATTAATAGTGCATAGAATCAAAACAGGTTAAACTGATAGAACTAGCCTTGTTTGATATAAAGGTATGAAATTTCCTAATGATAGAATCTAGTTGAACAAGGTTTATTTGCAGGAGATCAAATGATTGGGGATAAAAAAGCCATTGATGTAATTTTGGAAATTGTGTTATCCTGCCAATAAGAGAAGGAGGAAACACTGTAAATTCACATGATCAAAGCCATTCAAACTATTATGACTAATAGGAAACACCATATTCATGGACAACTAACCACTTAGGTATTTTAATTACTCATCAATTTGCATTCAGGTAGTCAACATATTCAATATAATAGTCTCTAAATTTGTTGTAATTGTCAATGCAAGTAAGGAGGCATGTCAGAAAATAGTAAGTACTTATTTTTAAAGATTGGAAGACTTTGGTATTTTAACAGAAACTGAGTATCAACAAGTAATTTAAAAGTACGAAAATCAAGGATAATTGGTTTTGGGTAAATGTGGAGCAATAGTGAATGCTGAGCAATATATGCGATCATTGATGACTTCATTAGTTGATGAGGTCTAGATCTATAGTGAGAGAAGATAAATATATGATAGACAAATAGAAGATCTAAATTAAATCAAAGTTATAGATTTAAATCTGCAAGAACCTAATTTACGTAATGTAACAGTTGATAAAAACTTGATCTAAGTTTATGTGACCAATGAATAGAATATTAAAAATGGAAAATTTGGATGGTGTGTTGTCTGCAGAAAGTAAGCATCACAATATTGTAAGGATTCCAAAGTACCTATTTGTAGCAAAGAGTGTAAGGTTGTACATCTTAATTCGATGAACAATTTCTCATAATGCTATCAACATTCAAACAATAGTGAGTTCTATTTTAAAGATGCCCTAGAGATATTGGAAATGCTATGTCAATTAAGTTAAAAAGATAGTGCTAATCCTTAATAAAATCAAACGGTTACTAAATGCAAGATCCTTTCTCTAGAATTAATCTATGAAGCTTTGGCTCAAAGTAATATCATATTACAGAATAAACAAAAATTCATTTAAGTAATAAAAGAACAATTATTGGAATCTCTTTTGAAAAATTCTCTATCTTCAGAGAAATAATTACTAATATCTACTATGAATATCTTTATCTTATTGATTTGGAAAGTCAGAAGTCATCTCAAAAAGGAATTAGAAGCTTTAATTGAAAACGTTTATTTTAAGTTTTTAGACAGTAGCAATAGCTCCTTTGATCATAAATAATATACTCTTAAAGTATTTAATAAAATAATGACCAAACCCAGAATCGTCATTGAAATCTTTGTTAATTACGATTGTTCTTTAGGATAAAATAATCTACTAAAAAAGATCCTAGACATGTAGTGCAGAATCATCTAAGGCAGATTCAGTAAATAAGAGTTTCAAGCCTCCATTACTCAAAATTAAGAGACCTATCTTAAATCCTTATGTCAAGACAACTATTATGGATTTATTAAATGCCTTAGAGAATTTTGTGAATAGAATGAAGACCCATAAAATATCATATAGGTCTAATAATTTGATGACTAGGAAGACACTACCATTCAATCCTAACAATTATCACAAGATCCAATCGAGAAATAAAAATAGATGAAATTAGAAATGAATAAAGCTGTTTAGAAATTCAATTTCAAACCTGAACACTGTATCAAGCATTTGATTGCTTGTTAGTTTATGGCGATAAGAGATCCTAAATTATTTGCCTAATTTCTATGGGAAAATCGAGATTTAAACAAAGACAAATTAGGAGAACTATTTGGTAGTTCAACAGAATTCAATTAATAAGTCTTCTAATAATACATAGATTTTATGAACTTTAAGGATTTGCAAGTAGATGAAGGCTTAAGATATATGCTTGAATTCTTTACATTGCCAGGAGAATCTTAATAAATAGATAGAATTATGGAAAAATTTGCATCTAAATACTGCATTGATAATCCTGGGATCTATAAATCAGCTGAAGCTGCTTATACGCTATCCTATCTATTAATGATGTTATAAACAGATTTGCACAATGAAAAAAACTTAGAGAAAATGACAGTTCCTTAATTCTTTAATTTAGCCAAAGGTATTAATGATGGTGAAAATCTTCCATAAGATTTATTGCTTGGGCTTTACCAAAGAATCTAAAAGACTCCTCTTGCATTGCATGCTAAAGAGTAAGCTAAAAGAGCACTTGAGTAAGCTAACTAAGTGGATTAAAGAAGGAAACATGCAATGTTAGCCAAAGAGACTGAGGAGTCTCTAAAAAGATGGTTTAAGGAACACCCTAATTAAGATGCTTATTTCTATGCTAATTCTATAGATCATGTCAAATCCCTATTACAATAAACTTGGAGTGCTATTTTCGCCTCAATTAGTGTATTCCTAGAATAAGCTGAAGATAAGTTATAGATAGCCTTATGTTTTGAGACTATTCAATCCTGTATCTATTTGATGGGTAGATTTGATTTAGATGAAGAAAAGGATACCTTTATCAGTTTTTTATAGAGATACTGTACTGGTATTCCAAATACATATCGATAAACAGTGGGAGTTTAGGCATTAATAAGAGCGACAATCTAATCTGGTTAATATTTAAGGAAAAGTTGGAAAGTAGCATTGCAATTAGTTTCAAGGTTAGAAATCATGCATCAAGCTGTGAGGAAAATAAAGGTAGATTCTCCTTAGAAGGAAAGTTATAATCAAGAGGATATTCAAAATATCGAAAGATTGTTTTAACTTATCTCCTATGATTAAATTGATAAGATATTCAATATGTCAATTAATTTAGATTCAAATTCCATTTTGGAATTCATTAGAGCCTTATGTGAGTTATCAAAGGAGGAGATCAAATAAAACAGAACATTCCTGTTGAGTAGATTGATTGAAGTTGCTGATTTTAACATGGATAGAATTAAGATTGTATGGTCAAGAATGTGGGAAATAATGAGGGAACACTTTCTGGAAGTAGGATGTCATCAGAATGTTGATTTAGCAATTTATGCTATAGATTAATTAAAGTAATTAAGTTGCAAGTTTTTACAACAACCTGAATTAGCTAATTATCATTTCTAAAAAGAGTTTCTCATGCCTTTTGAATAGATATTCAGTCACAGTCAAGCGCAATCTCAATATAAAATTTAGTTAAGGGAATACTTGTTATCTTGTATGTGTATGATAACTAATGTGTGTTTTAATTCACTTAAAAGTGGTTGGAAAATCATAATGAGTATTGTAAATTAAGCACTCCAAGAGGATTAATAGTAGCTAGTAAGATTGTGTGTACAGATTACAGATAAAATTATGGAAGATGTAAATAATCAATAGGTTAACCAAGAAATCTATATGGAACTAATTTAAGCATTAATAAAATTGACCAAGAACAAAGAAATTCATATAGTTGAGAATGCTATCAAATAATTGAAGACATTAGTTGATCACATAGTATTGATAAAAAATAATGACAATAAATTTTTGGATTCATTGTGGATTCCTGTTTTGTCATCATTATCTATCTTATACAGCGATGAGAGAGCAGATGTTTAATAATTAAGTGTTCAAACACTCTTTGATTTGCTTTAAAAACATGGATCTTATTAAACAATAGAATTCTGGAAGATGATATTGAGGGGAGTAATAAGACCATTATTTGAGGAAATCCAATTTTCCAAATTAAAACTCAAAAAAAAATAGTAATCCAAGAAATCTATAGCATCAACTTGCAAAATGACATTTTAATTGTTTACAGATTTAGTGATTTCACGAATTCAATAGATTTACCCTTGCATTAATGATTTAATAGACATATTAGTATAACTTGTCTTGTAGACTCAAGATGTAAATATATTTAATTATTAATTTAGTATATCTCTATTTTATGTCTTTAATCACTAAAGAAAATAATTTAGAATGTAGGTCAATCTTTAACAGAAGATAATTGGAATGTGTTAATAGAATAAATTCAACATTTATTGTAATAATGCTCTCCAACCGAATTATTAGAAGCATTTAATTTGGATGAAGACTTTTAGAAACCTTTGGATGAATTATTAAAGGAAGAGATTAGACCCAAAAAGTTTAGTCTTAAAATAAATGCCACAGAATGTTTATCAAAACAATCCATCTAAGAAAGATGTTTGGAGATTTTAGAAGTATAAGTGACATAATTTTAAAATCATATTACTTAACAAAATAAATAATAGATTTTGCAATTGTTTCAGGAATAATATTAAAAATGTAGAAGATTTAACACTAGTTTATATATGAGATATTTCTTGGAACAATGGGGAGTTTAATGGAATTTTGTATAAGGAAGTTCATAAGAATTTGATGATTTGGAGAATACTTACACAACTCAAAACAAACAATTGAGTTTTATAAATATTGAGTTACTAGCAGCTAAGGTCCTTATTACTTTTAGTAATGATCCTTTCTCTTTTGTAGAATAATTAATCTCAAGATTTCTTGATGCTTATAATGGGTTTTCAAAACCATTACATCGTTAAGACACTTTGAATGGCAATATAGAACAATTAAGACACCTTGAATCTTAGATTGTCATCAGTAGATTACAATTATTGTTTATGGAAAATGTATTCCCTTGGTTAAAGCAGAATTTGAAATCAAAAGTTGTAAACAAGTGGCTGATTTAATTACTAAAGGCTGGGTTAAATGTTCCAGGGGTTGAGAATAAGGAATACAATAAAATTTTGGTAAATTTATTGGAGGAAATTATAAATTAAGAGAACAATGTATTTTGATTCTGTTATATCTAATTTATTATTATTATTAAAATGTCATTTTTTCATAAAAAAGGAACTCAAACTTTTGATTAAACCACTTTGTTATTCTTATTATGCTGGTTAATTTTCTTATTTCCTAGTTTGTTATTATTAAGAATGAAGATACCTATGAAAATTATCCATAATCATATTACTTTATTGCTCTTAATATAGATTTGTATTCTGTAGATTAATACACTTCGGAAATCTTTTAATTAGATAATTTATATGTTAACTAAAAATGATCCTCCTTAGTTTTATCAGGCACCAAATCTGTGATGTCTGACACATTTATGGTTACTCTATCCTTTGTATTTTCGATCTCGATCACGAATTGTTCGAATATATTCTTTCTAATTAAAATCTATCTATAAGCATAAAATTAAATACTAAACAAGGAAGATTCATCAGTCCAACCTTTTAGACTCGAAATTGTTGTATTTGATCTCCAACAGGTTTCGCCTGAACAGGTGTTGGTGCCGCTGGTTAAGGAGCGGGTTTACTTTATTCTTATATAAGGGTCTATTGCAATTCTTTGTAGTCAATCTATAATTGTCTATACATTTTTTCTTTTTGGCTTAATTCCATTTCTTTTTATTGAATTTTTTGATCATAAGCATCAATTTGATGTTTTAAGGTTTTCCTTAATTGTTCTTTCTCTCTTTGGAAATAAATTGAAATTGTACTCATTAAGTTTCTTCACTTAAGCAGTCAAATCCTAAAGATCTCTTTTGCTTTAGTCTCTGCTAATATTAACTCTTGGTGTTGATTATTTGAATGTGTTGAAAAAGCTGCTTTAATCATTTATTCTAGAACATTCATTTCTTAAAGTTTCTCTATTATGCAATTAAGCCTAGAGCACCTTAATCTATTCAACAAGCAGCTGATTTTCTTTTTGCAGATCATTTTCCATCTTATAAAATTTTATATAAAAATGATAAATAATGCATTCAAAGCGATAACTCTCTGAGCTCATTAGAACAATTTAATTCTTAATAATAATATTCTCTAATCGTAATCATCATGACAGAGAATAACGTTATCATAACATCATATTGCTGTAATAAAATGTTATTTAGTTAAAATCCTAAAATTTTAGCATTCTATGCATTTAGATGCCTACTATTTTGCTTCTAAGTATTCACAATATTTCATTCACTCAATAATTTTCCTCCCTATATAACCTAGTTAATAGTGTTTCCAACTATTTATGATGATCTGGCCTCTAATCTAACTTTTGACTGAAATAATGTTAGATTTATAAATAAAAGTAACTATGAATTCTTTTTATTTATATTTTTCAATAGAGCAATAAGCCATCTGGAATTGAGGAATGGCTATCCTAATTCAGTTAAAGATAATTTAGATAATAAAATACTCATCTTCTTGCATAGTGTATTTATAAAATTAAATTGTATTAAATTCATTATTATTAAGAATTGTTACCAAAAAAGCCTGGAATCTTATTATCCTTATCTGATCCATCAATTGCATCTCCAGATTGTTCTGATTAGGTAAACCCCTATTTGTCAAGATAAAATCTTTTACAGGATCGAAACGCCAGATATCTTCATATTGAATTATTGGTAAAAAGGGAGAAGCAACCTTGTAAGATAAATACGATTCCCAATCTTTAACATTTTAAAAGAATGGAAATTCTTTGATTTCCACTAAAGAGGGTCTTTAATTTGGATCCTTTTGCAATAACCTTATAATCAAATCCTTAAGTTCATCAGATATTGGAAAGTTGAACTTAGGTTGTGTTGTCTTAATTAAACTAATCAATTTATCTCTCTATTCTGACATGAAAGGTGGACACTCGGCAATTAATTCATATAATAAACATCCCAAGGACCAACAATCTACTTTATAATCATAGCCATCTCCAATTTGATTAAGAATCTCAGGAGCCAGATATTCAAGTGTTCCTTATACTTATTCAGTCATTTCTTATTGCAATATTTTGGAAAGACCAAAATCTGTTAATTTTATATAACCTTTTTCATCGATGAGTATATTTTTAGGTTTTAGACTATGCATCATTATTATAAATACTCCCTATAAATTATTTTTTAAGTATGTAGAAATTATAATGCATGAATTATTAGGATTGCATAAAATTATATGTGTTTTTCTTTGAACTTCCCCTTTGCTTTAAATAAACTAAATAAATCCCCTCCTACACAGTATTCTGACACAAAGTAAAAATGATTTACCTATTCAAATTAATATTAGGGGTAAACGATAAACTGATGCTTTTCTTAATTAAGAATAGTTTTTTCCATCATAACATATTACTCGTACTAATATTGTATTTCAATTATTATACGGCTTATTTCTTTTAATCAATTTATTTTTTCTTTAACTTTTTTATAGCATAAAATTTGTTAGTATCCTTCTTTTTAGCCAAATAGACTTTTGCATAGGTTCCTTTGCTAATTAATCGAAACAAAAAGAATTAATCTATATCCGCTTGCATCATTCTTATAAATTATTTGATATTATTATATTTAATTATTTTAGTATTATTATGAATGGAAGAAGGATATTATTCAAAGAGTTTTTGAGTTTCTATAAATTATTATAAAGTTTGTAGGTGAATTATATGAATTTCATATTTTATTTGACACCATTTTTTTAATCTATTTTTTATATTAAAATGTCATTGTATTTCACTTACTTGATAATAATAAAGGTTAAGTTAGTATCATAATTTAATTTGGTATTTATTCAAAAATAAATAAATTGTATTTCAGTTTTTTGTAGTTTTGAAGTTCGTTAATAGCTAGGGCTATTTTTATAAATATTGTTATAAAATAGTTTGGAAATCCAATTAAGAATGGAGAATTAGATTGTAAATTAGTATGTGTGATTATGTAGATCGATGATGTGGAGAGAGATTAAATTATCAAGTAATTGAAACTAGTTTAAGGAAACGATGTATATAATTCATTTTTATCTTCTAATAGAAATGTATCGATTGTGGAAAAAAAAATACCAAATGGGCATCTGTCACTTTGGGTTTATTCTTGTGTATTGATTGTTCTGGTAAACACAGAGAATACGGAGTCCGTTATACATTTGCAAGGTTGGAAGTTCATTTAAGCTTAGATCTCTTACTTTGGATTCCTGGTCAAGAAAATAAATTACATTCCTTCAAGTAGGAGGCAATGAAAAAGCCTTGGAGTATTTCTAGAGTGTCGGATTAATTGGTCCAGGATGCAGTCAAATCGATTACAAAAGTCCTTTAGTTGAAAAATACAAATAAGAACTTCTTAAATAAGTACTCTAATTAGGTGTATTAGCCTTGTGCGAAGAAAAGCTGAACATAATTCGTCCATCGCTAATACCAAGTCCTGTGAAAATAGCTCAAACCTCTGAAAAGCCTGCTTAAAACAAAGAAGAAGAATCTCCAGTAAAAGAATAACCAAAGCAAGTGTTTTAAAACAATTTGTTATAAGAAGAAGCAACTGTGACTAAGAAAAGCAATAAAATTGTATTTGCTGATAACGCGAAACCACAAGCCGCATCTGGCAAAGCAGTTTAAGGCAAGAAATTAGCTCACGTGGACTTTGACTCATTAGAATTTGATGATCCATTTTCAAATCCATTCAATTAAGAACCTTCAAAATTTGAGTCCAATAAATCAGAATTACCATAATAAGAAGAACCAAAAGTGATTATCAAACAAACTCAACAGCCCACTTAACCTATTCCACAAACCAATGAAACTTTGGAAAAATTGAAAGACAAGAATGTTAAATCAATTTCATCTGAAACATTATTCTAATCTTAAGATAGGTAATTGAGTTATATTAATTAACTTTTAGTGAATAAAATAAATAGAATATTTATAAATTCAATGGACAAACTGCAATTTCTAGTAAATAATTTTTTGGAGAGAAAGAAGAGGAGTCTGAGGATTCATCATAAAGTAAAATTATTTCACATTTTAGAAATGGATTAATTGAAGAATATGTTTAATTTTGCAAGTGAAAAAACAATGGAAACTTTTGGTACTGTAAAAGAGAAGGCAGGAGGTATTTGGGAGAATTTAAAAACAAAATTCAATAAATGATGATATTAAATCAATCAATATTCGTATAAATATATTTAATTAAAGCTTCATCAATTACCATTTATAAATGAACTTCTTCAAATTGAGGTAGCTTTTTAATTTCTTTATAACCAATTTTTAAGAATAATTTAATTGAACCTTCATTTGAATCTTTAATTTTGGCAATATACTTCGTTTTCTTGTATCGATGTAATCCAAAACTCATCATCAATTTTATTGCTTCTTCTGCAAACCCTTGTCTTCTAGCATTTTTATTCCCAATCATAACATTGATTTCAGCCTCATCATCATCTAAGTATTGATGGAAAAATAAATTGACATCACCGATCATCTCTTTATCATTTTTTATGATAAACGTATGCTTTAAGGGATCATTCAACCAACTTTCTTGATTTTTATATTCCTCTTCTAAACTCAAAGGTTCACTCCCTGTTAAGTATAGAATTTCTGGATCCTGCATCCATGTATGATAAGTCTTAACTACATCAGCAGTGTATGGAATAAATTTTAGCCTCAAAGTGGTAAGTGAAATTAATTTGCTTTATTGCATATTTTAATAATTAAATTTATATGTAAAAAATTGTATAAAAATATATTGTTCATATAAATTAATATCAAAATAGGCAGGTCCAAATTGATTTTTCATCACTTTTATAATTATTATTTATAGGGAAAATTTTATCTAGAGTCAGTTTGAATGCTCCATCTAATTCAGCATATGTATAAATCGGATTTGCATTTATTCCTATCAAATGTATTTTCTTGGTATCATCAAGTAAATAATCAAAGCCAAAGATTTACATACAATATTTCCTTTATCTTCTATTTAATTTACAGGGAATCAAAGAAATTGAAGTCTTAATTTGAGTAAGTAGGTCTTATAGAGATATCCCTTGAGAATCTAAAAATTCTACTAAGCCTTTGTGAGAAATGGCTTATTTTGGTTTAGTATGAGCAAAAGGATCTTCCTAAGTACTTTAAATAAATGGAATACCGAATTAGGATCATAATTAACTGTGCAACACCTTCCAGTTGGTTCTGCTGAAACAAAAATCTAATTGTCCTGATTAACTAAAACATTGATTTGGATGTCAAACTTCTTTCCATCATACAATAGAGGATTTGTTATATACTTCTAAATCACATACTCTTTTTAATCTTTGTATTATTGAATTAAAAATTAATGTAATTAATCAACACTATTTAGTATGGTAGCACCAGATCCAATAGCTGATTTGCAGATCCAAATTTTGGGGACATCTTGTATTAGTTTTGAAATTTATTTATTATAAGTTTGGCCTCCTTTATTAGGAACATAAACAGAAAATGGAAATTTTTATTGTGTTTCTTTTTGAGAATGATGAGTTATCAAATAATCCTAAATAAACTCTAGGTCTTCAACCCATTATGAAATCTTAAAATTCAATACAAATCCTGGTGGTAATACTTTTAATGCGTGTTCTGGGGAGATAGAGCATAGATTATTGTATAGTTAGGATTTGGCTGACCATTCATGTTGAAATTCCATTAAATTCACCATTTATCTTTTGGAAACCACGTCTTGCTTTGAGAGATTACTAAAATCTAAGAGTTAAGTTAGCCATTATAAATGAGCAAATGAATTATTTGGAACTTCAAACCATTACTAACGAGTGCTCAGAACTTGTCTAAGAAGTGGATCATTTATTTGCATGGCATAGTTATACTATCTTAATATGGGTATAATTTACTCTGAATTGAATGGGTTTGAGTTCTTTGGGAGGTGAAACATTGACAGGTTAAAGAGATGGAATATCAAATTTTTCATTTCTTTTTAATGGATTGTAATTCTTATCGAAATATTTGGAAGGAGTTCTATTGCGTGGTTATTCAGGAGATGGTTGTTATGATATTTTTTTTTGCGATTGTTGCAAATAATGTTATTTAGCTTTAACTCTATTGTATTGCATAATAAGTGCCTCATCATAAGCTTGTATAGGTTTCTACTCATAGTAGGGTTCTTCCCTTTTTTTTAAGTATGCAATTCTCTTTCTTTGATCTTTCAAGTATTCCTCTATGTTTTAGGCATAAATGTCTAAACTCTTTACTACATGAGGTTTATGTTGAAGCAATTTCTCTAAGGATTGCTTTTGCTTTTCATCCTTCTTGCAAAGTGCTTAAAGATTGGGGAATGAATTCAAGGATTTCGTTTATTCTTAAAGCATAAAGTACTCTATTGAAAAATTAATTATTATTTTAGTGCATTATAATATAATAAAAGCTCAATCACATCATTCTTGTTGTTTTTAATTTATATTCCAAATACATAACAGGTGATTTGCTTGGTTTTGAAGCATACGATTTACGTGCAACGTTGTTCTCCTTCAATTCATGATGAGTTTTATTCTTTTCCCTGCGATCACTCTCTGTACATATCCTTCTCTCAGTAGATTTAGGTCTTTCCGATATTCTATTCTCAAACCCTCTATTAATCTACATAGCAGTTTGATAATTGTTTTCCTAAGATTTGGTTTTTTTATGGTGAGTACTAGAATTAGGATGACGTTCTGTCGATTAATGTGGTCTATCAACGACTGATTTAATGCTTTAATGGGTTCTGACTCTTTAAATTTATTATAATTGGGGTTTCTAATTTTTGTTTAGGAGATGATAGGTAGTGGTTATTGCATTGTGTTTATTATTGAGGATCATCTCTCTACATTTTTGACCATCAATACCGACAGTTTCTAATTGTTTCACAATTTCATTATTTATGGCCAAAGTCTTGAACAGAGGTACTGAATATGAATAGTTACTAAAAATAGATCAACAATTATATATACCTAATAAATGGATGCATCTTTATCTTCGCAATAGACAATCTATTTTAGGGGTTCTTGTTGAGTAATCCATTGAGAAGATCTATGACTTAGGCACTCAAATGGGAAGGACGTTCAAAGTCAGAATATTTGATTTTTTCATACAATTTTCTTGTGTTGGGATCTTCGAAAGGTACACAACCACAAATCATTGCATAAAGAATGACTCCACTGGCCCATATATCAGTTTTGATTCCTTGATATTGTTGACCGGAAACCATTTCTGGGGCAGCATAACAAGGTGACCCACAAGGAGTGTTCAGAAGATCAGTGTAGATGTTACTCAAACCAAAATCAACTACCTTTAGAATGTCTTTTTCCAGCAGTAGATTTTCAGGCTTGAGATCACGATGAGCTACCTTAATAGAGTGCAAATATTCAATGGCTTCGATAATCTGGGAGAAGAAGGCTGCTGCATCTTGTTCTGACAATTTCTTATTTTTAACTATATGTTAAAAAAGTTCTCCTCCACTTACATATTCCATAATCAAATAAATTTTGGACTCTGATTCCAGAATCTCATACAATTGGACGATATTTGGGTGACGTAATTTTCGTAGGATATGGATCTCACGTTAGATACGTGTGAAATCGGCTGGTTATTCTATTCTACTTTTTTCAAGTATTTTGATAGCCACTCGCTATTGAGTAGGTCGATGAAGACCTCGGTACACTTTCCCAAAGGCTCCCTTACCAATGGACTATTCTATATAAATTAAAAATTGACACCTATGACATAGTTATCAAGAGGATTGGCACTATGCTCTTTCAATAAACGTAAATGGTTCATATTCGTTAAATTATTAATAAGAAAATCAAAATATTAAGAATAGTTTAAATTAATATTATCTACACTTAAGTTCATTCGGATGACAGAAAATAGATGAAATACATCAATATATATGTTCATTAATGAATTAACAAATCAATTTTTTTGTTAATGCTATTGAATACGTCTTTAAAGTTTGGTTGTAGCCAACACCATCAATTGGGCACGCTAAGAATAATCACACTGTTATTTACTCTCAATTTTCTACGAGCATTCAATTCTCTAAGTTTTTCAGTCACATCAGACAAATCCTTAGTCAAGGCCTTCTCTCCAGTGATCCAAGGATGCTTGCAAATCTAATCAGCCTTATATCTTTGCTTGGGATCAACCTTCAGAAGTTTCTCAACTAGATCTTTAGCTTCCTTAGATATTTTCTCCCATTATTCCCCTGAGAAGTCTATCTTGCCTGATTTGATCTACTCGAATAACTTCTCATTAGACTCTTCGTAAAATGGAGGATAGCCACACAACCTAAGTTAGGTCCAATAAATTCAGATATGTACAGCACATAAAGGATTACACCAATACTCCAATAGTCGACTGCCATGTCATATCCCACGCCTGTTAGAATCTCCGGGGCGACATAACCAGGAGTTCCACAGGCAGTAAGCATCAATTCATCAGAAATAACTTTGGCCACTCCGAAATCCGAGATCTTAACAGTCGCATCTGGATCTGGGGTTGTATACAGAATATTCTCAGGTTTAAGATCTCTATGTACAACACCCATAGAGTGACAATCTTAAAGAAATATGGTTGTATGAATTACATCTTATGGCATCCACAACTGGTCGAATGACATCAGCTGCCTCTTTTTCATTATATAATTCCTTTTCAACTATGCGATCAAAAAGCTCACCTCCTGTCATTAATTCAAGTACAATGTAAAGTTTCTATTTATCATCAAAAACTTCCAAGACTTTAACAATATTTGGATGATCAATCTAACTCATTATTTCCACTTCACTCTGGATAGCCAAATGATCATCGCTTTCTAGAGATGCTCTAATTAAAGCAATCTTATATATGAATGTACTTGTCTATTATTTTCACAGCAACTTCCATGTTATCGCTTTTTCTAATGGCCTTTCTCACTATTGCATAACTACCCTCTCCCAATATTTTATCTAATTTATAGAAATCTTTAATATTAGCAGTCTTGTATATGCTATCCATTTTAATTTAAATAATGCTTAAAAAAGAGCCCAATCGTTAGATTGATTTGACCCTTGTTCTCAACGCAACAAAGCAAAAGATCAAACTCTCCGTAGGCATTCATACTACTTTAAAGGAAGTTGCTAATCTTCTTGCAGAGGAATTAAGTACTGAGTCTTTACAAACATAGCTTTGGATGTATTCAGAACAAGAATCAGTTTTTAAGAGACTTACAAGACTATGAAGTTAGATGAATCAAAGACTCTCAAATAATTGGGCATCACAATTGATAATCAGCAATTATTTGCAAATGTAGAGACAATACAAACCAAGACGATTGGGAGAGTTACTTTGGCTAAAACCTTCTAAAAACCAATTGAGAGATTTCGAGTGACTGATTTAGATCTAGTTCCATTCCACCCTGGTCAAATCTAGCCATTCGAAGTTGAGGGCTTGACATTGGAAGTAAGAGTCAATCTCATTATATAGGCTGTTTGCATAAATAGCAAATGCATTAATTTTCAAAGAGAAATAGTATTCCCCATAGGGTTTGGAACTTTCAGCTTTCAACGAATAATGAGAGATGTTAAATGTGATATGTGCCCTTATAGAGCACTCGGCATCAATCCATCTGTTTTGGTGAGAGAATTGCTGTTTCGTGATTGCAAGTGGACAATATCAGGACTGAAGAAAGGAGGCAATGGTGTATTTGATCAATGCTTGAATAGATGGGTCAAAGTGAAAGGGAGAGATAGTTTGGCATTTCCATAGATTGTTGGTTAGGATAAATGGAAGGAAGTTTGGATTGAAATTAAACCAATTGGAGTTGGAACTCAGAAGCATCCATTCTTAATACAACCTGATTGTTTGGACGATTTCTATTACTCCTATTTTTGAAGTATATTTATATATATAATAATGTGGACTCTTGATTAAAATTATAAATAAGAAATAATTCATGGAAGTATTCACTTTACCAATATTTTTGAAATTGAACAAATTAAAATCCTGTCAAGTGGAGGAAATGGAAGCTCCATTGGAGGAACCACAACCATAGCCTACTTGTGAAGAATGCAAAAAGGTTTTTACCAACAATTCTAAACTATAAAGACACATACGAGAGACACACTAGAACCTGAAGCAATTTAGATGTGATCAATGTGGGAAGGAGTTTAAGCGTTCTTAGCATCTGAAACGACATCAATTAACTCATAGTGGGAATAGGCCATTTGAATGTGAAAGTACATAATAGATTTGAGATAGAGGTTGTCCCTAGAAGTTTACTTGCAAGCATCATTTGAAAAGACATATGCAATTAATTCATGAGATGATCTCATATGAATGTCAGGAGTGTGAATAAAAGTTTACGAAGAAACGACAATTAAAGAAGCATTAGCTAGATCACCATAAAAAGCAATAGCAACAAAAGGAGTTGTTTTAGTGTTTGAAATGCAGCAGAGTATTTTAGAGGTTGAGGTCTTTGAGGAAACATAACTTAATCAGACATAAACATATCAGAGCTTTTGCTTGTGAAACGTGTAATAAGCGATTTGCTCACAAGCATACCTTAAAGATACATAGATAAAGAAGTCACAATGAAAATTGAAAATTGAAATTTGGTTATATTAATTTATTGATATTATATAAATATGATGTTTATTCTTATGAGTCTAATTTTGGTGAGTCACTAAGAGTTATTATTAAAAGTGGATTAATGCACTTGTAAATAAATTCTGAGTTCCTTTGATTGTAATCAATTGAGTTAATGTGATTGGAACAATGAATCTGGTTTATGTGAAGATCGTAAATATACAGATTCAGATTCCTATTGCTCAATAAATTCTACTAATTGTCCAGTAGATGGCTGTGCTTTATACTAAGGTATTTGTAAACCTTTCAGTGGTTGCACTATATATCAAGCAAAGACACATGATGAGTGTCAGAAGATTTCTCGTTTATGCACAGGAAATGGTGAAAATTGTATTTAGATGGAATGGACATGTGATAACTATCAAAATTAAATTGCTTGTTAGATAGATTTGGAGGGATATCCATGTAATTGGAATAAAGAAAGCAACAAATGTTATTAGATATTAAAATGCCAGGAAATCCCATAATCTTACAAAACTCATTAAGCCTGCTATCAAGTAGGAATAAAGTATGATTTAAAATGCACTGCCCAATAGGGAGGAGGTTGTATGGATATAGCAGAGACTTGCAAAAATTTACCGGAAGTAGGGTGTGTAATCAAATTAAATGGGGACTCCTGTTTTTGGAACGTATCTTCATGTTAAGATTACATATGTTAAAATGCCCCTGCTTCTAATACTACCCATGAATAATGTTAAAGTTTCTTAAGTACTTGCACTGTAAATAATGAGCAGAAAGGATGTATGTAAATTGCATCAAAATGTGATGATTATCAAAATAAGGCATAATGTGTATATGCCGGTGAAGATTTGTGTGTGTGGTCAGAAATGTTTTGTAAGGATGGAGATACTATTTGTGAATCAAAATAAACATGCAAATCTTGGTTGTGTGAAAATGCTTCATCTACTTACAATACCGATAGTTTATGCAGATAATTTAAACATTAGTGCACAGTCAATAATACCAATGATGGTTGTATTTAAAGGTTAGATTCATGTTCCAAATACGAAAAATAATAATAATGTGTTAGTTTGTTGGACGATTCAAAAAAATGTTTTTGGAATGGAACTAAGTGCGTTGATAAAACTTGTGACAACGCTACTCTTTCCAAATATAATGAGAGTTCTTGTAGTAGGTACATGCCATAATGCACTGCTGGTGGGGACAATAAATGTGTTCTTAAGACTTGTAATACATATTTAACTGAAAATCTATGTAGTAAGGACTATTAGAACAATAAATGTAGTTGGAGTGGTTCTTGTAAATAAAAGACTTGTGAAAATGCAAGTGATGATTTGATCACTCACTCTGATTGTTAGTAATGGTTAGAAGGTTGCACAATTAAATAAGATCTTAAAGGATGTTAAAATTTAGCAGATTCCTGTGATGCTTATAAAATAGAAGATTAATGTCACTTGGCAGGCACTCCTAAATTTTAGTGTTTATGGATAAATGGGTTGTGTGTTAAGAAGGATTGTTCTTTTGCTAGTCTTGATATAGATAATGATGAGGAGTGTTTAAGTTACTTAGGAGTGTGTATGATTAGTGATAAAAAAAGAGGTTGTGTAAATCGCAAAAAAAATTGTCCCGATTTATTGGAACATCAATGCTCTATACCCAGTCAGGATACATTGTGTTTTTGGAATCAGGCATCATCACAATGTGAATTTAGATAATGTACTTAAGGAACTTCAAATTCATTCCAAGCTTGTTAGCAGTTTTTACCCACTTGTACAGTTAAACATGATGGTACTAATTACCTTGGATGTATAACCAAATCAGATAAGTGCAGTGCTTATAAGAATGAATTTATGTGCATTGATAGTTTGATTGAGGGTCTATGCATATGGAACAAGAGAGTTATTCCTTATGCTTGTGAAAAGAGGTCATGTTAGAATTCAGATCAAACTGCAAGTGATGAAGCATGCAACAATTTTTTGAGTACATGCACAGTCAATTCTGACCAAACTTAATGTATGGAACGCAAAGAAAATTGTAACTTATATTTATAGGAATTCAATTGCAGAAAAACTAAATCAGGAAGTTAATGTATCTGGTTAAACAATGTATGCACGTCTAAGACTTGTGATAAGGCTGATAAGACATACACTTCTCATTAAGAATGCCAACAGTTCAGCAAGAATTGCACTACAAATGGGAAGGGATGCATTCAAATTGATTAATGTTCTAAATATACCACTAGATCAGGATGTGTAATTGATCAGAACAATTAGCTATGCGTATTCTAATCTAGTTGCAACTTGCTTTAATGTAGTGATGCTCCTTACTCTTATTCCACTGATGAATAGTGTAAAACATATAAATCAGAATGCACCACTAATGGGAATGGTTGTGTTTTGAGAACATAGTGTTCAGATGCTTATATTTAATAAGCTTGTATTACTGACTCTAAGGGTAACAAGTGTTCATGGATTAACAATAAATGCCTTGATTATAATTGTTCAACTGCTCCTGCTAACTATGTCACTGAGCTTGAGTGTCATATGCATCAACCAGGATGCACTGTAAATTAATCTGGAGGTTGCATTAAAAAAGGTCGTTGCGAAGATGCTAAAGTTTAAGAGGCTTGCACATCAGATAAAGATAAAAACCAATGCGTATTCTCGAAAGGTGTATGCAGGGATGTATTATGTTCAGATATGCCATACACAAATCATTATGAGTGTGTTAAATTTAAATCATCTTGCACTTCTAATGGAATCACTTGCATTCCTCAATCTAATTGCAATAAAAAAATTCAAAGTGGTTGTTTCATAGGTTCAGATGGACCATGCTTATGGATTAAAAATACTTGTTATCAATATTCATCTTGCACATCTCTCAAATTCTAAACTCATTAATAATGTTATGAATTCAGTGGTGAATGCACTACTGATGGAAATACGTGCATTCCAATAGACAAATGTGCCAATCTAAATTTTAACAGTTGTTTTTAGGGAACAGATGGAAAATGTGTGTACATAACAAAAGATTAGAAATGCTAGCTATACACAGGTTGTGGCTCTCTCCAGTACGATGATCACCAAAATTGCTAGAGTCTAAGTGACAATTGTACAACCAATGGAACTAAATGTATTGAATTAGGAGAGTGTTCATCCTATACTTAATAGATAAGTTGTTAGTTGAATAAAAATCGTAAAAAATGCTATTATGATTCTTAAGCAAAAAAATGTGTTGATTTGCAGTGTTCTCATCTGCAATTTACAACTCATAGTTAATGCAATATAGAATTAGAAACTTGTACATCCGACAACATCAAATGTATTAAAATAGATAAATGTGAAACATATCAATAAAACTATTGCAATCTTGCACCCGGTTTGGATGGTAAATGCAGTTATGATTTAAAAGAATAGAAATGCAGATAGATTCACTGTTAAGAATTGTTAGAAAATTGCTCTCAAATAAGTACATGCATAGATAGTGGTCTGGGATGCGTGGATTACTCAACATGTGATAAGTATCAAACTGAGAAAGCATGCAAATATGGTGGCTCTGATGGACATTGCATCTGGTATTAAGATGAAGGGAAAGGAAAATGTAAAATCATGGCTTCATGCTCAGATGCTTCATCTAGCATAGAGGCATGTTAATCAAAAATGCAAACTTGCCAATGGACTTAAACTTTGACCAAAAGCACTTGTGCATAACATACATGTTCATCAAAAAAATAAGAATCTTCATATTGTTAACCAATCTTAGATTTTTCTGGTAAATATTACTAGATATGTACTATTTCTAATGGCCAGTGTTTTTCAGAAAAACTTTCTTCTCTTGGAGCATCAAATTGCTTTTCAGGTACAGCTTACACATACACATGGGACTCTGCCAATTCTGTTTGTTTGCAGTGCGGAACAGTATATAACAATAAAAGTGATGAGAAAGATGATGATGATATTCTTCCAGAACAAGGGATGAATTCTTAGGTACTATTTCCAATGTTGTATCTGATTATTAGTATATATATTTGATTTTTCATAAATCTTCTAAATTGAGTACATCAAAGTTGTCTTTTTACCCGTCTTGGTTGTTGTCAAACCACTTAATCAACTACCCCTCATTCCATTCTCCAAATCTTGTCCGACCATTATCCAAAGTAACTTTACCTTTCCCGTTTGGCTTTGATTGTTTAAAACTACCTTCATAACTCTTACCATCTAAATTATGGATATTAAATACTCGACCATTTAAAAATGCCATAACCATTAGGAGCATCCTTATTAAACTGTCCAACATATGTACAACCATTGGGCCATCTAATTTACCCTTAACCGCACATAAAATCCTCGAACCACTCCCCTTTATATTCTTTACCATTCTTCCACACTTGAGATCCCTACCCGTGTCTCTTATTATTAATCCACAAACCTGTATATGTCGAACCATCATTCCAAACATAAGTCCCCTGTCCCTACTTTATTCCCTCATAAAAGTATCCCTCATACTTACTCCCATCCTCCCAAGTCTCCATCCCATAACCCTATTATAAGTCATCCTTCCACTATCCTTCGAATTTACATCCACTCATCGACTGGAATGTCCCTCTGCCATTTTACTTATCATTCTCCCATTATCCTTCATAATAGTCTCCGTCTGGATAGACAAACTTTCCTTATCCATGAGCCTTGTTATTCTTCCATTCTCCTTCATATTCTGAACCATCTGGCCATCTTAGAATTCCATAACCTTCCCTTTTATTACCGACCCAATCCCCTTAATATACACCTCCACTTTTCAGAGTGACTGCCAGTTGTTTGGTTCTTTCTTGAGTCTTAGTAGTTTGACATGAATTCAATTCTTTCTACTTCTTTTTGTAATTATATTTAATATTGATTTTACGAGTATCCAAACGACTCACTTCTATATCATCACATGGTTCTACATCATCCAAATATGAAGAATTGCTGCAACATTATGCTCCCATTCTCAAGTTAATTTAATCAAAATAAACTATTATTCAATTTTTGATTATTAATTATTTGTTTGCTCTATCTAATTCATCAAAAATAAAACAGTATATTATTGCTCTAAACAAGATATCTCCTTCATATTTGAATTCACAAATTCTTGAAATATTTATATAATCCTGACTTATGTTTACAATAAAAACTACTCACATCGAGAATTAAATTTGAAATAATAAAATAATAATAAATTTAGATCTAAAAGTAGTATAAATTTTAAGCAAATATTAGCAAACGGGTTCAATTCTCAATTATAGGAAATTTATCGAGCAATGTCAAATAATTTAAACTGGTTCTTCTACATTCAAAGTTCTGCTGTCTTCCTTAGGTAATCGCAAATTAAATATTATTCGAATCCATCAAATTTACAACCTTCTATGTGATATTCTTAAAGGATTGATAATTAACAGTGTTGTCCTACCTGGGTTGACTGAGATATTGGTTGATTGTTCCATTATCTGATCGGGGACTGAAATAGTAGTTGACCTATCCATTATCTAATCGATGATTTAATTTGTTGTCTAAGGCATAGTTTTCATCTCGCAAAGGGGATACGTATTTGGTGACTGTTTCTCTTTTCATAAGCTCTAGCGGTTTGGTGTAAGTTGGTTTTTCAGTGCTATTTTTCAAAACCTTGAGATAAGTTTGGATTCTATTTAAATCAATGTTGGAGGATTATATTAATGATTTAAAATATGACCATTCTCGTTTCGGATTTGCAAAGTGGGTTATGTATTTCTCTATGACCAAATCAAAAAACTCAATTATGGCATTGCTAATTTCCTACATCCTTATTATTTATTAGCAGTTAATATAATTTATTAAAATTTTATTTCAATTAGTTAAATATTCCCTAATTCCTACTAACTAATTCACTTATATTAAATTGATTAAATTTCAATCAAGCAAGAATTTCTAATGCCGAATCGAAGAATCGTAAGATCTTAATCATATTCTATTTTTGGCTTTTGATCCCCAAATTAATAAAGATTAAATTTGGTAATAATAAGTTAAATATTGCTTATAAGTACATTTTCAATAAAAAGAATAAGATTTATGAATAAACTAAATAAACCTGAATCAAGAGTTTAACGCAACATTCGAATAGTTATGTCCAATATCAAGGAGGAACAATAATAAAAAGGTACCCTTGTAATTTGAATGTTATTAAGTTGTAAAATATTTCAGTCATCTCAAACAAGATGCTGAGTTAGCAAAACCTAGATATGCTCATTCTTAATTTCCATAGTAGAAATTTTATTAAACTGTGGCAGAACCCAGTCTCATTGATTTTTCACTTGAAAATCTGAATCTAAAAGTCAGTAGAGTGGGAACCCTAGTGGAACCCATGATTCCAATAGAAGAAATTCCGCATAAACCAATAATTAAGAAATTTAAAGTCTTGAAGCATCCAGTGTTCCTAACTGAAAATACAATTAACAAGATAGAACCAACTGAAAGACATAATGAATTACCTACATCGATAAAAAGAAGCACAAAATAATAAATGATGAATAATGAAATTCTTCATCGCTTAGGATTGCTGAGTGTACAAGCTAAGCGAGAACTCCAAATTGAAAAACTCAGCAACAGAGCTCTCAAGGTTTCCAAAAGCAAAGAAATACCTTCAAAAGTTCATAAATAACTCGAAGCAATCACATAATAGTTGAAAGAGAATGAGAAGCCAGAACTCATTTAATTAACTTAAAGATGTACTACCTCAGCATCTGGTGCATCCAGAAAAGCCTACGATTATCAAGACGAGTATTTAGTGGATTGTCTTACTGAAAGACTTAATTTGGTTTACAGTGTTTCGACCTTTAAGAATAGACCTCAAACAAGATTAGCTAAGAGAAAAATTCACAACTTTTTCAAAACAGTAACCATGGCGCATCTGGAGAACTTAGACGAAATTAAGAAGGATGATCAAAGTATTCAGATTTAAATTAAATCAATTAAAGAGAAGTTATAATTATGTAAGAGACGCCTACTAGATTATAATGATGAGATAGAAATAGCCCTTACAGAAGATATTAAAGGGCAAGTCATTGAATATAAAAATATTATTAAAAATAATAAAAAATGACAGATATCGAAGCTGTATCGAAGTTTTGTGACTTAAATGATAGTAGATATTCAAATATAAGAGCTGAAACTAAGGGTGTACTATACATCAAACAACAACTCTCAGGAGTGATAAATTTCACTCCAAATTCTATTGTTTGTAGGATTAGAAAGAAAATTATTTGATAATTATGACTATTTGATTGCAAAAGGAATAACTGATTGCGATACAGTGCATGTGCTTAAGCCTGTTCTCACATACTAATAAATTAAGAAGAATAAAATGCAAAAAAGGGATGGGATATCATTTAATTGATTAATTAGCACAATGTATTTCATTTTCTCATTATCCATCTAATTGCTTATTGACAATTTGAATTTAAATCTGGAAGTGATGGATGTGCTAGTGTATTTGTTAAAGTGCTATTTATCTTCAATAGCATTTTTTTCACTACAAATATTAATATATAAATAATATAATATAAATGGATCTAAGGGATGAAAATTACAATGCATCATTAACCTAAATTGAGCTTAGTGTTGAGGCACTTACTAATATTCTTTATTATTAAGAATTTTTTAAAAGAATATCTAGGTTTTTAAGTTTAAAGGATGTGTTGAATCTTGGATAAACTTGTCGTATTTTAAATGAAATCGTTGAGGTTTAATATGAATAATTTATACCTAGAAACATTAAGAATTCTTCGGAGAGATCTATTATAAATTATTTCTTAATGAATAACTTGAAATGGCTTTGGAGTTAAACTACCCAGATATACAGAGCAGATAGTAGATTAGGTTATCGAACTTTGATAAATCTTGCATCGATTGGAAGAGTTAACTGTCAAAAATGATTTTAACAAAGTAAGTTAGACTTAAAATTTTAATAGATAAACTTTGTAATTTCCATTTATCCTATGCGACGTAGTGTTTCCCAAGCCCATTTTAACGAGGGAAACAATAGGAATCTATTGCGAATCCGAGTTTCAAATCATGTTAGCGTAACGTTTAGAACTGGAACAAAAAGGGTTTGACAAGTTATTTGACTATTAATTTATTTAGAATGAAGTAATTTTATAATCTTATGGAAACTTGTAGTTGATGAAGGAACTAAAGCAAAACAAATAGCAAATCTTGACACAAATGCAAGCTAAGTTATAACAAAATGAAAAACTTAAAAGTTAATTTTTATAGTATCGATGGAGTTTGTAGGATGAATAGTATTAAAGTGAATTTCAACAATTGAATCTCCAAAAGTTGGACATTGTCGAATAAGATCATGAAGGAAAGGTGGAACCAATTGGAGATGAATAGATTTGCATCTTTAATTTAATGGAAGAGTTTTATACTTCTGTGGAGTGTTATTTGGAAGGGTTGTAGAAGTATTTTAGTGTATTTATAAATGTTAATACTATCAACAGTATTGATTTGCTTTGTGAATATGTAATGTATTGGCAAGCTTATAGCAACGCCATCATAGATTTGTCAACATTAATCTATCCATTCGAGAATATCATTAATGAGTTACATCAAAACTTATTCCCAAAGTATCCCTAATATCCAAAATTTTCAGTTTGGAGAGTAATGACGAAAATGTGGATTAAATATGTAAACTTCAAATTAATCAAAAGATAATTCGAAATCAACAATTCTAAACTATATTATTAGAATGTTTTATTCGTCTACTCTCTGCTTAAAGACAACAATTGTTCAAAAAAGAATTTGAATAAGGAGTTAGTGAAGATCTAGAAAATGCTCAATCATTTTAAATAACCTACGAAATATATGATAATTTCCTACTTAAATAAAAGAATAGTTACAAAGATCAATTTTAAATTGATACTACGCATTAGGTTTATACTGAAGTTATAGATTTATTAAGAAGCTTTTGTCGATGTGTCTAGGACATATCAATTAGTGAGGTCAATCATAATGATTAACTTAGGTATCCGTACATTGGTTAGGTCACAAAGACTGTTGTTATGAGGAATTTTATGAATAGTTGAGTGAGAAGATATAATATGAATCCAGTTTTTATTATGATGAGAGCAGATAAGTATTTGGATCAAATATTATTTCATTTATTGAGTTTATTAAATTTGATAAGGAGTAAATTCATAATTATTTAAATCTAGATTCTTATAGTAAATTTTGCCTGAACCTCTAATATTCAAAATAGAGAATCTTCAGAGAGAACATATATATACTTCCTTGTATTACTTTTTAGAAGTTTCTTATCTTTAGAAATTTGTATAGACCAACAAGGATTAAATCATGTTGGCTTATCAAAATTCTAAGATCAAATCTCCTAAATTAGAACGTAATTCAAATACGTCCTCTTAAAATAATGAACATCTTGAAACTTAAGGAGATTCTAATTTAAATGACCCTTAAAAATTCTTTAATTTGTGTTTAGAAAACAGCAATTTAGATTTAGAAGAGCTTTTAATCAAAGAGAAAAGCAAAAATCAATAAGACAATTTGTTAGAAATCATCAAAGTTGCACTTTCTTAGATGAATCTTGATTCATTATAGAATTTAGATAACATAGATCAATTTGAATCCTAAAAAGATTTATTTGATTTAAGCAGGGCTCATAAAATACATAGATCCTTTTCAAATACTAGATGTAAGAATATCCCAAATATGTATTTTAGTGGATGCAGAACAAACGGAAGTCCCTGATGAAGTGATCAAGGCAGCAAAACAGTTTCTATTAAAAGATGCCCAATTTTCTAAACTATATCTCGTTTTCACTGAATATTCCAATTACTATGATAAAATGCTGATCTAAGTTATCACCAAAGACAGAGATGTTGAATTAATAAATAATGATAGAAAAGTGCCTAGAGTAAGGGGAATAAACTTATCATTAGATCCTACCTGAATACCTTTAAAACTTTTATTATGTTTCTAACTACTTGACTTATTCTGTACTCGAGGAAAATATTGTGGAAGATCAAGAAGATGAATTTGAAGATTTAGATTAACCTCCAAATCTGTCAAAGGATCTATCCAAATTGAAAAGTATAAGTTATAATAAAATTAGAAAATTCTGTTCAATTTGAGTATTATTACTCAGAAGGAGAAGATGATCATGGCTTCAGCGATGGAGCTTGATTGGCAGTAGTTTAAATTAATAGGAATGATAATATAAATATTAATTTAATTCTGATTATTACATTTTCCTCATAATAAAATAATAGATCTTAAATGCATTTTTATGCTAAATATAAATCATATTAATGTGTCTGATTTGATCTTTCCCTCCTCGACCAACTCAACCATGTCTCCTTCAACATCTTCTACGTATTATTTTGATGTATTTATGATCTTCCCATTCATAACAGCAATCAAAATCTATTGAAAATAGCTACTAAATCATTGTTACTTCTGCATTAACGTAATTAGGATTTGATGGGAATACTAGGAAGTTGTTTTAATTTAGATAATATTTAACGAAAGACCATCTCCATTGTTTGAATAATTCCTTTTTCTGAGGCCATTGATCTGGAAACAGATTCCCCTTCAAAGGTCTCTTGTCATCCCCACTTAAGGTCTTCAAATTTGTCACATAAAATATTTGAGTCACATTTTATTCCTTTACTTTTCTCTAATTTATACAATGAGATTTTAGTGTTTACCCAAAATTTCTTCTCAAATACTACTTCTACAGTTTGACCATCCTTATGCAAGTAGACTTCAGATACGACATATCTCAAGTATTTGAATTTCTTGAACCATCTCAAGAACACTATTATAGTTTCTTGAAATTAGCTTACACCAAAACTCGACTGTAAACATCATCGGCAATGCTGCAGGAAATGTTGAATAGACTAACATCTAAATATTTAAGTCTTACAAGGATTATGCTTGATCACATTTCCAACTAATACCATGGGGAATAAATACACCCAATATTATAATTGATAAGTCCAAAGCTGTATGATATAGAGAGATTATGATTACCAGAGGTTTGTAATAGTAGAGTAACGATTTGTTCGATGAATCAAATTTGATTTTCTATTATGGATTATAAGTTAATGTTCTAACTAAATATAATCTTTTATAAAAACTTGTAGTCTATCACAGTATTCTATGGTTTTATTGTGTAAGATTCAACTTTGCAAAATGAATAGACGCTCTTATACTATTGTGTGAATCTTCTCAAGACCATTAATAAATTTTTTAAAATGTTAATATTTTTATTCTCAATTACGAGAGAGGAATAATAAGTTAATCAATCAATTTTTTTGTTTTTTGCCCATATCTCCTATATTGCTTTTGACAATCTGGAGCAGAGATTTAGTAGAATCAGCAATTGTTGCAAATGCCGACTCGGCTTCTTTCAGGGTCCTGTCACATTTCTCATACTTTTGTCTCTTGACAGCAACCGATCTATTTAGTTGTTGCAATCTCTGATTCAAGATTTACAAGTCCTCTAAAATCTAAGCTTTTTCTTCCTCCTTCTCATTGAGCGTATTGTCCAGGATCAGATATCTAAAAACGAAAAAATTCAAATTATATATATAATTACTATTGCTTCAAGGCTTTGAGAATATTGTTAATTTGCGATTCATCCTCGGAGATGGTTTCCTCTTGTTCCGGATGATGGTACTTGGTTTTGTAGGGAGTGCTCTGGGCAGAAGACTTAGCACCTGAGGGTTGAGTGAACATCTAAAAATTAAATTAATTGTTAATTTGAAAATAAAACTAATATGAGAAATATTAATTATAACAATAAAAATGAACACTAGATAAATGTAGAATGTTAATCAAAAGGTTATTTTAAAAAGAATTGAAATTTTAACAATGCTAGAATTTACTATAAATTGGATACTTTGCATTATGTAGGAATATTGGATGCATTCATGGTTCTTCCTTATAATTGTATAGTAATGTATTATATATCATAGATATTTATTTATCTCTTTTTAAACATACTTGAAATTCACATCCTGGGGTACTCTAAATACATAATTCCCCTCCCTCTCCTCTTACTGTAATTATCCTTTCTAAACTCATAGATGCATGTCCTTTTTACTTACTCTACTGATAATCACCATAATAGTTTATGGGATACAATTTAAATTAATTCTGCTTTTCTTTTAAATTCCAATAGTTTTCCTAAAAACAAGACTCAGATCATTAGCATTGACAGGACACTCCGATCGCTAATAACACATATAACTTGATACATCCCGCGTCTAATGATTATATTTGTTGTTTTTTATCATTTGTATCATTCTAATTTAGCCATCTTTTAAAATCGAATATATGATGATTTACAAAGATTATATTAGTTTTGCAAGAATTTACCTATTTTTTAAATTCCTTCCCATTAAAAATAGTCTTAACAATTATCTATTACACATAAGCTTATTCATTTGAATCACACATTACATTTGATACTAAGATTGAAACATGTATTTTAGACAGAAATGAAATAATAAAATATTTGATTTATTTGATATCTCTCATGTTCTTTTATTTCAAGCTGGACAGCCACTGCTACTAGTTGTCATCGCACATAGTAGCCATGCTGACTTATCGTAAACACCGGCAAAAACTAACGAAAAAATTGCACTTAATTTAATGAGAATATTTAAAGATGGGCCAGAGGTGTCTTTTAAAGGATCTCCAACAGTGTCACCTATAACTGCTGCTTTGTGCTCATCAGTTCCTTTGCCTTTGACTATATCATCTAAAAAATTTATACTATAAATTACCAATTTCGCAAAGATCAGCCTCAATGTACTTCTTGGCATTATCCCAGGCACCTCCTGAATTGGCTGATGATGTGGCCATGCATACTCCAGATACTAAAATACCTGGTAATAATCCAGCTACAGCAGTTGGGCCAAGGAATAATCCCAAAGCCAGAGGTACTAAAATTACAAGTAATCCTGGGGCGAACATCTCTTAAAGAGAAGATTTGGTTGAAATAGCAATGCATCTGTCATAATCTGGTTTCTCTCTTCCATCTCTTATTCCTGGTCTTTCTGCTAGCTACCTTCTTACTTCTTCAACCATTTCAAATGCAGCCCTTCCAACAGATTTAAGTGTAAAGGCAGAGAACCAATAAGGAATCATAGCTCCAATTAAGAGTCCTAAAAATACTAATGGAGAATTGACTCCTAAATCTGTTAGTGGATGCTTATTGAGAGAGTTAGATGCTCTTGTGATAAAAGCTCCGTACAAAGAGAAAGCCACCAGTGCAGCTGATCCAATAGCAAATCCCTTTCCGATGGCAGCAGTGCAATTACCAGCAGCATCAAGTTGATCAGTTCTGTGTCTAACATCCTATGGATATCCAACCATTTCTGCAATACCTCCAGCATTATCAGAGACAGGACCATATGCATCAATTGCCAATCCAATAGTCAAAGTAGATAGCATTCCTAAGGCACTTAAAGCAACTCCAAACATTGACAAAAGAGAATATGAAATGAAGGCAGTAAATGCTAGCAAGAATACTGGAATAATAGTAGAGAGATTTCCCAAGGCAATTCCATATATAATATTAGTAGCTGCTCCTGTTCCACATGCTTAAGCTACTTCTTGTACTGGTCTATAGGAATGGGAAGTGTAATATTCAGTGACAAATCCGATGATGCACCCACTAATGAGTCCGACAACAGTGCAAAGCCATGCATGAATAGGTTGTCTATCTACTGGTGCCAATCCAAAGATTCTCTCTGGTAAAGTTAGATATGCAACATAATAAAGAGCAGGTAGCATTAAAAGAGTGGATAGAATCAACTAGAATTTCAAAGCGTTTGACACTTAATCAAAATTTTCTTTTTCACCAACAAATGCAAAAATGGAAACTATAAAACAACTATAAAATTTGGATGAATTAATTACACAATAATTCCTGCTGCTGAAACCAATAATGGGTAATAAAATGTTGTAGGATGATAATAGAATGATGGGGATACACTACATACTACCAAAGCAGCACAAGTAGCCTCAGCAAAGGATCCAAATAAGTCTGCACCCATACCTGCAATATCTCCAACATTGTCTCCTACATTATCTGCTATGGTTGCAGGATTATTTGGACTGTCTTCTTTGAAATCATTTTCAACTTTTCCAACTAGATCTGCTCCTACATCAGCTGCTTTTGTATAGATTCCTCCTCCAACTCTGCCAAATAACGCTATTACTGATCCTCCTAATCCATATCCTGCTATGGCTTCAAACAATTGTTAAAAGTCTCTATAATCCTTTATAAACCAATTTATGTAGATTCCCAAAAGTATTGTTAAACTGAGTAATGCAAAACTTACCAATGCAAAACCCATAACACATCCAGCTCTATATGCCACTGCGAATGCATCTGTCATCTTTGTCTATGCGCAATAGGCACAGCGATAGTTAGAGAAAGTAGCCACTCTCATTCCAATAAATCCTATTGTTTATTTTAATATCCGAACCTGATATGATTGAAGTGAGTGCGCCTACTAAAAAGGCTACAGTAGTCCAAGCTTATCCGAGGACTGGCTCAACGATAAAGAATATTAACAATGCTAATAAGATAATTACAACTCCAATGTATCTATATTCTGCAGCCAAAAATGCAGCTGCTCCACTTTCTATGTGAGATGCTATTTCTAACAGGAGTTAGGAATGGTGATCTTGATAATCATCCTGGAAATTATTATATTAATTGGGAGTGCCAATCTTTATTCGGTTAAGTTTGTATGCATTATAGACTGCCCACAGTAATCCAATAGTTGTCGATGCTAGAATTAAGATGTTTGATAACTCAAACGATATCATTTTATTTAAATAAATTTAATTTGTTTTACTTATTAATATGTAGCAATCTAAACCTCAACATCAGACTCAGTCACTAAGAAGATGTGGGCTTCACGTAGTAAACAATTTACTTTAAACAGACAAATACACTAGTAATGATTTCGATAGAGTGGCAGAAGAGATGAAAAGAGAAACTAACAATTCTCATTATACATACTTTTTAGGAAATTACGATTTAAATGTTATCGAGCGGATTTTACTTAAAGAATCATATGAGTTATAATGGATTAGATAGAACCAAGCAATTACTGAAGAGCTGATGGCTGACGAATCAGTAGAAGGGCTTTTAATTAATAAGATCAAGGAGATATCGTTAATTGAGAGATTATGTTAATGGGAACCCAGACATTGGGTTTGTATTCGAAAAAGCAGGAAATCTGACAATACTTTGGAATTCTATTACCATGATTCATAATTGAAGGATGCTTAACTGTATTAGACCAAAGATTCGATTAGTTTATTGTAAGAATTGTAAAAGAATAAAGATAATCACTTGCTATTAGTAAAGAAAATGTAGCTTCATTGATTCAAATAAATTTATTAAACAAAATTAGACATCTTTCAATTTATAATCTTCGGTATTCATTAGAATTATTAAAAATCATTTATTTTCTCTTCGTTCTATTAAACTCCTTTTGACTTCTAAATAATAAGTTCAAATTAATTCTATAATTTTTGTTTCATCCTTCCTAACAAAGTGCCAAAGCATTCTTAATACAACTAGTAATTTTTAGCCTTGTGCTCGTTAGATTGCTTTTGATAATTGGCTGCAAACTTTGCCAATTGATTCTAGTAATATTGCATTATATGTGGAATTGTGAGATCCTCATCCTTAACTTCAAAGATAGACTGCTGAATTTCTTGTTCTTCCTTGTATCCCTTCAGTTTCTCCTTGATCTGATGAAGACTCTCCTAATATATATTTGATTTGTCGCTACTCTACATTTAAGTGGGTATAATATACAATTTGTCTTTTGAGAATATAAATGGAAGCATCAATATTGGCATTTTGAACTTCTAACACAAGTTCGATATTTTTGGTTTGACAGAGATTTTCTAAGTAGTTGATAATATAAATTACTAGCACCCTGCAATGAATCTTCATCCACAATAAAGACAGGATTACTCTCATCATCATCCTTATAGATGAGTTAATACATCGTGTGTAATTCATAAGGGAATGTGGCTTCTATTATGTCAATCAAAGTATTGAATTCTATGTTGCCAACTTTAATTTCTTATCCCTTAAAATTGATTAACATAATTTAATTAAAATGGATGATGACAGACCAAAAACATCTTCGTTTTCGTTCTCCAGATTTGGTCGTAGGTTGGATTAGAGAAAGACAACTGGAACTAGATTTTATCCTTAAAATGTCGTTACGATTCCTCCTATTAAATTGGAAAAGAAATAAACTCAAAAAGGAGATTGGTTATTCAGAAGAATAGATAGATCTCAAGGATCTATCTATTCTTAATAGTAATAAGCAACCTAAGCAGAAAGAGATTACAAACCTCATTTTGATATTATAGAGAAACATATTCCAACAATAAGCTTTGAAAAGCAAACTAAGAGGAGATCTATGAGTCTATCGAGCAATCAATAGGATATATCCAATGTTTAGATTCCTCCTCCAAAAGTAAAGATGATGATTCCATTTGATAAATAAGAAGGAAGAAAGGATGTGTAAAGAGATACAGTTGATAAATTTTATTAACCAATGGATTTAAACAAAACAAACAATGCTCATTCTTTTGAATCCTATTCAGCAAGGAAACCATTGGTGGAGAAGGATGCTATGCCCGATTATGAGATTTAGAAGAGTTTCAATTACATAAAATCTAGAAGGTCTACGGCTGTTGATTTTGGAAAGTCCTCTTATTAAAAGGAGCACTTGCCTATAACATCCTTGTTAGATTATGATGTCAAATTAAATAAGAAAATCAGAACAATCTTGTTTAATAAGCAAATACCCAGGGAGAAAAAACCATAGAATGAAATGTTTAGTAAACTGTTTCAGCGTTTAAAAGCCAGGGTTAATTGATTTAATTTAAATTTGTACTATCCTTTTGAATGAATTATCAGAACTAGTGGATTTATGTATAATAATGCATTCACTCTTCAGAATTGGTTTTTTTTTATAATTATTATTTTAATGAATTCGGGATACATGTTGAATTATATTATAAATTTATTCAGTATTTATAGTTACGCACTAACTCAAAAAATGACTCATTAATATAAATGAGTGAAAAGAAAGCAGCAGGAGGACTCCAAGGAGTAGTTGCTGGATAATCTGCAATTTCCACAGTAGGAGTAGGTGGCATTGGCTTAAATTACAGAGGTTATGATATTAATGTAAGTTATGAGTTTAGAAGTATTTAGGATCTTGCATACAAATGTAGTTTTGAAGAAGTCACCTATTTGTTATTGAAGGGTCATTTACCTAATTAGCAATAACTCAATGAGTTGAAAACCCTTATTTGGCAGAAGAGATAAATTCCATGCAAATTGAAATAGATTTTGGAGACCTTACCCAAAGAGTCCCATCCCATGGATATTATGAGAACGGTGGCATCTATTGCGGGTATTTTGGAACCAGAAACAAAACCCGGTCAGGAATACGAAATAAGCATCAGGTTGATTTCCTTATTTGGCCCCGCCTTACTGTATTGGCATCATTACAGTAATTCAGGAATCAAAATAAACGAGAATACAGGAAAGGATTCAATTGCTGAAAACTTCCTTAAATTATACCATTTGAAGAGTGAGATAGACCCTCTGGTTGTCAAAACTTTTGATGTTTCACTAATACTATATGCAGAACACGATTTTGCTGCCTCTACTTTTGCTGCTCGTGTTACTGTAAGTACACTATCTGATTTCTATTCTGGAATCACAACTGCTATTGGAACTTTGAGAGGACCACTTCATGGAGGAGCCAATGAAGCAGCTATGCAATATTTGGAACCTCTAAGAAGCATACCATAGGCAGGCCAATTCTTGAATAGCAGATATCAAAGTAAATAATTGATTATGGGTTTTGGACATCGAGTCTATAAGAAGGAAGATCCGAGGTCTCCAATCATTAAAGATTTTTCATTGTAATTAAGTAAGACAGCCAATGGAGATCCAACCTTATTGGCTGTTTCATAGCACATCGAGAAAAGAATGATTGAGGAGAAGAAGATCTACCCTAATCTTGACTTTTACAGTGCCAGTGCTTATAAACAATGCGGGTATAATATAAGTTTTTAAATTTAGAGTGCCAACTCCTATGTTCACAGCAATCTTTGTGATTTCTAGAATGACAGGATGGGGAGGTCATATCATTGAGTAAAGAAGCAATAACAAAATTGATGAGACCTGTTTCAGATTACACTGGGCCTGCTAAGAAATAATTTGTACCAATAGAAATGAGAAATAATGCCAATTTATGATAATGTATTATTAAAATAAATATAATAATATTAATGTCTAAGTAGGACAGTTAAATTGTTAATCCATCAGGGTGTTTCATATTTCTTTAAGCGAAAAAGATGATAGATCCTGTTGATGATGAATAGTATAGTGCGATCCAAAAAACATTCTTTTCAACTTCGATCACTGTAGGATTATTTTCATTTTTATGGGCAAGATTTTACGAATTAGGAAAATATAAATTTATGATTCCAAATAGAATGATGTTCTATGTAGTAGCAGTCGGTGCTCCGTCTATTGCGCATGCATTTTATAGGACGAATGAGCTTACTGGTTTTATTAGTCAGATGGACCAGAAATATTATGAGTAATATAAAGCATTGGGTTAATAATGAATGTTTGTATTGATTTATAAATATATGATAAAAATTGATTTAATTGTTATTGGTAATCTAGGTATTTGATATATACAAGATGATTAGGGTCTGGTAAGACAAGTTTAATACAAAGATTCATTGACTGTAAGAATTATCCTATACTTCAGAGGATGCTCCATTTTAACACAATTATCTTCCAACACTTGGCTTGAATCTAGTCAAGAAGGAATTCGACCATCAAGGACAACAAATCAAATTATGCATATGGGATACAGCTGGATAGGATAAATATTTTAGTCTCACAAAAAGTAGGTCTATCTTGTAAACATGAAGGTTATTTTTAAAGAGCTGACGGAGTCATTATGGTATTTGACATTGCAGATAAAGACAGTTTCAATCGTATTAGCGATTATTGGATTAAGCAAGTCTAAGAATGTTCGAAAGCGAACTCGTAATCTATTCTGGTTGGCAATAAAGTAGATTTGTGCGAAGTACAAAATGCCACATAATTAGAAACGATAAGTCAAATTCCTTGAAGCCTAGGAGTTTTCATAGAAATACAAATTGCCTTATTTTGAAGTCAGGTTGCATTTTAATAATTAAGGAAGTGCAAAGACTGGAGAAGGAGTGCAAGAGGCATTTAACTTTATATCGCGAAGATGTACGGAATGCATAGAAACTGAAGTGAATGAAGTCCAACATTTATAAATCGATTCTGAAAATAGACCTACAGGATTTCAAGGATGTGTTAACACTATTATGGTATTTATGCCATTAATTATAGAGCATTTGGAAGAAATGATTAGTGATTAATTATTTTAAATATTATTATTATTATATTGCAGTTTTACATTTAATAATGTCAATGAAAAAAACACCCAATCAGTCATCAGGTATCCCTTCTAACAATTCTATTATAAAAGGTCCCAAATTTATCAAGGATGTCACACACAAATCTAGATCTGAACACAATCAATCCTTTGATGCATCCTACAGCAAGAATTACGCACCCACCTTCAGCAATCAAAGCAGACTCAAAAGCTACAGTCAATAGGCAAATTTCTTGGATGATTTGGAAGAAGAATAGTATCCAAATTAAATTAATGTTGCAATTCAAAAAAGACCATTTGAATTAGCATTATAGAATGAACTTCAAAAAATGCTATCTAAAATCATTCAAGGATAACATCTATCAATTGATGATTGTTAATCAATTATTAGAGCAATTGATGAATGCATTTAAGAGAGTTTACAAACTTTGAGATTGAAAGATGCAGAAGTATCTCTATTTTATCATCATTACAGGTCTTAAATATCAAACAAACATATGAATTGAAAATACATCAACAAGAAAATACCATCTTGGCTTTGGAAAATGAAGTTCAAGAACTTAAACATATGATTACTCTTAATCCAAACGATTCAATCAATTTCAAATTGTAGTAGTTGGAACAAGAGAATGAAATGCTTAAACTATAGAACCAATAAGCTATAAAAATGGCTGTCTAAGGAAGAACCAAGAAATAAGAAAAAGAACTTTATGACGCAATGAATAGTAGCAAATCAAAATAGAAGGCTTAAGTTAATAATTATTCAATCTTGTTGAATTAGCAATATAATAAAATTTATTAACAGGATAAGAAGATTAAATCATAGTTGTTTTGATTCTTGATTTATTATTTTTCATATATTCAATTAATTTTAGTACGAGTCAATTAATTCGAGTAAAAGTTCTTAGATTTTTATTATCTTGAATTTTGATTCAATCTTTAGCTCTAATATTCGATAACCTAAGCAGCTTATTCATAAGATTAGTTTTCATCAGAATCAATACCTAAAGCAGTCCTTTTGATATATACCTAAATTGGTACTGATTTCGTGACTATCGAGCATATCATTCATTTCTCTTATAAATAGATTAACAGAATCTTCAGTCCCCACAATGCGTTCCTGCATCTCCTGATTCTCAATTTCGATATTTCTTAACTTCAATATATGATATATTTACTTTTGAATCAAAAGATTTAATAGTTGAATTTTTTTTCAATTCATTTTCCAAAGAGGTCAAAATCGCATCCTTCGATTTTATTTTTTATAGGAATTCTTGTTCTTTTAATTTTTAATTGTTGATATTTTCCATTATTTCTTATTCCTTAATTTACAGATTCTTTATCTCAGACTCTTTAGATGCTATTACCTATAAGAAGGATTTCCTTATTTTATCATTTTTGTTTCTCGAGAATTGAAATTGAACTTTAATGAATGCAAAGTGCAAATTTCTTTTTTATTTTTTTTGAATAATCTCTCCAACTTACTAATATTTTAATGCGATCTATGTGAAAATAACTTTAAAATGATTAGCACTGTATTTATTAGATTGTTTAAGTTTCCTAAAAGCATGGAATTTCTATTAGTTTCCTCTACAATAATCAGTTAGAATTACTTTAATTTCAATATCAAGCCCAGCTTTCTTATTGATATCTCCATTTTTAAGAATACCAACTAATACTTAGCCATCATGTTGAGAGTTTCAGTATGTATAACTTACTCTCGTAATTTTTACTTTTAAACATCTAAATCATTAGATGACATTTGATAAATTTAATAATATCAATATAATTTATTGTCAAAATCTAGCAGTATTTCTTATTCCAAGAAACCTTTTAATAAAAAGAATTACCTTGACTTCAATAATTCATACACAATAGACTATGCATAAATAATAAAGTAATTATGGTTAAATTTCTTAGACTTTAAGACAAGTACTCATAATTGCATTCATGTTTTTTTTCCAATTAACTTTCTGTGATTCTTCTATGTAACTATAAATATCTTCTCTTAGTTCTTTATATCTAATAGCTTAGCTAAAAAGGGTTTTCATATTAGATCAATATTTATTTATTTCAAGATTTATCAAAAAATTCTATCATAAATTTGTTAAAATAGAAAGTCTTTTTTCATTCAAATTTATTTTTAAACTTTTTCAATAATAATACCAGAAACCTTTCTGATTTGCTTATCCTATTCTAATTCTATTCTTTTAAGGGTAGAAGTTTGTAGTTCTATTGAAATAAATTAATGCTGTACTAAAAAACCAAGAATATAAAGGTTTTTCATATTTTAATAAAAATAAATAGAATCCTTAGTTGCACAAACTTTACATTTTAATTCGAAAGGAAAGAAGATTGTAATTATAATTCAAATCATAATGAGTAAGAACCAGGTAAACGAAGCGAAGATTGGAAAAAAAAAATATTTATTATTAAATTTTAATATGTTAATACCTCCAAAGTCAAGAAGACATTAAACTATTGATTAAGGAGTGTACTTATTTTAACAAAGGAAAAATTTCGATCCTTATATTGAGATGATGAAGAAGCAGTAATAAGTGGAAATTAATTCATTTCGAAAGGCATTTGCAAATATTGCTTCATCTAGAATTCATGCTTAACATCTAAATGAGAGGAGGGAACAAATAGTAATAATTGTAATAAGATTATAAGGTGTTGACTGTTCATAAAAAAAAAAGAGTCTAACCAAATTCTGAGTTCAAGTTACCTACCCTAGGTTAGGGGGAAAAGACAGATAGAGTAAGAATTAAATTTCCTCCTCAGAGAATTAAGAAAAATTTTTGTTTGATATAGTAATATCAATAATTTGCAACATGATGCAAATGTTTAAAGCTAAGAATATATTTAAATTGTTTTTTTAATGTCTACATAGGTTTTTATCTAGAAAATATTTGGATTATTTAAAGTTTCTATATTTTGCATCAATAATCCAGAGTTTTGCAAAATTCGAGTTGCCTTTTTATCATTCATTTATCCTAATCGAACATAGTCGATAGTGAATAGACATTCATTATTAAATTAGAAAAGTTGATCAGTATAAAGTAACATTTTATGAATAAAAGCAGAAAATTAAATAGTTATAGTTAAATTGAACAATTTCAAAATTAAATTTGCTCATAATAACTAGAATATGATTTGAAGCATGAAATGGTTTAAATTTAATAGTTACTCTACAAAGTGAATACTTATATTTATATAAAAAGTCTTTTTACACGAGTAAATTAAGTATATAAATTTTGAATAATAATTTCTTTTTTGTAAATGACGCACATCCTTGAGATTCGCGTTTTATTATGATATAATACAAAACTAATAGCGGATGATTTGAGTTTATCTAAAATATTAAATATTGTTAAATGAGTGCTTAAGTGTTATTTCGTGTGAAATGCTCCACAGAATTTAGTTAAATGGTGAGGATCGTTGGAAACTCTTCATAATTGGGGAATTGGAATCCATAACTAGGATTTAAATTAATGACCAATAATGAAATGTATCCTATTTGGTATAGTGATTTCGCTTTGGAAGTTGAACTAGGTAAATATATTGTTCTAATTCTAGATTAACTCGTCGAATTCAAACTAATTATCACTGATGGACTTAATTCGTTTTGGGAATGTGGTGAAAATCGTTGTCTTTAGATATAAGGATAGAAAATGGTGGTTATTTTGACTTATAACATGCCATCCATCTTTATCTACAGTATAAAAAGGATTATTTCAGACAATGATCTGGCAACAATCGCATAAGGTAATATAAATTAAATAAAATGTAGGCCGAATAAGAAAGGTTTCTTTATAACTGTAGGATAAGCTGTACGATTCTGATGATGACTCGGTAAATTATTTTGTGATTCCTTTAGGATTCCGATTAAGAAAGTGATGCCAACTCCATATTTTAAGATGAAATCACTTCATGCAATTCAAATGAGAATATTTCAAATTCTTCTCATTTCGAGCCAATCTTTTACAGTGAATATTGATTTTACTTACTCTCACAACATTAACTTAATTTAATATAGATATGTTATTTTTAGAAAGTAGTTAAATTTTAATAGAGTCAATTTAGATTCCATTACTCTTCATTCGTCTCAAATTGCTTAGTCATGAAATGTATCACACAAAAAAACCAACTAAATTCTCCGGAATCTATAATTTATTAAGCTCATATTGATCATAATAAAAATCTCTAATAATCTAATTCGAAACATAAAAAAAATACACAATTAAATGAGTTATGATTATCTAATTTTATTTAATAAAATATTAGAAATTGATATTTCTTGAATACTATTATCAATTTTAACTCCATAATTTCTTGATCACAATTCCTGTAAAAATTTATAAGATGATAAGCCTATTTTTTATGATTTCAGTAAAAACTAAAACTGTGAATTTCGAAAAAAAATACAAATATACATAAATATAATTTGTAGAAGCGGGTAAAATTTCATTTTCTTAATTTTACAGACAGATTTTATTAAAAAGATAAAAATTATTAATCATTCTGCTATTAACTTTGTTTTGATTATTGAAACAATAGAAATCATCGTTAATATTAAATAAAATTTAATTAAATGCATTTCCTTTCTTCAGTTCAGTTAATTTATTCTAAAAATTTTTAATTATAAAAATTAAATACATCTATCCATCATCATTTAAAGATTAGGATATCTTGATGTTAATCAAAAGATTTCTATTTATCATATTTTTAAATGACATTGAGATAAAAGAGAGGAGCCAAATATTTTTTGAGTACGAATATACTTATAATATGGTATTTGTTCTCCAGAATTCTTGGGAAATTGCTTCTTGATATTATGAATTAAAATAGTAAGTTCATTCTCAGTTTAATGGAAATTCATTTTTTAATTCCTCTAAAATAGATCAGACTCTTAACTCGTTTCACAGAAATCGATATTATAGTTCTGCTTATATCAAAATAGATTTAATTAATAAAAATATTAAAATAAAAATATGTCGAGTTCCTTAGAAAGTTAAGTATTATTTGTATTATGGGCTTTATATCAAGAAAATTAAATCTCAATGGAATAAAAAGGATATATCAAAGGTAAATATGTGCTTTATAGAAGATTTATTAATCAGAAGAGATTAGAATTTTTACTCTGCTATAAGTAATTGTTAAAAATTAGATCAATTAGAAGAAAAGCTACTCGATATTTTGAATTGTATAGATCTTTAAATTTTGTTCTGATTAGGCTTCCCCAAGAGAAATAGATGCTGAAGAAACTATTTGTCCAATTATTCGATTAAGTAACCCATCGAACACTCCAACAACTATTAAATCATTTTAAAACAATCCTTAAAAGAGATTTAAGTTTATGAGTTCAAGTAATGAAAGCGAAATGGCCTAAGACAACTAAAAAGTCAGATCAAACTCATTCCATCATTAATGAAATTAGTTATTTTAGTTTAAATTAATCTCAAACTTTACAAGAATCTTAATCATATAAATTTTAATTAAATTATCATATATTCATAAATGTTTAAAACTAATTGTCATGACAGAAGTTAAAAGCAAAAGATTATAGCCAAACATCCACATTGTCTAATTGAATTCTCCTTAAACTCCAAAGATATAAGGTTTGATTAAGATAATCTATTTTTTATTGTGTTACTATTAATTTATGAATACGAAGTTTCGGTTTAATGTTGCTAATCTCCTCATTAAACAAAGATTGATTATGTTCATAGAGAGAAACTTATTTAATAATAGATTAACATGTGTCTTATATCAAAGTTAGGGTAATTAAAAATAAACTAGTAGGTGATTTATTGAAAGTATTAAATATAATAATATTAATTATAAGGTTTTGCCTGATAGAAATTAAATTATTCATTCATTATAAATACTCTATTAAATTTATTTATTATTTTAAGATAAATTGATATCATTGTTGATAACTAGAAAAGAATAAATTTGAAAAGAAATATGACAAAAAGTAATTCTCAGCAGCATTAATTTATATTTAAAATAATAGTTGAAAATTTATGATTTCTATAACATAATTTAAAGTTTTTAATTGAGTGAGTATCATATTTAAATTTAATTACATTTACTATAAGATAGTTTAATATTCATCTAATTTTATGACTAAAGTTAATAGCAATTTGTTTTTATAAAATTTAATTTAAAATTAAAGAAAAGATCCAGATTCCCATTTAACAATTAGACTCTTCAAATATCAATTTAAATAATTAACATATTTATTTAAAAATAGGAAACAGAATTGAAAATCATCAAAAAAGGTATGAAATAAAAATAAAAGGATTGATATATTTATAATAAAGTTATCTATGAATAATATATACAATTGTGTAATCAATTCATCGAAATTAATTAAGATAAATATTCTGCTATTAACTCTCTGTATTTATGTAGGGCTTATTAATTGCATTTAGTCTTTTTCAAAGTCTAATATATTTAACAGCAATAATTAAGTTTAATCATTATTAAAAGTTATTCTCTAATATTAATTGATGAGAATGATTTGTCAAAGCTCCATGGATCTATAATTTAGATGTAATGTTGTTATTGATTGATTATTAAATTTAAAAGAATGCAAGGGATCCTCATTTATGGAAATATTAGTCGTTTTATTGTTGTTTATTGTTATTTTTGAGTATTGAGTATTTTAGTTTGTTCATCTGAATCAGAATTATCGTCAAAAATCTATTACTATTAGATTGATAGTGGTTCTTGTTATTGATTATTGCTGCTTTGAATGATTTATTTTTTTTATTGCATTTGTAATAGTCTTTTTTGCAATATTTATTCATAATGAAGGATTGTCATTTTGGTGATTTCTTGAACTAATTCAAACAACATCATGATGGTTCTGATGACTCTAATGGTGTAAACAAGACAATATCTTTGGTAAGATTCAGTTGTATTAATGCAGTCAATGAGTGATAAAAGATCAATAAACGCAAGCAATAACTCGTAAAAGCTTAAGGGAGATTTAATATTAAGTATTTTCTTGCAGATGGTTGGTAGTAGGAATGGAATCAAGCAAAGCCTTATATCCTAATGATTAGTGATTACCTACTTTAGTATTGGGTCCGAATTCGTAATTGTAGAGTAAATTCTTTTCGACTCGATATGCAAACTTAAGGATTCTGCCACTCATTTTAGTTTCCTCTCTTCCGATTTTTATAAATGTGCATAATGAGACTGAAAACAAGAACTCAAGGAATTATGCCAATAACATAAATATTTTCATCATTTTTAAAATAGTTATTTTTATTGATTATATAATCATTAAAGAGTTTTCAATTCCTCTTCATATTGCATTAATTATTCTCTAAAACCTTTATTAGGATAGACCTATTCCCGCTTTTGGGTAACAAAAAGAAGTGCATTTTAAAATGTCATTTTCTAGCTCCACATGACATATGCAATGACTATAGCGGCACTTCTCGATACGCCAGCCATACAATGAACCAATAGGTTTCCTTTCTTAATAATTGGAAGTAATAAATTACATTTAAATTTTCTTAGATGAATAAGTTTGTCTAAGTAAAATATTATTTGATGTTAGAGTCTTCATAATCATCCAGAACAATTTAAAGATGCTTCTCAAGTTGAATGCTTTTCATATCTAATGGTTCGCATATTGAGATTGCTGCCTTACTAATACATTGCGATTCTTACTCTTATTTGATGTTTTTTAATAGATTTAAATAAGGAGGCAATATTTCCCAAATAAAGAGCCCCTTTATTTTTAGTTGGCTCTAGGATAAGATTTATAGATTCAGGTACATATTCTAGTAATTCTTCTACTTGCATTGTAATAATTATAAAAAAGATTTAAATATAAAATCAAATTTATTGAATAAGATGGCAGCCAATAAATTTTGGAAAAAGAAAGAAGTAAAAATGACTTAAAAATATCGAGTTATCAAGTTTGGAATAATAGGTGGGAGCAGCATTAACATAAATTGAAGCAACAATAACAGAAGTTAAGAATTTGAAATTATCATCAGTTGTTGATTTCACAGCAAAGATTAATGCCAAAAAATAAGTGTATTTGGTATTCATCCCATATCCATGCTTAACAATATACAATAAGATTAGGTATAATTTTGGTATGAGCTGATTTTAGCTAAAAGCTATTGCCTGAATTAGAGAAGAGAGTTAAGGCAACTATCTTAGTGGCTGCTAAAAGAACAATTGAAAGTAAGTGGGTGAAGAATCACAGATCTTAAACAAGACCAAATTCAAGAACTCTTACATCTGTTTATAATGAATTGCTCGAGGATTTGATTTCTCCATCTGTTATTTTGGGTAGAAGAACAAGAGTCAGAGTTGATGGCACCAAATTCTATAGAATGTAGAATGAAATCATAGATTAATTAGATTCCTGGATGAAAGCGATTAGAAGGACTTGGAATCAAGACTTGATTCTATTAAGGATGTTTACAAAGTATTGACAACTAGAGATTTGGAGTTTGAATTCAGAAGAGATGACACTTTCTATTAAAAAAAGGGTGCTAAGAAAGTGGCTAAGAAATGATGAACATTAATAAGTATAGTATTATAGGCATAAAAATAAAATAATTTTATATATATTAATAATTTATTAGAGATGCAAAGAGCAGTAAGGTTTGGTTGCAGCACTATTAATAAATTAGAAAGTGAATTGAATAAAATTGAAAAGATCTCTTTCAAAGAAAGATATCTATCATTTCAAAGAGAATGGAATGAATTCAAAAATAGAGCAAAAGAGATGTATTAATTTGAACTTATCAATCTTGTCTTTAGGCCTCCAAGAGTTTTCAATGATAAATTAGATGCCAATCAATAGAAAAAGATCAACCTATTAGCAAAACATATCGAATACCTAAGCGAGAATGAATTTCAATATCTGAATTACATTTTGTAGAAATAAGTTCTCAATAAACCTGATTATGCTGAATTTTCTTTAGGTATCTCCAAAGATGATGCACAAGTTGGTAATTTCATGAATTGAATCACAGGTCCTGGAGTCTGGCCAACAGCTCATCCCCAATGGTTATAGCAATAAGAAATAATAGCCAAATTATGGCCTTTAGGATAATAAGGAATTGCAACATTATTCTCTGAAGTTGTTGGATTCGGAGGTGGAGTAGGAACAGGAGGAGCTTAGACAGCAGCTACCACTTAGGATTAGCCAAAAGAGGAAAAAAAGGAATAAGCTCCAAAGGAAGCACCCAAGGAGGCAGCTGTATATAATAGTCTAGATTATTTAGAAAGCTAATTATGATGTTATTCTTGATTCCATTGATGCTGCATAAAAGATCAAAATTATTAAGGATGTCAGAGCAGTTTTCAATTTGGGTTTGAAGGAAGCCAAAGATCTGGTTGAAAAGTTACCTGCCACTTTAAGTAAATAGATGAAGAAGGATGATGCAGATGAATTGAAGAAAAAATTGGAAGCTATTGGTTGCACAATTAAGTTAGTGTGAGAGTATATTATTAATCATCATTACATTGTTATTGTCGTTAAAACTATTGTTCATTTGAAAATTAAAAGCAAGTCTTGAATCGAATCTATCCTCATAGAACGTTTAAGATGTAGTGAATGCAGATTATTAAATTTATTTAATATTCATTCTCATTGCTACTTAATATCAAATTTCTCTAATTCACCGATGAATTGATTATAAAAGTTTATTTGTTAAGGCACAGCTCTTGCACTCACTATTGGCAATTCATAGGTTATCAATAACAAAACCCTCTTCCCATTGAGCTTTTTGCAAATTCCCTATTCAATAATAAATTTATTCTTTTACTCTTGCCAATGAGATTCCTTCTCCTACATCTGCATCTCCTCTTCTTCCATAAATCAGAGGAGGATGCCATCTGTGAACTTCATAATGTTCTCCTAATAATACAAAGCCTGCCCCAATTGTATTGTCTCTCACATCGTAGGCTTTCAAGTATGGTGCCAATTCCTCCTTTGTGGCTGCACAGTTCTTTTGAGTTATCACATTCAGATCCTCATCAAATATGATGGCTTTCGCCCACTAAATTACATCTCAAGTTTGATACTTCATCTTGTTTCTTTAATTCTGTTTATAAGAACGCAGGGTCTAAACCTTAATCCATTAATATTTAAAAAATAAAAATATATTTAAAAATTAAAATATCTTTCCAGTCCATAAATTACACTATCTATATCATATTGTAAATAATATTATTAAAATATATATATATATTTTTCTTATTCTTATTATTTTTTTACATTAGTATTAATTTATTTAAATTTTTTACAATTAAATGGATCAATTATACTCCCAGATCGAAGAATTAAGTAAAGTTGGATTTCCTACCTAAAAACTTAAAGAACTTTATCAAACCCATCAAATATCGGATTTATTGGAACTCCTAAAATTCACACAATAGAACAAAGATTAATTCAATAAGACTATTGCTTATCTTGATGCTCTCTTCTAAGATTCCGATATCTACAAAGAACTTTTAATAAGAGAGAACTCTTTTGAATTTGTTCAAACTTTACTTTCTCATTAAAACAAAAAAGTAAGATAATTACTTTCAGAATGCATAGAAAATAATGATTTTGAGTTTGGACAATTGATTTCTAAATTAGTCTAAGAAAAGTCACCATTACTCAATCTAGTACTTTAAGTCATCTTTTTCCAACTTTCTGATCCTGAATCAGAAGTTGGCTTAAAAGCTCTGAGAGTAATTAAAAAATTGTTCAAATTTGTCGATGAATCTTTAAAAACGCTATTAAGTAGTGAACTCTTTGTCACTTATATCACCTAAGGATTAAATAACAAAAATGAAGTCATTCAATTGAGATTTGTTGAAATATTGATTTATATAACTAACTTAGATCAAGCTATCCAATAACCTTACAACAATCTATTTAAGATAGTTTTTAAACTCTACAATACTGACGATATTTTGGTTAAATTGAACATGATTGAATTGATTGCTGGAATGGGTAATTCAAAATGGAACTCAGAACTTATGGTAAACCAATCCTTTTTTAAGAATATTCTTAATTCCGCATTCACCAATAATGACGATTTCTACACTTAAAAATATGAAGTCTTACTAGTAGCCAGAATGCTTAGTTAAAGAGTCATTAAATTTACTCCTATCCTTGAAAAAAACCTAATTAAACTATTATCAGTATGGCTATCAACCAATTCAAGTGAATAAATAGAGGGGGCCTTAGAAATTATATCAAGCTTCGTTACATTTACTGAAGGATTCAATACTATTATAAAGAATAGTGACTTTTTAATATTATTTTGTAATTTGTTTATTTTATCATAGTCCAATATTTGTATTCAACAAAAGATGTCATAAAACTCAAAGCTCTTAATTGTTATGTTAGCTTCTTTGTTATAGATTCAACAACACCTAAGCCACCTGGTAAGGTACTTTGGGTGTATTCATTGTTTGGAAATGTTTCCAAAACATTAAGTTAATTCCACTCAAATGATCAGGTTAGTGAAGCAACTATATATCTGATAAAATAATTGAATACTCCTTTTGGGGAAGTAGAAAAAACCATATTAGAATTAACCATGAGTAAACTTTATTTTTATTCTTTAGATTTGTTGGAATGGGATGAAATATTCACTAATATTATTGCCAATTAATAATTATTAGTATATTTTTCCAAGATTTCTCAAAACAAGGAGATCTTTGATTCAAAGAATCGAGTCAAATAATAGATCATCAATTTATGCACTAATAAATATAAGGCAGAAGAGTACTAGGAGTATGCTAAAACATTGCAAAACTTAAAATTGTAAAAGGATGTCTAGTACGCTTCAAATGTTTAATGAATTTATATAGTATAAAATTAATTTAAATATCTACATTTTATTCCAAATTATGATAGAATATGATAATAATAATTATTATTATGAATTATATTTTAACAACTAATAAATATGCATCTTTTTACAATAATAACAATTTTAGCTTATAGAAGACAGCTCATTATTGTAATATATTACTAATATAAATTTGTTTGAAATAATTCTTCTTTATGAAGGTAATTTAATTTAACACTTAATTCAAACATTAACTATAAAGCTTAAATGAAAAATATTTCTTACTTTTTAATAAATTATTAACACATTAATTAAAATTCTTAAATGGTGAAGATGTTAAAATAAATCTATTTATTATGGTCTTTTAAATTATAAAACCTAATATTTAAAAGTAGAAATTATAATTTAGATCATTGTTGTATAAATCTAGATTTTTATAAACTATTTTTTAATCCCATTAATAAATATTCAACTTATAAATGGGATAAAATTAATTAAGAATAAAATAATTAAAATACAAGTTCTAATATTTAATTCTTAATATGACTTTTATGATGGTATTTAAAGGTTGAAGATAAATTATTTTATTTATTCTCCCTTATTTCAACTAGTCAATATATTATATTCGAAAGGAGAGCCTACAATAAAATGGTTAAATCTTACATTTGAACAATTAGACATTGGGTGAAAAAGTAAATCCTTAATTTGTGATTATTGATAAAATAGAGTTGATAGAGAGGAATCTTTTATATGGAAATATAAATAATTGATTTTATATTAATATCTGTGTTTAATGAAGCACTTTATGAGATTCTCTAAAATAAGCAATGCCTTCAAGGAAGTGCCCTCCTAATATGTTTATCAGATCGATCCAATCAAAAACTTTGAACCCATAAAATAGTTCAGAGTAATTGATTTGGAAGGTAATCTTATTGCTAAGGAATACAATAACATTCCAAAAGAAACACTGAATCAAATCTTTGATTTAATGATAAGTGTAAAGATGTTTATTTTGAAGTTTTTAGATTGAAGAGATGGACAACCTCCTTTACATGTCTTAAAGATAAGGAAAAATTTCATTTTACATGACATCATTTGGTGAGACAGCAACTACAGTTGGTACCACAGCTGCGCTCCAACCCTAAGATTTCATCTTCCCATAATATAGAGAACAAGGTAGTTTTATGTGGAGAGGATTCACAATTGAATAAATTGTAAATCAATGCATTGGAAACCATTTAGATGGTGGAAAGGGGAGATAAATGCCTGTTCATTATGGAAGCAAGGATTTGAACATCGTCACTGTGTCATCACCTTTAAGTAAAATATAATTAATTGACGTACTATAGCTACGTAAGTGCCATAAGCAAGTGGGGCTGGATATGGATTCAGAGTCAATGGGGAAAATAAGATTGCAGCCACTTGGTTTGGAGAAGGAGCAGCTTCTGAAGGAGATTTTCATTCAGCAATGAATTTTGCTTAGACTTTGAAATGCTAAACACTATTTTTATGCAGAAACAATCATTATGCCATCAGTACACCTACAGATGATCAATTCAGAGGTGATACTATTGCTGGAAAAGCACCAGCTTATGGAATGAGAACATTGAAAATTGATGGTAATGATCTATTGGCTGTTTATAATGGAGTCAAATATGCAAGGGAACAAATTATTAAAAATAAAGAACCATTCTTTATTGAATTCATCACTTATAGAGTAATGTTAATATCTATTCATTAGATTGGAGATCATTCAACATCAGATCACTCTGTATTGTATAGATCATAAGAAGAAATTGATTCATGGAAATCAGGAAATAATCCAATTAATAGATTAGGATTGTTCTTGAAAAAGTAAGGACTCAGATAATTTAATGATGATCATGATAACCAAATTAGAAAAGATGTTAGAAATAGAGTCATTGCTGCTTTGAAACACGGATCTGAATGTATTTTATTTAAATTTATTCAAAATAGAACAATCACCATCAATTCAAGATTTATTCACTGATGTTTATGATGAAGTATTACCTCATCTATAGGAATAATATACTGAATTAAGACAACATTTGACTAAATATAAAGATCAATACCCAATCAATAAATTCAAAGGTGGATTATGATTATTTACATCTATTACGCACAATAAATATTGTATAAATAATTGATAATTTTGTTCAAATAATTAATATTAAGAAATAAGAAGAAGAACTTTCTACGGATGAAATATGAAATACAATTAGAGTTTAACTTGTTTTTAATGTTTCCCTATTAAGATTTCTTCAATATAAAAGATATAATAATTTAGAATCCATATATAGTTGCATTTACAATTTCTAAGGATTTAGATATTTACAATTGGAAGAATGTTCAATTCTATTTGTAAAAAGTATGATCGATTTATTTCAGAAAATATCTATCTTGAAAAAAAATTAAATATATCTTATTTATTATAATAAATTATTTATATATAAATAATAAGTTCAACCAAAGTAAGTGATGAATTCTCTCCTTATTTTTATCAACTACAAAATTTATTAATATCATAAAGACTTTAACCAAGTATACGATAAGGAATACTTAGTAAAAGAATAATATGATGACTGGTTTGTATTTCGTGAGTATATACTAATGAAATTCCAGCAATTAACATTAGAATTTGTATTTCTTGAAATTTAGGACTATGAATATTGGCAAAAAGAGGAATGATACTTATTATCATTGTTATAACGTAAAAGTATCTTTGACAGTTAGTTACATTCTTCTGAGTACATTTGTCTGGAAATTATTAAAAAATTTCTAAGTTTGAATCACAACTTTTGCACAGTTCTGAAAAACAAATCTGACAATTTAATCTTTATTCCTCATTTTAAAAACATATTATTTATTTGGAATTGCATTTGTAACACTTTTTGAAACACACTCCGTTGAGGAATTATTAACATTATTAGCATTTATTAGAGCTATTTTCTTTTTATTTTTGTTGTTGCTTTTTGTAGAATATTGACATTTAGAGATTATCGTGGTTTTATAAAACATATAATAGTTCACAAGCCGAACAATTCAAGTATGTTTTATTCTCTGAAGCAAATTTAAGCTTTAACTGCATCTGATCAATCAAGATCCTAAGAGTCTCATCATTTTATGAGACCTTAGCAAGGAGAACATAATCTCTGTTGTTTTTATCAATTATATTTGAATCTAACAAAGGATTTTCCATTAAATTTAAATATTTAATTTATGATTTATATAATAATATTATTATATGTTTTAAATAATATTATCAATATTTGTACAACATTCATAATATTAATGTGTATTGTATAATATGTATTATCATTAATGAAATTAATAATTGGATTCCACTAAAGTGAATATGGTTGTCTATGCATTGAAAATGAAGTAGAGACAATTAAAAATGAAATATGATAAATGAAGTCCGATTCTTAGATGTAAATTAAGAAAATTATTTATGAATATATATGATGGAATTAAAAAATAGCCAATTAAAATAAAATTAATTCCATGCTATAATAGTAGGTGCTGTTGAATTTTGATTATCTGAGACCAAACCAAAATTTGGTTGATGCTATTGTTCATGATGGTATTTGGAGTTTGCAACTATAAAGCATAATACATTAAAAGAAAAGAGCGATCTAAGAGTCAAAGGAGAATTTGGGAGAATGTGCCATATGATGCTTATGAAAAGGAAAAGATGGCTGATTTTATGAAAGTAGTGACTAAAAATAAGGTTGTCCTACCTTAGAAGTACCTATTTTAGAATAATCTGTTAGTTGGACTGATAGTGATACGTTGAAGATGGTGTATTGTGGTAAATTTAAGGACAAGAATTACTTAAAAGTTTTGTAATCACATTTGGCTTGGAGAGCTATTCCAAATAATTTCCAGCCTACTGACATCAACATAGCATTTTTATAGAAAGGAATAGTTTACACTTTCGGTAGAGATAAACAACAAAGACCCATTATAATTATGAATCTTGAATTGGTGAATCTGAAACAAGTACCTAATTGAATCAATCTATAGTTCAGTGAAGAAGTCTACATAAATGCTTTGAGCTATTACTTTGGTATCATTAAGAAACACTGTTTTATTCCTGGAAAAGTTGAGAATTGGGTTTTCATTATGGATACTAAGAAGCTTGGACTTTCTAAGTTCCCCTTCAAGGTATGCTATTGAATCTACTTGTTAGGCCATCCAAATAGCTACTAAGACCATGCAGGTGAATTTCTGTGGTTGTTTAGATAAACTTTACTTATTGAATCCATCTAGTTCATTGAGTTTTTCGTGGAAGATGGTTTCTGGTATGGCATTTAAATTTGAGAATAGCTGTGGCTGATGCGGATACTATGGAGAAAGTGTAAATGCTTAAGCCTAATGAGTATGCTAAAATTTAAGAGAGAATTGCAGTTAATCAATTGGAAGAATAATTTGGAGGGACATCTCCAAACCTATCGAAATTCTGGTTACTTTCAAATGCATATCGTTAGGCCACCTATTAATATTGATATTCCAGGGGGATATACAGAGGAAATTTTGAAGGCCGTCGAATCTATGAAAACTGCCGAAATTGTAAATTCAGAAGGAAGTACCGTGCATCAGAGGAGGATGAAATGAAATTGTAAGAATAAATTTCTAAAGTTACAAATTAAAAAAGATGACGACGATGATGATTGATAAAGTATATTAATGAAATTATACATTCCATAAATTTAATATTAATATGAGTTTCTTTAGGTCCAAACAGATGAAATATTATAGTTTAGTCATCCCAAGAGAGAGTGCTTGGGTAGTTATGGATCAATTGGGAAGACTGGGATAGTTACATATTATAGATTATGATCCTTTATTGCCAATGATGAATAGACCATTTGCCAATTATGTAAAAAGGTACACAAAATCCAGACTATTATAGATGTGACGAATCGTTATTTAAATTGAATGGACTTGATGCAATCCTTAAGCAATTCAAAAAAAAACTTATATATTGTGAAGATACGCAAAAGTTGCTTGATCACTTCAGAGACATATAGAATTCACGGTAAAAACCTGGACATACTTATTTTGATGAATTAGAATAGGAAATAGATAAGAAGAAAAGCAATATTCAAGAAATGTCAAATAATTTTGTAGAATTTATTAGACAGAGTAGATTCAATTACAGAATAAAAATTAGTATTAGAAAAAGCAAAAGAGATCTTGGGAAAATAAATGTTTTCGTAGTAAGTTGAGATTTATAACTTAGATCAACTCCTCATAATCTGAGTGATTATCAACAATTAAAATTTGGACAATTAATCGGAGTTATTGATAAAGAGGATGAAACCAGATTCAAAAGAATAATGTTTAGAATCACAAAAGGTAATGCATGGGTTAATATTGTGGATCTTTTGCCTGAAAAATAGCACCATTAAATAAAAACATCAATAGATCTGAATAGAGTATTTGTTCTTCTTTAAGCAAGGCATAATAACCAAGATGCTTGTATGTTGTTGTTTATCCTGGAATGAATGATTAAAGTACTTTGAAATAGAAATTGCTCAAAGTTTGCGATTCATTTTCTAAAAACAGAATAGAATATCCAAATTCTTAAGAATCTATGGACAACAAATTGAGAGAATTATCAATACAGATAAGCGAGGCATAAAGTTTAATTCAAATGACCAAAAAATAATTAGATGTTACTTTAGATGAGTTGGTTAAGGAGTAGAATGGATGCAATTGCTCTTACTTTGAATAGTTAAGATTATATGTTTTAAAAGAGAAATATCTCTATGTTAATTTAAATTACTTAATGATGTAAGGTTCAATTTTTACTGGATATTTCTGGTTACCTGAAGGACTTGAAGTTTAAGTTGAAGATAAATTAAGAAATGCTATGTAGAACAGTATCGACAGATTTCCAACTGGATAAATTCAAGAGTTGAAACCCAAACCAGGAGATCTGGCTCCTACTTATTTTAATCTGAATGAAGTTACAATGCCTTTTTAAGAAATTGTAAATACCTATGGAGTACCAAGATATCAAGAAGTAAATCCTGGTTTATTCACAGTGATTACATTCCCATTTCTATTTGGTGTGATGTTTGCAGATATAGCTCATGGTTTCTTATTGCTATTGTGTGGATTGTATGTGATAGTCTGGAAAAATCAATTAAAGAAAGAGGCAGATTCAATGTTTAATGCAATGATCCCATTTAGATATCTGTTAGCTCTAATGGGATTGTTTGCATTCTATAATGGATTAATTTACAATGATTATCTCTCAATATCTCTTGATCTTTTTGGCAGTTGTTATTATCCTAAACATGAAGAATGGGAAAGGGAATAGAATTGTGTGTATCCGTTTGGTATTGATCCTGTTTGGTTGGCATCAGGATCAAGTCTAAATTTCATGAATTCCTACAAGATGAAATTGGCTGTAATTTTAGGAGTAATACACATGTTATTTGGAATTTTAATGAAAGGAGCCAATACTTTATATTTCAGAAATTATTTGGATTTCTTTTGTGAATTCATTCCCCAATTGTTATTTATGGTTTGTACATTTGGTTGGATGGATTTCCTAATCATAATGAAATGGTTGAATGTGTATCCAAATGGAAAAGATCCAAGTATCATTGAAACAATGATTAACCAAGTACTAAAACCTACTGATGAAGCTGAATCTCCAGTATTCCCAAATAATGCTTCTTTATAATTATCTGTTACGCAGTTATTGACAGTGATTGCTGTAGTTAGTATTCCATGGATGTTGTTTCCAAAGCCCTTAATTTTGGGTTCAGGTCAGAAGAAACATAAAGTATAAGCAAACGAATAGCAATATCAAAAACTGATCTCTGAAAAGCAAGGATCTGAACTTGAGATTGATCCTTAATAATTTAGAAAGGATTTATAGAATGCTGCTTCTAGTAGGAGTGTAGATCATTCTGAGTAGGATCATGATTCTGGGGAAATTTGGGTACATTAGATGATCGAAACAATTGAGTTCGTGCTGGGAGGTATCAGTAATACAGCATCATATCTTCGTTTGTGGGCCTTATCTTTGGCTCATGGATAATTGGCAGAAGTATTCTACGATATGTGTCTTGCAGGGAATTTGGATATGGGTGGAATAATGGGTGGATTGATGAGTGGGTACTTTTATATTGTGTTTGCATTGTTGACCTTCGGAGTGCTGATGATGATGGATGTGATGGAATGTTTTTTACATGCATTACGATTACATTGGTATGAATTGGTTTCATTTTTTAAAGGGTGGAATTTTAGAGTAAATTCTATAAGGCTGATGGATATCTATTCGTGGGATTTTCATATAACAAAATGTTATAAGAGCATCTTAAATGACTTTATGGAATTTGAGAAGGATATGTAATTATATTATATATTTCATATACGTTTTATAAATAAAATAATGAATAGTTATTAATATGACAATGCTCTCTTTACGGTTTAAGTCGCAAGGAAGCATTTCTTCTCAGATAAGATTTACTAACTTTACTTATTTCAGGATGAAATCGTAATGACTGATGTATGCTCCATTTGATAACTCTAGAACACTTTACGCTAACCCAAATACACCATAAAATTAAATTTGACTACGACAATCAATTGGATTGTGTAGGACAACAAAATACTAGCATTCTCATTTACATATAAAAATACTATCAAACCTTTTTATGCTCCAAAGTTACAACTTTTGAAAGAAATGATTGCTGGCAGAGTATTTTATACTTCGATCAATGAGTTTTATCAAATCTAAATGGTTGTAGGTAATGGAATGTCAGGCGAAGTATATTAATCCAATATTTTGTTTTAGGTTTACAGATGTGTCTCTAACACTGGGGAATATTTTGCAGTTAAAAAATGTGAAAAGATGAAATTAGCATCTCATGAAGGGGGAATTGTAATCATATCTTCCATAACTCTAGCCTCAATTAATACACGAACTCTCGCTTCTGCAATCTCTCCAACATCCCAACATCCTGAAATTGAAGGAAGTCTATACTGACGAATCATATTATTACATTGTGACTGAATTTATCGAAGGCAGAGCTTTAAGCACTGAGTTGCAATCTCGACCCTATGGATTGAGTGTGGCTGAAACCATCAAGATTATGCTCTAAATTCTCGATGCCCTTATCTATATTTCAGAGCGAGGGATTATGCACAGAGACATCAATCCCCACAATATTATGAAGTCAGAGCCCATCAAATTGATCGATTTCGGATTAGCTAGAAAAATCAAGAACCAGTTGATATTTCCAACTTCAGGCACTCCTGGTTACATTGCACCTGAAATCATTAACTTTAACAAGGACAAACTCTACGATGACAGAGCAGATGTCTACAGTTTGGGATGTGTGCTTTACAAATTGTAATTACACTCTTTTATTCTTAGGCTAACTGGGGAGAATCTCTTTCATAAACAAAAAAACATCTTCTAAGAAAATAAAGAGGGCATCTATGAATTAAGAAAGAATTATCAGCATCCTGAAGTTAACTCTATCAAAATGGATTCATTATTTATTTTATTACCTTATATGTTAGAAAATGATCCTAATAACAGAATGACAGCCAAAGTATGTAAAATTGTTATTTAAGAAATTGATAATAACAATCAATAAATTGAAAAATTAATCAAGAAACTTGTCATTTTTAAATTTTTTTTACTTAGTACTGAAGAAACACATAATGAAAATAAAACTCCACATAGCATGTCCTCTCATAGTCATAAGAATAAAAAGTAATCAATAGACATGCTCAAAAGATCAGATGACACTTCTTAAAAAGGACATAAAAAATAATAACAAACTATGGGTAATCTAAATTTAAGCTTTGCTACTAAAAAATGAATATGAATATTTTTTATTATTCTTGTTTTTTTATTTGATTCATATTATGTTATTTTTATTATTTATATATTTATATTGTATTACTTTAATTTTATCATTGTAAAAAAATAATAACTAAAAATAGTAATATTATAATACAAATTTAACCTTAATATTCTTTAATATAATTATATAAGATCTCCCCCTCAAAATTTGATATCACATTAAATCATCACTTTAAGATATATAATCCTAAACAAAATTTCCATTTTTTTTGATTAGTGAAATACAATTCAAAGATGAATTATAATTTATTAAATATTAATGGATTAAAAAAAAGTGGGAAACTATTACTTATTTTATAATAAGTTGCTTGGCAAAGGAGCTTTGGGAGAAGTTATTGTTGGCCAAAGAATTGCAGATAATAAACTAGTGGCTGTCAAAATTATAAAGAAATAATATCTTGAAGGAAAACAAAATTTCGAGAAGTATTATATTTTGTTTGAATCAGAACTGGATTAAAAAGGAGCATTTAAAGAGAAATTGTCATCTAAAAGTCCCTCGATCATAAAAATATCATTTAGATGTACGAAGCAAAAGAATCTGGCAATAATATTTACATGTTCATGGAATTAGGAGAATGTACACTCTAGGATTACCAATAAAAACGTACATATCATTTTCGCATTTTAAGATAAGTTAACTAATGAAGACGTTAAGAAAATAATGATATAATTGTTGTAAGCCTTACATCACATGGTTAATTTTAAATTGACTAATCCATTATAAAACAATAAGGAATATCGCGGAATCTGTCATTTAGACTTGAAACCTTAAAACATTCTCATGATAGGCGATATACCAAAAATAACTGATTTTGGAATGTCGATTTAGATGAACAATGATCAACCTTCAGAAATAAGTACCATGACTGAGGAATTAAGTCAAACTCATCACTTCTACTTAGGAAAAGGCAGTCTAGTATGAATTTATTGATGAAGATAGAAATATATGTCCTATGAGCAATTGCTTGGAGATTAAATACCAGAATTAGAGAAAATAGATGTATGGAGTCTTGGAGTCATTCTCTATGAAATAGTATATGGAAAGCATCCCTACATTAATACAGGAGGTGGCGTGAATCTGAATTAAATCTTAATAACTTAAATGATAGAATAGAAAGAAATAGAATTTCCTCACACTAATTATGATAAATGGGTAATAGACTTGTTAAAGGGCATGTTACAATTAGATTACACAAAGAGATTTAATTTATAACACTGCCTAAATCACCCTTTTTTAAATTGATTATTCAAGTTATTAAGTAATTATTTATTTAAATATATTCAAAATGCTAATTTTTCAAGCAATTGCTCTACTTTATTACTCAATGATTCTTAATAATCTGTATTGCTGAATTCATACACTTCTGAAAATTCAAAAGTCTGACTATCATTAAGAATTGATCTCTCTAATTCATAAATGATTGTGCTTTATTCAGAGGATTCGTTGTTTTAGACATTTTTTTGAATTTCGCTTTTCAAAGGTAAATTGTATTAATTTGTCGTTTTCTATTTTAATTTCATCAAAGCTTCGTGATATACAAGTTATTCTGTTTATCTCTTATTTATACCAGTCCTGGTGATATTTAAGAGTGAATCTAATTCTAATTGAACCTTGAAAACATTAGCTGAATTTGCATCTTTTTTCCATTCAATTGATACCTTTGGTTTCAAATCCGTAAAGTTGTTGATGAATTCAAGAAATGATGACTTGGCATTCTATTTTAGTTCTGCAATTGGGATATTCTGACCTCTATTTTGTAATAATGCTACATTACTTATCTAAGAGTTCCTTAAATAAAGGTTAAGTTATTTCTCTAACATGTTCTAAATCAAATCCAGAATCGTAATATTGTGCTGCCAAAATGGCTTTTAATGATTCAGCCAGAATCTTAGGATTTCTTCTATATAAATTAAAAATGAATATACTTTAAAGCGGTTTGATTACCTATTTGGACAATATTAGGTAAACTATATTGTAATGCAATATCTGCCAAATTTTTCTCATTAAGTAATCTTTATCTCAGCTAAACTATATCACTGGGCTTTTTAATTGAGGAATCTTTGTTGGGATATCTACTTAATGTAATGAAATACCCTCTCTAAATCAGATAATCAGAGAAATAAAATTCTAATATCATTTATCCAATCACAACAAATTCCTCATTGTTTCCAAATGGGTATTTTATTCCTTTTTTAGATTAAAATTCTAATTCATGAATCTTATTTGTTAAAGCTTATGCTAAAATATTTATATTTTAAAATCTAAAGATTCTATTATTCATTTTGAAGTTTTAATAATGCTTTTAGTTTCCTGAAAATTAAATATCTCTTGACTAACAAATTAGTTAAGAAGTAAGACTTTAAATTTAATCATCAATTATAGACTTACTACATTCTCTATAAAATTGGTTCTATCTTAAATACAATAAATTAAAATCTTTTGAACGCTTTAATCAATTCTAATATATTTAAAAAAAGTATTTAAATTTAAAATTTTATACTTTTATATACTGGCACAACTCAAATAAAATTTCAGCCACTCAGGAGAAAACAACTAATAGAATAAGTAACCTTTCAAATTATAATTAATTGATTTAATTTAAAACAATTTTTCAAAAGATAAATTAAAATTCTTGTTCAACAACAAAATAATATAAGGAATGTTATATAAATAACAAGAAAAAGATAACAATTATCATGCTCATTTAAAATTAAGGAGATCAATTTTCTAGTTGCACCCCATAATTTATATGTAATTCCATTTAAATCTCCTATGCTAGATGATAATTCTAATAATCAATATAAGTGTATCTTCAAGAAAATATCATCTCTTTGATTAAGTTGATTTGAGTAATTTAATGATATCAACATACAATGAGTAAGCAAAATGATTGAGTGGTTTTCAAATTTCGGCAAGTATATTTATTAATATAATTTTTTTCTTGGGTTTGGATATTTAGAAGCAGGATATCAAAAATAAATAGCATCTTTTTTTTAACTTATATTCTCATTATTTTTCATTTATAGTTTTTACATACATTTATTTGAATCTGCTAGTCATTAATCAATGTCTAAATTATTAATTCTGTTCCAGAAGCACATGCATTTTTAATCTCATAAGGGCTATTTTATCATTAGATTCAATTATAATTAAAGCCTTATCAGCACACTAAAGTGAATTTGTTATCGAATTAAATTTGAAGTAAGTAGGAGTTAAAACTAAATAATTGATTAATTATATTAGATTTTTGATTATCTTTCAATATTATGTATTAATTCTAGATGAATAGGTAAATATTTAGTTGATTATTCCATGCTATCAATTACTCTTGTTGATTAAATGTACTATCTAACTAGTCACTTTTTATTTTCTCTCATAATTAATCTATCTTCTAACTTAGTAAAGCATATGCATCCAGCATTATAATAGAGTATAAATTATTAGTTAATATAATTCTAATTGCATGATTCATTTTCTTAATTTCTATTCTCTTTTAACGTTTGTTCCTCTTAATTAATATTTTTGTTTTGTTGTTTGAGCTATGTTCGGATTTCATGTTGAGTGCTATAATTCTACTCTTGTATTGTGTGGTCTTCAAATTTATTAAGGCAATTATAAATCAACGATCCACTTTATAAAATAATAATAAATAATAATGTCAGAGAATAACAAAAAATCAGTAATTATTGTGAAATAGAACTAAAAGGAGGAAGAGGAGGAGGAATCTGAATCAGAGTCTGAGTCATCTCATTGTTTCGTGAATTTTGTGAATTCTTATTCAAGGTTCATCAATGAATAAAGTGACACTTGCTTGGAGATGGGCTCAGTCCTTAATGAATTAAATGAATAAATATCGAGCTCCAAGCCTCCTTAAGGAACAGTAGAAGAGTTATAATAGATCTTAGAAATAACTCCTTAACAGATCAATGAACTTGCTCAGCAACTCAAACAACTTCCCGATTCCAAAATATATTAGTGTATCTAAAATATTGAGAAGTAGGAAATAATTTGTAATAAAATAGATTAAATTTGAAACTGCAATTGGATTTGAATGTTGAGATGGAGAAAGCCAAAGCAAATGGATTGATCTGATCAATTTTGGTTATTTTTATTTATGCATTATAAAAAAACATCTAATGGAGATTAATTTACATTTCTAAATAATCGAGTGAATGAATTAATGACCTAAGTGGAAAATCTGGAGTAGATCATTCAATAGTAGAAGAAAGAAATCAGTTATTTGGTGGCAGCTCCATTAAATGATGAAAATAATTATCTCAAAGAAAAAATGAAACTCTTAGAATAAGAGAATACATAGTAAATGGAATACTATGAGGAGATAATACTCCAACATGAATTGAGAAACCAAGAATACGTAACCAAAGTCAAAGAAGAACAACACTCATTTCAATTATAAATAGACCAATTGGAAATGAAAATTCAGATCATCTTGGAACACAACGATAAGTTATAAGAATAAATGAATTAGAGAGACAACATTGAATTGCAATAGAAGTTTTAAAAACTTATGTAAGATCATAATCAAATCTAGTCAAATTTTGAAATCTCGAACAAAGACTTTTAATTGCTTAAACAAGAGAAAGACAAACAAGACTAGGAATTATGGCTGTTGAAAAATTAAAATGCATAAATTAAAACTCAATACATTTATCAATAGGAATAATCTAATCAAAAAGATCTAGAATGCAGTTAATTAGTAAATGAATTAAGTTACTTATAAAATTAACTGCACACTTAAATTTAATAGAACAAAGATCTCAAAAAATATAATGACGATAAAAGTGTAATCATTGATTAATTGACAAAGTAGCTTTAAGAATTAAACTAGTATTTGATTGATCATAAATTTATATCATAATAATAGTGATCCTATAATATTGCCTAAATCTAGAGCTCCTATTAATCCTAATATTAAATAACAAATAAAATTACATTCGTTTTTTACAATTAATTTTTATGAGTCCAAAAAATAATATTCCTTTATTCAATTTAACCCAGATAATAGTAGGGATTGTCGCATTTTCCCAAGGAGTTCAGCATTTGGCAGATTTATCAATTCAATACTTATATAAGGATGATTTTCATGTATCACCAAGTAGGATGGGAGTGTATATTGGACTATCGTAATTGCCATGGTATAATAAATATTTAGTTTATTCATAGGATTATTAAACCTGTTTGGGGAATTATTTGCGATTCCTTTCCTATTTTAGGTTCCAGGAGAAAAGCCTATATTGTGTTCTGTGGTTTTTTAAGTTTCATTGGATGGCAATTAATGGCATATACAGGAGTTGACAATGCTTATGTGGCTGTTGCTTTACTAATTATGATATCATCTTCTGTTTGTATTTGCAATGTAGTTGGAGGTAAAAATAAGTTAAATTGTAGAGGCGTTAATGGTTGAATAATGTGCAAATGATCATGCAGCAAATAATGTATCGGTGTTCTTTGGATTCAAAGCTGCAGGTGGATTAATTAGTGCTTATTTTTCAGGGATGTTGCTTATGTATCTAACTAAAAGACAAAGTAAACCTCCTTTACATAATAAATAGTATTCCTTATTAATAGCATATTCCCATTAACGATGGCATTGCTTTCTTTGAAATTGAAAGAGACTGAATAAACTCAATAATCATAAAATATAAAGGAAGTTTTGAGTACGTTCTGGACATTTTTCTCAAATCCCAAAATCTATTAGTAAATATTTAATCTAATTCAAGAGGCCTGTATTGTTAATTTTAGCATTCATGATGGTACCTTCAAGTAGTTCAATAATGTTTTATTTTTATACAGAAGTCTTGCATTTTACTCCGAAATTCATGGGATATTTGAAATTCATTAGTTGTTTAGGAACACTTCTGGCAATTTTATTGTATAGAAATTTCTTAAAGGATATCGCATTTTAAAAGATATTCATCACTACTACAATTTCATTTTTCTTTTGCTATCTCTCAACGATACCTTTGGTTACAAGAATGAATGTATAATGGGGAATAGATGATAGATTTTTCTGTCTCGGTGATTCAGTTATCTTATAATTTATTGGAGAATTGAATTTGTTACCTATATTAGTGTATGCATGCAAAATATGTCCTAAAAATATTGAAGCTACCATGTATGCTATGCTTATGGCTACGATGAACTTTGGAACTTTTGCTGGAGGATAATTAGGCAATTTTATCTTATATGAAATGGGAATCAATTAATAAGATTATTCTAAGCTATATATTTTTATTGCTCTTTCAAGTATCTTCTTTATTTTACCTCTGCCATGGATTCATTTAATAAATGACAAAGCCATACCAATTGAAAAAGAATAAGAGCCTACTTAGATTTAAGATGTGGAGGAATAATAAAAGTTGATTGCTGAAGAAGAATGAATTACAATAATAAAATAATATCAATTCAATACATAATTTTCATTATTTTGAAATGTCCCAAATTACTTTAATCTTAAAAATTAATGCGAGTTTTTTTATAAAATTATTGGTCTTAATTGAGTTAAAACACTCTAAAATTAGTATTTTATAAGTCAATTTTAAAATCAAGGACTAAACTCATGGTTGCAAAATGGATTAATTCTAATTAATAAACATATGTTTTCAAGTCTATAATTGAATTTTAGATTTTTGGTGATTATTAAATTATAATAAAAACTAATTCGTTCAAAAAAAATAATTTTCATTAGAAACTAAGTAAATATGAGGATATTTTAATCAAGATTTAATTATTCTTAATTTCAAAGGCAAAAAACTAAAGAAAATTTAAAGTTTTTCTCTTAAATAATTGAAAATTCAAATTATTGTTTTTGTCCATTAAGGTAAATATAATTATAAACCAGCATGACTTGGTGTAATCTGATATTATAAAGGATAATCAAAATATTTATATCAAAAACATTTTATGATATTCTGAAAATTGTATTATTAATATATTAAATAGAGCATGATTAGAATTACTTTAGATTTCTTAGTTCTTGAAGTACCTTCTTATAATAACTATTATATAGATTATTTTAGATGTTAAGATTGTATTTAATTTTAAATCAAAATGCTGGTGGGAATTCAAAATCACCAAATTCAGATGGAATTTAATATGTGCCAGGACCAGGGACTTAAGATGAATGATGTAATTACATTATTTATTTTTAATCTCCTAGGTCTATCTTTCTTAATAGCCAAATCGAAATCCACTTCTAGTAGAATATTATGAAGGCAAATAGTTTCTTGGATCTCCTATGTCTCCAGGGGGATCATAAGTTCCAGGGCCAGGAATCTTTTTAACTCTTTGAGATTAAGCAGTAGACGGAGAAATAACAGGAGCTCCACTACTTTTATATTTCCCAACAAAGTAATTTCCTTTTTAACTGAAACCACCTACATTATATCGACCTGGGGCAGGAGTTGTGGATTCAAGGTAAATGTCTAAGAAATAAAGGGATAAAATGTACGTTTGGCTGATGTCCTTTCTCCCATGGAATATTTATAAGTAGTGACGATGTCTTTGACTTAATATAAATTGGGAGCAGGATTAGTATTAGGTCTGCCATGAAGACCTTTGGATAGGGTTTCATCTCTTCCATAGGCAAATTTGACTCCTGGCTTTGGTTATAATTTGACATTGTAATCTGTAGGGCCAGGAATATATTTGTCCCGTTTTGTGAAATCAGATTTAATCCCAAATCCTAGGGCTGCTGATCTCTTACTTAATTGTGTTTAAATTCTAGAATAAATATGAGGATTTACTATGAATCATAGAACTACATTGAACAATAACTCTCTTTGGGCTTGGAAAACCTTTGAGCTTTAGAAAAGGTGTATTGCTATTTTGCATGAGATCTGTTTATTTAATCATGAATTATTCTGGTATCAAATTATTCTGCTGTTCTTAGATGTAGAAATGAGCTTGAATTTCTTTTATTATAAATCTATTCAAGTGTTTTAAATGTCCTTTCAGTAGTTGTTTTAACTCGTTATTACTTTTCAGTTTCTAATCGTCTATTCTAATCTTTTCTCTATGTAGTAGTTTCCATCTCTCCTTAGGTTGCTATCCTTTTAGTTTCATCATTTCCTTCCTTTTTTTAATTGTGTTGTTCTTCATGTTCTTCTATTCTCTATGGATCTTAATGATCTTCAACTTAATCTAAACCTTCGTTTTCATTTTACTAAACATTTTCATTTTGTGTTTATTTTTATTCTTCATCTTCATTTTATTATTATAACTATTCTGTATTTTGATTATTGTCTATTTACTCTTACTGAATCTCCTCTTATTAAATCAATTAGTTCATTGTTATTTAATTATATTTAATTTTATAAAAATAAATACATTCTCAAATATTGTAGTTTATTTGATGATGAAATACAGATTTAAAACTTACACTTCCTTGTTTATATTAATAAATTAATGCATTTAATATATAATCCACATGATGTCTTATATATATATATATAAATATATTTAAAGTCAAACAGCAACTTCACTAATATATCTTTCGATGGTCCACCCTCTTTTCACATATTCATCTAATTATTATACTTGTTTTCCAAATATCACTTATGATGTCTAACCGTCAGCCATTTGCTTTAACACATATTGAGCTTGCTCCTTCACATCTTCTTCAGAAACTGCCAATATCTATTACATTTTCTCAGGATCTTCAATGCTAAAACTACCTAATTTTGCTGAATTCAAATTATCCTAATCTAGACATTCTAGTAATAAATGAACTGCATTTTCAAATATTCTGTAGGTTCTGAGTGTATGAATATCATTGACAGTATAAAATGTCAATTTCCCTGTGTTATATTGACAGTATCCTAATTGTGAATCGTTACAATATTAAGGAATGAATATATGTGTTAGGAGATTAGATAAAATGTAATTAGCTGGTTTATGGGCAATTTGGATTGTTTCAGTAACACAGTTTGTGTGAGTGTTTAAGGCAACATATAATTTTAAGTATTGAAACTCCTATTTGAATGGAACTACTTCATACTTTTACTCGAAGTCTATTTTATTCATCAAGTAATCTAAAGATACATTTATATAGTAATACCATCAAATTATAACTTGATATTTGTCAATAGTAAGTTTAGTTAAGAGTTGATTTTATCTTTTAAAAGGGGATTTGAATATACTTCGAAAGACTAGATGTTCTTATTCATTATTTTATAGAAACAAGCAATTAATTGCTGACTCAATTGTTCCAATATCTGTTTTGCACTATAATTTTTTAAGATATCAACTTCTAATTAACAAATTTTCCTTGCTTATTAAATGATGGGGTATTTCTCTTATTAGGAATATGAGACAGCAATCTAAGGGATGTCCTCATTGCTTAAATAATTAGCACTTATGATAGACAAGGATTAACTTATCAATTCTAAATTATCCAAACCTGGATCAGTTACTAATTGAAATTATTAAAAGGCTTCCTCAATATTCTTATCCAAACAGATCAATTCTATAATTAATTTATCTTCAACCACAGAACACTCTAAATCATGTTAACTTACTTATTTATTGAAAAGCTCAGGTAATATGTCTTTTAAAATGCAAATGGTTTCATAATCCTTTTGACTAAATTAACTTACATCGATGATCCATCTGATGTTGCTTTGTTGAGGGTGTTTAGCTGCAAAAATACTACAAGGAATGTTAACTATTAAATAGAAGGTATTAAATACAATTTAGATCTAATTTGATTGAATTCTTCTATTTCAACAACGGTATGATGTTGGCAGCATTTAATTTAGGTAATGATTCTAAACTCAAAACATCTGTGTCTTCCTCTATGATTTTTTATTATTCAGATAGTTATTGATAGTTCACTTGTAATTATTTCAAATGCTATTTAATTTCTGTAGTCATGTCTTCGATATAATATTGATCAGCCTCCATATTCACAGTGCATTTATCTTTAGTAAAATACTTTTCGATTAAAGATTAGAAATCTTCGCTTTTGCATTCCTAGTTTAAGTATATTGATGGTTTGACATTATTTATAATATATGGAATTATATCGGATACATTAATTGATCTTCTTAATCTGATTCTATCCAATGCAATATTGATAATATTTTAAGGTATTACCTGATAGATATTATCAGTTATTTATTTCATAAATGTATACAATTCTTGTTCGCATTCCTTGTTATTAAATCCGAATTATATAATTTAATTGTGTAAAGTCATATCTGCTCCGAAATTGAGACAATACTATCCATACTTCTCAAGAATGGGTCTTAATCCATAATCCTAAATATCATGCAACAAAAATGATAGAATTCCTAACTTGAAATAATCTTCAGGTGTTTCAGTTAGATTAGCACCTCTATAAGCAAATGAAAATGAAGGCTATCCTTTCAATGATAATCTAGGTTCAAACAATTTAGCAGGTTGGTAATCCAATTACTTAATCGGTTTGATGGTATTTTAATGTTATTCAATTAAATCATTAAAATATTAACAATATTATAAAACATCTATGTCTCCTACAGTCACAAGGTAAGCATTAGACAAGTGAATGTAATCCTTATAATATTGCTAACATCTTTCATAACTCGCATTAGTCATCTCTTTTGGAATTCCCCCTGTAGTGTACTGATAAGCAGTTCCTTCTAGAAGATGCTTGCGAACTGCCTCTGCATGAATAAAATCTGGTTATTCTAATTGTTTTATCATTTAATCGTAAACTATGCCTCTGAGTATGAGTTCATTCCCTCCAAGTACTTGAACTCTAATTTGCTAGAGGAAATCAACTTCCCTGAACATAGGTCTGAAAACTTATTCAAAAGTGAGATTGAAAAGTTGTTTCAAGTCTTCAAATAAAGCAGATTAAACCTAAAACACCGTATGATCTGTGCTAACATAAGGCACTAAATCTGGAGGTTGTAGAGAGCGTCCTCTCATATGAGACCATGCATCTCTGACTGGATATCTTTATGAACCACATGTTAAGATTTATTATACAATATGTGGAATTCCACTATTATCGATAGCTGGAGTTTTAAATATCAAAGCTCCTTGATTCACAATAGAATTAGTTGCAAAATGAATATAATTTGTATTAGTAGTTGTGTGATGCATTTTATAACACAATGTCTAAAAATCTCTTGATCTATAGAATTCATCGACTTTAAAGTTATTATAAGTTTCACCTTCTTTCAATTACTGTTTAAATACACCTCTAACTAATATTTGATTACTTCAACATACCTGACTTGATATTATGTGATGGTACTAAATTATGCTTTTCTTAATTAATTCAACATTAATTATAAAAATTTATGACAAAAGCAGCTTAATCTTGTAATTATCAATTAATCATTAAATTAATGAAGTAATTGTTTAAATCTATGGAATAATATGATGGAAAATGAGTATTATGAGTAATAGTAGAACTATATTGAATGCAACTAGAATTTTCAAAAAGGTGCTTGCTGTTCATAAGGATACTTGATATTGTTAAAACTGAACTAAAATCAAATGTAAATTCAGTTTATATGGGTTTTATATAGAATCAATAATGAACAATAATTTTAAAAACTACGTTTTAATTACATCAACAAAGTTTATAATATATAAATTCCAGAAATATTGCTATTGTTCTATCTCGAATTTTAAGTATTTTATTCGGAAGTGAATGCAGTAAAAGGTCGCAGTCCATTCTACATTAATTTGAGATTTTTCAGTCTCTGTAATATGTTATATATTGTATAATCTATTATTATAATAAACATCATTTGATAATGCAAAAAAAAACGCCCTTAAATAGGTAGGTGGTTTTGGAATGGTTTGAATAGCCAGATGAACTACTAGCTAATGCTCTTCTGAGAAATTATTAATTCACATTCTCGAAATTACCTGAGCAAGAAGAAATATAATTAATTTTATGCTCAGTTGAAAAAGCTTACAATAGCAAACGAGGGGCCTGGACTCCTTGTCAAGATAAGTTTCTTAATCTTGCTGTTTTGGGGATATGCCTGAGAAATCATGTAAGACCGGTTGAGCTGGTATTTATATTTCCTATTTTTCTAGTCTCCATAATATTGGGAGTAGATTTCGAGGTTGTTTAGATTTCATAATTGGAAATCATGCAGGAATAGATGGTTAGAAGAGTGTCACAAAAAAGCAAGTTGGACACCCTAAGAAGACAGAGTCTTAAAAGAATTACAGTAATTTAAACCAAATAAATGGTGTGAGATTGCTTTGGATTTGATGAGGATTTGTAAAACTCCGTATGTTCGATAAGGAAAATAATGTCGTGATAGGTGGATAAATAAACTAGATCCCAATATCGTCAAGTAGTTTAATATATATATAATTCAATTAGTTTGCCTTGGACAAGAGAAGAGGAGCTTTTATTGTTTAAGGAAATTGAACAAAGAGGAAAAAAATGGGCTGAAATTTCTCTCCAAGTGTTTTAATTGAAGAGGACAGAAAACACAATCAAAAACAGATATTACAATCTTTTGAAATAAGCAGAAGCAAAAATGAAATTCGGAAGGATAACAAAAGAATTGAAAAATAAAATATTGGTCGATTCGGTCATTAATCAATTAGAAACATCTATAAATTATTAACCCAAGTTAGAACAAGGGGAAGAATATTAAGTCAAAAATTACCAAATCCATTTATTTGACTTCGATAATATTGATAACTATGAGGAAATTGTTCTCATTTCTAAAGGAAAACTTGTTAAATTAAATGATCAGTAGTGATTTTAATTTTATTTATATTTGGATATCTTATATTAGTATGTTAATCATTAAAATTTAAATTATGATTATAAATTCTGTTATTTTGAAAAAATTAAATCTCATTTTAATAATTAGGTTTCTCATATATTCAAAAAAAATTAACATTTTATTTAATCCACATAAACTGAGTTATCAAAAGGATTGTTAATATACCATTTTTATTCACACTCTCTATTTGAAAAATAATATTATAAATATATCTATTAAAATTGATTGACTAATCAAAATCTACACTCTTTATAGGGAAATGGAGTATTTAAAGAAATTTTCAGCATTTTTTTTGAAAATTTAACAGAATAATAAATTATTATATTATAATGAAATGAAGATAATATGATTAAACAGAACAGCATAAATTCTTAATTTAATATTCTATAATATATATACTTATCGAATTAGAGACTTTTTGTCCATATTTGCCATAAAAACAATTGATTTTAAAATCGATTAGAATTCAAATTAATTGTCTTAAAATGGATTACATCCATTCTAGCTCTTACAAAAAGTGTAAAAATATATTGAAAGAGTTTTCGAGATTATTTACATATTGCCATGTCAATATTGTACTGATTTTAATATAATTGAATCATTCCTTCAAAGCAAACTTTCTTAATGGGAAATTGTTGAGTCTCTTCCATTATCTCTATGTTTTTTAAGCTTTACACATAACTAAATATATATACCTTTTTCGCTTCTTGTAAGTCTTTATCTAATTGCTCTTGTTTTCTTGCCTCTAAGATCAACAGGAAGTTTGCCACTTGATTTAGTAGCACTTTTGACTTAATTTCTTCTTTATTCATTTATGACTGTCAAATATTTAGCAATTCGCTTTCTAACAAGCTTGATTATTCATATATTATGTTACTCCAATTCTGCCAAGTTTTTAGGCATTACCTGCTGATACTTTCACTGTTCTCAATTAAATTAATTCACCCTTAAGCTTTTCTAAGTCCTTGAGGAGATCTTCAGGCTTTTATTCTCTGAGCTTTCTAACCTTGAACTTTTAGGACATTATTTAAATAAAAGGATTTAATTTTTATCAAATATGAAGAATTATTTTCAATATAGCAATCAATATTCTGTAAATACATTATCAAAACTCAAAATTATCATCTAAATTCATAGTGTTGCTAGGTCAATCTATCTGAAATAATACACATAATTTTGTGATATAGTTTCTAATAAAATTAGACCAAAATCTTTTGATTTTTCATATAATTATTATTTCTCTCCTTTTTGAAAAAAAGAATGATTCATTTTAATGACTTTCTATAATAAAAATATATATGCAGATATCATGAATATAAATAGAAATCAATATGCTATCATTTAAAATATTTTAATATATTATTTTTTCTAATCTACTTTGTTTAAGCGGATTTATGAATAATAAGTAAGTACTACAATCAATAATTTGAGTAATTATTAAATATCAATTCTTTTATCATGACTTATAATAAAAATTTGATTACGGTTTAATTCAATGCATTAAATCTAAGGATATTAATTTAGAAACACTAATTAAAATGCAAATTGATAACTTAGAATTTATATTTGAATTAGGAATTGATTAAAAAATATCTTTATAGTTAAAATTAATGTATTCATTAATTATTTCAGAAAGTTTTAGTATTTTTATTTGATTTTCTAAATAATTTATTTAAAAGGAATAAAGTGTATATGTATATTTTATAAAGGAACACCAAAGTCTAATTTAATTTATAAGAGATATTAATTAAAATTATAAAGAGAGTGTGGAATGATAGTTATTTAATTTAAGCATCTAAAGGTTGCTATATTGATATACTCTTAATTAACAAAATAAATTTTGAAATGACAAAATGGTAGAATTGTACTAATGAATTAGAATATGTTAAATTGATTATATTATTTTATAATTTTATGGCTTCGTAAAAATTTATGGAAGTGTTATCAAACAATGACAAGTTAAGAATGAATGATATGAAACTGATTGAGCAGGAATAATATTATATCAGCTAGTTAAAGGATTAAAGGGAAAAAGTAAAAACCCATTTTAATGATAGATGGAATTATTAAAAATTGAATTTTTGAAGAAGGATCATGTAATATTAGAGTTGTAAGGGCATTTGGAATAATTATAAGAAGAATGTGAATAACTCAGAGAAATTTACTAAGAACATGTTCAGAATCAAGAAAATGAATTTTATAGATTGAATTAATTATAGGTGGAAAAAGATAATCTAATGAAAGACAACGAAGAATTAAAGGATGTAATCTTACATTTACGAAATGAAAATGAAACTTTAAATGTATTCAAAATGATATTATTTCATAGTCGTTATAATTTAAAAATGATGATTAGTTAAGATAGTTATAAGAATAATTGGTTGTGTGGACAGATGAAAATTAAAGATTAAAATAAGAAATAGCCAAGTTGGACGAACTTCTCTTTACATACGAACCTTTAAAAGAGGAAAACGAAAAATTGAATGAAAAACTAAAATATTATAAGCATGAAAAGCACAGACTATCCTCAGAATTGAAATAAGGAAAACAAGAAATTAATAAACAAATAGAAGAATTTAAATAAGGTTATGTTAAGGACTTAAAAAATGAGATTTAAAGATTACAAGAATACAAAGAATAATATTAGTAATTAAAAATACAAGTTCAAGATTTTGAATAGTAATACATTGAAGCAATTAAAGAAAACAATGAATTAAAATTAGAAATTAAATCTCTATATGAAAAGGAGGAGAGTGAAATTAAAATTAAATCAGAAATAGATAGAGTACATATATTGCATTAAAATTTAAGGTGAGATAAGATCTTATGTCAGTAAGATATTAAGAGACCTTAAAATTGAATGAACTATTTAATGGTATGATCAATCTGAGCAGTTTAGCAAACTCTAGAGATCATTTTAATTGAATATCAAATTTTTCATTTTTAATTATCTATAAATTATACTTTAGCGTAATCAAAAAGTGTGATATCAGCATATATAACTATCTTTTATGAAAAATAAAAGAAGAAAATTAAAAAGGATTTTTATACTGATTTATAAAAGTCTAAGTATGATATCTTTCAGATTCTAATTCATTAAATAATAAAATCTTGGAGAAATTCAATATTAAATCTGATAGATAAACTTTGCTTTGGTTATGAAATATGAATTATAAATAATAATTTAATTTAAAAGAATGAGTAAAAAGGAGGAGATAATAGAAATAAACCTTGAAGAAAAGATTCAATAAGAGAAAAGAAATAAGTAAAATGTGAGAAAAGGGTACTAAGAAAAGAGATAGAAATTATAAGCATTCACTAATGATAGACATAGAAATGACAATCGCAATCCTGGGACTTTTGTTGATATTACAAACTTGCATTATAGTGTTACAAATGAAGAATTGAAAGAGTTGGCTTAACAATTTGGGAAGGTGAAGAGAGCCTAAGTGGAATGGGATAAAATGGGCAGATCACTTGTATAATTAAATATATAATCTAAAGGAATAAGGCTATGTAGAATTTTTTTATGTATCAGACGCAAAAAAGGCAGTTGAGAATTTAAACAACACAACGATTGAGAGTTTACCAATGAAAGCCTAATTAAGAGATTAAACTACGAGAAGAGGCATGTTCAAGCGATGATGAATATTAATGTACGAACAAAGGTGTTTAATCAATCAAACAAGCCTGCCATATCAACATCTTCTTCTGGTTCTTCAGCTTTCTTAACTTCTTTAGCTGGCTCAGGAGCTTTAGCTTATTGAGTGGCAGGAGCTGATGTTTATGCAGCAGTTTAAGCAGCAGGTGCATTGCCTGTATTTCCATGTAAAAGATCTCCGACTTTCTTTCCTTTGAGTGCCTTTTCAAATACTTTAGTCCAGATAGGTTCAACTCTCAAATTAGCAGCTTTGATGACTTAAGCTAATTTAGAAGCAGCAATCTGAGTATTATTTATTAATTTACTTCTTAATTGTCTTCATATAAGATGAGAGCAGCATAGGTGCAGGCTGCTTCTGAAGTAGCTTAATCAGCAATTGGTCGAGTGTCTTTTTGTGCTCTTGCCATTTAAAAAAATAATTAAAAAGATTTAATATTTAATGCTCATCTTATTCTTCTTATAATTCTTTACTAAAAAACTTTTTGCTGTTTAAAGATGTTCATTCCATTTTATGTTAACAGAATATTGAATTAATCCATATTTATGATTTTTTTTTTTCTTAATAAAAGTAAAAGTGTTTAAATTATAGGATAGGTATGAAAATACTTAAATCAAATCTCTTTATAGATTATTCAATTAATTAGTAATATAAAATAATTTTTATCAGCTCCAAGCATCATGCTTTTGGTTCCCAAATCTTTTTCATATTTTCAGGACTTTCACTAAAAATATTAAAATATCTATTATCTTATTCATCAATTTCAAGAATAGAAGCTCTGGTTTCATCGTTTCCTCTAATCATTGTGACTCTATTTGGTTATTTTACCTTATGGAGGGAAAGCAATGTAATAACTTCAACACTATGAACACCTCTATCCACATAATCAACCAAAAACATTTAATTTGTAAATGGAGGGTTCCTTCCTACTTTAAAAAGTTCCTAAACATCGTACAATTGACTAATTATACAAAATTCAAATACCCATGAACTTCTCCAACTATCGTATCAGGAGTGGGGATCTTATTTAAATTTGGTTCCTTTGAAAAATCTCCTTCAATGTTAAGCAAATAAACTTCATTGCATTTTCATTAAGTAATAAACTTATTTAAGAAATTTATCAATCATATTATAATTATATAGAATAATTATGCAGTTCTTTATCAAATTGTACATCAGGTCTATGTATAACTTGATTTATAATTTTCTATTTCTTTATCACTATCCATCATTTTATCAGGAGTGAGTAACCACAAGTACAATAATAGTAGAATTATGTTTTAGTAATTCTCATTTTAATGGATAGAATTTTTATCAAAACTTACTCAACTTGCTTCTAGATAAATTACTTTGCAATAAATGATAAATTGTAGACTCAAATTAAAAAACTTCACGAATTATGAATTTTTCTGACATCTTTGGATGTTTGATATCCCTTTTGAAATGTGATTGCTAACATTGATTCATTAAGAATTGAAATATTTCTATTCTATGTGAAATCTCAACTTTATAGACTCTGTAGTATGTTTTTACCTGAATTGATAATTAGTACTAATTTGTTTACTTTTTTCTTTTTATAGTAGTTAATCTGCGATTATAATTATTAATTAAGGCTATGAGTGTTTTATAATCGTCTTCTGAGCCAATGTCTATGGCAGAATCAATTGTGCCTTATGTGTATGAACAAGGCCCAATACTTAACATAGTTAAGAATGGAGATGAGTTAGTCAAAAGTTCGCACTTTGAAGAAGCCTATGAAGTTTACAGCTCGGCACTTCCCTTAATATATTAAAATTCAAGGCCAGAAGTTATAGAACCTACAACAGAAGATGTTCTTTTAGGATTAGCAAAGTGTGCTTTAACTTTGAATAAACTCTCCGAGAGCAAGCATTATTGTTTTGAGGTAGTGAATTCTTTGAATTTCGCTAGATTTTAAAGAGTTATCCCTAGCATCCATAAGCCCTACTGTATTTAGGATTAATTTACAAATAAGAGGGTAATGAAAAGAAAAGTGAAAAGTATATGAAATTAGCTTACAGCTCGAATTAAGATACGGATATCAATTCAGAAAATTAATTATTACTTCAAATCTATAGATAATATTCTGATTAATCCAACAATTACTCTTCAGTTTAAAATAGCCGAGAATAAAAAGAATCTACATAAACTCAATCAAATGATTTGTTGACTCAAATTGTTGCATCAACCATCTTAGGAAGCTTATCAACCTCAGTGATCAACTGGAAAAGAAGATACTCTTACACTAATTTATTTATTAGTGCTTGGAATTCTACTTGCATTTTTGGATGTCTAAGGTTGAGTTGCTTCAGATTAAAATACCTTTGTTTTGGAGTTTACATGCTGAGCATAATAGCACTATATTTATATTAAAGATATTTTTGAAATTTTGTCATTATTATAAATCATTTAAGGATTTCTTCAAATATGGGTAAAAGAGCTTTTGTATACTTTTCTACCTAATCAATATCCTTTAAGCAATGGCCTAAGCTTAAAACATTTTCTATCATTAATGGTTGACTTAATAATTTTTGTACATTTTACTAATTTAAGATATTATAATTTTACAAAGTCACATATTAGATCACAGGCAATCAATAATTTAAGTTAAAAATATTTAATTTTGAAATTCAATTCTTTTGAATTGAATGTTATATTATTTAACTTTTTGTAAAAAGCAGCTAAGTAACTTTAAAAATGAGTATTAAACTATTTGCTTCTTTCTGAGTGTCTTAACTCATCTTTTAATTCACCAGATTCACATAGTATTTAGGTTTAATTTGTTTTTTGATTTTCATACCACTTTCTAAATAAGATAATTACTTTTTATACTTTGCATTTTACACATAAAATCTTAACTCTTCATGCTATTTCATGTCTTTTAAATAATTGTATTTCTTTCTAGCTTAAAGTTCTAATGTTTTTTCATCTATAAGTTTATTATATTATTTTATAATCAAAAGACCAGTTGGATACATAAAATTTTTAGTATTTTCATCTTGAATGGATTGTTATATCTCAGAAAAGCTACTTATTATTTTATCTAATAAATTAAGTTTCTTATAGTAGCATATAAAAGTTGAGACATCTGACCAATCGGCTCTCATTTTCGGATCCTTTTCTAACATTCTATTAATAAGTTCCTCTAAGTCACTTCGAATTTTAATTATATTCTAATAGTTGGTAATAACTTAACATCTATCTATCAAACCATGCAACATTTCAGATAACACTATACCTAATGAATAAATATCTGCTTTATAAGGACAGAAATTTGTATTAGAATTTATTTCAGGGGCTGAATAAATAGGAGTCCCCACAATGGAGTGAGCTGCTGCTTTATACATATCTTCTATATTTTTTGCCAAATTGACATCTGTTATTTTAACACAACCGTCTTTGAGCAATATATTTTCTGGTTTTATATCTCTATGAGAGTATTTTTATTTGTGAAGACTATAACATTAATTTAATATTACCATTTTTCACCTTCAACAATTTATGAAAATATATCCATCGCTTCTTCTTCCTCCAATCTTTTACCTGTCTTTTTTTCTAAATATTCCTTAAGATTTGCTAAATTATCAATTTAAATATTACAATCACATAACTCAAGAATGATGTAAAAATGATCTTGCGTTTCAAAGTTATCCACAAGGGAAATTACATTTTTATGCACACATTATTTTAAAATTTCTATTTCTAAGGCATATGATTTTTATAATCTTTCATTTGACACAATTCTGGAATCTTAAGTTTTCCGTGATATTTTTTTTAAAGCCACATACTTATTTGTATCTAAATATTTTGCTTCATAAACCTAATTATAACTATTTATAATACCGAGCAGATTAAGCCTTGTCCCAATTTTCTTTTAGTATTTTAAATATATTTCCCTATAATCTTAGTATCTGCTTCGCACATTAATTGAATTATATATTTTTATATTAATAATTAATAATTAGATATTGTTTAATCAAACCACAGAGGCATTTCGAACTTTAGAAGGTCGTTTATGTTCTACTGGAGTTAATTGTCTTTTGAATTAGGGTAGAGTGGCATTTAGGTCTGTTACTTTGTTATTAATGATATATTAAGGTCTTCTTTATCCATGAGGAGCAGTAGTTGGCTTTTCAGTTTGATTTAGATAATTGCTAGTGTCAATTGATTTATCAGAGACCTTTTTGATCTGAAATGATCTATCACATTATTTGATTTCTTTGACCAAATTTTCTGCTTATTATTATATTTTTTTTCTGAATTCATTCGGATCAAAATTATCGATAAACATGTTTTCTATTTTTAGTTAGGTCACTTTATTGGTCTGATCTCTGATTTGTTGTTTCATAATCAATGAATGTCGATTATTATTATTAGTGTTCATCTATTTCTTATAAATTTCTTAGTGATCTTGCTATGTTATTTCAGTGGTTGGTTTTTGTTCTTTAAGATTGGTGACTTGGACATCAATCTTCTTTTTAAGGGAGTGTCTTCTGACAATAGACTTATTGGTAGACGAATAATCGGACAAGTTATTATTTTAATTTAGTTCTCCTAAATCTATTATTGGTCTATCTATTAGTTTGAGTGTCAATGCCTAAAAGGAATCTATGGTTGGTCTTAAATTGTATTCTTGATCATCCAATAAGATGGAAGAATTCTAGCAATCAATTTAGTATAGATTGATGGCTGATCTTGTGATTGATGTCACTATTACTTGATCTGATGCATAGATTCGCATTTCAAAAAGGCAGGAATCTTAGCGTCTATTTAATGTTCTCGTATCAATTTCCTGGCCTGATGTATTATTTGTTTGACAATGCCATCTACTATAATTTCTGAGATCATAATGTGGTTGTAATGATTTTATAAATATATATATTAATTTATCAAATTAAATGTGCATCATCCTTGATCTCTGAAAGATAAGGATGATTATAAATAATATCTAGAGTAGTTCTGGTAGTTGAATCTGGCTAAAGTAATTGCTCCAGAAAGTCCTGTGTGATTAGATCTATTTATTATTTTGACAATTTTTAAACGAGTGCCCAATACTATGACCATTTTTTTTATTGAATCAATTTCCACAACTTGCAACTGGCACTGGGTTTGGTGGATTTGAAGGGCATAAAACCCAGAATTAACTAAAATAGAGTAACTCCTAATGAAAACACATCACTCTTTATTAGTACTTGAGTATTTATGTTCTCACTATTGTGTCCTCCCAAGAGTGTTTCTTGATGCAATTCGGGAGGCATGTAATGGAGTGTACCAACAGTTCTTTTGGCTGTACAATTACTTAACAGTTCTGCAAAGCCGAAATCACATAAAACTAGTCCTCCTTCTTTGTCAATCAAAATGTTCTCCAATTTGATATCTCTATGAACTACTTGGTTTTGATGAACATAGTTTATGATTTTGATCAAGGTCTTGCAAATCTCCTTTATAATTTGTGTGTTTAGTTTTTGAGATTTGAGTACTTCAAACAAATCATGTGTCTAAAGTCTCTCTAAAACCAAGTAGTTATCTGTGTACGTGATGAGTTTTACAATGTGATTACTTTTGAGGAGTTCTAAAATTTGAACTTCCTTCAATCTGGACTGTATAGAGTAGAATGATTTATATTCTTTGATTACGTAATTGGGATCCTCGGTTAGGAACACATTAGACGAAGATCCTTCACTCAGTAGAGTGGTCTTGTTGTGCATATGCTTTTAAGAATGATTGATTTATAATTATAAAAGAATAAAAAGGGATATATATTTGATTCAGTTATAAATTAATGGGATAGACAGATAGTAAATAGGAGCAAGATTTTTTGAGAAAGATTGACACGCAATATGAATTCCTAAAGCACCTGAATGATGCAAGTGAATCATTTTAATTATAAAGTAGGATACGGAGATGGCAAACTGTTCGGCAAGAGAAATGACAAGTCATAAATGATTGTATTAAAAGAACATCAGCATTCCAGATGAGCCTAGTTTTTAAGCTTGGAAGAATAAATTATAGTTGAGACAATCACTCAAACATCCCAACATCATTGAATTGAAAGGTAAGCAAAAGACATAGTATCAATTAGAATCAATTTAAGCAGAAGAAGAACAAGTTTGCAGCACTTTTTATAAGATCAATCTCGTATTCGAATATCTCCCTCAAACCTTACAAGATGCCATAACATAAAGGAAATAAGCAGGTGCCTATTATGGAGAATAAGAGGTGTTACAAATGTTGAATGGATCAATAGAGGGATTGGCCAAAATGCAAGAATTGAAGATTGCTCATCAGAATTTGAGAGTGCGAACACTATCCTATCAAAATGGAACCATCAAAGTAAGTGACATTCCTTTGTTAGCCAACATCACATCGTTTGCCGCAGTCTTGCAAGATTATGGAAATGCATCTGAAGGCAATTATCTCTCCCCAATATTGACTAAGGCTGTTTATGAGAGTAATCACATGCCATAACATAATTTATTCAAATCGGATGTCTACACTCTTGGAATGATATTCCTTTAGGTTTGTTTACTCTAACCTCAGGATAATTGCTATGATTACTTTGAAGGGAAAATAAACATGTAATAATTGGTCACAAATATTGAATAAGCAAGAACTATTTACACTTCAGAACTAGTTGAAATTATAGAAGAAATGCTTGAATAAATTGAAAAAGACAGACCTGATTTTATTTAGTTAAGGAATAAAAGAAGAGAAATCATACCCTAATACCCACCTCAATTCGTAGACAAGAATACTCGTCAATAGGAGGATGAATACTAAATGATGTATTACAAGAATGCCGATCATTAATCTGAAGTCAATCAATCACTCTAACCCTCCTATTTGGATGAAGGACCATTACCATTGCATGATGGACAATTACGATCAATTACATTAACCATTCAAAGAACCATAACCAGCCAATTATAGTGAACATGATGTTCTCATTCACAATGCAGACATCACCAGGAATTCCATCTGTAAGAAGAATAATAATATATAAATAAGCTCCAATGAAGTAAAACAACTCAATTGGATAGATTCCTAAAGCATTAATCTAAGAATTTCAAGTTCAACCTATCTCATTTGCATAAGACAATAACATACTAAATTAAGACATTTACAAAATCCCTGATCAATAAAAATCAAATATCAAATATGATTCTTATGCTAATCCCTACAATCACATGAAACAAGATGCTTACACTCAATCCAGTCAATTACTCAACAATAACAATTAATAAAAATCCAATATTCATTTACAATCCTATGTGACAACCTATCAACCACCTCCAAGAGAATCTCTCCAAGTCAATGATTATCTAGATAAATTTCACTTCACCTCACCCAATGACATTAAACTATTTGAACAAAACAACTAGACTGATTACAACCAACCAAATAGAGAGTCCTATTAATACTACCCTGCCTAACCATAAAGTAGGTTCATGTCTGTCTAATAACAACAATAACCTATTAAATAATCAAATTATGTGCCTGTTTAAGCAGCATCCACTTACCTCCCAAAATAGAATCTATCCACTTATGTTAATGAAACATATCCCAATGGACAGAGATACGTTGGCGAAAAGATCAATGGCAAAAAAGAAGGCAGAGGAAGATTGTATTATAAAGAGGGAGGCTATTATGATGGAAATTGGAAGAATGATAGAATTAATGGATAAGGTAAGAAATTAATATCTAAATCAAGGTGTTTTATATTATGCCAGTGGAAGACCTGCATATGATGGAGAATGGATCGATGATAAATTTCAAGGATAAGGTATCTTGTATAATGATACCCCAAAAATTGAAGATATAAATTACAGAAATCTAGAAGATATCGGATTGTAATGATATTCTCTCATCATTATAGTGCTTGGACCAAATATGTAGGATAGTTTTATGATGACAACAAAAATGGTTAAGGAACATTATATCTTTTGAATGGCGATCGCTTCGAGGGAAGTTTTTAAGATGATCAAGCCTAAGGTTAAGGAAGATACATTTCAATTGGAGGGAAGGTAATCTAAGGGTTTTGGAACTTTAATCATTTTGTGTAATGAAATTCTACTCTTATATTAAGTAATGTATAAATTATGATAATAATTCATTTGAATACTTTGGTACATTTATTCCATTCTCTCTTATTAGATTAACATCTCTGGGATTGTTAAGGAGATGTATTCGTGATTCCTTTATCTATATTGTTTGCTCTTTGGGTATTAATATTAAGAGTCAACTGATTATTGAGTTGATTATACTGATTCTCCTAATTACTGTTAACTGTATTCCTTTGCGAGTTCAATGGAGAACAATTGACTCTCTTAGGATTATCTTATCTCTTATCATCAAATACAATGGCTTCTCTCAAATTCTTATTTGTTTAAACTAATTATTTGATCTGCTAACTCTAAGTCGAAACAATCTCATTCAATTCTTGTTCTGTTTACAACAACTTCTCTCATAAGGACTCAAACTATTTATTAGCCACCAAAATCAAGTGTCTTAATTGCTAAATCTTCTTATTATAAATCCAATGAATTTAACCTTTCTTAATTGAGTTCACTCATGCTTTGTTTGAGCTACAATTACATCTTCTACAGAATCTATTATTGCTCTGCTGTTTGGTTATGCAATAGAGTGATTTCTTGATCAGCATCAATTAGAGTTTGCTTTAAACTATTCAGAAGATTCATGGATTTTTCCATGCCTTAATAGCTCTAGATATGCATAATCTAATTATTGCTATTTTATGTATACATAAATCATTTGCATCTTCTCCAAATAAGAGATTATATAATTTTATTCCTTCGAATCTCTTACTAAATTGCTAATTATTTTTATCGCCTCGACATAGCATTTCTAAAACCCTTCAAACATTATCTCCTTTCTATCCAAAGGTTGTTTTTATTGGAAACTGTAATATTCCTCTTGTTCCGTGCTCATCACAACTGAGAGCTCATTTTTCAAATTTGATGGCTTCACTTTCTATAGTAGTCCTATGAATTGATCTAATTCAAGCTTCAAGTTCGAATCCTTAACAATCTCTTGCGATACCAATTTTTCCAATGATTCAATCGACTGATCAGATTATAATGTGGCTATTGACTAATACGATTGCTATTGAGTCGATTTACTAATCGATTGGTAATACTATCGATCGTCTTCTATGCATTATAGTTGTTCGAGAGACATTGTCAAATCCATAACTTAATATCTGTTAAATAATATTAATTAATTTTTTAGTTGCTATGTATATTAGACATAAAATTCAATCATACACTCTTCTAAAACCTACATGAGTTTCCACCATATTTGTATCCAACTCCACCTTGGTAGTATTCCCATTAAGAAAATCTTTATCGCAATATAAACTTGAGATTTGCATATTCAGACTTCCATAGACCGTTTGTGTGTCAATCTTTTATTTATTTAACTCACTATTTTGTTTGTTTATCTTTATATTGATTTATTTATTATACATCTGAAAGTAATGCCTTCGTTATTTGATCCTCTTCTCGATATTAATTGGATTTCATTTTATGTAATTCTTCCCGTATGACATTCATGTCGTCTCGGCTCACCTTCAAATCATCCTTGATTTTATTTAATATGTTCTATTTGTATTTTAAAACTCCTTACAAACAACTTGTCAATGTGATCCTTCACATTCATTTACATCGAATTCTCAAAGCTTTGTTGCACTATTTCAAATTGATCCTATTGTTTTTCTGTTTCTTAATTAGCATTCTTTGAATTTAGAGATGTTAGAGATTATTGATTTTACGATCCCATATGTAACCTCTTCCCATGCTTATGCATTATAATATAATTTAATAAATAAAATACTTATAAATTTAATAATTTATAATACATCTAGTTCGGGAACCCACCTTCGTCTGTAATATATAATTTGTATTGATATTGATCAAAAACTCAGTCTAATGATTAATATATACACAGTAAATTATATCAACATTATTTCTTAAGTGAATCTAATGGTCGCTGATTTTATGTTGAAAACTTACTCTTCCTTGTTTCCTTCCTTGACAACAATTAAATAGGTTCTTCTGACTCACTTCCATCATCATTCTTCACTTGTACCAATTCAGAAAATTACACTTTTTTGCCTATTAATTTCTCTGATTGAGTTTTCTAAGGTATCACTTATGATGTTGTACTGTGTCGATCTGTTTACTTTCCTAAAATCAAATCTATGCTATCGAATCCAAAGTCTGTTGATTCTGTTTTTAATTTGTACTGAGATTTGCTGGTATATTTATCTGGTAAACTAAATGGGTCAGAGAAGAAATCCCATTTTTTTAGTGTTTCTTTGCCTACCTTGGAGAGATTTTATTTATTCTCATAAGGATCTGTAAAGTAATTAGACAGTTGGGGTTGACTTGAGTGATGTTTGTGATTTGATCTGACATAATATGGCTTTTAAGGGGTTTTGAATTCAGCAAAAGGGAAATCGAAATTCATTTTAATTATTTTTTATAAAATCATATCACTTATTGAAATTTAATTTTATTACTCGCACTCATTGCATTCTGAGCAATAATTGCTAATTAAGTTGAGCAATCTTCAATCTCCATTTCATTCAAATGTTGTAAAACCTATTTAATACTTGGTCTTTCCTTAGGATTCATCCTCAACATATGGTCAACTAAAGGCTGTATATTTTTAGGCAACTAAGATAAGACTTTTGGTAGTTTTGGTTGCTTGTCATTAACAAATTCCAAATACATAGGCAAAGATGAGACTCCTTCCCAATTTGAATCCTAGGATATAGGTACAATTTTACATTCAGACTTCCCAAGAGTTCAGCTATCTAAGACATGATCTCAATTTCTGATCTTCCATCAAATAAAATTTTGCCTGTAAATAATTCTACCAGCGTACAACCAAGTGACCAAATATCAATTGAAGCATCGTATTCTTTCAGTCCAAAGAATAATTCTGGCGCTCTGTAATTCTTGGTGCAAGTCTGAGGAGTCATTAAATCTCTCATCTAAGTGGAGATGCCAAAATCGCCTAATTTAACTTGTCCTTCTGTTGTAACAAAGATGTTGCTAGGCTTAATATCTCTATGGAGGATATTTTATTAATGGAGATAGTTCAAAGCCTAACAGAGCTCTTTAAAGATGTAGAGTTGTCTATCGTTTATTGAGTGTAAGAGTTCATGAAGTGGTGGCATGTATTCCATCGTTAAACACAAGTATTTTTTGTATTCAAATTTTTCGGTGAAAGCATCTAAAAAATTGACGATATTGGGGTGATGTAGGGTGCTCAAAAACTTGTATTCATTTAACTAAGTGTGATCCTGAGGGTCTGATGGCTATATACAATTGCAATTATCAATACTTTTCTGTAATATCTTTTCAACACCAAAGGAGTGTGTTTCTTATTGGGAGGATCATTTTCTGATCTTCTTTCAATCAGGTATACTTTGCCTGCGTATCCTTTGAATAGGCACTTTATTTTTGTATAACTCTGATTCTGCTACATTTTATTTGATTTTAAATTTAATTATATTCACTTTTTGATTCAAATTTTGCTCAAAAGCCATAAAAATCACGAGTCTCCGCTCTGATTACTTATAAGTTGGGTTGCTTTTACGAAGGAATAATTGATTATCTGATATAAATTTCAATAAATTTATTGAAGTATTAACAGAAATAACTGTCTAATTATATATATTTTAGTTAATAATTTTAATATATGAATATTTATTCATCAAAATATATTGAGTTTCATTTGTTCTTTTAGCAAATTTATATAAAAAGTTAAATTTGAAATTCTTTTTATTTGTACTCTAATATTGCAAATGCTTAGATTAAATGAAAAAAAATTTAAAAATTTAGATATTATTTTTTAATGGTTAATCTCCGCCTCTAAAAAAGATTGGCTTCCACATAATTAAAGGTTGGTATCAACAGAGTTTGGTTAGACCCAAATGAAGCAAGTGAAATCAGTCTTGCAAATTCAAGAATGTCAATTAGAAAATTAATTAAAGATGGTTTGATTATGAGAAGATTGAGAACAATTCACTCAAGAGCCAGAGCAAGAAGATTCCTTGAAGCAAAGAGAAGAGGCAGACACACCGGTACTGGTAAGAGAAGAGGTACAAGAGAGGCAAGAATGCCAACCAAAGTTCTTTGGATCAGAAGACAAAGGGTTTTAAGAAGATTGCTCAGAAAATATAGAGCTGCAAAGAAAATCGACAGATAATAGTAAAAAATCATTAATAACTTAGATATCACGAATTTTATTTGGCTTCAAAAGGTAATCAATACAAAAACAAAAAAGTTCTTATCGAGGCAATTCATGAAACTAAATAAGAAAAAGTTAGAGTTGATAAAATCGAGAAGGAATAAAATGACAGAAGAGAAAAGAATAAGGCTCAAATAACCAAGAAAACCTAAAACAAATTTGCTGCTGAATGATATTTACATATTTAGTACAATAATCAATAATTGTTATCATAATTATATAATAGATTGTATGGTGTTCTAGACATCTAATATGCTCAAGTATATATATAAAGTAGTCTTTAATTAAATTATGTCATGATTCCTATTTTGTATATTAAAAAAAGATTTAATTTAATTTTTAGACAATGGTAACTATAACAATTAAATAAAGGCTGACCCAAAACAATAACCCGTCCAATAACCAAAAGGCAAAAAGGGAAAGAAAACTGGAGAAGAAACTACTTAATAAGTTGTAGCTACTTTGGGACCAAATGTGGCTGGAAATGAATTAGTATTTGGAGTGGCTCACATCTTATCCACATGGAATGACACCTTTATTCACATCACCGATTTGACAGGCAGAGAAACATTAGCCAGAGTAACTGGTGGAATGAAAGTTAAATCAGACAGAGAAGAATCATCACCATATGCAGCCATGCAAGCAGCCAAAGATGTTTATGAGAAGTTGAAAACACTCAAAATTAATGCTTTGCATATTAAATTAAGAGCAAGAGGAGGTATTAAATTGTACTTATATACGTTTAGGTGTTGACACAAGATAACCAGGACCAGGTGCTTAAGCAGCCTTGAGAGCATTGGCTCGTCTTGGACTTAAAATTGGTAGAATTGAAGATGTCACTCCAATTCCCACTGACTCAACAAGAAGACCTGGAGGTAGAAGAGGAAGAAGATTATGAAAAAGTAAAATACACATACAGTAAAATAAATGTACATATTAATTAAAATATATGATTTTTGATCTCCAACCACCATCTCCTCATCTCCTTCATGATCACTCAATTCTAACGATAGATTACTTTAGGAATAACTCAATAAGACTCAGAATATTATTTATCATTTAGAAGTTTTACTTTAAAAAGAGAACATCAAAACAATTTAATTGAACTTTTTACAAAAAAATAGAAAATTCCTACTCTTTAATTGAATAAAAATCAACAAATATTGTTGGTGATAAGTGAATATGCTATCTTAAAACTCCCTTTTATAGTATTCTACTCTGAGAGATAGGAGGATCAGATTATCTTTGGATATGCAAAGCTAAGCAAGATTTATTGATGGAATGAAAATTAGACATTCAATAATATAAGGAAATCATATATAAAAAGAGCAAAAGATTAAGGCATTAAATTGAACTAATAGGGGAATTAATATCTGAATTATATTTTGTATGGAAAAACAATCCATCTAATAAAAGTAAAAAAAATAGACAGAACAGAAACTGGAAATTTTTAGAAAGTCAAATCTAAATCACAAACGTAATTATTACTAACTAAAAATAAAGGGAAGAATTTAGAAACTGAAATCACTAAAATTGGCTTAATTAAAAATATTTGATGGAGAATAATAATAATGCAGTCAAACTTCTGAACAATCCATCAAAGAAGAATATTCTAATGATCAACTTTAATAGAAATTCTGATACAAGAATGTCATTGTAAATAGAAATTGAATAATTAGAAAATATAAATACAAAATTTTATAATCAAGGAACTACCTCTCAAATTCAATAAAAGTAGATTCTATGTAAAGAATATTAATTTAATGATATATAAAATTAAGTTGTAACATATAAAAGTAATTTAAATGATGTTCCTTAAATCTCACATATTGTCTTAACTTAGTAATCTGGGAAGCTATTGAAAATATTTACAGAAGAAGAAGATATTGATTCAATAGAATCTTTGGACCTAAAGGAAATAGAAAAAATAGAAGTTATGAATCATGCTAAATCTTCTGATTTTATAGTATAGTTTTAATTAATTTATGATTATTGACAACGAGAAAAAATAGATTAGACAACTATTTGCTAATGATTAAAAGTATGTCCAAAATGAAAAAAAGATTCAAAATGATTTTATAGTTTAAATGCAAGTTGCCAAATATGATTAATAAACCAAAGACGATCCATTATTAATATAAGCAGGTTTCGTAATAAAATATATTCGAAGGTCTCACTTAATCAAAATAATCTGTCTTCATCATTTAAGGAAAATTGCAGAATGACAACAATATAAGGTCAATTACTTACTATATGATCTCCCAACTACAAAATAAAAAAAATTAGTAATCATTCCATAATATCATTTAGAGAATTTTTCATTATTTATCTCAATACAGAGTTGAAAACTTACTTGAACCTATCGAAATTTTACTCTGTCTTTAAAGAATTACCTTGTATCTGTTTTGAAAACCTACAGAGAATTATTATAATACATGGGAACTTTTTGATTAAATCATGGTTTTTATTTCAAAACAGCATTTAAATCTAAATTTTGAAATAAAAGACCATTTAACTTGAAAAGTATTTTAATCCTTTAATTTTAGAGTTGCTTAATTGCTTAATTATCAGTATTTCAATAAGAGTTAATTTGAAAAACTACCTTCATATTGCAAAGATTCCTCATATTATTAACTTTAGTAAGCTTTTACTGGAAATCAATAAAAGCTTGTTCAAGTAGACCAAAATTAACTTTACAATCTGGAATTGGGATAATACGAACTGACGAGCAAGGGAATACCATTCATTCTTGATCTCTGCATCACTAAATTATTATAAAAACCCTAAAACATTTAACTAGAAGGAATATTTAGGTTATGTTCTGCTTAAACTCACGATAAGGAGTTTGAAAATTATTTACTATAAAAATAGTATGAAGAATTACTTGATTATGAGAATATAATAGTAATAGCCAATTTTATTAAAAGAGTTCTAGATAAATTAAGGTATTCAGTTGTTCCATATTAATATTATGATTAACTAAATACAATACATCATTATTCCATTGAAGAAGGGTAGAAATTAATTCAGCAATTCCCAATTTTGAATAGGAATTTATTCACCTTAATAATATTAATTCTAGAGTAAGTGGCATCACATTCTGATGTTAATAAGATGAATGCTAGCAATTTGGCAATTGTTTTTGGTATTACCTTGTGTAGACCAAAAGAATATCAATAAGAGAATATTTAACAATAATATTAGAAGTATTATTATTAAACAATATTTAGAATAAAAATAGTAAATTAATTTATTTAATTCTTAATTGAAAATGCTTCCTAAATATTTCCAAACTAGAGAATAAATGACTTTATTCTTGAAACAGACATAGAATAAAAAGTGAAGCAGTATAAGGAATGATATGATTATTTAATGTCCCCGTATGTCACTTATTTCGTATATATAAAAATTGTTTTTCTTAAAAAATTAGTTTATAAATTCAGTTTCTGATAAAATAATTAATTAAAATACATGTAAATCAAATAAGTTATATTCATGTTAGTTCTATCTAGCGTTTAATGTGAAAGCATCATCACTTCAATAAGAAACTACACGAACGGGATAATTTAGTCTTAAGTGACTTAATAAAATTTAATGGATTTTGCTCCTTATATATTACCTTTTGGAATAATGTTTATTTTATCATTTTAGTTGATAAAAATTTGCTTCAGAAGATAAATGCAATATGATTTATTGCCTTAAAGTGAATAATAGGCTAATAAAAATCACCATAAAAAAATATAAATACCTATCAAACATAAAATATAACTGGTTCTAATGAGATACTATTGTTAACTATTGAGATAATTGACTATTTGATTATATGGTTTTTAACTATTAATTATAAATTCAAAATTAAAATATTTCTTCATTATTTGCATAATCTTCTAAATCTTCAAATTCTTCACTTTGAGCATCTTAATTAAATGAATCATTTTCAAATGATACTTATTCTTCAAATTTATATTTTTGGTATTATTGTTACTACATTGTAAAATAAGCATTACTTTTTATTAATTATGCTTCAATAAATTTGAAACAGTATTTGAACTATTGATTTCAAATGTTAAAGCACTGCACCATGAATCCAAATTATCTTGGACCAATGAATCGTAACTCCTAATTATAATTAATCAATGATTTACTTTAAATTCATCCATGTTTGCTAGCTTAGAGAGTATTTTTCCACTGATTAATTGTTGCCACCACAAGCAAATAAGTGATTATCATGAATAACCAATTTGTTTCTCAAATCCCTTCCTTCATTCATTTTACTCAAAGTTTTAACTACCTATTCTTTCACATCATATACTTATAAATCATATGAAAAACCTTGATTAGATCTTAAATGATTAAAATATGTAATACTTACCCTCCTCCCAAAATAAAGATCTTATTATCATCATAAGATATAGCAGCAGCATTACTAAACCCCTATTTGAATTTAACTTCCAAAACCTTCCATTGATTGTCTTTCACAGAATACCTTTCAATTGTGTTCAATCTCTCTCTTCCATCAAAGCCTCCAAACACATAGATGAATTTATTTATGGCCGCTGCTGCTGCAAATGCACACTTTTATTTCTATAAAGGATCGATTATTTTCCATTCATCTGAAACTAAACTATACTTTTCACAGCATGACAACATCTGCTTAGCTGATCCATCATATCTAAATTTCAACAAATTATATTACCCTCCAATTGCATATACAAATCCATCAAGATAAACGCAAGCATGTTCTTTCCTTGGGAAGTACATATTTTTTAAGGCTTATGATTAAAATCCTTTAGATGGCGATATTAACATCGTATTCCTGCTGACTCCTCCTCCTGTAATTATGATGTCACCACTTGGCAAACTAACTGCAGCAGCATAATAATTGTATTCTAAAGTATTCTATTATGTATATTTAGTATACATTTGGCATTTGTTTGTATGTCCATTCATTATTTTCAATGTTATAAATTAATATTTTATGCTTATCTCCAAAGAAACAGATTTATGGGTTAGATATATCCTTTTTGAACTATCCAAATTTTGAGATTTCATTAATTAACTTCAAATCAAAAACTAACTTGGGCAATTTCTTAATCTCACTAATCTTTAATTGCTTTTGTTATGCCACATCTCTATCGACTTATTCCTCTAAATCATCAATTTCCTTTATAAGATCATTGTTTTTCAGGGCCTTAACTCCTTCTATTCAATTATTTAATTATTTATACTTAGTTCTTCTTATTTCTAGTCTAATTTTGCTGTTAAACTTGCCATATTTGTCAACAAAGATTAATTAAAAGCTAATTCCTGATCTATCTATTCGCATTCAGTAGTAAATATTTTGAATAACTATTCCAACAATTCTTGTTTTCTAAGTTCGATCTTTTTTATCAATCTATCAAATTATTCATCTAATTGTTGCATCTGAAAGTATTTGATAAATACATTACCAGTTTCATATTTTCCAATTACAATTATTCTTTGCTATTATCAAATCCTTTTACCTACTTTTCCAAAATGTCAAATTGGAATTTTAGTTTTGATTTGATCTTTCCTAATCTATTTTATTATAAAGATACTAGACTATATATTAATTCGATACCGGAATGTTCATATTTGAAAAACTTATGGCCATAATGATCTGCTATACATTCAGTACACATATTTGATTAATCATCTTCACAAAAAAATTATAATGGAAGTTTTGTATGTATTGGACACAAATCGAATTTTTTTCTAATTATTATGCTATTAATTTACTATACTTCCAAATGTCTGGAAGCCAAATCCATAGCCACATAATTTTTACTCAATAGATGTGGTTTCAAATGAGGTTCATGCTTTGTTCTACATAGTGGACATTCTATTCTCTTATTGATATTGTAGATTTATTCAAGACACACAGAACAGTAAGTATGACCACAAAGGAGATTTCTTGCCACCTTATTTTGGGCATACAAATCAAAACACATTGGGCATTCCATTTTTTATTTAAATTATTTATATTCTTCTAATAATTGTTGGTTTTCTTATAATTATCATAACTCATATGTTTCATTTACATTAATAATATATTTAAATTCTAAAGGATATATATTTATAATAATAGTTAAATTTATACATTTTCCGTCAGATCAGATTTTTATAAATGTAAATTAATACTGCAGCTTACTGATAGTATTCAAATATCTAAAGGTTATCCAAGGGGTGCATATTTACTAATTGTTGACTTAAGTAGATACACTGGATACTAGATATTTTAGGTAAATCCGAATGAAGATTTTAAGATTTTATTGCTAAATTAAATTAGCATCGCATGAATGATAAAATCAAAATCAGAGGCAGGTCAGAAGATGGCTTTCCATTAGGAATCAAGTCTATTAAGTCATTTCATTAAATAGAGTTAAATCTAGAATGATTTAAATAAATAGAGTATACATATTTTATTAAAATTAACATGTAGTTTGAATCCAATGCATAGGTTCTAAATGGTTATATTTTTAACAATAATAATCCGATCGGATCAGGACTAAATTCAATTGTAAATAATTAATTCAAAAAGGTGTTTAAAGCAAAACAGAAGGACACAAACAAATGTGTAGCACTGAAATTATTGAAGAAGTACACTCGTGATAATAGTATTTCTCAAGAAATGATAGCTAAACTTTACTAAGAGGAAGTCAAAGTCTTGTAGTTATGCAATCAGTTGAAAATCAATAATATAGTTCGTCTTTTTTCACATTTTGAGAATTGCAATGAGTATGTGTTAGTATTGGAATTATGTGAATGTAAATATTTGTTTAGAAATAGAATCTTTAATGGAATATCTGTAATAAAAATCGCATATTAATGAAGAAGAAGCTTTAGATATTTTTAGTCAAATCTACAGGGGACTTTCTTAGTATTAAAGTAAATTTATTAACTTAGTTTATAAAATTAAAAATATTATCATCGAGATATTAAACCCTCAAATATAATGTTTAAGGACAGAGAAATCAAAATAATTGATTTTGGTTTTTGTAAACAAAATATAGGTGTTGATAATCTTAAGCAACACACAAGATGTGGAACGTTTGGATATGAAGCTCCTGAAGTAAAATTTGGGGTCTATGATCCTGAGAAATCAGATATTTATTCTCTAGGCGTTGTGTATTATGAGATCCTTTATGGCTTATAGAATTTTCATTCTAAGAGGGAATTTACTTATCCCCAAGAAAAATAGGTGAGTGAAACAACCAAAACTTTTGTTGATATGATGATTTAAGAAGAGGCTGGAAATCGAATTTCTTGGCCATAAATTGGATAAATCTTAGAAGCAATTAAAAATACATATAATATTGAATTTCATTAAAAATATTAATTAGATGAGAATTTGAAGGAGAAATATTTTATTTTAAAAAAACTACTTTAAGATTTAAAAAAAATAAGAAAGCAAATAAAAGATTTTCCGTCCGAAAACTTAGAGCTTTTGTTAATAAAAAAGTTGATTTTTGATTTTGAATCTACGAAATTAGAATTTTAGAGATAGAAAATCGAATTAGAAAAATAATTAAAAATATTGTAAAATAGACATGACGTTGATATTTTAGAATTATAAATATTGCAAAATCATTCATTAAGAACAAAATTAAATAAATTGATATCTGATTTAGAAAGTGAAAGATATATATCATTAAATGAAAATAAGTATGAATGATAATTATTTGATAGAGAAGTAAAACTTAAATTATGCAATGACTACTTCAAAAAGCATTATTATCATCTAAATGAAGAGCTTTTCAATGAATAATCCGAAAATTTCCAATCAAATTTAGAAAAGGGAATGAATGAATTTTTGTCAATACTCTAGAAGCCTGAGTTTAACACATCTGAAAATTCTTTGTAGATGAAACTGTTGAGAATAAATATCTTCATAATTAAATATTCAGATAATTCTTTTGTAAAAAGTCATTATAATTTAGTAACAAATTAAAGATCATTTATACTAAAATAAGTTAATAACAAACAAAGAACTTAATATGGTTGATATTTTAGATGGTATAACAAATGAAAGTATTGCTTGTAAATTCGAATAATGCCTTGAAAAATTTAGATTTTGATAGATAAATCTTATTCAATTTATTAATTAATGAATAATTATATCATAAAATATTAAAAATAACAATGATGATTATATAAAACAATTAAAATGATGGGGTTCATTCAAATTAAGCTGATGGATTTGATTCATTTTATTTTTTCTCCTCATCTTCATCTTAGTTGGGTTATTCACATTCATTCTCCTTAGAATTCATTTCTTTTTATAATTCAGAAAGCACCATAGATGACCTGAATTATTGTGGATTGCCTTATGAAGTTAATCTAAATTCATTATAAATAAAACTTAGCAGGTGGTGTTTCAACAGATTGTAGTTCTCTTGCATCGACACTTGGCTCTAATTAATCTTAATAATTTTAAATTTTCTTAAAATCGTTTCTCTCTGTAAAGTACTTCAAAGGGAAGCTTTTTTCAATTTTTTCAATGTTCTACAAATGTATATATATATAAGGATTATACAGCATGATGAAGATAATTCAGATGATTTTGAAATAGATAAAAAGCAAAGGATACAAATCCTGTCGAAACAAAAGTCAATGATTATTGAATAAGTGTAAAAAAGATAATTAAAACAATTGGGTAGTATTGATTTTTTAATTACATTGGAAAAATTAAAAATAAACTTTATCCATTTGGTGCATTCAAACATCTAAAAATATTGAAATTAGTTTTACTCTTAGAAGACACAAAAAATATAATAATTCCATAATCCGTATGCTTTAATTTCATAAAATGGAGAGTAAATAGACGATAATGCCCATTAAAGCAAAACACAAACCAGCTAAGCAAATTAAATAAATACTAACTTAAGTGAGACTTCCAATTGCAAGAATCAAAATAATGAAAATGACTGTGGAATACTTAGCTTCTATTTCTTCAAATTTGCTATACACACATATAATAGCAAGTAATAAATCAATTGTATAATCTATCGTAAACTTAAATGGGTATATATATACAATGAACAAATTGTGAAAAGAATATTCTCTAAATTTAAAAGGGTATTGTTTATTCTGGTGAATTGCTGAATAAATAAAAGGCTGAATTGCTCAAGAGATCAATAAAACCAAATAACCAAGAAATTCCAATTACAAGCTTAGTTCCAAATAATAACTATAGCCACCACTTTCTAAGAAACTATTCCAAATTGGCCTTTGCTAATTAATTACTACTGTCTTATTATTCTGAATTCATATACTTATAAAAATAATATAAAATGTATAAAGTCTTGTTGTTAAAAAAAATGCACAAATAAATCACTGTTTGAATAAAATAACAAAATTGATGAGATATGAGAGTTGCTTAAAAATAAGAAGAATAGTATTTTCAAAGTATATTTTTGAGTTTATATATTTATACTTGTTCTTTACGAGTTGAGTTGATAATTTGAAAATTTTGATGTAATTGCTTGGGTCTGTTTGCATTTATTTTTGAATTGTTAATCTTTAACTTTTGCTAAGCTTATTAAAAATTTATTTATGCTATCTAGATTGTGTGCATAGAAATTTACTACATAAATTCAAGGAGTTCCGATAAAATGTATTTATTTGATCATAATGATATAGTGTTGGAAGCAATGAAGTTTGACATCTCAAAAGTGTCAGAGGAACGATACAAAAATATAAGAACTCTTACTTGTTATCTATAGGATCGATTACATGACAGTTAATTGATGGACTTTGTTAGAGATGTTGAGTTAATAAAAGATAAAGTATTAATGTTTTTTAATTATTACTAGGTGCATACTAACACTTTACAATTGAAATCTAGTATTTTCAGACTTTTTAATCAGTGTATTATTATAATGTTATTGCAGATCAAGTGTTAGATCTTGTACCTTTGGCCTTGAGAATCGACTTGTAAGAATTGCAACCAGAGCATTTTTATGATGATTTTGACAGAATTGAAACAGAGATCAAAAGTGAATACAATTGTTTTGTTCAGAATAGAGCAAGTCTGTTCCAACCATAGAATAAAAGTCTAACTGATTTTATTCAATTTAAACGTAAATACCATAGATTGAGAATCGAAGAAGATGAAAGAGTACCTGCTTTCACATAAATAATGGACGATGGTTTGATAAACACTTTATTGCCAAAATAAGAATTGGAGTCATACGATACAAACAGCAAAGAGGTTGTTATGAATCAATTGATATTGGCCAGAAATTCTAGATTGATGAACAAACAAATCAAGTAGAATAATGAGAGTGAACTCAGAACTCCTTTGTAATTAAGATAGGTTGAAAGTGTTGAAGAAATTAAGGAAACCAATTAAGTTTGCTTATATAATTTACCATACATATTGGATGAGAAATTTAAATAGGAGTGCAAAGAGTACTTTGAGTCAAGATTTGGTGAAATAGAATCTATCGAGTATTTTGAGTATTCTAACTTCAAAAAGCAAATTGATCAAATGACAACCATTAATAATCAAAATGAGAACAAAGATTTCTATTAAAGCTTGGATCAATTGAGTTCTACAAAGAAACTATTGGAGAGAGTAAAAGTAAATAAGAATAAGAAATTATATAAATCATATGCAGTGATCAACTTCAAAAACAAAGAATCTAAATTAAATGCCCTTTATTAAGACTTGAGAATATTTGGCATTAAATTTAAGGACTTATAATTAAGAATTGATGATGCAGACCATAAAAAACTCCTTTATATCAATAATTTATCAAAATTTTCTATTGTCAAATATTTGGTTGAATTCCTGAACATGCATTTGGGTATTCAATTTGAACCACTTGATGAAAGAATACAATTATAGAATAATATTGTATGTTTAATCTTAAAAGACTTTAAAGAAACCCAATTAGCCTTTAATAAGTTGAACGATTTAACATTTTCAGTATATTTATTAACTATTAATAGAGATTTAAAATGAATGTATTTCACTATCCTGACGGTTTGAAGTACATGGGTAATAGAATAGCAGAGCACTTCAATAGTAATATAGCTCTTCTGATTTTGGAGTAGAACTTATCTAAATTGCGATTTGAAATGGATGAAAACTGGAAGGACGTTAAATTTGAAACTGAATCAAGAGATATAGTTACTAAAGAGCCTTAATACCCTATTAGTTAAGAAATCCATTCAACAGATATGCAATAATGTATAATCGAAATGATTGAGGATTCTTATCAAGAGGAGGAATTTCAATTAGAGCTCTTTGGCTTGGTTTGGGATGAAGAAGCTCAATACTGATTATAATTTATTAACAAGAATTTTTGTTTATAAGTTTTTTAAAATTAAATGAAAAAATGATTCCAATATATATCTAAATCTATCAATATAACATACAAACCTAGAATGAGAAACAGCATAATTTTTCAGAAAAATTGAATGAATGTATATAATGGTTAAATTTTTACATAAAATTCTATCACAATTGAAATTCTACTTAATAAATAAATTATTTTCTTTCACAAATATTAAATGAATAATAAAATAAGGGATGTTTGAAAATGAGATTGGGAGTGAATAATAAGCATTTAGGCTTGAAATAAGTGAATTAATATAGGAATATTTCTATGGTGAAATAAAGTCAGTGTCAAAATCAAATCAAATCGTCAATTATACATCAAATAGTTCTATTAAAATAACTGGATTATTTAAAATAATTTGATTGAGTGTATTTTAACTTTGAATATTAAATGTGTACATTAATTGACTAGAAATATAGAACAGCCACTTCTACTTAAAAAACGAAGCCAAAAAATATAATTCATTTGATACTCACATGAATTATCTTAAATAAATATCATTTTTGAGATTCATTTTAGACTTAGTAGAACCTTAAGCGGAAAATATTAATTGTAATCTCAATATTTATATTACTATATTATAATTAATATATCCTTATACTGATTAAGAGATATAAAATCTATGAATTTTATATTAACTTATCAGATATATAAATCAATTATCTATTATGCTAATATATTTAGTTTTGATATGAAATAATTAATTCATTGAATCATCACACTAAATGCAGCCAAATAATCTAATAACAAAGTTGAATAATTTTGTTGAAGTGTTTGAAGATCTGCAAATAAGATTTCTTATTCATCGCTTTGACATTTGAACCATAATTCATTTTAAATCTAATGGTGAGAAAGGATAAATTCAAATGGAACTTTCTGATTGAAAACTCTATGCTTGAATTATTGATTACGATAGATATTCTACTATGTTGAAAATCCTTCAGTTTATGAATACTCGGATATCAATTTTATAGGTTAAGATTGTTCTTATTTATCATTCACTTCTGTAAATTTAAGCATATTGACTTCTTTCTCTTTTTGTCTTTATTCAAAAATGATTTCATTTAAATAGTCCTTTTCTACTTTGTATTTGCTTTTATAAGTGTTAATTTTGATTGGATTAAACTGTTATTATCTAATATGCATCATTCTATTGAAATCAAGAGTTTGCGACACTTTCTGTACTTTAAACCTATTAAGATCCTTAGATTCACTTTATTTAATAGGTTTGAAACTCACACTGACAATTTAAACATCCGGATCATCATCATTGATCTAGAAGGTTTCTTTTTTCTAAACAATTTCATCAGTGTCTAACTCAATGTTTATAATTTCTGCTTCTTTTATTAGTACTTGAGTGAATCTATTTCTAATATGTACTCTTATGGGTTCATCTGGTTTCTTTGGTTATTTTGCTTTCTCTACTTTTTTTGCTATCAATTTGTAATAATTTTTATATGCCAAATATCTTTCGAATCGACTATTGAAGTATATAAAGACATGTTTACCCGATCAAAAGTAAGGAAGCAGCGCTGAAACTAGAAATGGGTTCCCAAGTATGATGCTTTTTATCATAGCCAAGCCACTTGACCGCATAATCCACCTCATTTCCTTTATCCAATCTCTTTCCGAAGACATATTCTACTTCATAGTGCTCTTCGTTATTGTCCATATTTAATAATTAAGTAAATATTTAGGATGGTGATGATTATCAAATTTTAGCATACATTATAAATAACATAAAAAAAGGTATGATTATATTTTTAACAATTATAAAATTGACGTTAAACCTTTTATTTGCTTTTTATTTGGAATTTAAATAACTATATTAATTACTATTGGCTTATTCTTAACTCTTGTTTGTTTGGAATTCATTTCCTTATTCTTTGTATTCTGCACTCTTTTTAAAGAACATAGTAAAAAGGAGACCTAATTTTTGGTCATCCTTTTGTAATATCTAAAACCAAGACAGATCATTGAACTGAATTAGTATTCATAATATTAAAACAAAAAAAAAATGTGTTATAATTCAACAACATCCTTACTTTTTATTACCAGAGTTTGTAATTTCTAAATCCAATTTTTCACTTTGTAAATGAGACATCTAATCATATTTTTATAGCTGTTTTGTTAGATTCTGATAAATTTCTAATTTATATTGAATTTAAAACATTGGATGATTTAAATAAAGGCTTAATCTACATTAGTACCATCTTAAGCACTTGCCTCCATAAATGCTACCTTGTACATCTGAGCCAAATCTTGTCCAGACTCTGTTCTGATTGCTCTCAAATGTTTCAAATCTGATTTGTTCCCTATAATCATGATCACAATATCTTTATCTGCGTTCTCCCTCACTTCTTAAATCCATTGTTCTACAGCTTCGAAACTTTATTTGTTTGTTATATCATATACTAGTACAGCCCCAATGGCTCCCCTATAATATGCAGCAGTAATGGCTCTGTAGCGTTCCTAAACCTATTTAAGCATTTTACTTGTCCTGCAGTATCCCAAATTTATGCTTTGACAACCTTCCCGCTGATTGTAATAGATCGAGTTGCAAATTCAACCCCAATCGTAGTTTTGGAATCTGCATTAAATTAGTTTTTTGTAAATCGCAGTAGTAGATTGGATTTTCCAACTCCAGAGTCCCCTTTATTATCGATTTAATTAGTCTTTACCTGAAAGTACTATTTTAAATAGATAGTCATAGTCATCATCAGCTTTGCTCATTTAATTAATATAGATAATTAATAAGAAATTTATACTCATATTATTAAGGAAGAGCAAGATCTCTTAAATCTGTTTGAATCTAATTAAATCAACCTAAGATTTTAGTTAGATTAAGGAAAGATCTAATAACTTTAAAATAATACAAAAAAATATCGAATAGATAAACATGTGGAAAGTATAAAATTAATATAAGAAGGAACCTTCTTATGGAATTTCAATAGTTAAGTAATTATGAATAAGACATTTCAATTCTATTGGAGTCTGTCCAAAAAATGATTCTTCTTCTCCGAAATTTTCTATTACTCAAATGTGCAAAATATTAAATATCAAAATTAAAGAAATACAAATTAGAGATATGCAAAAGGCATACACAAATAACTTATTTCAGTTATTCTATAAATACCGATATTATGTATTTTGAATATTGAATCTAAATTTAGTTTAAATTACTTTTTATATAAAAATTATATTAATAACATAAATGAAATTAAAAATTGTTCTCTTATTTACAATCATCTGTCTTATATCAATAAGCACTTTCTATATGACTTTGTAAAACGGTATTATTCCTAAATATTGCTTTAGATTAAACTCTACTTAAATTAAAGACCAATCACACTTTCAAAGGTACAAATACCAAACACACAGGATATTGGAATGGTGATTTATAATGCACTGCAAAATGCTAAGCTTAGGATGGGATCAGCTGTGGTTAAGCTTGGTAAAATTGTTGTCGACCTTCATAATGCATAAGTGAATGGTATGGTGCTAAGAATTGTAAGGACCGAATACCAGTTCCTGGATGCTCAGATGATGAAAATTGATGATGGTTATTAACTCATCTTATCGAATTAAATAAACCATTATTTTTGCATTTAAATTATAAAGCATTTTATAGAGATCTTTTTTGAAATACTCCATTAAACCGATTCGTTGAGCTCAAGAGATATTTAATTTTTACGTACTTAGTTATGGGTTGTTTAATTCTTAGAAATTTAGAATTGTTTGAATTATCAAAAAAGGAAAGGGACATTAAACATCTAAATATGCGGTAACAGAATAAATTAATAAAGATTAAATATATTAGGAATGAGATTATTGAATTTTTAATACTAAATATTTTAATTTATTAATAATATTTTTAACACATAATTAAATGTCATAATTAAGTGCTTATAATCTGTAAAAATATTTATCATAATAAGTCTTGAGGGATTTGCAAAATAGAATGAAGTTGAAGTACTATCATACAGTGTGAATTTTTTGAGGGATGTAAACGTTATTGAGGTTGATCCTGTATAATCAAAATTTAATCAAAATGATGTTCTTAATAACAAATTCTTATATAAGCATTTATGCACTTGCAATTCCTTCATTTAGTTATTCTAAAAATCAACTGTATCGACTGAGATTGGTATAGTTTGTAATTTATTTAGCAACTATGGGAGTTCCTTTTGCTCCAGAATTAAACGAAATTGATTTTAAAAATCAAGATCAGGTATATAAAAATATTACTAAAAATCTCAAAGATTCCTTCACAATTTTTGAAATACAACACAATTCAACTACAATAAGCATTAGCTTTTGTGAAGAGTTAGATTCTTTTTGCATTTCCTATGGAACACAAACAATTATATGTTATGATGAAAAAGATATTGAATTAAATAAGAATCCTAAACATGATCAATTAAGACAAGTAGCCACTTCATTTTTTAATCTCTTTAATAAAATGCCTCGTTAATAATAAAATAATTTTATTGAAGATTTGACCAATCGAAGTTTGGTAGGTTGCTACAACCACAAAAAATAGATAGAATGGTTTGCAATTCTTGAACATTATGCAGAGTAAAGAATGATTAATCCATATACAGTTTAAGGTTTCTTACATCATTACAAATTGGAACCTATTTAAATTTATCAAACGTAGTGCACTTAATTTTAGCTACAAAAACACTTCTCTTAAATCTACAACCAATTGATTGATTAATTTAATGATTTTTATAAAGGCAAAACTTTGTATTTTTGGAAAGGAGACCTCTTTCTTGGTTGTTGTTTCATTCCATTTAAATAATATATCATTTTGAATGAATTATAATCAATTATCATGAATAAAGAGAAGGAAATTAATAAGAAGGAACCATTTTAATATCTTTCTAATTTCAATTTAAATGATTAGGATTTAGAATTCTATAAAAAATACACTGAAATGATGTTAGATAATTCAGAAGACATTAAAAACACCTTTTAATTTTCGAAATTAACAACTTAAGCTTTCAATAGCATTAAAGCGGACTTAGATTATTTATCAAAAAAATAATAAGGCTTGATTCCACTTTCTTATTGTATGCAATCTGCTATTATTGTTGTTATTCCAATAGGAATTTCAGGTATGGGATATGAGAAGTTATGCTTATCTATTTAGAAGACTTGTTTAAGAGTGCAAATAATTAAATTAATAGATTAAATTAATGAAAAGAATTAGCTTTATTTTATTGAGAAAATATGCAATCCAAAAGAATTAGAATAAGTCAATAAATAGATTAAATCGTTGCCATTTAACATCAAAACTGTTGCTCTCTTACCTGAATGCCAATCTACTTATGAGATTAAAGAGTGGTAATGTAGTTTTCCATTTTCTTTCAACTTTATTATGCATTGTTTACTCTCTGTTTTGGATAATAAGAATTCGGTTAAAGAGATTATCAATTAACTGAAGGAATTTTAAAACGAGAAATTATATAATATTCAAACAGATTATAAAATAAAATGTCGTTTCATAGATGATAAAAAAGAAAAAAATGATTTATATAGTGAAATAGTTGAATAAGATTTTTAGGCAGCACTTAAATCACAAAATGATTAACTAATTGAAAGTCTTTCTTAATATAAAGATGCTCTAACAAACATGAAAGATAACCATCTATAACGTGAATCGAAGAGACTCATCACAACTATTGAAGAAAGGACATACATAATTTTAAGAAAAAGTGTTAAATTTTAATTTGAAAAGGATCATCAATTAAAATATGGTTTATTTATTGAGAAACCAGATTGGGTTGAAATTGATAAATTTGTAAAATCTTGTTTGGAGATCATTGTTCAAGAGTATCCAAATGATTCAGTAATCAAAAGGATGTATCACTAGTTTGATAGTTAGTTCAAAGCTTAAAATGCTGTATTTATGAGGATAAGCCAGCCATATTTAAAAGCTAAATAATTATAAGAGAAACCAATCACTACAAAAGTTTCGATTGCAGTTATCATTGTTGATGGGATTGTAATGTTGTAACCCTAAGAATTAGGAATGGATTTATTATAAGATATTCCTATATACACTCATAATATTGATAATCTAAAGAGTAATAAGGTTTCTGAACAAGTAAAATTAGAAGTGAAAAAAATGCAGAAGTAAAATATTGAAGATAACACAATTAAAAAAAAATAAGTCTCTTTCAATGGTAAAGATTGGGATGCTTTTATAGTAAAATTTACACCAATTAACATAAGATTAATAGGAAGACAAATAAATTGATTATTATAATTATTTAAATTAATTAATTTATTTATCTTAAAAGGAGTATTAGATACTATAAATAGAATAATCTACAATGTATATAATTAGAGAAAGAAAAATTAGACTAAGATGACAATAAGGAAAATAAAAAGAAAATTTTATCTTGTCTTAACAATTTATAGTTAAGATTATAACATTCAAAACCAAATTAGAATATCTAATTAAAGAACAAATGAATGCTGACTTTTAGAAACCAAGATATTTTATTAAGTTAGAATTATTGTGATATCTGCTTGATTCTTTTTCAAAGATCTATTATAGATTACTCCGCTTAAATCTAAGGTTAATAAGATATATGGAGAAAATTAAAGATAATAATGGATTAATTTAATCTCAACAAATTAAGAAATTAAATCAAATTGCATCTTTAAAAGCACTGAAATTATGACACAATTTATTAAAATGAAAAGACAGCAAAATAAAATATAATAGGAATTTAAATTTGTATTTAATCTCCACAAAGTATGTTAAGACTAAATTAAGTCAACCGAATATCTGTTATAAATTTAGATGATATTTCAATAATTTAAAAGGTAGATTTAAATACCTTTAAAGTAAATCTTGAAGATATTTATATAAATTATACAATTACATATGCTATGGTAGATAAAAATTACAAGCATAGGAGTTTTCTAAATTTCCTTACTGTAAAGAATGTGATAATATTATCAAAACTTGTATTTGGTCAAGTAATTGTAGCTGTTAGTAAAATATTCTTTAATGTGAAATGAATTATGAATGGACATGAAGGCTTTATTTAGTGTACTTGCAGCCCAATATTATAGAATTGGATCTATTAATCAAAGGGGTTTGTGAGGAAAAGGTGAATTTCTTCTGCTCGACGGGAATTTTCTAAAAGAATAGTAGATATTAGATTAGGAAGAATAGGAATGATTTAAAAAATAGATAAATGATGAATTGACTTAAGACAATCGAATAATATATATGTATATCAATATAATCAAAATATTTAGCAGGCCACATAATTTTTCTTTTCAACTACTTTTCTTAAATCATTTTCAACAATTTGATAATTTAGAGAAATGTGTCGACTATGTTATCCGAACTCTGCGCTAGTTCTATCTTCAATTATTTGATCCATAGCTGTTACTATAGGTTCTTGGTTGATTCCTTTGGATGATGCAAATGGAGTTTAAGATGAAAATATGTTCGAATACATGCTAACATTTAAGGAGATATTTACGTCATCAAAGGTGTCTATACAGGCTAATAAACTGGATTTGTACTAAAATGAATTGTTAAATATTTACAACTAAGTTTGATTATTCATTTAATTTTATATTATATTCCATTTATATTAAAATTACTTATATCTATACAAAATGAATATACAATTTTCTTTCATTCGGTAGCCACTTTTTTCTTTGTTTTTTCTTCTTTGTTATAAACCTTCTCAATTACTTTTTGCTTTTCGAACTAATTTTATAACATTACTCCACCAATAATAATTAGAGAAACTAAACCAATTAGCACTGCCAATAATATAATGTGCACTAGTTTAAATTCTTATTCATTTTGCTATAATACTAAAAATCATTTCTTACTTTGAATGGGAATAACCAACTGACATCTCCTGCGTATTTATAAATTAAGGATTATCTATTAATTGACATCTGATAAAGTATTTGTAATCCTTTAGCCATTACGCTAGCCAAGAAGACATAAAGTGGTGTAATAAACACCAAAAGCCAAATAAACATTACCTGTTGTGAAAAAAATGAAAAGACTTGTCCTAAAACCATTTTTAATTAACTCTTTTTTATTTTAAATAAAACTAAATACAAATTCAATTATTTTCTATCTCTTAATTTTATTAAGGCTTTGAAATCAATATTATAGTTTAATGACAAAATAATTACAAAGCTAACAAAATTAATTCAACTAATTTATCTTATAGAATGTGTATGCTCTAGAAATATATTAATATTGCTAATTTATAATAAGTTGATTTATATATAAATATTATAATTTATGATTAAATTTATTTATTCTTATTCAAGTTGATAAGTGATGAAACAAGACAGGAATGGAATTTCAAAATTATGAAAAATATTCATAAGCAATAGCAAAATTTCATAATTCTTAAGTTATTTTAATGATTATTAAACAAAAGGAACATTCATTATCTTTTAATGAAAGCATTATTATATTAAAAAAGAGACTTTCTTTGATCAAATTCCTATCCTAAAGGAGTTCATATACTTTTTTTTACTATAATGTAATAATCATATAAAAATTATATTTAGAACTAAATTGGAGTTGTTGAGACTTATTAGACTCTATAGTCTTTAAAAAGGATGATTAAAACAATAATACAACAAATTTATAATATTTAATCTATAAATTAGAGCTTTCTCTAAGAGAGATTAATTTAGAATAATGTTTAATTCTTATAATATATATTTCGAATAAAATGTTTTTTTTTTTTCATAAATAAAATGAACTCATACAAACAAATTTTAATAATTAAATTATGGGGGTTTGTGCATAATCACAAAAAAAATCATAGAGATAAATTGGAGAAAGAGAAGTTTGTTTCGTCTTAGAAAGTCTTACTTAGGAATCTCAAGTCAATGATGTTTATAAAACTTTGATTGGTCAGACTTAAGTAGTGTTTGAAAATTTGATAAATAACAAAATTATCAGTCGAAATATCAGTTAAACTGAGTATGATTTCTACTCAAGATAAACAGAAGAATTAAGTATTCTAAACAACTATCTCTAAAACTATTATAACAACTATTACAGAATTGTAGTTTCCAACATCAAAAGTGAAAATCTTTATTACTTTTAAAACCTAAATCTTAAATTCATTATCTAACTCTACTTGGCTATGAAAAGCATCAAATACAATCGAAATGAATGGTGGAATTCGTAGACTTTCTATTCACTGGAAAAGCTTATATAGAATAGATTTAACATATTCCCAAAAGTAGTTGAGGAAGGAAGAATCTCACCATTCTTAAATTTCACACTCCTTTTAATGAAATTGAGCATAAAGCTCATGAATCTAGAAGGAATGACTCTTCAAGAGAAAGAAATTGAATACATTGTCGACAAGAAAGGGTCAAATCTCTACAATCAACTCAAACTAGACTTATAAATCTGATTTTTATATATTTTTTACCATCTCTAAATCTCTCTTATTTTAAATATTTTAAATCTCCATAAAATAAACGTAAAATTCTTTAAAATAAGAAATTATATTAAATATAGAATAATATATTAACTGATATATAAAATTCAAAATTATGGTTTAGATTAATTCACAAAATTTTGTAATAAGAATTCTCGACTAGGTTGTTGTCTGAACATATTATGTTTGCTTGAGATTATTTTGGAGACTTTTTAGTTACTGACTGGACTTTGAGATCGAAATTATACTTCACTATTTGTAGTTTCTAATTTTCTTCTCTATGAGAATCAATAAAATTGATACTGTTGAAGATTGAGGGGATTAAACAGTAGTAGCACATTTTTCTACTAAAGACACTCTATAATTAAAGAATAAAGGCATGACCTTATATCCAGTTCTTACTCTTTCTTTTTAAATTTATTAGGACATTTCAAACATCTAAATACAATCTTGTTGCGGTGACAAACTTCTTAATGTTTTTTTCTGTCTCCTTAACAAACTATTATTTTATCTATTGTCCTATTGGTTTTCAATCGATTTTGGTTGATACATAAATTCATATCTCAAGACACTTTAGCATAGTAAACGTTATTTTAAAATGGGATATTCTTTCAGTAAAGTTAAAAACTCTTTATATTATATGAATATTTACTATTTCTGATTTAATAGTTAGAAGAGAAACTGAAGAATTGGTTACCGCTTTTGCAAATCTAGCTCTATTAAAAAACACTTCATATTCACCGAAGATTTAATTTTCAACTAATAATTTTAACTATTTCTTTTCTTTTTATAACTATTGGGCTTAATGAAATACTTACTTTAATTTCTCCTTCCCTAATCAAATACACAAATCTGCTATCTTCATTCTCTTTATAAATAACGTGATTAAAAGGAAGAGTTGTCAAACAAAAGTATTTTGAAATTCTTGCAACACTATTTCTTGGAAAATTTGGAAAGAGAGTTTTCCTTAAGAATTCTATAATGATATCGGTTCTCAATTCCTTTAGTTGACTTAAATAGGAACTAAAATTTGTTCTTATTGATAAAAGATGAACATCAGAAAGAGCAAAAACAATAGCTTTTTCATGCAAGGGAATTACTAAGAAGTTTGGCAATTTGATAAATCTTTTAGCCAATTAATATTAACCATCAACAACAAAATATATTCCTTCTTACAAGATGATTTAATCATCCTATTTGATTTTTTCATATTAACAATCTCTGGCTAATTGATCAGCTAATTAGTTTGTTTGATAATAGTTATAAATAAATTTTCTTATGAATGACTCCATTTCTATTAAATCTGTAGCCGATTTTACTTCCTTTTCTATTATTTAAATAAAGTCATTCATCAAACTTGAAATTTCAATAAATTAATAATAAAAGTATATTTTATTAAAAATTAATAAATTCGTAAATCAATTACCTTAAACTGTAATATTCATCAAAAGAAAGATCTATAGAAAAACAACTTTTGATATTATTAAATTATCTATTGTAATTCAAATTGTTGTAAAATATACTTCTCATCTAATCTTATCTGCTTTATACATTTCTAGTAGTTTAATAGGGTCTTTAGTTTTATAAGCATCGATATAGAACTGCAATTCCTATGTGTGGACATCAAAATTGTTTTGCTTGAAAAAGTTGATTATTTCATTTAAACTTTTTTCTTAACTAGTGCTATTTTATTTCTATATATTTTTACTTCTAAACCTCTTAGACTTAGTAAGGGTTTATGAATGGATAACAAGAATTATTTTATTTTTAATATTCTGATAAAAGTTTATCTTGGTTATAATTGGTAATAGTGGTCCTTCTCGCTTAATCATATTGACTAACCATATTTTGTTTATTATTTTTAATTGGAGCATTTATTTATGCTATTTATTTTTGATCCACTCTATTATCTATCGGGATTTATTAGTTCTATTTTATTTGGTATTCTTCCAAATAATATTGATTTTTCTTAAGTATTTCACCAAACTTTTTGGCATTGCTCTCGAAACTCATTTAAATATATAATAGTACTATTTTGAATTTAGAATATCATTTAAATCCATTGATAGTAATGGATGATTGAGTTGTATCGAATCAAAATTCGGCCTTTTAATATGAACGTGAAAAGTATTTTGTGTAAATATTTATGATTATCTAGATTGTTATTTGATAGGCTAGTTGGCACTATTTTATTTGTTCTTCCTAAGATCAGCTATTGAAATATTAGCTAAAGTCACATCTCCAAAAATTCCTTAGATCATTTTTAATAGAAGGTCTGCTTGAGAAAATAAAAAATATTAATATTATTAATAATATCAGGATGGAACCACTTACAATTCTGACAAATATTATTCAACCAGAATATCTCAAATATTACAAGGATTGGATACATATTGCAAGCGAAAAAGAAGCCAGAGGTCTCCAATTGATTGGAGCCATCTATAAACACAAAGGAAGGAAATTATTTAGGTAATATTCAGATCGATAATCATAGAGCAAAACCTCCAACAGTTCAATTACAAGAGCTAACAGATCAATAAGAATTAGAGTAATCTTATTACAGTCAATTTTGAATAGTTTTAAAAAGGCTGAGGAGATGCATAGAAAAAATTAAACATCTACAACCTATGGTACTGAATTTGGATACCTCTAAAAATTACTAAAACCATAGAATAATGTGTTTAAATTTAAAAAGTGTTCTGAATTAGAATTCGCATAACCTCTCAATGACTTAGCTAAATTATTTTTGGATAATTGGATTGAAATGAATGATGAATTGGAGTTTCAAGAACTAGTTCTTAATTGTCTTAGAGCATTATTCAGCAGATTTAAAGCGTAATTAGTGCCTAAAACAGAAATGAAGTAAGCTACACTCTAACTATTTATTAGAGTAAAATATGAATATAAGCCTGACTGGAAACTATCTAACCCTATAAGAGTCGATAAAGCAGGAACAGATATTAAGTAAAGTGTTTCTTATATAAAGTGCTTATAAAACCAATTATAATGCTATTTTCAAGTAAAGATTGAAATAAGAGCAAATCAAATAAAAAATAGCTGAATTAGACGGAACTGACTTTGCAAAAGCTTTAACAATCCATAAATCATTCAAAATAACTTGAAATTTTTATATATAAAGATACATCATAGATATTCTTTGGATTATGTAAATTATTAGAAATTATTAAATAAATCAATTAATGTTGTTTCATCAATCAAATTAATTAGCACTAACACTCGTTTGTATTCTATTAAGTTTTATAAATTTCTGCTATTGAATCAACTAATTTTAGGATTTAATTAATTTACCTTCTGATTGAAAAACATCTTTTTATTAAGGCAAATTATTAAATTAATACCAATCATTAATAGTTGATGTTGCTATTTGAATCACATCCAAGAATAATATTACTGCTTATTTCTCTTCTTCTGATTAGAAGTTCTAATTTATTTACTAAATCCCTTCTATCTCCTCCAAATATTAATTTAAGTAATTTTTCAATTACCCCACAGTTTAATTCAATTATTCTGCATACACTATCCTTTTAATATTGCAAAAGTATACTTGCTTTTACAGCCAACATCAATAAGAATAGCATAAGATTAACAAAACTCATGTTTAGAGTATAAACTAAATATGTCCTGTATATTTGATTTCAGTCCATTAACGAACTAATTTCCTAAACTTTGAAATTTATTGGGTTCATTCTCTTAAAATTTTTCACAGTCCCAATATTTTTGCATAAAAATAGATTTAAAAATATATATTTCTCAATTAATTTGCTTGGATTTCTGGCTTAATTTCTATGGAATGACATTAAACCGACTTTTTGATAAGATATCGATCTCTAAATTAATAACTTAAACCCTATTATAGCAATATTAACTTAATTTTTATCAAATTTGTTCTAAAATATATGTTCTTTATCTTCCTTATTGCAGCTCTATTATGATCCAAAATTGAGGGCCCATGTCATTGTGAAGGAATGGAAAAGGACTAGACGAAATTCTTTAGGTTCTCCCTAACATCCTATATGACTTAGCTAATAGAATATTTTCAATTGCTTTTTGCTTTAGACTATCCTCTCAGATTAATGAAGCCTAACAATACTTTTATCTTAAGACTCAATCCAATTCGTAAGAAACCCTTCATCTAAGATTGGTAATAATAATTATTCTGACTTTATTTAATAAAGAAATCAAAACACTTATGTAGTATTAATATGATATGCTGTTTAATATTAATTTATGGCAATACAAAAATAGAAATAGAATTCTTTGGATTTTTACTATATAATAAATAAATGAAAAACACACAATGTCATAGCTTTATTATTATTGTAAATTTAATCAATCATTACTTGAATTTTAACTTTAACCATTAATGAAATACTTATTCGTTGATATTTTTGGCCATTTGCATAGGTTTACTTTGCAATAATTCCTTAACGGTTGGTCTTTATTTAGGATCCTTATGCAAACATTTCTAAATAATCTCCTTGGTTTCAGGTAACCAATTATATTCTTAAAGATATTATTCGACGTCAAACTCCATGATCTGTTTCATTTATTAAATCTACGAGTAATCCTTTTTCCTGTTTAATTAATTAGCAATACTTAAAGGGATGCTGTCCACTCAAACATTCTATGAGCATGATACCTAAACTCCAAATATCGGCATCCATTCCATAATTCATGGATTGCAATCTCTCAGGTGACATATAGATGGCTGTGCCAATATAAGTATTCAAATATTATCCAGTTGACACTGTTTAGCAAATACCAAAATCTGCAATTTTTACATTTCCCTCAGAATTAATCAATATATTATGTGGTTTGATGTCTCTATGGATAATTTTGTGTTTATAATGCAAGTAATCCAATCCTTATAGTATTTTATAAGTGATCATCATCATCATGGGCTCCTTGATAAGTCCATCCTTTTGCAGTAATCTGTCCAAGGAGCCTAAATCCATATACTCAAGCCAAATGCAAATATATCCTTGAGAATAGAATGCACCATAACATTATACTATGAAATCGGATTCACAAGAGATTAAAGCATCCAATTCTCTTGTCAATAACTTTTCTTGATTAGTATCAGATAGAAATTTAATTTTCTGATAGCAATTAATACAATTACTTTCAATGCATACATCTCTTGAGTTCCTTTGAGTTAGACCTTTTCGACGCTACCAAAACCTCCTTATCCCAATTTGGTGACTAGTTGAAAATCATTAAGAGTTATGTTTTGTTATTTTTAATCTTTTTTGCATTGCTTATGATATTTGATTCCTTTTTCGTTCAATCTAAAACCCTGGAAGATGAGTGATCCATTTTCGGAGCTGATGATAAATAATGAGATGAACATACAATTGATTCATAATATCATCATCTTCACAACAATTAATATCTAATTTCATTTAAATTAATATAATAATAATAAAATGTAATAATAAGGATAAGCTCCATTATAAATAGAACATTACATAATAGGTAAAACATTGGGTGTGGGTGCATTCGGAAAAGTCAAACGTAAGATTTAATGAATAGATTAGTGGCTAAACACAATATTACTAATACATAAGTGGCCATCAAAATCATCAATAAAAGAAAAATGAAGAATTCAAGAATGGGTGCTAAGATAAGGCGTGAAATAAGGTTGCTCAGATATTTTAATCATCCCAATGTAATTAAACTATACGAAGTATTGGACACCCCAGGAGATATATTTGTAGTAATGGAATATGCAGAAAGAGGAGAATTATTTGATTTGATCGCATAAAGAGGCAAATTGCCTGAGAGTGAGGCTCGCAACTTTTTCCTTTAAATATTAAGTGGAGTCGAATATTGCCATAACAATTTAGTAGCCCATCGTGATCTCAAACCAGAAAACATTCTGATTACTCATAATTATGTTGTCAAAATCGCAGACTTCGGATTAAGTAATCTGATGAAAGATGGGAAGTATTTAAAAACCTCATGTGGTTCTCCAAATTATGCTGCACCTGAAGTGATATCAGGAAAGACTTATTGTGGTTCCGATGCTGATGTTTGGAGTTGTGGAGTAATTTTGTATGCATTACTTGCAGGTTTCTTACCCTTTGATGAAGAAACCACCCAAGCTCTCTTTAAAAAAATCAAAAGTGCTGATTACACCATCCCAAGTAGTTTCAGTCCTCAAGTGAGAGATCTCATTAATAAAATGCTCACTCCAGATCCATTGAAGAGAATCAAATTCCATGAGATTCATCTTCATCCATATATGAGAAGCACTTAAGTTCCCTTTTATCTCCAAATACCATTCAAATTAGACGAAGGACGTAGATAAATCAATGAAGATGTCTTTGAGAAATTAATGCAATTGCAAACAGTTAATTTTAGAGGTATGACACAAACATAAATTCAGAAGAGTATCAGAAAAAGAGAAGACAAATCATTTGTAGTCATTTATGATTTACTATTGGGATAATTAGGAGTTGAATCTTCTACTCCCATGACTCTACACAATTTAACTATGCATGATCTAATCTTTAATCCTCAAATTCCATAAATTGAAGGACAATCATTCAATAATTGTCTATTGAATGAAATTTAGAAGCCTTAGCCTTATGATTACGGTAAGGAATTACCAAAAGACATAATGGCAATTGTTTACCCTTATCAAGCGAGATAAATCGTAAATGCTATTTACACTTGTCTAGAGAAATTTAATACTGTTATTAAGATAAAGAGTCCTGATTACAAGTTGAAATGTTATCATAAGAATCTCATAAAGATGACAAAGTATAATTCGAGCATGGAGTTATTCAACGAATTCCAAAAAGAAGTGGAAGAAACAGGATCGAAAAATGATTTGGCTTCTCTGACTTTTAAGGACGATGGCAAGAAACCAAAAATTAAGGAAAATAAATATTCAGCCAAAGAGATTATATTTAACATCTAAATTTATAAGGTATACAATAATATATATAATGATAGATGCCAACTAACAATAACGATCACATGATTGATTTCCAATTATGCAGAGGTCATCCTGTGGTTTTCATGGATTTTTGCAATAAAGTGATAGCTTTGCTAAATTAACACTTCAATTAAATTTGATTATGTGTTTCCAAAAATATGATAAATAAATAACATAATAATATTCATTTATTATTTGTCTTCTTTATCTTCTTGCTGACACCTGGTATTTGGGATTCATCTTTCAACTTTTTGAGGTAATCATCAATGGTTCTCTCCAATTCATTCGCACATTTATAGTATATCGTATCAGGTTGATTGTAATTTCTGCAATTGATGAAGATCCTCTTTACATCCTTGATAAAGAGGTCTTTGGAAGTATACTAATTGTTCTGTAATTTCTTTTCAATAGTCTTAATATCAATTGGATCAGTAATCACATCATAATAATCAGGGACATCATCCTTATTGACAGGTTCAAGGAAAGGCCAGGCAGATTTATGTTTTCTCATGGTGTCTATGATCTACTAGCATGAGATCATAAAAGTCTTTTCCTTTTACTTTTTCAATTCATTGTAATCCTCAATTGTCCAACCACTCTCCATAATGCCTTAAACACTTTCTGGTTTGACTGCAGGTCTATCTCCATTGGAAGTTTCCATTTTGTAGTTCTGCTTCTCAATGCCAGGATATACTCGATCATTCAATGTTAATTTCTTGATCATGTCTATCATGAGCTTAATATTATGAAATGCAATACCTACTTTTATTCTCTAATCAGATCACTAATGTTTCCATAATCAATACTAGGATGCACATAACATTCCATCAACGTTCCTCCATCATAATCCTTGATGAATCCTTTCCATCTGTCTGGATGCATCTTTATTTCCTAATAGAATCCCTGTTTTCTGAAATATCCAATTGCATAATTGTCTGCATAAGTCAGCAAATATTCGACATCCTATTTTTGTATATGTTCTTTGAATTTGTTCATCAATCTTGTTCCATATCCTTTGACTTACAAGTTGGCTGTAATTGCCAGAAATGCTATTTCAGCAAATCTTTAAGTGGGATACTTTCTGTAACAGATTCCTCCTATCACTTTTGTATCATCCTTCATAGTAAATAATCAAATACTTTAACAATGCACATTGATTCATGATTTCTATCAAATACAAGTCTAACAATATATTCCTTCGGCATTTTAGGAAGTTGGCGAGCGAATATATTTTTCAAGTCAATTAACATCTTCATTCTCTCGTGATTACCATTATTTGTTATAATTTTGAAGTCAATCAAACCTTGATCTTCTTCAACCTTGGCTCCTTAATCTCGGTTGGTAAATCCAAGACCAGTCTATTCTCCATTTATTCCCACAAATTATTGAGACATTAAATAATTATCATACAAATTAAATCATTCTGCTATCCAATTCCCGCATTTCACATTAATCCAAAAATTTTATGCCAACCTTATTCAATATATCCCTCTCTCTCTTCACTCTCGCCTTGCAAATCAAGCGCTCTCCTTCCTCACTATTGAACTGAGTTTACGAAAACTTGAATTAAGGTAATCCAACAACTTAAAGAATCTTATCATAAACTTCAAAGAAGTTGAAAATCGATGCCATTATCAATAAGATAGGCAATGAATATGAAAAAGACATCCCTAAAACTGAACTAGTATCCATATTGCCAACCACATCCTCAAAAGGAGTACCCTAAATGTGGATCATCTGTAAGAAATTGAAAGTCAACGGAAAAGATACTCTAGAAAAATTGCTAATTATATTAATAACAAAATACTTACATTGAGCCAAACATCAAGCTAGGTGCATCAGTTTGCTAGTGATTATAAAAGCCATACATTCCAGCAAAGTTAATGTGAAATAGTCCATAAAAAGCACAAAAAGATATATACATCAAAGGTATTAAGATTGATATTTAAGTATGCATGAATCCATTGACATTGATTATTCTACTAAGGATATTAAAGTCAAATTCAGTAAAGCATGATATCTCGGACAATATCACAATGCTTGATAATATTGAGAAAATCACACACAAAGATAATAAATAAGCCTTCTTTATTTTAGTATACCAAAGCCATTGCAGTATATCAACATAATGACCAAATTACCCAGACTTTGGATAACGTAATGTCGATCTAATTTTGTAATGCACACTGAATTCGTTATCAATCATGTCTTCTAAGAGAAAACATTCAGTGCAAATGTGATCCCATTTAGTTTAGGCTCTTTTATATTCTGCAGCTCTCTTTTTAGCCTTCTTATTAATCTCACAAAAGGATGATAGTTGTTTAACTTCAATGATATTCAATAATTTATGAGAAGCATCCTCTATGATTTCATAAGGGATCTAGATTATAGATATTAATTTTACTTCATTCAATATATAATCTATACATTGTTAATTCGGATTGAGTTATTTATTTTATTTCAATTCAATAGTCATATTGAATAGTTAGATATAAAGTTCTTAAATAGTATGATTAATTTGGGCAGCCTCTAAATAGAGTGCTTTTAAACATTTTTAATATTGTGCCTTCCTCCAATATTCTCTTGGGATTGCTACTAAACCATGTCCTAGTAATATAACTACTAACAAAATGCCACTATGATTAGAATATATATTTACAATGCATAAGCTAAAGCAACTAATACTTTTAAAATTGAATTAAAGTCCAGTTTGTTGAAAATAGCCAGGTAGGCAATAAAGATTAAACCAAACAATAAAAAATAAGCATAGATGATTATATTGTTCTTAAAAGATCGTATCAATTTGTCTTTGAAGCTGAATTCCCCCGCATCCTCATATTCCTAACAAACTGGTAATATTAGCCTAAAACGAATAAATGAATAAATGTCACCAGCACAGTATGAAATTGCCCCAATATATCCATTTCCATAATATCACAGTGTAGTCATAGCCATCACCATAATCATTGATTGTGTAATAGATGTCATGAGGTATGATAAATACAATTCCAAATGAAAGGATCCATGAAATGTATGTTAACAATTTCACATAAAATGGTACTTGTTGTTGTGAGTACTCTCGAACCAAATATCCTACATAAAACAGTAAGACTATCCCCTCTAGCACACTCAATATGAACATAAATTATAAATATTAAAAGTAATATTGGTTTTTAATTTATTATACTTCATTCTAGAGAGCACGTCTTATTTTTCTTTAGAATTAGTACCAAATATATCATAAGACTAATAAATCATTTCGTATTTCCTTTTAAATTCTTTATGAATACAACATCCTTTACTCAGTTATATTTCCATAATAGAATAATACCAATTAAACTATACCAATTATCTATAGAATCAAATCAACCAAAAATCATTTTATTTAACCTTTAGCCATCAAATCCAATTTATACTTTATCTCAAACATCGAAAAAATAGTATTCTGCATCTGTAAAATTAGGCACATTGATCGTAATCAATAAATTTTAAATTATGCTATTAAGACTAATATATCACTTTCATCTTAAAGAAATATTATAATGAAAATTTCATTAACTGAGGAATTCAGTCAAATAATCTGCTAAATTAATTTAATTTTAGCCTTATATGATAATCAACTTTGTGATTATATTTATCTTTTTATAACTCAAACATAAATTTAAAAGCTCTGGAAGTTTACAAGATTTTTGAATTAAATTCATGTTTCTATAAATATTAGAAAGTAATTTGTTTTATCAAAACATTTAAATTTCATGAAATTAAATTCTTATGATTATCTTAAGTAAGTTTAACATGCCAAAACAATTTTAAATTAGAATCTTTTAAATTAATAGTAACAAAAATGCAATAGATGCTCAAAGAAAAAGTAAAAATTACGAAAATTATTATGGAATAGGTAATATCTAATTCTAAAAATGTCAATTTTCTATCAAAAATAATTGGAATCATGGTTTGATAATTAATTATTTAATAAATAAAAAAATGTAAAGATTTAAAGAATGGCTTAAGCCTATGAAGGATTACTTTTTGAATAGTTTTTCAGAGACATCTCAATTATTTCTTTCAAATTTTTTGGGAGACTATTTGGAAGACCCTTAATAATTAAATATCATCGCACTAATTAAAGGAATAGATAATTTGTAATTAAAAACAAAATATATTAATCAACTGTTAGGTAGCAGTCCTTTTAATTTTGAAGACGCGCAAATTAGTAACGAATTCATTCTATATTTAAGAATCATTAAAAATATCAAATCTTAAATTTGAAGCTGAAAAAATAACATTCGTTATTGTTTTAAAAGATAGGTCTGATGATGAATTAAAATAATATTTATAGAACTTAGAAGAATTTAGGTAGCGTGAAAGTGCTAAAATCAATTATCTTTACAAATTAAGGAAAGAAGTTTATTAAAGAAATTGCTTAGAATAATGTTAGAATTAGAATTATAGTGTTGAATCAGGATTTTTTAACTTTTTATGCCTGGCTGATACTTTGCTTAGTAATCTTTCGATCTCTATTAAAAATATATAAATAATATTTAAACTTGAACAGGGAGTTCAATATGAAATCTTAACTAGTGGTATAAATCTGGAATTACATAAAGCTGAATCCAAGTAAATTATGTTATTTTATTATTAGCAATATACTTTATATAACTACCATTATTGATTTGATAGAATTAAGGCTAAAAAATGACCAAATAGCACTTATGGATAAGGCAATCAAATTAAATATCATTCTAGAAACAAAAGACGATAATTAAGTTTAATTAAAATTAAATGGCAACGTTTCTTCACTCGATTTTTTGTTAAATAAAAAATAAATAAAAACTATTTTAAAGTCATACTCCAGATATCAATTAAAAGTAGACTAAATAAGCAAGGCATTAATCTTACTTTAAAATCAATCTCCAGGTTTAGTAGTAGCATAAAATGACAAGAAAAATATTAAACAGTTTGAAATGAAAGGCATTGAAGCCTTAAGTACTGAACTTTAGAAATCTTCTGAATTAAATTCATTTAGTAACTAGTAATCATAAGAAGTCTTTCAAAGTTTATAACTAAATGTTGGAGAAACAGATTATTATGTTGATCCAAAAATAAAAAATCAATAAGAATAATTTAAATGCTATTTTTAAGGAATTAAACTAGCCGTATGTGAAGATGCTCATTAATTTCCTTCATTAAGAGAAAGATTCTTTCAAGAACTTGAATCTCATTTTTTTATTGAAATTGCTGATATCGTTATGGAGTATAGCGAAAAATGTTTGAAATTAAATATCGAAAGAATGGCTGCTTACAGAATAAAACTGAACAGTCCTTCCTTTTAATTTAATTTAAGAGAAACCAATAATTCGGCCTATAATTCTGAAAGGTTTTTTAGCTGTAAATCTATTGGAAAATAAGAATTTCTTGTAACTCCTGTTGTTTTAATAGGATAACATCTACTGTAAAAAGTAGAATACGATTATTCTATATATAATTTCGCGAATTTTCAATAATAATCAGATGGTAAGAAGGCAATTGATGTAAATATCTAATTATTAAAGTGCAAAGATAAAAATGTATTCTATTCAGTAAAAGCTGAATTCTCTTAAATTGTAGCTTCATTTAGGTATGATTCAATTATGAATTTATTGACATATGTGCCAAAACAACAGATACAACAAATACCCTAAAAAAAGACGGATGTTTTATATGGATTAGATATATAAATTCCTCATATTATGTTAAGTTTCTTTATAAATGAGAAAACAGTCTCTCTTAAAACGAAAGGGATTACAGTAAAATAAAAGCCTACGAAAGCAGTCGAATTAAAAACTGGGTTTTAAGAATCATGTGAAGAAGCCAAATATTTCTAAAATCCAATTCAACTAATTAGCGTTAGTTTTAATTAAATTGAATTAGAATTTGAAGGATAAAATATAGTTATAATAGATTAAGATAATGTTAATAAAATAAAAACATATCCAACAATTTATTTTGCTTTTTAAGAAATAAAGTAAATGAAAAAGGAAAGAATTGATTAATTAGAAAGCGTATTTAATTACAAAAAACAAAAATGCAACTTAATAATAAGCGGATTAATTCCAATTCTGAAATTGAAACTTTCAGACAATTTTCTGAAATGGTTGATATCATTAAAACAATATTAATAAAAATTCATAAAAGTAAAAAAGTAGAATGCAAAGAAAATATCATAGAGGTTCTTTTATTAACTTAAAATAAACTTTGCCTCCATAGGAATAGAGGATAATTCTTTAAGTAATTTATTTTATTTAGAACTTCAAACAGTAAGTATTGTAAAAGCTAAATAAATTTTAATTTTAATTCAAGATATTATTGCGATTGATTCCTAAAGTTTAACCCCTTAAAATACAGATTAAAAATTTAAGAATTTTAAATCTACACAAATGTTTCTATATAGAATGAAAAATGAGGTGAATTCAATATAATAAGATATAAAGAAGGATTCATTTGAAATATCAAATAACCCATTGTCAATAGATTATGGAAAATATGTAATTCAAGCAGATTTTAAAGAAAAAACTGTTATAAAGATGAAAAATATATGCTTCAGACTTTCAGATTTTTAATTTAAATCCTTTCTAAAATTGAGAGATCTTATTGATTACTATATCGAAGTTGATAGTTAAATTTAAGAAGATTGGTTTTGTAAAGCATAAATACTTACTGAGGATAAAGATGAAGAAAAATAAATCCAACTAAATTTAGAGGAAGATTGTTTTATTGATTTTTTACCTTTGGTTTCAGTAGAAACATTCTCTAATCAAAATGAAATCGAAAATTAGCTTGCATATTCTAATAGTAGAATTTTACTAAGAGTAAATAATGCTAAGATCAGTTCTATTGTGGAATTAAATAGCATTGAAATATTCATTATAGGATAAAATGAAATGAATAATTTATTTCCATTAATTTTAAATGGTTTTTTCGATCATAAATCTCATATTTTATAATTTGGATCTTAATTGAAATTAAAAAATGTAAAATATTAAGATAAGTTAATTAGTATAGATTAAATTGTAGGAAATTTTAAGTATGATACAATATAAAACATCATTGATATTTTTAATGATTTATTAAAATTAATACCTTAAGCAGATAGATAGGTTTCAGAAGAGTAATATAAAATCTCCTAGGATTTCAGTTAATAGCTCATTAACGAGAAGATTGTTGAGAATGTTTATCAATTTGAAGTAGGGTAAATAACTATAGAGTTAGAATAAGGAGTTACATATTATGAAGTTGATGTTATTTATGATGATACTGAATGGGATGATGAATTTGATTAGACCTAAGACTCAAATAAAATTTGCTTTAACTTTTCAAGATGTCTATTTAAAGTTGAAATGTATAAAGAAGGTTAGATAGGAATTGGGTATAGATCTAATTTTGAAATATAAGACAGAATTGATAAATTATATCATAAACTAATTTTGCACCCTGATTTTGAGGAGTTTGAGTTGTAGGATAATTCTGCATTTAAATTTGGTTTGATAATTGAAAATCAAGCTTACACAGGATTTATTTCAATAGTCCCTATGAAAATTTACATATCTGGTGCTCTACTCTAGTTTATTATTAATTTCATGTCAAATAGGATTAAAAATGAGGAGAAAATAGATTTGGATGAAATAGAAATAATTAAAAATGTGCCTCCTATTATATGGTTGAAAAACTTATAAATTTGTGAAACTAGATTGAATATTACATATGATTCATCTGGATTAAAAGTAGATGGTTTATTGAAAGGGTTGTTAAAAATTAGTTCATTTTGCAATTTATAGATAACTTTGAAGGATACATAAATTGAAAGTAAAGGAGATATATAACATGTTTAATAATAAATTATAGAAAGCATTTAAGAGAGTTTTGGTTCAAAATATTAGATCGCAGGGAAAGCTTTGTAAAGTTTAGATGCATTTGTTTAAGTAAAGAATTTAGGCTAGGAAATATTGAATTTGTTTACTAGTCCTTTTGAAAAATTAGGAGGATCAAGTGGTAGTATAGATTTATCAAAATCGTTAAGTGAAGTGTTTTCAAATTTAAAGAATGGGCAGGAAAGGATTCAAAGTTTCAAGTTTTTATCTTTGTCAGGTTCATTACTTAAAAGATATTGAAATTTTTAATATTAAGTATTCATTAATATTTTTATAATGTACTTTAATAATGAAATGTAATAAGAAAGAAACAAATACATATTTCTAATGAATGTTGTTTCAGCTTTGTTGGATTTAAACATTTCAACTAATTGTCGATTGACGGGTCTAGTTTTCACTAGATTAGCATATAATTATAGTAAAGTGTTGCCAAGTGAATAAGAAAAAATAAAGAAAATTTATTACAGTTAGGCTCAAGAGCTAGGCAGTTAGTTCAATCAAGGTCTAATAGAAGGATAAGTAAAAATATAGTAATTTGAATAAAATACTGTGATAAATTACATTGATGAATTGCGGCAATACATAGATTAAGAAGTTTAGGAATAACAATTAAAATTTATACTCGCCTGTCACCTAAACAATGTCATAGATGCTTTAAAAATAGAGGAATTCTTTAGAAAATATATCATTTAAGAGGAAGCAAGATTTCAGAAGTAGCCGTACTTTGAAGTGATCCACAGTTTATCATTGACTCAATTGCTCATATATATTGATGCTAAGATTCGAACCATCCTGTATAATCAACAATGAACTACATAATTTATAATTAACAAAGATTAATATGCTAATATCAGATTCTAAGTTAAATGTTTTAATTATTTCATATTAATAAAGGCTTTTCTCGAACCTTTAAATAAGACGGCTCTAATTAGGATTAATCAGAAAATATAAAGAATGAAATAGTATTCTAGTATGTTGACATTTGGGGTGTTTGATATTAATTAAGCTAGATGTTATTATTAGGACCTATATTGTCTAAGAGCAAGCAAGTTATTTCTGAAATAATGGAGCCATCTTCAAAGATATGAGATTTTTAATCATTGTAAGTAAAATTCTTCTGAAAAGTAAGATTATTTAAATTAATGTACTCATTACTTGAAAAAATGAATGTGAATTGAACTAACTTGAATTATTTTGTTGTAGATCCATCATTAATTTAGGTATTTTAAAATCCTTGGGTCTTTTGTTTCTTTTCATTACGATTCAATTGGAATTCCTCAATTATTCTCAAACTGATCATACTATTTTCATTTAAGTTCTTTATCAACTCATCAAAGATATTAATTAAGATCTGTGTTAGATATTTAATATTTATATTAAATAAGCAGTTCCTTTCAATGTAATTTTAAAGCTTAAATTTAATAGAATAATGAGCAGATATAGCTTGAAAGTATTGATTAATTGTTGCTATATAATTTTCAAACTTGAAAGGTTGAAGTATGGATTTCATCCCTACAATTTTATTTTTTTAAAAAAACAACATAAAGTTTCGAATGTAATTAATAATAGACAAATTAAGACACTCTATTTAAATTAATTTTTATTATTCGAATGAGTTTTCTAACTTGACTCTTTTCATCTCTTCATAAAGAAGAGATTACTTTTTAATTATTTTAGAAGACATATTTATGATAAGCTATTGATATTCTTTAATTTGGCTTTCATATTTATTAATCAAATTAGGTACTTGCTCTGATTTGATAAGGGCAAAAATAATAGGTTTACCAAAATTGAGAAATCTAATTTGTAAACACATTTTTTTGGTTTCATTTTTAATCAAATCATGCTAATAAATTTCCAAATTACCATTTTATTGATCTCTTGAATTTGAAAACATTTAAAAACTCTGTATTCTTTAGAAAAAAACTTCTTCCAGATTTATGAGTTTTGTTGAGCTTTTATCTCTTAATTTTGTTTAGCTTTCATTTGATTTCATCATAACAAAGGTGGACCTCAAAAATCCTTTAATTTGTTCTGTTTCTTTTATGTTCATTAATTCTACGAATCTGTTATTCTGAAATTCTAAAATAAATTATCTACTTCTTTCATCTAAACTTAAAGCAAACATGGCATCATTTACAAATTCATTGATCAAATCTCTAAATTACAATCTACACATACTTTTGCTTGTTTGAAATTAGATTAAGAGAAAAAGCAAGTCTAGATGTATACTCATTCATATATCCCCAAATTCCTATAAAAGTAGTACATGAGACAGTCTAAAATACGAAGGCTAAATTGTCAGCCTTATATACATCGAATACACCTAACAATACGAATGGAGTGATGATAGTATAAGCTACTTTAAGCCTATTATCGCTATATTACATTGTACCGATTGCCAAGGCACAGGTATTGAAGCCAAATATAAAATTAGGTCTAAATTTAAAGAGATGAATTACATAGAAAAGCCAGCAAAGGCTATCAGAATGTTGGTTGTTACTGCCCAAACATAATAAAATGAGAATACCATTTTTAGATAAGGTAAGATCCTTCTGCTTATCATTAATAAAAAGACACATCCCCCTGATACAAAACTCACCAGTATAGACAAGAGTTGAGATTATTATTGGATGACAAATGTTAAAAGGCAAATAAATGCAGCAATACTTATAGTAAGGTTTAGTATGCGAAAGGATATCAATCTAATTTTATTTAAGTGATCCTCATACTGAGATTCGAATTCTGGATCGAAAAACTTTAAACTCCACTTATCGAAAGGTAAACTAAGCATTAAAATTGAAGTTATATTATTGTAATTATTAGCACATAATTAGATAATGATATAATTAATCGGATCGGTATAATATATGCTAGTAAAAAGCTTATTAAATCTAGAAACTGAATATCATTTCGATTATTAAAATAATTAAATATAATCTTTTGATCATAAATACGGTATTTGATGATTTTCAGAGTATGAGTTTTAATATATATAATTGATTAATTGAATAATATTTATTAATGTGGACCAATATTATTTCAAGTAACCTAATTATTTTATACTTTATGATGACATTTTTGACTTACTGTTGTTCTGTTGAAGGTTGAGTAAGTTTGAAGATATCTGGGAAGATTTAAATTAGAGGAGGCTTCTTATAAAATTGTGATACAGGGAGGAACAAATGAAATTAAAATTCAAGACAATTCTTAGGCTTAATTGATACATTTTGCAGCATTTGATGAGATATTGAATACCCTTTAAATTAAATTGTATTATGAATTAATTACAAAACTGTCTTTCTTTGTCAAAATTTAAAGTCATTTCTAACTTTTGGATTAATAGTGAGATTAAATACAGGATGATGTAAATTTAATAGAGTTTGAGAAATAAAGATATGAATAAGATGTCACAATTGTTTCTGAAAAATTTAATTTGATTAAGAGTGTTATTCTAGGATAATTATCTAAATAGAGAAATTTTACTTGTAATTTGAATTGATTCATATTATATGTGGATAATTGCACTGATCACTTTGAGACCAATTATTAGAATTCTAGAATTTTTTAGTAAGAGCTTGATCATAAGTATAGAGGAATAATGGAGTAATTATTTTAAGATATGAGAAGACATTTATATTTGTTTAAAAGGAATTATTGATATATTTTGATCAAATTTTATTTGTATTTTGATATATTTAATCATTCATGCCACATAGGGTAGTAATTCTATCCCAAGTCTTGATTTGGATCATTTTAAAAGTCATTTTGATGTGAATGCTTTTATTTTTATTTATGATTTTGATGATTCATCTATTTATTGTGCTTTTATTTTTATTTTTTTTCTAATTTCATCTATTGTTATTATTACAGGTGTTGCTAATATTATTATTCTAATTCTTCTGCAGTAGGCTATTAAATAATAGGTTCTTATCTCCTCATAAAAACTTATTTCTAAGGTGCTGGTTTAGGAGGTACTGCAGTTTAGACCAACTAAACATTTTATTAATTTTAGGGTGAAGATCTTAAAGTCGATAATTTTTCATCTTTCTGCAACTTCCTTGGCTGATCATTAACTTTAGCTTCTTTCATTTATTTGATAAAGTCTAGATGTTACATGATATAAAATACCAACTCCAGTAGTTAGATTAATCTGCTTTGATTATTTGACTTCCTCTACAATGTTGATTTAGATATTCAAATTATTATCATTGACCCATTTAATCTCATACAATTCTTCAAACTTTTCCTTACGTAATAAATCGCCATATTTTGAGCATATAATAAATTGGTTATCAACTCTCAATCTTGGAAAAGTTGTAGCTAATAAAAAGTGTTCTCCATTTGGACTCCATTCAAACTATACTACTTTATCTTATCTAGTTTAACCAAGCTTTTTGAGACTGTCCAACTCATAAATATATATGTCTCCAGTCAGATTTCCAAAACCACACAGAGCAACTAAATTCTGCTTAGGAAAAATAGAATTTATATGAGCTTGAAGTATTAAGTATTCTTTTTCTCCTGATTTATTGAATAGAATTGCACCCGCTGGCATATATCCAGAAATTACTATAAATCCATTCTAAACCCACTGAACATCATGAATAGGTCCTTCAAACAATTCAATATTTTATAATTTATCTTCAGTCCAATGATTTAAGTGGTGAGTACCAAAATAACTCTGATTGGTGTGATCATCGAGGGTCTATGACCAAATTAATAGGATTTTTCCATCATCTGACCACAACTATTTAACTTCATTCGAGGGGGGAATTGAATGTTCGAAATGCTTATTCGTATCATAGTTATCAATAATAAGACGGCAGTCTTTTAAGTCTTCTAAATGCTTTATTAATGTAACAGACGATAAGTATAATGAATCCCTTTAAGTTGAAATCGTAAAATCGCCATACTCTGGGCATTTAAATTATTTCAGCTATTAGAAAGTTGCTGTTTCATAAACTATTCCTTTGCAAAAGCAAAGTGACCCTGTTGAATCAAATTTAACATCATGAGGAAATGCCTTAACAAAATTCTATGTTTTTGTAGAATATAGTATAGTTTCCTTAGCTGATAATATAATGTATTCATAATCTGGAGAAAATGAAATTGCTTAAACTCTCATTTGAATATTAAATTTATTTTGACCCCAGTGTTCAATCCCGAAATCTCCTCCAAACTAAATTTTAGTGAATAGAGTACCACAATGCTATATTTTGAGATCGCCATGCATTTAATGGATGCATGATTGGAAATTTAAGTTGAGTTTGTGAATGTGTTATCCAATCCACCTAACCCATTTGAATGTCTATATACAACAGAATAAGTTAATTCAGGGAGAGTTTCTTATTATGTAAGGAGGAGTTGATATAATTGCTACATTTTGAGTATTAAAAATTTAATTAATTATTGATGATAAGTGCACTCACTTGAAATAAATTTAAGCATGTCGAAAAGAAAAATTGCAATAAATTAGTAGGGGGGTTCCCCTTAATATAAGAATCTGATTTCAACTAACTGAGCATACTCCTTTAATTCATAAGAAACTAAGATTTAAATTATCCTAATATAATGAGTAGATAAAGCTGTGATTATTTATTTTATATTAAAATCCAAATAATAATTTTTATGATCCTCAAGGAGTAATAAATTATCGAGAACATTGATCCAATTGAATTACAATTTAATTCATCAGCGTCAGGTATACTTAATTAAATAGACAAGGCTCTAATACAACGAATGATGAATTTCTTAAAATAAGTTAAGTGTAATTTAAAAAGGAACTGAGCAAATATATTGATTATTAGTATGTAAGAATATAAACTAATGCAAGCCATCAATAAAACACCAGCAGCTATTCTGTCTCTTGAGCATTTTCAAGAATGAATCATTATGTATTAATTATAAGCAAAGAAGGTAGTGAATAGGGATCACAAAAAGTAAAAGAATGTTCTAATCGATGATATGTTAACTTTTGGTTCTTTGGAGAAATTGGTATTTCAAGATTAAACAATCATTCCAAACGATTACATACTACCTGATTGTGAAATAATTTAATGCCTCATTACAAAACAAGTAAATAGCATTTCTTTGAGACTTAGCAAAAGCGTCTGTCTTACTCATTTATTATGTTCCTAAATATTTTGAAGCAACTAGAAACAGTATTACCAATAACTGCTATTAAATTAATCAAATAATTCGCATCTTAAAAGCCTAATTGCATAGTTGATATAGGAAGGCAGAAAATGGTTTATGTAGATTCTATGATTATACTTGTAGATATGGATGAGCAGCAATGATGAGAGAAATCTCTGTTATAAGGATGATGAGATAATATTAGGTAAGGACTTAAAAATGATTGTTCACTCTGTGAAATGTATTAGGGAGGAATTGATAGATAGGAAAAAGGAAGTTAATTTAAAGAATGTTTAGAAATTCCTGAAAGGATTTTAAAAAATCGATATTATTGGGATATCTTATTCAGTCTAACAGATTCTGAGAAAACTTATGGATGCTTTTGAAGTTTAGGAAGTCTAATAATATGAGCAATTTGTTTTAATGATTTAATTAATTTTAGTACTATGCCATCATTAGTTATCCGTTACTGATTTTAGAAATATAAAATGTTAAGTTTATCGCCATTTATGGACACGAAGGAGAATACTATCAATTTGGATGCACCTATAATTTACCATTCACAAACAGAATTAATAGTGATTAAGTTGACAAGTGAGTAATTCTAACTCTATATAGTTATCAATTCTATGTAAATTATTAATAAGGCTAATGGAGACTGTACGATGGGAAATACAACTACCCAAATTTTGATATATTAAAAAGCAAATATGGTAACTAAAAGTATTAGAATAGGAACGTGGAAAAAGATTAAAAATAAATAGTTTTAATTAAAAAACTCAGATACGTTTCGCATCAATCATTTTTATTTTAACATTTCAGAACTAAAATAAGAAAATGCTCACAAACAAACTTAAAGTTAGTGCTATTGCGAAGAAATTATTAAAAAAGATGTTTCTGAAATACCAGATATAACAATCAGGGAAAAATCAAAAGTCTGTCTTAAATCTTATGACCATGTTAACCTATTATAATCACAAATCTCAACTTATAAGGAATACTAGGAAATACAATTAGATTAAGAATGTAATGCATTCCTAAGTTGAAATTTATTTTTAATATTTCTCTATATTTTTTAATAAGTTTTTATCATCTTTTAGAATCCATTGCCCAAAGATTATAAGTTAGAAAAACAGTTAGTTAATATTAAGTTGCAGTTTTTATAAATATAAATGATAATAAAGTTTGATATGAAAGGAGAAATATCAATGTTTATCAATTTATTCACTTTCAATCACTCTTTTGTTTCTCTTGAAATTACTATTTTTGAATTTTTTCGTAACCTTCATCTTTTTTATCAATATCATTTTTTTCCTAATTGGACGGAGGGTTATTTTTAATAGGTGATTTACCATCTTAATCATTTGCAATGTTTTAGTAATTATAGAAATCAATATCCTCATCAGAGTTCATGTTCTAACTAGATTATTAGATACAAGATAAGCTTTCAATTTCAAAGTCCTTTTGAAATAATTAAGTCATAATTAATATTATAATTAAATCGATTGAATTATGAATTTCTCAAAATTTTCTATATCCTTTCATATACCTTCTTGAGTCGATTGATTCACCTAAGTGTTTTCTTCCTCCTCCTCTTCCTTAGGTAGTTTAACTCGTGAAAAACAAATGGCAGCTGCTAAAAAGGATAAGAATAGCAATAGACAGCCATAAAAGGCTTAGGTTCTAATTATAATATTGGTTCCTTACTTATTTTAATCATGGGTTATTACTGATAGAATCTCGCCAAAAACGAAACTCCAAATGTGAACACCAGCTAACAAAAATCCAACTGCTATAGTTTGATTAATGGGGTGTAAGACCTTGCATGCTAATTCAAGTTGCAAAGGTATGCAAGGGATCACGAAAAAGCCAAGAACCTATAAAACTAAAAAAGAATACTGAATAGCATAATAGGACTAGAGGCAAGCTTTCAGTCATTAGTGCAAAGTAGCTCAAACCCAAACTAGCTAAAACTGGGATCAAATTGAACAACACTATTTTCTTATGATTCAAGTGATATTTTCTGATTAAGATCGAATACATAACAGAACTGACGAATCCACAAACAATGGGAGAACTTTCTGAGCTGTTACATTCTAAATACTATACATATGAAGCTGGTTTATGAGGGAGTGAAGCCAAAAGGATTAAAAAGGTATGAGATGACAACAGCCAGAGCATGAAAGCCACCCATCAATAGACTGTAACAGACGAATAGTAGGATCTAATAAGGTTGATAAATTTAAAAGTTACAAAATTTTTATTATTTGCTGTCATTTTCAAAGACTAGAGATAAGTAAATTCATCTCTAGATTTATTGATGGGACCAGGTGGAGTGGGAGGACTAGGTCTGAAGAAAAGAATGGCAGGAATTAAAATAGCACTAAAGATTTCTAATTCAATCACCATCAATTAACCAGTTAACAATTTGCCATCATCCGGATCTGTTTCATAGTTATAGCCTTTGAATATTTGGCCAGGTATTATAACACTAAGTATATTGTAAGTTGTACCCAAATACACTTGAACAAGTTATAATGAATGAGAACGCAATCATAACAGTAGTTTTATCTTCTGGTTTGAACCATTCTTTGGCAACGTTGGCCTGAATATTGATAATGAAGGGTCTTCCCATACCAGCGACAAGAGACCCCAAAATAACAGTATAAAATCTATATTTTAGTGAAAGTATGCAACCTCTCTGTGATAACGGTAGCAGTTCTAACCAATGCGCCTAGCAATGTTAAAGAACATCCAATTTTGAGACTTACTGAAATATCTGTTTGATTGACAATAAATGTTTCTGTTTTTAAGATTGATTGAATTACATACAAAAGTCAGGAGAGGATGCATTAGTAGAAATCCATTGGCTGCTAATGAGATGATGAAGGTTGGTATTTCGTAAATGGCTGACAGAACTGATGCGATTGGATTGCAAGTTGAAAACATCATTGATGAACAGATCTTGAAATTTAGAGATTGAAATACAGTGGAGAATGCAAAAAATGATGCCATTATATATCTTCTTTTGTATACTTTGTATTCTTCAGTTTAGTCATTGATTTCTGGTTTGGCAAGATGCACCATAGCCATTTCCATTTCATTTGATTTTTAATCCATATAAATTGCAAATAAATAAAAATTTTATATTGAAATATTTACGTCAGGGAATAAAAAGATTTAATAATTTTTGTAAAAAATATTATGATTAAATAAGGTAAATGTAAGGATACTGCAGTTTTAAGGACGCTCATCAACACTCAAGCATAAAATTTTGCTACTAAGAGATTGTTGAAGGATCTCAATATCATTGAGAAGGAGTCCATTCCCACAGTGGGAGTTACTGCTCGACCCCTTGAACACGACCTCTTTGTTTGGCATGCCAATATCCGAGGTCCAGTTGGAACTCCATATGAAGGTGGAATCTTTCATTTTGAACTCTTGATACCTGAATCTTATCCACATTAACCCCCCAAAATCAATCTATTCACAGAACTGCCTCATCCCAACGTGTTTGGCAATTCTATTTGTCTTGACTTACTCCAGGCAAGAAAACCAGAAGATAAAGATAAGTAATCAGGATGGTCAAGTGCATACACTATCTAATCAATATTGTTATAGTTATCAGCCTTCTTGTTCGAAGAACAGATAACTGAGAAGAAGGAGAAACAACTGGCCCAAATTAAGAAGGCAGTTTAGGCTGCTAACAATTTTAAATGTACAACCAAGAATTGTAAACATGGAGGCAAGCTCTCGTTGTGGCCTCAATTCAACACTAAGGAAAATGATGAATAGTAATTTATTAATAAAGCCTCAGAGTAAGAATTGTTGGAATAATAATTCCTCTGTTTCCACACTAAATTAAGTTACAGAAAACCACAAACACCACAATTCGAAGATGAAACCAAGATCAAGTAAGAAAGTTGTCTAGGAATCCTGTTGAATGTATCTAAGGTGCCTAGGACTGGCTCAATCAAATAAGCAGTTCCATCTTTAGATTATGTCTCAATCAAAGCCTTTTTAAATGAGGGATTGAAGTGGGACTCATTGAATCTATCCTATACTCATTGGTTGCCTCTTTATTTTGGCAAGACTGATAATAAAGAGAGAGTATTGCATCTCCTCTAAAGATCATTGTCTATGATAATGACCAACAACACTAAAAGGTTCAAGCCTGAATTCGTTTTGGAAGTATTTCCAAAGATCACACAGAGCATTGTCCATGGAATGATGGCCGAAAAGACTCATGCATCAATTAGATGTCTAAGAGTGCTGGCTTAAGTTCATGCCTTATGGTTATTGTGTATGGAAGAATGGCCTTAACTCTATTAGTAGGTGGATGCAATTATTCACAAATTCATTACTGATGAGAAGAGTAGAACTAAAGAACATACTCCCAATCTTGGTATCTTATTCAATTTGCTCTATGTATCTAAAAAGTACACTTTTTCAGATTTAGTTTAATCCTATACAGCAGAGTAATTAGACAGATAAGTATTTTGGTTATTGAAGGAAATCCCAGAATTGGCTGATGAGAAATTGGAAGGTGCAATCAGTGCTACAAAGAGAGTCGAAATCACATTTAAATAATAATCAACTTCATTTTAAATGGGTTGTTTCTAATACATATATCTATCCTATGTTGTTTAACCATTGAAGACTTAGAAGGAGATCTTGGAGAGATTCGACAAAAACTATTGTTTGTTAACTACTGGTATTGAAAATGGAATCCAAGAAAAAATCTTTGAGGCTTTCAAACGAGTAGTCAATTACGATGGGTTCTATGATTTCATTGGATAAGAAAAGAAATCAGTTGAAGAATTGAATCAATTGTTAAAACAAGCTGTAAAGAACTCTAAAGAAAAGAAGTATCATGGCACAGTTGAGGAGATGAATTAATTGCCACCAGCAATTGATTAAGTAAAACAATATTAAAAAAAATACTCTAGAATATAAGATTTCTATGTAATCACTAAAAAGGAAGAAGATAAAAAATAAATTAAATACGACACTGAAGTTAAATAGAATATTGATTGGAAATAAGAATTGTGCAAGAGATGGGATTGGATTGATGAGTAATTGAAGTGGAATTCTGAGTTAAATGCTACTGAATTGGCTCAATAATCCAATTATAGAGTGTTGAATGGGTTTGGTCTCAAGCCTGAGGATAGACTCTATAGTAAGATCGAAACCTTTAGGAACTAACATCATTCTATCAAATATCAGGATGATTTCCCTAAGCATACTTGGCAATAACTATACATGAAGTTAGATTTTGAGTAATTCTTACTTCAATTTGATTCTTGTCCTGATTTCCAAAGCTTTTATGAGAAAGTCACAATCATCAAAGAACATTTAGTAGATTTGGTTCTTGTATTGATTCACATTAAAACTGTGTCATCAGGATACTATTACATTACTGCTGCATTAGACTAATTTACTAAATTGATTAGATTGACTCTGACTGGATAAGATTAGTTGGGTAGCATTATATTCCCAAAGAAAGCTGCTAAATCAATTTACAAGGGGTTGAACAATTTAAGCAAATAATAAAACAGTCTATCAATTATTGAGATCAATAAATTAGGTTTTTCAGGAAATCAACTAGAAATCACAGAGTCCATCTTTGGAGTGTTATGTCAATTTTAAAATCAGATCAGATCTCTTACAATTGAAAACACTGATTTGTTGACTTTAAGTAATGCTGCAAAGACAGTGGGAGCAATAATCACTTCATTTAGACACCTTGAATTTTTGAATTTGAAAGGATCAATCCGTAATGCTAACATAGCCAAAGAAATCACTGATGGTTTGATGAGAGCAAAACAATTGGTAACTGTGGATTTGTCTGCAAACAATTTAGCAACTGAAAAGGGATTGGCATCAATTGTCTATAATTTGAGTTTCTCACCCAAGTTGACATTCTTAGACATTTCAGGATGCGGATCAATCACATCAGTTGAATTGGTGGAAAGCTTATACAAGTTGTTGAGAATCACAGCCAGTTTAGAACATCTAAATTTGGAGAGATTGTCTTGTTTGAATTTAACTAAGGAATTCTTTGTAGCATTGGGTGAAAGTAGAACTTTAAAAACATTGAATCTTAATGCCATAGGAGAATTCAATGATCAAAAATTAGAATAGTTAGGTAAAGCAATAGCCTTTAATGCATAAAAGGGAGGATAATTAACCATTATTAATTTAAATTATGATGGAATAAACTATCAAAAGTTAAAGAAATTGGTGGAAAGCATGGCAATTTCTAATCATGATCATGAGGTTTGGTATGGAGATGCCAACAAAGCTAGTAAAATGACAGGAGATGATTATAAGAAAGTGTTTAAATGCAATCTCTAGTCTCTTGATATTAAGGTATCTGCATTCAATTCCAATTTTGATATCAATCATTACAAGAGTCAATATAAGGCTAAGAATGAATTGTAAAACATTTTCGAGAAGAATCCAAATCTCTTAGATCTAAACTTTGCTGAGAAACAATTTACCAAGAAGGATATGGACTTATTGTCTGAAATGGTACATTAGAAATAAATTAAATTGAAAGTCTTAAATTTGAGTAGAAACAGTTTAAATAAAGAAGGAGCCAAGGTTTTAAGCGCTTTCTTGGAATCAAACACCACTTTGGAATTCTTAGATTTGTCAGGCAATAAGGTTGGTGTCTCAGGTGGTAAGAGCATTGCTTTAGCATTAAGAAAGAACTCAACACTTAAGAAATTGAATCTCTTTTTCAATCTTATTGGATTCGATGGGGCCAAGGAATTTGGAACAACATTCAAAGTCAATACTACATTAGAATTTGTCGATCTAGGCAACAATAGAATTAGAAACAAGGGATTATTGGCAATTACAGATGGGTTGAATGAGAACAAGTAATCTAAAGTATCTACTCTTGGGTTAAGATTCAATTTCTTGTCTGAGGATGGCATTTTGAATTTGATAAAGAAGACTAATTTACAAGAGATCTTCATCAAGAATAATTCCATTACTGATTATGGTTTGTATTGTTTAAAGAAAGGATATGATGAATTGAAATCTAATGTCAGAATTGATTTGTTCTCCAAGTTGATTTAAGTTGAAGAGGGTAGACTTGAAAGAACTGCTTGGATTCAACCTCCCTTCGGTATCCCAGACATCATTGCTTTCTTCAATAAATTTGAAGTGGGAGTCATTCTAGATGCAAGATTTAGAAAGGGATAGAAGTATGAAAATCGTAAGGTGCAACCAAATCATTTCAATTTCGTTGAGTTTGCTGATCCAAACAGTTTGAACAGATCACTAGCCTTAGCCTCAACCAACTAGGCCGTCATCAATGGCAGAGCATTTAGAATTTATAAGGCTGGAACAGGCACCTTCATATGTATTTAATTTATTAATATATTTAGATTTGAAAAAGAGTGCAAAGTAAAAGAAGGCTGAGAGTTCGAAAACCAACACCCTGTAGACCAAATTACCTGCTGGCTAAGCTGCAAGAGGTAGAGGAAGAGGCAGAGGAAGAGGTAGAGGCAGAGGAAGAGCTTGAAAATATAATAAAAATCATACATATATAAGAAAACAATAATTGTAAACACACATTTCTAATAATTATGTAATTGAAACATTAAATATATTTAATTAAAAGATGAATCAAGAAGGTCTTTCGGATTTATTGAAACAAAAGCCTCAGAACCTTCTTTAATACAATAATTAATTAGGATCGTATAGACCTAAGAGCTAACAAAAATATTGCAATCAACAATAATCTCTATAACGCCCCCCATCATCGCAACTCTAAACTGTTAGTGGAGCTGTTAAACACAAGTAATTTATTCATAAAAAGAACAATCTGATGAGGAATAGATAGTCTCAAACTCAATTTCAGCAGCAGCAGAAGGAAGATCATAATTGTTATGAAATCACTCCTTAGCTATTATCGGAAATAAGTATGGATGATCCAATTTGGAAACGAATTCTACCTGAAAACCTGAACTTAGATGAAAAATAACTCATCCAATTACTTGATGAAAATACAGATTATTTTTATCATAACTTAAAATTGTGTGCCTGTTTCAAATGCATTTGTGGAAGATGCAAATGTGATGCTAGCACTCAAGTCAAACTCAAACTCAATGGAATTTTCTTAACAAATTATGAAAAGGATTTTGTCAACAATCACAAATCAAAAAAAAGTGTAACAAATCCCCTTAATTAAAAAACATATGAAACTAATTTCATGGATCAAAAATCTATAAATTTGAAATCTCTCTATCAATAAGATTTTCAATAACAACCACTTGAAATTTAACCTAACCAAAAAAAACCGACTACCCATCAAATCGGATCTGTGTCGAATCTAACAAGTTACAGGGTATTCTTTCAATTCTAATTCTAGTCCAACTACAATGAATGGGGAACCAACTATCATAAATTTACCCCCTACCCTCACATAAGCACAAGTCCAGATATCAAATTTATCGGCTCCTCCCAATACAAGGACTCCTATATTTCACCAAATAGATGGAGCATTAACAATGCAAATAATTTCAAAACCTGTTTGTAAGCTATACCTCAATAATATAGAACACCAATACCCACTGGGCAATTTGAAGGATAAACAACACATAAAATGAGTTTCCTCCCATACACTACCTCTCATAAATCATAGATTGATAGATAGCATGTAATTTAAGAGTTGATTTATTTAGGTTTACGAAAAGATACCTACTTTTGAAGGTTAATTTATATCAACTGAAATGCATGATTATATTCAAAAAGAAGACCCAAATTGTCCTGCTAAACAATTTTAGAAGATATTTCGTAGATAAATGGCTGAAAAATTATTTAAAAAAAAATAGCAATTCCTTAATAATTAGATATAATAAAATTGAATTAATTGATATTTATAAAGAATATACAATATTATTATTTTAGACTTCCTAATTATAATTAGTTTTCTAAGTTACTTTATTTTTTACAAACTAATCTAATTATTGTCAAGAAAGGATGGATTGATAAAATAAATTGTCACTAAATTTAGAGTGTTCAATCTATCATCCAAAAAGAAGAATTATAATTATATTCTTTTTACAAACTATTGAAATATTTTAAAGAAGCAACTAAATCATGATCATAATCCTCTTCATAAAAATCAATTATTCTTGTATCAATATACTTACTACTCAAAATCTTAATTTTTCTATATCAATAGACTTGAATAAATTTCTCATATTAGATTAAACATTTGTTGGCAGTGTTCTTGTTTATAATTTTGTTCCCTTCTCTAGAATACCATCGTAAAGGTAGTTTTCTGCATCGTTAAATAACTTTTGTGTTTTGCAATTACTGCATAATAAAACCCTTTTGTATTATTTTCTTGAATATTAAATTTTTGATTATATATTTTATCATAAGGCTTCATTTGAATTTATCTAAATTCATTACTTTGGCTTCTCTTATTAAATTTATATTTCTTCATTAATTTTCTCAGTCTCTTTGGGTTTTTAGGCTTCCTTAGGATAAAATTTTTAATATGTGTATTTGCCTGCCAAAAGAACTCCTCCAAAAACCACTAAAGTGAATGAAATAATCATATGTCTAGCTCTATTCTGAATCTTTTTTTTGATACTCTCTGGAACCTCATATTCTTATCTATTATTGCAAAACCTATAATTTAATTTCGAATTAAAAATCATAAATAATAATATAATTATAATTTGTTTATTTTGATATAGAATTAAATATTGGAATTAAGGTTAAAGCCCTAAATATGAATTCTGATGAAATAATTATCTATATTAAGATTTCCCTCTTCTTGGTAATTAATTAATAACTAGCATTAAAGAGAATCAGTCTCATTGATAATCATTAATATAGATAAAAAATGGCAGAAGAAAGTATTCCATTATTTAATTATTATAATGAATTGATGTTAATTCTGAATCATCGTATTTTGATTCTTAATTTTCATAGAATACCCTTTCAAGATATAGATCTCTCTGAACATATTTATTTTTATATCAATAAGCCACTAAAACCAAACATTCTTTCATAATATCAGCATTTCATTTTTTGTTGAGCCTTTAATTTGGTATTATTCACAATAAATACAACCTCCTACATAATTAGTAATCTATAGTATATTCTCAATTATTAAATAGAAATCAAAACTCTATCTTAATTTAGTTTCAGTTTATGAGAATGATTATGTATCATTACTCTATTACACCCAATATGTATATAATAACACTAATATTAAATTATGATTACGACTACCCCTTTAATAATATTTTATTTATTATTGACTTACTTAAATACTCTGGCAATTTACTGTTCAATCTCCTAAAACTATTAACCAAAAATACTTAATTTTCAAACATATAACTTTTTATCATATTAATATTTATGGAAACTGAATCTAAAATACAACAAAAGTTCTTAATTTTGAGTTAAGTCTCTCCTCCTGTACTTGGATCAATTCATTATAACAAATCTCCTAATCTTGAGTAACTTGATTAACTTGCCCAAATCTCAGTAATGAGAAGAATGAAATCAAATGATCCACATAAAACTGAACCAACCTACAGAGATAAATATTGTATATCATTCATAAAAATTAAGAAAATATATCTAAATAGAAGGAAGAAATCTTTAAAATAAAAAAAACTAAACAACCTTCATTACCTTATTTACCTAAGAAATAGAAGGAATTTTATAATAAATGGTACATACCTTATGATCAGAGGTATGTTTAAAAGCCAGATTTCATGCAATAGAAATATGAAGGTATAGTTAAATACCATCAATTATTAGACGAATTGCACTTTTATAAAAATATGCATAATATGTATGTACAATATAATCCATTTGATCATAATCTACCTGAGGATCTCATGAAAAAGATAGGCAACAAGGAAAGAACAGAGGCACTTAAAGAAATACTGAAAGGGTAGAAATAGATAATTGAATTTAAGAGGTTTTATTGTAAATTAAAGCTTAGGAGTTTAGATAAAGAAAAATAAAGAGTTCCTGAATTTATAAAACAATTACTGGAAGCAGAAAACAAAAAATAAAAACAAAAGCAAAAATAATTGTTGTAGTTCTAATGAATTGTTTTTGATATTTAAATAATCTTCTTAAAGCATTTAATATTATCATTCAATCTTGCTGTTATTATTCCTTATAATAAATAGATCTAAAAAATAAGTAACATGGTATGGTAATAATGCATTAAAAATTTAATACTCTAAATTACTTTTGGTCTCAAAATAATAATAATAAATTGATAAACTTATTTGTTGAAATCCCTTTTCTTGACTAATTGAATAAAGATACAATAATAATTCTACAATAACCTAAATAAATATTATTACTTATTTTTGTCAATCTCATTATCCGAGAAATAAAAAATATTAATCATTTCTGGAGAATCTTTTTCACATAAAGAATAGTTCGAGTATTTATATGAATTGATTTGGGAAATATATCATACTTCTATACTTGTAAATGTATTAAATACCAAAGAAAAGAAACCAGCCTTGAAACCAAGAAAAATATTGATAATTATATATAAAGATAATATAATAATTCATTTAAAAAATTCCTTGTTTGTGCCTGTCTATGATCTCATCAAAGCATTGATTGCTCTATCTATCTCTAGATTTGTTTCCTATTAGAGCGGTTTTTTATAAGCCTGTTAAAACTATTGATAATCTCTCTTCTTATCCAATTAAGACTTAAATTCTTATTCTGAATAGACTATTTCATTAATATAATTCAAAATACCTTATCTATTTTTTCTCTTATAGAGATCAGTCAACGATCGCTTTTCTTCTTCTCGATCGACTGTTTACTTGAATAATTGTAATTGCTTGAGTTTTCTAAATTCTTAGAACTCTTAAAAATCTTAGTCATCAATCTATTATTGCTGCTTTTGATTAAATTCTTTGAATCTTAAAAATTCTATATACTCTAGTTCTGTTTCAGTTAGAGGTTGAGTTGGAGCTATATTCTATTAGGAAAAGGCCTATGGTTTCTCTTGCTGATATTAAGAGACACCAGTCGGTAATTAAGGTGTATCTTGTATTGCTTCAGTTTACACTTACTTACTTTTTTGGGGATTGATCTTTGGGTACTCTTTCATGAGATCTTATTGAAAGTCATAAGGAGGAGGAACATAGGCAAATGGAGGAGGAGGATAATAATTTGGATAAGGAGATTACGGCTAATAATAGGGGTTCATAGTAGGATTGCCAGAAAACTATTAGTTCAGGGGTTCATTTTATGGAGGAGGATAGTAATTTGATTATGATGGGGGTGAATAACTCGTTTATGGAGGGGCTGGATAAGGATTGTATTTTGAAGCTTATGTATTAGGATTATAAGGTTGGGGTTATCGATTGAAATCTCTTGATTCAAAATGATAAGATGGCTGTTGATTTGGAGGAATTAATGGATTATAATTATGAGACCTTTGTGATTCTATTTACACTCTTTGTGGAAGTGGTGAATTGTTAGGTTGATAGTTCAAAGACCTACCATAGTTGTACATATTAGGCTGAGGCTTTTACACATTTAATAAAACTTATTTTGCTCGATCTATTTCTTGTTAATGATATTGAACTCTATCCACCCAATATTGGGAAGGTTAATAAGGAATTGGTATTTATCTTTGATAATAATATGCTAGTGGATTGTGATCATTATTATGTTTAGGGTACTTGTGCATATTAGCATATGAAGAATGAGAGTTATATTTTCGAAACTCATTTAATTCGTCATTCTCTTGTTTCTATGGTTCTTATTCTTCTTATTCTTCTTACTCTTCTTCTTCTTCTTCTTCTTCAACTTCTTCTTCCTCGTCACTCATTTAATAAAAATTTATTATTAATTATTTCAAACAGATAATAACATTGTTAATATTTCATTTATAATAATTCCTCAGTAACGCATTTAAAGGTCTATCAGATTCAAAATACTTAGTATATCGATAGCTTTAATCTGATGGATATAGCCTTTTCCAGCCTCTGCTTCTTTTCAATTCCTCCTCTGTTTCTTTGATTATGTATTTCTCGAATTCCTGTTAATGTTTCTTGAAATCATTGTTGTTTTGATTTCTGGCATAGGATAAATCTTATGAAAATCTTTAGTCCTTTAATCATAATGAAGCTTACTAATGGTACAATTCCTATTAATGTAAATAGGTCAGCCAACATTTCTCCTTTTATTTTGAGATCTAATGGAGCATCGATATTAAGTGAAGGTGAGAAATTCACTTCCAATAGCCAAGGTTTCAGGAGTTAATCAACTAATACATCAAATCCAAATAAGGAAAAACAATTCGATCTAAATGGCACATTCATTTCACATGTCTGAAATATAGTACTTTCAACACTAATGATTGTCTTGATTATTAAATCTTCAATCCTCTCAAATATTTATTACTAAATCACTTTAATCAAATACTTCATTTATCTTGTTTAGTTTTAAGTATTCTCTTAATGCCAATAAACTCCATTTACTACCTACATAATCTAAGGTCGGATCCTAATTTGCCACAAAATTAGGTGAGTCTTTATTCACTGAGTAATTAGTCAAGTGCACAAATCTATTCTACTTTATGGAATCAGGATTATAGGCCTCAGTAGCAAATCTTGCCAATCCATCTTAATACACATAGATCCTCAATGGATTGATACAACTTATGGCTACATATATCCTCATATCGAATTTTAGATTGTTTATCAAGAGTGGCTTATCAATATAATGCGAAACAACGTATGAATTATTGGAATTCTATTTATTTAATATCTTAAAATAATTCATAATATGTAGTTACATCTTATATCTTATCAGTAATGAATATGCCTTTCCCTTGAGAACTCGCATGTGGTTTACATATGTAGACAGGATTATTATTTTTAAATTTCTCATGTTCTTCTAAAAAATAACTCATCTCGGCTGGCAATATGTATGTCTTTGGGATAAAATTAAAATTGATAAATCCATGATTTATTTGCATTTTCGAAATATTACGGTGCATCAAATCCTTGCGAGTCATTTCATATGATTTTGGAAAGTGACATACTTTTTGATAAGCAAACAAATTAGTATAGACTTCTGACTTTATTGCACATGATGACCAATACAAAGTCCAGTTTTTATCATTACTTTCTTTGAAACCATTCTCTTCCAATAATCCTTTTACTAATTTTATTGGACTGCTTCCGAATTTGTAATAATAACCAACATCCTTTTTATTAACATTCATACATTAATTATTATATCAGTGCTTCCTGAATATGGCTTAAAAGTTAAGCATCTGCTCATCGGAATCGCAAAGGAACCAGTATCTTTGGTTTACGTTTTCGGTTGTTGCTGTCGATTTAAACTTGTAGCCTTTCTTTTAAATTTATCCTAATTATTACTAGAAGAGTTCGGGATGGTATTCAACACATTTAATTATTACTTAAATTAGTTAATTGAAGGCTTACTTTTATTTGGGGAAGCATGGCACTTCCAATACTTGGCTTGTGTCTTTAATATTATGAAGCTGATTTCCTATCTATTCTATAACTTTACATTATTGTTCTTAATTACTATTTGGATGATAGTGTTTATTTAAGAGACTTATTATGTCATCTATTGAATCGCCAGGAGAATTCATCAAAAATAGTTAAACAGTATAAATTATTAATTTTATATTATTAGTGCTTCATCAAATTTTATTAAAAGTTTTTACTTTAAATTTTAACTTATAATTAAAGGAGAAATACTTAATGATTACTAAATTCTAAATCCCAACAATACTATATTAGAATATTGCAATTTTAACAAAAGTTGGTCATTGATTTGTTCCAGTTATTCAGCAGATGATATAAATAGTAACGGGTTAGGGAATATCAAAATTATATCTGGACAGAATTTATAATATTTTTTCAATGAATTTTACAAATTTCACCGTTATATATTATAAAGATAATATGTGTTTCAATAAATATGATAAGAACGATAAATATAATTAGATACAATAATATACGAAAATAATAATGATATGGGATTATATATAGATTATATTTAAAATCAATGTAAATTGAACTAAGATGACTACTTTGGTTATTCATATTTGGTATAGGTATTATATGCTCAAAAGGTTGCTTTTGAACAATAAATTATATTTATATAAACTTTATGCATAATATATTTATTATTTAATATTGCAAATATTGCTAATCAGATGGATGCTATGATGAAATTGGAGAAGTAAAATAAGAAACACAATTTTGAATTGAGTCTATTATGGCAGTAATTATATCAGATGCAGTTCTTATTTGTAATTCTTCATTAATTCATTTAGTAATAAAGAAATAATCCCTCAATGCAAAGTTATGAAGACAGGATTTCGTATTCGGTGTTTTTGAGTATTCTTCCGTATCTTTATTTGCATGATATTTTGAAATTGAGATTGATGAACAGGAATATGAAGGAAATAATAACCAATTATTTGTTACATAATCGGTTTGATTAAAAAAAGGCAATCTTACGATTGGAAGTCGAAATTTAATAAGAGAAAGAGAAGCTTCCAATATTATATTGTGAGATCTTAGAAGATCTGATACAGAAATCCAAAGATTATGTTTAAGAAATAATTAAGATAAATTACAAGGGAGTTATACAGATGCCAACTTACACACCTTTGCTAGTGATGCAAGTGGCAGAATGTGAGGGAATAGAACTTTTCAAAATAATCCCAGAAGAGTTGATGCAAATGAAAAATTATTTAATTTTTCTTGATTTCAGCAATTATACAGATTAGAGAAGAAATTAACTTTTAGAATTTTACAATGGCAAGGTGCAATTGACAAATCAAATGGAACAACACATGAATATTATTGATAAGTCTGAACTCATTTTTTCGAGGATGGCTAGAATGTGGTTGAAATAGACCTACTATAAAGACACATATTAACAATTTAGATTGATTATGACACTCATAAAGAAGAAGGAGATATTGGGATAGTTGTTGAGATAATTGAAGATGATTAAGAAAAGGAAGGCAAAGTAAAGAGAGGAGCCTGAATGATTTATTGATATTATACTTTACAATATTCATGACTGTTGCTGTTCATCAACTTATTATTAACAATTCGTTTGAGTTTCTAAAGAACATAATTTCAATTCATTCTGTTCATAGCTTATTTCTTGCGGCGTCTCATCCTATTGGTTTTATGATGCATCTATCACTATATTTTCTGGTTTGTCATCATGAGTATCAGAATACAAGAGTTCATCATCTCGAAGTATTTCTAAGAGATCTGCTCCAACAGTATCATCGTCATCGAAAGTGTATTGAGCATCAAGAATTTGTTCCTCTCCTATTTCATAGTTTACAAAAAGGGTTTCATAATCTTCTTCAGATTCACCATCATGAATTTCTTAATTTGAAGATTAAATTTCTTAATTTTCAATTTTAGATTTAATCCTCTCTTGAAGTTCTTCGTTGGTTTAATGAAATGTTTCTTATTGGGATGGATCATCGAAATGAGAATATTCTACTTGGGAGGAAATTAATGACTGGAGAGTTGTGATAAAAAAGATTATTTTAATCATTATTTAATTAATAAATATGCGAAAATCATAGAAAACATGTTCTTAGTAGCATATTAAAAATATACTGACACCGTTGATAGTTCAATAAAATTCATATAGTCCAGATCAGTCTCCATTGAATAAACCATCAAATCGCATAGGACGAAAATCATCATTGATTGAATTGCACAGAGTTGAAAGCGATTCGATAAAATTACGACCCCAAAGAGTGTTGTAAGTAGTTAAGGATGCTAAGAAACAACTTCTCTCTTAATAAAACCCTAGGAATGAGAAAAAAATTAAACCTAGAGTAGAGACCTCAGAATGCTAATATAGGGGATTAGATTTTACATTTGCCTAGAACTTCTCAAATAAATAGATAATTCTGAAAGAATTCTCAACTAATGGACTCAGAAAACGATTCTTTGTTTGATTTAGTATCAATTATTTATTTAAATCATTGTATCTTTAAGCGAGGTAACAACTTCCAGAACATTATTTTAGAATAAGGATCTTCCAAAAATTTGGATGGATCCTTAATATCAACCAAAATCAACTCATTATTAGTTATTGTAACCTTAGCATCAACAATCTCCTTGGTGTTTTTGCTGCTCTGATATTAAGCTATCTTGTAACCGTCCCTAGTCTCTAATTGATTTTGGAAGTGACAAAGAGTTAGCGTAATTGAATTGTCAAACTTGTATTTGAGACATTCCTCCTTGAAGTTTTCATCCGTAAATTCATCTTGATATATAAAGCACTCAGGATTGACTCCAGCAAAGTAATGGGAGTCCTTGCGAATGAACAGTAACCCATTCTTCGTGTAAGGAAAGATAGTCTTCTGCAATTCATATATTGAGGGGATGACTGGAATCCATTCAAAGATGTAGTCCTCTGATTCTTAATCCTAACGCAATTGACTGAGAATATGTCCTTTTATCCAAAAATATCTTAGTTCTGCAACTTACTCGCTCATATCCATTTTACCCCATTGTATAATATCATAAATATACACTGTGTTGGCACACAGGAAACAATCCAAAATACATCTACCAATCATGGTTTTCGAACTCCCTATTAAATTTATAATTTTAACAAATACCTCCTGGAAGCGAGGATGAAAATTTATATTTCAGACCATTTATTGTTTTTAAAACAGTAACTCCTTGGTGACTACTAACTATGCATCTTAGTCCAACTGGTAGGATACGTATAAAGTAGTCATTTACACAAATTGGTTCCCCATTATAATATTCAAAACTTTAAAAATTCTTGCAAAATTTTCGCAGGTTTTATTATTCTAGTTTTAAAGTGGGTTCTTCAAGTTTTAGTTTATTGAATTCTATCTCTATTTCCTCTGTATATTATTTTTCTTCTTCTTTCAGCCAAAACCTTTTTTGATTGAAGATAGCCAGACGACTCATCCTTCGAATATTGTCACTTTCTCTCTCAACTATTAATTAATTCATATTCATTTTATTAATATAATTTTATCAAATTTGATTCTAAGCATAATAACTATTTCTCTGTGCTAATTTTTTATTGAATAATTTCTTTATAATCAACTCAATTCAACGTAACGACAATGTAGTAGTTTTAAAAAGAAAGAATAAAACAATACATAATTCTAATCATTCTATATTCCTATAAACAAAATGGCAGGGTATATATTAAATCGGCGATTAATTATGGATATATACTAAATTCTCTAATAAATGATTTATAATGATTAGAGAGTACTATCTGCAACTTTCCAAATCCACTCTGAATTAGTTAAATTCAAGAACTTCATTTTAAATGAATCACAGTGGAACTCTAAAATTGAGAAGAATCCAAAAAAAGCATCTAAATTTATACCATATGATCAAGGATTTTCTTACTTTTTTCTAAAATTTCCCCTGTATCTATAATTCATAAGACAATTCCAAGAATACCTAATGATTCTGAATCATCGAATGTTGATACTCTCACCTTAAAGAGGTTTTTACTATTTTAAGAAATCTTATTCAGCCACTTAAAAATCAGACCTTAATGTATTCCATTTTGTATAGGAACTTCTATATGCAAAGGAACTTTTTGATGAATTGATCAAGTGTGTCCAGATTAGACTTGTATTGCTATCATAACTAATATTACTTTATTAATTATTATTAAAATGGAAAGCAAACTATAAAATTTTGAGATTCTGAACAAATTAGGTATCACTGAACTTACTAAAATGTTTTAGGTTCTGGAGCTTATTCTTCTGTTTACAAAGTGTAGAGAAAGTCTGATGGAAATATTTATGCTTTAAAGAAAGTAAATGGATATTATCAAATATAATAAAGGTTAAATTAGTAGATATAGGAGATAGAGAGAAATAGAATGCTCTTAATGAGGTCCGGTTTATTGCATCTATTCATCATGAGAATGTTGTTTCTTATAAGGAATGTTTTATTGAGGACAATAATTTATGGTATGATTAATCGTTGTAATCCAAGTATTATCATGGAGTACGCAGAAGGAGGAGATTTGTTGTAAAAGATTTAGAGGTTTGTAAAAAAATAGTAAATGATTCCTGAATAAGAAATATGGCAAGTTGCAATTTAAGTTTTATAGGGATTAAGAGCACTACATCATAAAAAAATACTGCACCGAGATTTGAAATGTGCAAATATCTTCCTATATGAAAACGACTAGGTCAAGCTTGGGGACTTCAATGTTTCCAAACTAGCCAAAAATGGTTTAGTTTACACTCAAACAGGCACCCCCTATTACGCAAGTCCAGAGGTTTGGTAAGACAAACCATATGATCACAAGGCTGATATTTGGTCCCTGGGGTGTGTGATTTACGAGGCCTGCGCTCTGAAACCGTACATATGATCCTACTATTAGATTAGACCATTCAGAGCCAAAGATATGGACGGACTTTATAAATCTGTTCTGAGAGGCTAATATTAACCCATCCCAGTGATCTACTCTCAAGAGTTGGTTCAGTTAATTAAAACTATGATGCAAGTGCATCCTCAAAATAGACCGGATTGTGGTAAAGATTTAAGACTAAAACATTAGACAAGTTACTCCAATATTAATATGTGTAGAAGAAGGCCAAACAGTATGGGATACCCTTGATCTCAGAGGATATAGAGGATGATTTACTAAAGACAATCAAGTGGCCAATCACTAGGAAGGGATTGTAAGCCAACAAGTCTGAACTCATCAATCTAAATTTCCAATTGCCTGGTAGCAACTACTTGAATCAGCATAATTCAAATCATTTAAGGAGAAACCAACAATCTAATAGAATTAAATCTTAAGATACTAATGATTCCATATCTCTAAATCAACCTAACGAAGCTTTGCATCAATTAATGAAGCAAATCACTCAACTTGAATAGAAGGATATTGAGAAGAGTCCTAATGTCAAATAGAATCTAAACAAATCTACTTCAAAATAGACCATTTAAGATAATATCTTGCCTCCAGATAGAAGATTGAGAGTGTCAAATTCTACTCACGAAAAACATGAGAAGTATGAATCAGTCTAACCGTAATAAATTAAATTATTATTAAAAGTAAATGCATCTCGAAGGATCGAATAGAACATCAAATTCAAATAAACTCTAATTATTATGCCAAGGATGTTATCTAATCCCTCAATAAATAACACTATTCATAGAAGTTACCAATCATCTCTGGAACTTAAAGATAGGATGATGAATAGTATATCCTCAGAAAGAATTCCTCCAATGAAAGAAATCCTAGTAACCATATTAAGAGATCAAAACATGAATCATTGAAGAAGGATCTCTCTATGCAACCTAGTGCAGAAAGACCTACTGTGTTAATGAAGATAATTGAAGAACATCAATAACTACCTAGAATAAAAAAAAAGTTGTGAGTTTATAATTAAATAATCACACTATACATAATTTTCCAAACATTATTATTAATATTTTTCAGAAATAGCTGAAAATTTAAGCATTCCATCCATCAACAATTACACCTAATCCATTATTTCTCATATCATCTCCACTTCTTACATAAGTTTATCCACTAATTAATTCGGTTATAGTTTATTATCCACTCGAAGCGTCACTTAATTTTACAAGTCCATATCCTGATCCGTCAGAGAAATTAATAACAACAACTATTTTCTCTTATTAATAAGTCCACTATCCAATATTTCAATATAATTACTCTAAAAGCAAAGAATTTCCAATTCTAATCACCAGTGACATTCAATTGAGTCCAATTTCCTGATTTGAATACATCTCTTTTTAAGATATCCATGATCTTTCCATAAAATGATTTAACGTAAGTTGAACCACTCTCCTTATAACTTCTTCTAAGGTGGACATCCAATTTATTGGACAATCCCTCCAATTAACCATGATTAACAAATCTAGCTCCTGGGATAGAGTAACTCATTAATGCAGCAACACAGGATATATAATCCTTGCCACTGAATTTTATGATAGCTCTTGGTTCATCATGATTTTCAACAAAATGATTTGAATGAGATGCATACTAGTCATTAATATAAAGTAAATACATTGAAATCCAAATTGGATAAGATGGGTCTAACCTTTCCAACATCCAATGTAGCCTATTGATCCAATAACCATTTCTCATACACGTAATCAAATCCTAGATTTATTAGATCTTATTCTTTGCTCCAATAGACTTCAGCCAAAAAGATAACATCTGGATATTGTTATTTAGTTTCTTTGATGGCTTCAGACCAAAATTCAGTCGATGGTCTCTTGTAACCCCAAGCATCTAATTAAGGTTTCCACTTGTTGTAGAAGAGATCATTCAATATGACCATTGCCATATCACATCTCATACCATCTGACATCGAAGCTATCTTCTTCACTACAGTCTTGAGGTAGTTCCTAGTATCGTTGTTCCAGTAATTCCATTGAGCGGTGTCTTTCCAAAATCCATCCCATTGGTCACCACCGTAACTAACTCCATCAGGTAAGTAATATTCTGAGTCATAGGGTGTTGGAGTATTGGGTGGAGCTCTTATGAAATAGTCAATATTTGATGTTCTATATGGACTATCGATTGCAGAATGATTAGGAACAAAATCGAGCATGAGCTTTAAACCCATAGCATTAAGTTTTTATCTCAGATTTATAATATCCTAGTCTGTCCCGAGTTCTGAATTACAGACAAATTCTGTGATTGCGTAAGGTGACCCAATGACATCATCAATCGTAAAATCAGGCAAGTTGGACTTATATTCATTCGCATGTGCTCTATCAAAGTCCAATCCGTATTATCCAAGTTACCAAATACCTAAATTAACAATAAAACTCACCCATTAGCCAAACATAATCAACTCCAATGTCTTTCAGATGTTGAAATTCTTCCATGGGAATATCATTCAATTTCGAAATATTTCTTCCGTATTTATTAGTTAATTCATATAGCCAGGGTCTCAATGATAATTCATAGATTGTAGGGTTGTATGCATACACCAAAACATTCATTAATAAAACTCCAATGACAAATTTATACATCATATTAATAAATAAAATCAATTTATTAATACAATTCTTTTGATTAATTATTAATTGATTAAATGGAATAAACATAATATTCTTAATTCTAGGAAAAAAATATGATTTGGAATAACCACTAAAACATTTCTGTTAATCTCTACTCTTAAATCTTATCAATTAATTAATTTAATTTTATGTTTTTTCTAATTAGTAGAAGGATACTATTCAAAAATGTCAATTGTTCTGGTGTTTAACTTATATCGACTCTTTTATTAATTCGATTCTAAGCTCATTCCTTATCTGTAAAAAAGTAATTAAAAATTTCTAGATTGCAATTAATAAACTTTCTAATTAATTTTATAATAATAATCATATTTACAATACAGATGAATTGCCTTTGTTTAAAGTAAAATGTTTTTAGTTTTTTTCTAAATTTTCTCAAGAATTTAAACCAATTCTTAATCCAATTGATAACTTATTGTTTGTTATTGGCCCATTTAGTGGAGCTCATGTAAAAAATTAAGCTAATAATTCATAAATTTATATTTATTTGATGACCTTCATTAAATTACAATGGTTGGATATTTTATTCAATTCATTGATCCTATATACCTAAGTATTTATGAATCGTTTTATATTCCATTTTACAAATATCAACTTTATTCTCTCTTAATTCTTAAATAATTTAAATAGAACATAACAAGAAAATGAGAATCAATTTCAAATGATTATGTATTATCTGTATTATTTCGGTTCACTATCTACTTCTATACTTTATCCCTTAAATCAAGGAAAACAATTATTAACTCATACTTCATTCTATGTATATTCACATTTTTCAATATTTAATTAAAAGAGTCCCTTACATACTCTTATTAATGCAATTGACACACTTAATTCCATATCTCTCTTTATTTAATGAACTATTAATTAGTGGAACATCTTGATCTTAATGCTGAAATGCACTTCTTCGAAATTTCTATAATTTTTATTTCATTACTATTTTTTTTCCACAAACAATTATTCACTGAAGGTATTTTTTATTAGGCATCTAATGAAAAGAATTTGTTTTCCTTTACATAAGGTACAATTGAATAAAAATCTATCCAAGCTATTGGAACTTACTTATTAGGAACTTCATATTTCCAAACTCAATTTAAATTGGTTAACTTTAAGATTATAAGAATAGACCTTTCCGCTAATTAATTTGTTTTCTTGAAATCTCTTATAATAGATAAGGTCCTCAAGACTTCTAATTATAGGTATTCTAATTTTAATCAATCAAATCAATAAAACTTAATATACGATAACGATATTCACATTAAAATTATTGCTATTTTTATCACACTTCCAAATATATTACTATTTCTATCTCTTAATTTACTCAAATTCGAGAAGATGATTTTTAATATGAATGGTGAATGGATCTCATCTATATTAAATAGAAAAACATGAATTAGAATTTAGACTTATATTAATAAATTGCTTATATAAGGGTTCGCTCTTTCAAATTAAATTAATTTATCATTAACTATATTGTATATTAATGTATTATTAAGATGATTAATATTGAAACTGAAAAGGATGCATTAATATTCAGAAATTAAGAATTAATTATTTTTTATTCTGATAAATAAATTCAAATTAAACTAAAAAAATTATTTAATTAAAAGGGCATTTAAATATTCGTAAAGAACATGGTTATCACTTGTTTAATTATTTAAAAATCAGTATTAGAAGTGGAATGTTTAAGGTTAATTTACACATATGTAATATTCCATGACTTCTTATAGATTTAAAATGATTTCAAAAGCTGGAATTATAGCAACGAGAAATTGAAAAACAATAATTTGAGTAAGAGTGAACTCTGCAACCTTATGGTTTTAACAATCATTTAAAAAAATTATGAACTTTCTTTAAGTCTTCAGCAATTAAATTAAAAATTTTCAGTCTGTTTTTCATAAAAGCCGAGCTGAGATTTCCATTGAACATCATTATTTAATAAGAAGTGAGGAATAAACTCCAAAATTATAGTTTAGAGTGATTATCAATTGAGAAACAATAGGAGCAAATTTGATATTTTACCTATTTTTGATTTCCCACTAGTTAATTAATTAATTAACAAAATTCTTTTTTTTTGGTGGTATAAGCATGAATAAATTATAAAGATTGAAATTTTAACATCGTTTTTGTTCTCTTTAGTAATATAATACAATTATGAAATTTTTGATCTCTTTAATTGATTCAAAGATGACTAATTCTTTTAATAAAATTCAGGATTAATAATACAGAATGAATTTAAAAATTCACTGAAATTCACTGACTGCAGTGAATGTCAAATTCGTGTAGAAATCTATCTGGGATGCCGATAATTGTGAAATTTAGTATCAAATTATTACATCAGGACTCTTTTATTTAACAAAAGAAATTTCATTAAATACATTATCATTAAATCTTTTTTTTTACAACCCCATCACTAGATGATTGACATGAATATCAAGCCAGAAAAGAAACAGAAGTATAAATCTGTGAATTCAGAGGAAAGATCGAAAATCATAAATTATTTTATTGAAGGTTCACTATCAGCCTCTCAGGTACAATTATAATCAATATAATTAGATTGCTTAGATCACGGGGCATAACCTTTCTACAATAAAAGCTATTTTTCGAATATACAGAAATGAAGGAAGAATAAATAAAAAAGAAAAAAGGGATCGGGAGGTCCATATCTAAAAAAATGTAGCAGTTTTTATTGTCGATGACTAGTACTTATGATATTCATTATTATTTAGAACAAGATCTTTGAAGTTTATTTCCAAATAACACATGAAACAAGAAGTAATTTTAAGAAGTCATGATAAATTTTGTGAATCCTAAATTGATATACTCAATGAAACCTTATAGAAGTCAGCTAGTGAAGTAAGAAACAATTTGAACAGTTTTCAATCAAAAAGGAATTTTGACTAAGCCTTATAAAGAATGTTAACAAATGGTAAAAAAGAAGATGATTTTATCAATATATCCTCAAATACTACTTTCTAACTAGATGCCAATACTCGGGTTAACGTGTCCAAAATTTCAAATTTATTAAAAAATAAAGAAGACTAACTTTCTAAAAAAGCCCCCTTACTAACACCTTAAAAGACTTGGTTTAAATAAGATCATCAATTAACTGATCTCAAACGAGTTTTTGAGTTATAAGTACAGGAATATCTAGGAAAATCTCATTCTGATAATTTAAAATGATTTTAAATTTTATTCAGAATTAAAATCTATAATTATTGTAAAATAATCTCCTATTCTAAGTAATATTATTTATTATTCCATTTATATATCAAATACTCTTTACACTAAAAAATGGTGTTCAATTCTGTATTGAATTTCGATAATCAGCTAATTAAACTTTTTAATTCCATAGGCGATAAATTAATTTAAAAGATGTACATTATTAAATAAATTTTTACACAATATAAATAGTACCAAAAAAGATTACAATTGACCAAATTTCAATTGATGTTTTATTAAAAATATTCTATAATTTACTCCACTATTTCATCCTTATTTCTGTGAAATTTGGCGAATCCCCCCCTATTATATTTAACCACATGATCACTTCTATTTTGCAATAAATTCCCTTCGCACTAATAAATTAACAAAAAGTTATATATATTCTAAATTGTATTTTTTCAAAAACTCTTATTTTTTCTTATAAAGAATATCATCATTGGTTTCAAACTTAAAAGAAATTACTGTTTCCTCCCCATAAATTTCTTGGACTAACCCTTAAATCTTGGAACTTCCATTAAACCTAATTCTAATTTATTTAAGTTTAGATCTTATGCTAGACAATTGGAATATCATAATCACAGGCTAAACATACTAATTAAACTATTAAATATAATTTCAGTTCTTTGAAGATTTCTATTGCTTTGACAACATAACATAAATGTTCAATTTTAGAAACATAGGATATTTCACAAAGCTTATTTCTATCATTTTATTGATGTTTCTTATGTTAATCAAATTCCTATTCTTAAAGGATCAAAGATTATACAAATACTGGTCAGCATTGATTAGCGCTTAATCATTTGAATATCGAACAAATAATCTTAATAATTATCTCTGTAATAGTAAATGACAATTCAGCTTCTCTTAATGATATTCCGCAGATGCTGCAACTCTCAATCCAAAATGAGAAATTTTGGATAGATCTAATAGTGTTTTACTCTAAAGGAAGTGAGGTTCCTCCTGATGGAATAAATACTATTTTTAGTTCAGATGGTTTAGAAAGAAGTCCTTCAGTTTATAAACATTTTAGAGAAGTGGTTGTTTGTCGATTTATTGTTCTATAAGATTGATCATAATTAAAAGTTAATGTACTTATGTGTATAATATTATGTATTTTTCATTTTTCAACTTTAAGCTCTCCAGAATTGATTTTTCCGATGATTGCCTTAACTGGTTAACCATCAACTGTAGCTCCCAAGGATTATGCAGTTCCTAAGACTTATTTAACAGTTCCAGTGAAGGTTTTGGCCAATGATTTTTCTTCAACAGCTCTGGCAACTTTGATGACTTATTCAAGAGTCAAATTTCCATTGTGTTTAACATTCTTGGTCTTCTTTCTATCTCTTTCGTATCCCTATAATAGATAAATTGGATGATTTACTCCGATTTCCTTAATGAGTAATGCACTTGATGTTGGAATGACTGTGACATCAGCATTTCTGTTTTAACATCTCAAATTAACCATAACTCTGATACCCTTCCATTTACCACTTTCAGCAATAATCTTATCACCAACTTATTTTGGATTCTGTTTGATAAGCAATAATAATTACAAGACCGAGGGGTCCCAACTTGGGAGCAAGAGTGGAAGCAGGACCTCCTTCTCCTCCGAAGACTTTAATGTTGATCAATCTAACTTCATTTGGGTCGACTTTGGGAGGCATTAAAAAAGATTTAAATTTTTTTAATTCTTCATTAAATCTCAATATAAAACACAAGAATCAAGCATTCTTTCTGAAGTTTGCACTAACAATTGATGGAGGCCAGAATTCAACTCTATTTGTTTAAGTTCCTCCAAACTTCTCCTCAATTTACTCTTTGTTCACAGATTAAAACAATTATTTCACCTAAATAATAAGTATTAACAATACATCTCCTTTGACAAATATTATTTTTTATTAAGTAATCTCCTCCAAAAATAATTTTGCCATATTCCAAGTCACATTTAACATCATAGTTGTATTAAAAATGAACATTCTATACAATCTGGATCTGTAGTTATTTTATAAATAGGACATCACTTACTTTAAAGCCTTAGAATAATAATAACTAGATTTACATTAATCTAAAGTCCAATCATTCCTTTATAATCAAGATCAATTAAAATGACCCAATTTTCAACTTTGCCTGGTACCATCATATCATTAACAACAACTTATAAGAAGTAGGTCAATCCTCTCAGATATTATTCAAGACTCATTGAATTAAAATTAACCTTATATGCATTCAAGACAATTATGGGTCTGTAAGAATGATCTCTTCCTTAGATGTAAATAATTCCAGCTTTCTAATGATTATTATGGGAAAATTACTAGAAATTATTCAACCTGTTCATCGTAGTTGATGGGTAAGGTTTTTACCCATTCTTCATATTGTTACATGGTTGAAACAGTCTAATCTTTTTTGAAATTGTTGGCTTATAAGAATCTCAAAATTTATGGCCTTGTCCAAATGGGATTTTAGAAAGGGCCTGCTTCTTCAAGAAATTTATTAATGGCAGCATTATCTTGCTCATCTAGTTCTCCTTCAAATAATCTTCTAATGGTATGTTTTCCAATTTTGGTCTTTTTCTCATCAGCAGTTGGTTCATAATTAAGAATTTCTTGATTTGGTTTAATTAAAGGATATGATTGATCCATAATATTATTAATAAATATTTAAATTATTTATTCCTTTCAACCACTCTAAGAATAGCATTCGAAGATTTGAGGATTGAATGAGTGTCTGATGTTCATTCCTAAAATCAAGAAATTATATTATAAATAAATTAATATCAGACTTTTTATTGTCTTGGAACATTCCTGATAAGAAGTTGTTATTGTTGATTGGAATTTCTGCTGCTGTTTTTCTGTTTTCCATAAAAGTATAACTATTATGTGGATTGAAGCAATTCCATCAATTTATCTCTATTTGAATGTTTTTTTAGTAGGTCCGATGCCTTTTTCCCTTTTAATGATTACAAGTCCTTTTAGGCCTAATTAATAAGCTATATAAAGGTACTCCATTTTCAATTAGGAATTTAATTATCTAATAGTTGATGTCAGCTTCTTTCTAATTCAATTCCATCCTTATTGAACATAACTACATCAGGAGATTGAACCCGTGAGTTTTATCGACAATCCAATTGATGTCGGCTCCGTAATGAAGTAACAATTCAGCCATTTTGAAACAAATTTTTCGATTTTCAAATACATTTTTTTCCTTTTGAAATATATAATAGTATGTTAAAGTACTTCTTCTAATCGTGCAAAACACATAATAAACGCAGTCTAATTAAAGGTATTGGGCTTGTTAACTTCAGCTCCAGCGTCAAGGAGTATTTTTAGAATTTCATAATTTCCTGTCATGGCTGCAATCGATAATGGAGTTTATCCTGAATCCATACTTGCTAAATCAACATCAACTTATGTATTAGAAAGCAACAGTTTCACTATCTCAAGTCTTCCCAAGTAACATGCACAAATCAAAGGTGATATTTTCTAATCTACTTCAATCTCATTAAAGGACTCCAAAAAATTGATATTTGCTATTTGAAACTCAACCATAAATACCTTTATTTATGCCCAATTCTTTGAGAGTATCATAATCATTTTGATGGATTAGATGTAGAATTAATTGCTAATTTATATTTAAAACATACTTGCTCTGATAAGGTTTTTTCTTCTGCTTAAAACATTAATTACTTAAAAATATATAAAAAAATTAATGATTCAAATTATCACATTCTGTAGATATAAAATTCTTGTGTACCTAATCTTAAATCCAATAAAAACACTAAGGGCATTCTAATCATTTCAATCGAATCATTTTATTAAATTTCACACTCTTTCATATAAATTCTAATAATTTGAATTATAATCAGAGAATTTTTTGCATAAAACATCATTAATTAATTGTCTATTGTAAAATAGACATGTGTCTATCTACTATTTCTCATACAAATAGTAATTTATAATGAATTTATAATGAAATATATATATTTCAGCAACTCATTGTTAGACTTCATTTTTTACTTTTTATAAGTTATTAGCATCGATTTCAGGATATTAAAAGGGATTATGGAGTTTCAATCCTCTTTGATCTAATTCATTAACTATGTCATTTGTAGTTAATTATAGCTTTTCATCTGGATCCTTCTCTTTTTTTCTCATTCTATCTTAGATTAATTTTTAAACCATGGAATCTGTCATTTCGATCATCCATTTATCAGTTAGATGAGCTTTAATTTAAGAGCACTCAAACCTATTAATTTATAGCAATTTTAATCGTTTGTCTAAAATCCGCTGGCTTCCAAAATTTCCTATATCAGAAACTCAGACATATTTGGTTTTTTTGAGTTTGTTTAGTAAATCAGACTATCTATGGATCCAGTAAATTGAGTTTTCTTTGAGGGTGGGATGTCTGATTATTATTAATTCATAATAATATTATGGAATATTAAGAAATATTGGATGGTTTTCAATTAATATGCAATGAATTATAGGGTTCTTAGAATTACAAAATTGTAATGGAATTGTATAACAGGTCAGCTAATTTGTAAGAGCTATTTGAACATGGGTTGATAATAGAGGGTACACAATATGATTTTGATTTGATTGAACACATAGATGTAACATTATCAGATTGAGTTTTTAGAATACGAAATTAGCATTAGACAAATTTGTTTAGAATATTTTGGATTCAGATGCTGTGGTTTAAGGACATAGAAAAATAACAAGTGCTTTTGCTTCTCTAAAAAAACGATTGGTTTAGCAGGAAGAGTAATAAAAAGTGGTAATGACAAATTCTCAGGTTATTGCGCCTAATCCCATTTAATAATAAACACGCAATAAAGCTAAATTATTTGACACGTAGCCAAATAGTGAAAATCTAGATAGTGAATTGCAAGAGGAGATCTTTAACATTACAAAGAGAATGAAAGGAATGGCTGTAGGTCTTTCAGAATAATTGAAATTTGATAACAAAGTCATTGATAAAATATTGCATAAACAAAATGCAAATTAGACCAAGTTGAAATTTGAAGAAAGCAAACTAACCAATCTTATGAAATCCAAAAGTTTAAGTTGCTCCTCACTATTTTTAATGCTTACTACATCCATATTTTTGTTCATCTTTGCCGTCATCTTCATTAGAATTTCATGAATGTATATAAATTATTAATTATTGCTAATAAAACTTAATTTTATATATATATTTTTATTTGCATTAAAATTAATTTAACGGAATGAATAAAGAAAATGTTTGCCAAGCCTTTAGGACAGTTAAAGTTAGTAATCGTGAACTAGAAACCTTGGTTAATTCACGAGTTAATTAGTTGTAGAGATAACTCTAAGAAAAAGAGTAAGAAATCGCTTAATTACAACAATGTAATCCACCTGCCCATTCTCGTTTAATGGAAATCAAGGTGGATGCCATTTAAACAGAGAATCATCAATTGAGAAATTAGGTTAATCACTATGAATCTATGATTAAAACTCTTCAAAATAAATGCAATTCATATTAAAATCAATTAGAAACCATATCCAATCTGCTCCAAGATACTCAAAATACCTTGGAATTCGAAAGATAAGCCAAACAAGCCTTAGAACTCTAATAATCCAATATCTAACTTGATGCAGAATCAGAAAAATCAGTCATCAAAACATAAATTGATTTGTTAAGAAAAGAGAAATATCAATATTAATCTTAATTTTAAGAACTTGAGTTATAGTTGAAATAATAATAATTATCCAATATGGAACTTACTTAAGAATTAAGCACCCTCAGTCATTCATTTTCATAATTGCAACTATCATATTCAAAAATAGAAGAAAAGGCATATGAATTGGAATCCAAGAATGAAATCTTAGTTTCTTAATTGGATGTATACAAGACCTAGAATGAATAAATGAAATCTCAGTTGCAATAATCGAACCCTAAGAATGTAGAGAAGCAATTTTAATAGAATGATAGAATCTAAGAACTTGAAGGCAAATTGAGGTTATCTTATGAAAATACTTCACAATTCTAATAGTTGTTGAATGAAAAATAAGAACTTATTAAGAAATTAGAAAAATAATTATAAAGACAATAAAATTGGAATGAGAATAATAATATCTTATAGGATTAACTAGAGAAATCTTAATTTGCTCTAGAAGAAATGTAGTTTGAAAATTAGAAAATAGCCAAATATCAACAATAATAAATAGAATAACTGAAGAGACAATTAGAGTTGCAAAGTAATAATAATGAAGAGTTGATAGAAACCAAATAATAATTATAAAAAATGAAATCTGAATTTGAAAATTATAAATCTCTTAATGAAAGCAAAATAAATGATGTAAATTATAATTATTAACAATAGATTAACTCAAAGTCCATGATAGATTAATAGAATTAATGGAATTTAGAAAAATCCAAATTGGTGAGTTAAATATAACATTTATCAAGTTAAGTAGAGGTTTAATAAAATTAAACTTATGATTAATTAGACGCCGGCCCATACAAATTGAAAGTTAAATGGCATTGAAATACGCAGCCGAAAAAGTCTAATTAGAAAATCAATTATGGGCTGTTTAAGAATAATTGGATGGAATATCAAATTCTATTGAATTATATGTTACTAAAATCAGTTAATTAAATATTGAAAATGATTAATTAAGAGAATAATTAATTGAAAATTAGAATAATTCAAAGCAAATATTGATTTTAGAATAATAAATTCGTAACTTTTGTGTGGAGATTGAAAAGCTCAAGAGCATTATTATATAAAAGAGTGATCAAATAGAATTTTTAACATCAAAAAAAATATAGACTGAATAATTGGTTAATTATGTATCAGAGTTGGAAAGAAAAGTAAATCATTTAAGTTAAGACAACTAAAGATTAAATGCAATAATCATTTAAAGATGCAAGAACTCTTGGTGAATAAACAACTATTATTTTACTTTCAAATATATATATCATCATACTTATAATCAATCAATTTTATCTTTTCTTAAATCTCAAAAAACATCTGGGCAATGATTTTGTAGATTTTTTAGAGTAGCTATTATAGTTTTTTTCAAAAAAATTGAAGTTAAATTCTTGCAAAGTTTAAGCTACTTACACTGTTTAAACTTAGGCAGTCTTATATTCAGATGAGTGTCTAATTCTGTTGGTTTTGACTTATGTAATTACAAATTTATGTTACTAAACTAATGGAGTAAGGATTTTATCTTAAGGCCTATAAAGTGACATGGTTCTCAAATCAGTTCTACATCTAGAATCATTTCCTGGACTATTTAATTTGGTTGAAGTATTCTATGGAGCAGATAAGTTAGATTGAGTTAGGTGCAGAATGATTTTTCTTGCATCAGCCAATGAATTGGATTGAGTTCTTCTTAATAATTTTTTAGTTTCTTTGTCATAATCAATTTCATGCAGTGAATCTTCAGTAAAATCTAAATTCAATAATGTTTCTACTGCATTTTTTTCTTTTTAGTTATAATAATTAAACATAATTATTTAATAATAAATCATGATCCAACCTTTTTAATTTGCTCTTGTATTTACTCAGGTGTTTTTAATGGAATGTATGCATCAATTTTTGTATGTTGAGGCAAGCGTGACTGTAAAAATGATATCAAAAGAATACCCTCTACTCCATTAAATCGACATTGAAGAACTTTTTAATAATAGCCCCAATCTTTCTAGTTTCCTATTTGTAATTTACAAGATCCTTATCATTTCTTTTGATGTAACTTTGTAACGAGTACAACTAATACTAAGATGTAGATTAATACTTGAACTTTTGATAATTTAATTTTCTCACAACTCTTCAAAGCAATCATTAATTCATTGATCTTAATAAATCCAGTATTATCTTTGTCTTATCTTCTAAAATGTTCAAGTAAAAACACTTCCATTTTACTCTTCTAAGCTTCCAATAACCCTTTGACTAAATTCTCAAAGATAGTTTCCTCTAACACTTTATCACTAGTCTCATACTCCACAGCCTTATCCCCAATAATTTCCATGATTTATTTGATTTCATCTTCCGTAAAGAATTATTACTAGATTAGAGAATATCAATATACTTCTTCTAGAATTTATTGGAAAACATTGGAAGGAATAGAATGAATCTCATCCTCATCCTTGAGTTTGCATTATTCTACTATTTTTTTATAGACATTTCTAAGATCAGTTGAGAGCATCCATTATGCTTCGAATCTGCTTTCCTCTTCCTTCTCTCTCAATTCCTTAAGTGCTTAATTCTGACAATAGATTGAATGCAATGTTTCAATTCCAAAAGAGGAAATGTCTTTGAATTACAGAATTCCTGTTCTTGATACATCCAGTCTATTGAGGGTGTCCTCCAATTAGTGTTTACCTAGATGTAGACCCATCAACTAAAATAGTTAGCCTCCCTCTTCATAGGAGATTACTCCCATATCATCTTTATCAATTTATCTGAAACATTAATATAGAAGTTCAGTTAGCATTTTGATTTCTCTGATTTTTTCTTCTTCTGTGATTGTGAATTGATTTACTAATTCTTAATCGTGTTCCAATAATTCTGGCTGAACGACTAAATTCTCCTTTTCTTATTCTGGTTATTTTTCATATAATACTTCATCCATTCTCTTATTAATAATTCTAGTTTGTTCAAATTCTGTTCCTAGAAACATGATTCTACAAGTTCGATCTTTGCGTGCTAATATAGTTTCAATCCATTTCTTGAAAATATAAGGATTTGCTTACTTCCATTTATGAAATTCGAATAGTTCGATTGACCAAATGAATAAGTGAATCGTTTTCAAATCTGAATGACATTGTTCTTTCAGATGGATCTGTCAGATCTGGAATATAGAAATACACTTTCACTGTTGCAACAGGAATGGGATTTGATGGAGTAGGTAATGAGAAAACTGTCATGAAACTATATATAAATTCAATGACTTACGTGTGTCCTGAGGAAGTTTCTTCAATATAGCTTGTGTAATATAAGTACTTCTTTGTCCATTGACTTACGAAATTGTTGATCAAGTGAATGCTTCTTTCTAATAAATCTGTCATAAAATGTTATTTATTAATTAATTATTTGCAAAAACAAATTAAATCAATTCAGGAGCAGAGATCATTGATTTACACTATTTCTACTAGACTTTTGGGCATGCTAATCTATGTTAATTATAAATACAATTCATCCATATTTTTATACAATTTGAACATCTTCAGCTAAACCAATATATCTAAATCAGCAGACAATTTTAGTTTTGATTAACTCATAATCTTTAATACTTTCGATTCCATTTTAAGTTTAATTTATGACTATTAAGCTTAAAATGCCAGAATCGGAAACATCATCTTGTTTTCACTCTAGTTGTTCTAGTTTCTTTACACTAGATTCTTCAGAGCCGCAACTTTGATGAACAACTCTTGTAATCTTTTCTTTTTGTCCCTAATAACATTCTTCTAACTGATCTACAGGCAATTATATCAATATTATACTAATTACTCTTTGAACATATCAGTTTCATTCCTTCTCATCCTATGTTTGCAATACACATCAGAAATCACTCGTTTACCTTCCTTCCTCAACACCTTAGAAGCGATCATAACATTTAAAGCATCATAAACTCTTCTTTTGATATTTTGTTCATCTTTAGGCTTGTAACTCAATTTTAATTCATACATTATCTAATTCCACTATTTATCCATCAGAACCTAAATCTTATATCAATCTTTATGCAACATCCTTATAAGAAGTGGATTTCAATTCCAATACTATGTCTCTCACTTTGACACTCAAATTACGTAGTCCTTTTAATAATAATCACTAGATACCTTTCTAACTTCGTTGAGGAGTCTAATCTTGATAGAATGCTAAATTTATTGATTTTTTTTCGATCTTCTCAGAATAATATCTCCTTGTTTATTCATTCCTACGTTTCTGTGGCGTCATTTACGTAGTATTAATTTAAACAATTTAAAATCCCTATTACTTATTTTGTGACTATTTGATCACAACTTGTTTTAATTGGGGAGATTGATTATTTGATGTTTACAGATCAAACATTTTTTATAAAGGTTATTGATCAAAAGGAAAAATATCGTCTGCATGCTGTATGGGTTATGCAATGTAATAATCTTGCAAGACCATATTGTTCGGACTGAGGTGAGCACGAAATAAAATGGGACTGTAAGGTTGAAACAGAATCATATTGGATTAACGAAGGTTCAGAGGAGATGATTCCATTTCAGAATGGAAATCATTTGGAGTCTAATCAGTCATTATATTAATTAATTAAAATTTTCATTCCTTTAATTATATTTTTGCGCATTTTGCAATTCGCATTCAATTTGTGATCGCTATATATAGTAATATACAATAATCTTTACTTATTCAAAGAGCTAATCATATAGATTCAATTTGTTGATGAATTCTTCAATCTTGTTCTACTTGATCAACAATTTGTCCTTCAATTGTTAAAAATAGTCTTTGGAATTGACAAACTTTTGATCCAAGGAGTTCAGCAAACACATATCCTTAATAACCATTAAATATTACTGATTTACAAGTCTCAACCATATCATCAATATGATTACGATGAGATATGATTATTTCATCCTCTTCCTATAAGACTCTTGAATCCAATTCTAAGAATTAATTTGTCAGTGCTTTATTTTTCTACTCGATTTCAGGTTCAGCGTCTTCAAGTAGTAAATTATCCTACAAATCATCATCTCCAACATATCCATCATTGATTTCCGATGGGGGGATGGGATTCTAAAAGAAATTATAAGTAGGAGGATAGGGCTAATTTAAATTCTATGAGGAGAGTGATTGAGTCTTGTCAGGAGGGAACAAAGAGTCGGGTATATGATTATGATATGGAGGGAAAAGTGGAGCTTTATTTATAGATGATAAGTGTTATGGTAATGGCTATGGTTTAGGAGGCAATTATTGTAGAGTATTATTTGATTGCCTTACATTAGACATTTTATTCAGTGGATTTTAGTATTTATTAGAAGGAGCTTCATTTAAAGATAACCTGTTATGAGCAGATTAAGTTCGATTAACTTAAATGACCGGAGGCAATAGAACATTTTTAGAATTATTTACCTTGTAAACACCTTAACTACCTTATTAACCAAAATTAGTTGAACAATCCTCTTAGTCATCTGAATCAGGATTTTTATATTCTCTTCTTATTACATTATTGTCTAATTTAATCCAATATTTGTGTACCTTCTCTTGCTAGGAATAATTCTCTATTAGGATTGTCAATATTCTTTTATTCTTAAGGCTTTTTCAGTTCCTTAACTCTGTCTGCATATCTAAGTGTGTTAAGAGTGTGTTCACTGTTGGCACTGCTAGGAGAGATGTTTCCAATCATTACTGTTCTGCAATTTCCTACAAGACTGTCCTTTAAAACCAGAGTTAATTTGCTGCCTCTGAATGGAGTATGATTTTTATTTAGATCCAATGCTCTAATGCATTCTTTGAGTGCTAATAATGATTTATTTATTTCTGCTCCATCAACTCTGGTGGTCTTGTCTTGATCTCTAACATCAGCGCCTCTTTCGCTGCCTGCTAAGTCGATGAAGGATAGTTTCCCATGAATTTATTTATTGTTTCTTAGAGTAATCTGTAGAATGGCATGAGACCTCGATGATTCTGAATTAGCAGAATTGGATGATGTGATTCTTGAACTTTATCCATATTATATGATTTGCATCAATTACTGGACATTATTGATCTTTTTTTCGCTTAGCCCTTTGATTTGAACATTTCCTTTGGCATCTTCTTGAGCTGCCAACTGAGATCTATCATTAAGTAAATCAAATAGTTTGCCACAATAGATCTCATAAAATGAAATTGAAATTACTAAGTGTTAATACTCTGCCTAATTAGAACATAATTCAATAGATACCTTTTAGACCATAGCAAATATATCATAACTTGCCATTACATATAATCCAGGCACTCCTTAATCTGGATCTCCAAGCATTGTGTATGTTTTACCACTTCCTGTTTATCCATAGGCAAAGCATGTACATTTAGCTTTATTGAATGCTGCCTAGATTATTGGTCTTACTGCTGAATGGTATAGACCTTGGTTATCAATGGTTTCATCGAATGCTTTATCAAAGTTGAAGTGATGTTGCTCAATATATTTGGTCAAATCAACTTTTTGTCTATGTTTTCGAGATTCTTTTACTTGATTTCACTCAAAATCACTGTCTGCTAATCTTGCACTGACACAATATCCTGATCTCCCCTAATTAATTCTTTCTTTCCCAAAGGTCTTTTACGAATTACAACTGTAATTTTAGGTGTGTCCATTTGAAATATTAATTAAAAATTAAAACTTACAATGAAAAACCAATAACAATAATAATCTGGCAATTCTAATGCTGCTTAGATAAGAAAGAAGCTGCTTAATAACTAATAAGTTTTATCAGAAAGTTAAAAGAATGAAATCAAAAAAGCATTTGATTATTTTGATACAGCAGGATCAGGCACCATAGAGGCAACAAATTTAAAGGTCGTCTTGAGAGCCTTAGGCTTTGATCCAACTTAAGAAGAAATTGGAAAACTTATCAAAGATCTTGGTAAAGGAGATGTTAAATATGATGCACAAAGAATAGATTTCTAAGAATTTTTAGAGATTATGATGGTTAAAATGAGTCAAAAAGATTCTCTGGATGACATTAAAAAAGCATTCAATCTTTTCAAAGATGGCAACAACCCCAAAGTATATTTATGAATATTCAATTAGAAAATAATCACATTTGATTCCTTAAAGAAAGTGATCTAAGATTTGGATGAAGATATGACTGATTAATAAATCCTCTAATTGTTAAAGGGAGCTCAATCGAATACAAATGAATTGAAAGAGATGGATAAAGATGGGAAAAAGGAGAAGAAACAACCTGAAGATGAATACAAGATAGAAGTGTCAGAAGATCAATTCATTAAAATCTTAACTAGAGATCTTAATGATGACAAAAAGAAATTATGAAACTTAATTGCATATTTTAACAATCATTCTTCCCTCATACAATCAACTATCTAATACTTGCATTATTTGATATAAAATTATGCAAAGATTGGCCTATATCTGGGTTTTGGCATTTAGAATGTAACCTTAGAATATTAATTTGAAAACATCTGCCAAAAATGAACTCACTCAAAACTTATTTAGAACCAAATTATTAAATAAATAATATTATTGTATGGGTTATAACTATTAATATAACATTAAAATTTAGTTAATGTTTTATTTTGTATGCCTTTTTCTATTAGCATTTATTTTCATTATTCTGAAAAAATTCTTAAAACCGATTGAAGCCTATTACAAACTAGAAACATTAAAACTTTAGTAGTATTGAATATTCAAGTTTTTGCATCATGGCTGATTTTTTTAGTATTTTTTTGATTAATAATTATTTAATTAACTAATATAGTTTATAATATAAAACTAATAGAATTTCATAAAAATTCAAAGGGGATGTTTCTCTATTAAAAATTAACATTATAAAATATGTCCAATAGAAAATAAAAAAAACCACTTAAGCATTAAGAAAAGGAAAACTAAAAAGAAAATAATAGAGGAAAACCTTGTGATATTTAAAATACAACCTTAAATATTCCTAATATCTGGACGAATGATTAGACTTGTTTGAGACTTCTAAAATATTTATCAGACATAGGAAGACACAATTGTTTGCATTAAGCAGGCAAACCAGGTAGTAAAGATAAACCAGGTAAAAAAGTCAAGCTAGAAAGTGAGAATAAATACGACTTGAATAAATCAGAGATCGAAAACACAAGAAAGTACTTTGAAAAGTCTGAAGAGTTCGCTGGTGAATTATTTGGCCATAAGTGTGAGACAAAAAGATGTATAGTGTTCTTTTTCAGATCAAATGCAGATTATAAAATCAATAATTATGATTTTATAAAAACTAGTCCCTAGGATTGTTAAGATGTTCTAATTAAGTTATCAGCCTTATTGACTCACAAATTTCTTATGGATCTAGTCACTATCTTAAATTAATCTAACAATATTCCATACCTAATTGATACTTTTGTTACACAATGGATCACGCCTTCATAATATTCTCCTATAATCTAAAATTTATTTATAAAATACATGATCGATACTATGAAGGAGAAAAAATCGATGGAAGACTTTGAGAAAAAAACCAGAGAAGACATGGAAAAAATCTTTTTTAACTTTCTCTAATCACCTATTTTCAAAGAAGAATTAGAAAAATTTATCAGAGAAATCAAACTCATTTTTAATAGAGAAAATGATCAATATTAACCATAAGATTTTGAAGATTTTGAAGGTAATCAAGGTATTTTACAAGAAGAGTTGGGAGAAGATTAAAGATAATCAGAATTCGTTCCATTTTTACTGGAAGAATTTTGAATATTATATATAGCAACTCTTTTCTAAAATATTATTTATTCTATATTAAAATCTAATTGGATTATATATGTTGGTTATTTATTCTATATAGCAATTTATTAATTCTATTCCAACTCAGTTAATTAATATTAGTATTTAGGTGGAATTTGTTCTATAAAATATCATATTTAAATTTTGTTTTTTGAGTGGTAAAAATACCACAATTTCTTATTTTACTATTAAAACTGAGTTCATTCCAATTTTCCACTTTAATTAAAAGCAATATAGAAAATGTTCATTAATTTAATTTCCATAGAATGAATTTGTAATAGAATTACTTATGTATTCTTCTGTGATTTGATCATTTTTGTATATAAATGAAGAAGAATTCTAAAAAAGTACACAAAGTAGAAAATTACAGTAAACCAAAAACTGAAAATAGAGGAAAACCATCATAATTAAAAAATATTTAATTAGAAGCTCCTGAAATATGGACGAACTCGCCACCTTGTGTTCGTCTAGTCAAATACTTAAGTGATATGGGAAGACATAATTATTTACATCAAGCAGGTAAACATTCAAATAAGGTTGACAACAATAAGAGGTAAGAAAATGATTTGGATACAAAGCTACGCTATGAATACGCCTAGGAAATAGTAGAGAAATTGTTTTCTATCTAATGTGAATCCAAAAGATGTTTCGTCTTTTTCTTTAGGAGTGTTGATTAAGAAAAAGTGATTTACGATTTTTAGGAATATATCCAAAATCAAGAGTTCTTATTCATTATACATTTGATTTAGCCCCTATTATCCTAAAAATTCATTGAAGATCTTATCTCCATCTTGAATTCACAAGACAATTCAAGTTCTGCAGTTGATCTGCTATTATAAAGTAAGGATGATCCTTCAAAATATTCACACATAGTTTAAAATTTTTTTATTTAGAAATAACTCCAAACAGGGCTGGATAAGAAAACAAATAAACCCAATATTGAAGAGGTAATAAATGAATTTGAAGAATTTTTAAAAGATCCTTAAACTAACTAGTTAGTTTATGATTTTGTTAGTGAAATATTAAGAATATTTTAATCTTCAACAGCTTATCTACCAGACATAAATGAAATGTGTGAGGTTGTTAATGATTTTTAGTGCATATATCAATGAATTTTCATATTCTTACAAAATATATAGTAATTCTATTAGAAATTTAAAAGCAAGAGATTAAAATAATTATCAGTATAAATTCATTAATTAAACATATGATAATTCTTTATATTTTTATTTTTAAATAAGTTTATAAATAAAAATTATTTACTGCTTTAAATAAAATGTAATTGACTAGAAAGTTAAAAAATTAAATGAAGCAAGGAGTCTTTAAAGAATAGTATTAGTAAATTATAATTTATCGAAATTGATTAATTAATAATATTAATGATGATAATCAAATGAGTAGGTGTGACTTGAATTCTTAGAGTTGAATTGTCTAATGTATATGGTCATATTCTAAAATACTTAATTGACTTTTCTTAGAAGTATCTTGATCACTATAAACTTAACGATCTAATGATTAAACGAATATTGGCTCTTTACTTTTACTTATTAAGTATTAGTCAAATTATGAATGAGCATAGCCTAAATTTGAAGATGAAGTGGAAGATGATGAAATCGGAAAGTAAGGTAAAATGGAAAAATGCAATTAAGAGAATAACAATGATATAATATAAATATGGGTTTGATGATTGATTGTTGAATATAATAATTAATAAAAAGAAGCTGAGTTTAATATGGGTTCTAATAGTATCTTAAATTACGTAATAAAAGGTTTATAGTATAATGCGTAATATAAGAGTGCTAAATATAGAGTAAGGGTCGTCATAAATAAAATCATAAATAATGCAGAATCAAGACCTGGCAACACATAATCTGCTACAGAGATGGGGACTTAACAACGCTACTGTATACAGAAATCCTAGTGTTCCACTCATCTATTAACTCTCTATGTTATAAGCTGACGGATCATCTACTAGGCCAGATTCTATAAATAGCACAGGAGCATTGGTGGCTTATTCAGGCAAGAAGTGTGGGTAAATAGTTAATAATAATGATGTAGACGAGTGCCTAAGGATAAAAGAATCATCAAAGACTAAGGGACAGAAAAAGATGTCTGGTGGGGAGATGTGAACATAGCTTTGAGTCCAGAATCCTATGGGGAAGTGGAGAAGATTGCTTTGGAGTATTTGGGAAGCAGAGAAAGAGTAATGAATGCTTTTGTATATTTTTAGTTGTTCATTATCGATGGATATGCAGGATGGGATGTTAACCATAGATTAAGAATCAGAGTATTTTGCACAAGACCATACCATGCATTATTTATGAAGAATATGTTAATCAGACCAACTGAAGAGGAGCTCAAAAAAGACTTTAACGGAGACGTTGATTTCTACATCTTCAATGCAGGACCTTAAATAATAGAGAAGCCTATAGAAGGAGTTACATCTGAAGGATGCGTAGCTGTGAATCTGACAGAGAGAAAGATGGTTATATTGGGCACTCAATATGCTGGGGAAATGAAGAAGGGAGTATTTGGAGTTACTCATTATCTATTTCCAAAGCAAGGAGTCCTCACATTACACAGTTCAGCCAATGAAGGAGAGAATGGAGATGTCACTTTATTGTTTGGATTGAGTGGAACAGGCAAAACTACATTGAGTGCTGATCCCAAGAGAAATCTCATAGGAGATGATGAACATGCTTGGTCTGATCATGGAATTTTTAATATTGAAGGCGGTTGTTATGCTAAGTGTGTTGATCTTTCTAAAGAAAAAGAACCTGAGATTTTCAATGCCGTAAAGTTTGGAGCAGTTTTAGAAAATATTGAATACTTATCTAATGAGACCAGGGAAGTGGATTTCTCAAATATCTCAATCACTGAAAACACTAGAGTGAGTTATCCCTTAGAATTCATACCAGGAGCCAAGTTTCCAGCTTAGGGAGGACATCCAAAGAACATATTCTTTTTGACTTGTGATGCATATGGTGTTTTACCTCCAGTCTCTATGTTGACACCTGAATAAGCCATGTATCATTTCATCTCTGGTTACACTGCCAAAGTTGCAGGAACTGAGGTTGGAGTCAAAGAACCCTAAGCCACATTCTCTGCTTGTTTTGGAGAAGCCTTTTTAGCATTACATCCAACTCTCTATGCTAATATGCTGGCTGAAAAAATCAAGAAGCATGATACCAAAGTGTGGTTAATTAACACAGGGTGGTCTGGTGGAAAGTATGGAGTGGGATAGAGGATGTCATTGAAATATACTAGAGCTATAATAGATCTAATCCATAATGGAGAATTGAAAAATGCTGAATTTGAGAACTTCCCTATTTTTAACTTCAGAATTCCTAAGGCTGCCAAGAATATTCCTTCAGAGATTCTTAATCCAAGGAATACATGGAAGTATAATATTGATTTAATATATTTAGAAATCCAGATGAATTTGATAAACAATTATTAGAATTAGCTTAAAAGTTTTAGGTCAATTTCAAAAAGTATGAAGATAAAGCAACAATAGAAGTTATTAGTGCAGGTCCAAAATTGTGATTATAATTTGTATCTATATTGGATTTGTTAGTATATTTGCTACAACATTATTATTAATATTATATGCAGAAGGAAATTTAAAATTATATTGGAGATTTTAGTCTTGATTATACGAATGCTGCTATCTTTGGAAAAATGTAATTGCAAGTGAATAAATACTTAATTCTCGTTGTTAATTCATAATGTGTTGGTTAATTATTAGGACATGAAATCTATTTGATTAAATAATTGGTTTTCTATCCTTTATCAGAAAGCGAAGTCATCCACAAAAACGATTAAGTCTATATTGACATGATCAAATCCATAGTGTGTGACGACTCCAGCTATTACAGTTTGACTTATAATCTTACGCATAGTTTACAACTTAAGAAGAATAGGAATCGATTTGCAATTAATCACAAATACTTGGAAGATATAGAAAATAAGACTTATGTAATCAACGGATGTGTCCAAATCTACAACAATGCCACACTCACATTTTGTTAAATTGTCAGAAGAGAATGTTTAAGACAAGGCCGAAGATTTACCCAGAGAGGATGTGATTAACAGGGAAATTGTACCAATTACACTGAAATCGAGGATGTCTATTAAATTAACAAATCCACATACTCCTTTGTTTAAGTGAGAGGATCACTACCTTTCAAGTGGTCCTAAGTACCATATTTGAATCCAAAACCCAGTATTGTAAATTTAACATTAAATATACCTAGTAAATTGATGGCAATTCAGATAATAATATTGAACTATGCAATGCACATCTCTTTACCCAAATCTCATATTACAGAGAGATGTTCATATTGAATTTAATTGATCGCAAAGGGAAACAATAGAAACTAGGAAATTATTTCTAATAAATCTTGGAGTCTTTCCAGAGAAGAGAAATCTAATATTTTTGGTTTGATTTTCATTAAGAAAGAGCCAATCTTAATAAATTGGTAGATGAAATTAGTTCAGTCTTGGAATAATATGGCTATTATTAAATAGCTAATTAAAACACTAAGCTAATTTCTGAATAAAAGGGAGTTTTCAGAGTGAATTGCATGTCCTGTATTGATAGAACAAATGTGGTGTAATATTTAATAAGCAAATTCATTTTAGAGGAAATCATTTAAGATGCTGGATTAGAAGACTCATTAGAATCCATACATAAGAAAATATGGATCAATTCAGGAAATCAATTAAGTAAATTATATTCAGGTACTAATTCATTGAAGAATGATTATATCAAATATGGTAAATAAACTAAGTGTGGGATGATTATCGATGCAACATTGTCAACTAAAAGATACTTCTTAAATCATTTTAATGATTATCACATACAAAATAGCATTGATTTAACTCTTGGATTATGGGATATGAACGATTCTCGATTTCACAATTACAAATTTGAAAACTCTCTTCAAAAATGCCTACTCATAGTATTTAATACTAACTATTAATTAGTTTTTTTTGCTGATGTTAGTGTTCAATTTTTTAAATTTGGGTATTCTAAGTCCAGCTTTGTCATTTTTAGTACTAAATTACTTTCCATAGGTATATTAAGTAAGATCAATATTAACATAATGATGCATCAGGATAGATTAATAAAATTATTGAATTATATTAAATCAAAATAATTATAAATAGTAAACTTATACAGCCGATTATATAAATTGTAATGCATTCCTTAATTATTCTATTAGCTTTTTAATGATATTCTATATTTGAAGATAAAATTAAATTTAAATATGTAAAAAATAACTCCTTTTCTACTGATTATCCTAGTTTCCTATTATATAATGCAATATTAGGTCTATAAAATAATTAAGATAAAGTTATCAGGTATAAAATTCTCATAAACATAAAAATTGTATATATATATTTTCATTTTATATTAAAAGAATCCTGATTATTTCTCCCAATGACTCCTAATACTCTGTAGGGCTGAAATTCATTAGCATAAACTCTTCGTTAACTACTCAAACTGATTGCTCGAGTCTGGCGTTATTTGGGACTCATGCATTCTAAGGCTAGATTGCTGAGATCTAAAATTGGAGGGGCATAGAATTCTCTATCCACAGAATGCTTTTAATTTCGAGGACGCAATGAGGGATTTGGATTATTATGTTAAGAACTAGCCATGGAAGGGAGATGATTTAAAGGTTTCAATTGTATTTTGAATGCATTTTTAGTCAACGGAGATTATTGTCTAATGTTATTGTTGTTGTACTCTTATTATGAGACTTAGATTACATTGTGCATCTATTGATAATTGGTTTAAATGATGTCTTCATTCAAATACTATTTTAACTATTATTTTTTGACTCTTCTTTTTTTCAGTGTTTGTGGGGATTTGGTTGGACTTGGAGTGGTTGATTATTCTAATTGTTTTTCACTATTTTATTAATGTGATATTTTAATATCTTAAATTAATTATTGATTATCTTCAGTGGTTTGATTTAGTTTAGTTGATTAAATTATTAATTATTATCTGATAATTGGCTTTTCTTGTTTTTCTTTATTCCTGTGAACTGATAATTTCATCATTTGCTCCTACTCTATGTCTTCGATCACAGTAGGTGTTTGATTCTACAGATTCAAGTTGACCACTCTAATTGGCTATTTGGAAGTGAAGGGTAATAATAATTTGGAAGATTACAGAATGGTCGAATGTGATTACTTGGTTGAATCTATAGTAGTGTGCAGATCAATGCGAGTATTTTAATCCATTTTATTGGAAACACATGAGATTTTGCTTTTCTGATCTTCAGTCAAGGATTTCTAATAGTCTGCAAAAAGTTAATCATAATTGCCTAATAAGAATTCTTACTTTTTGATTTGATTAATCTTCTTTGACATTTCATTATAAAATTCCTTATCGTTCAACTATTTCTTGTATCCCATCTTATTCAGTAGCATTAGAGTGAGAATGAATTTGTGTAACTTTTGCGATTGTTTCCACTTTTGAAATTGCTCCTCCATGGTTAATGGTTCATCATTACCGCAATTGAACCAGGGATGTAACAATGCTTAAGTGGCACTGTATCTTTTGGTTGGATTGATTTCTGTTAACCTTCGAAATAGACTATATTATATACTCTAGATTAATTATGTCAAAATTACTCATTAAGATACGTTTTGCATTGTTCATGCATCTGCAATTGTGATTAACTTACATCACAGCCCTTTTTATAATAAGGGTGTTATCCAACGATCAGTTGATACATAATCACTCCAGCAGCCCATATATCGATGGCCTTGTTGTATATCTTATTATTTAATTATTCAGGTGCCATATAAATGAGTGTTCCACATTGTTTAGTCATTAAGGAGGCGTATCCTGTGCTTAAGCCGAAATCTGTTACTTTGACGAGGCTCAAATCATGAGTGACGAGTATGTTTTCAGGCTTGAGGTCTCTATGGGCGATGTTATTGTTATGCATGTATTGTAAGGCATTGAATATTTAATACATTATGTATTTGATCTGCTCTTCGGAACACTTGGGGATGGAACTTAAAGAGCCTACGAATAGATTGATCAGATGTACCTCCCTAAATGAGTTCCATTTCGATAAGTATCCTGGACTCAGTCTCATGTACTCCAAAAAACTTCACAATGTTGGGATGTTGCAACTCTTACAAAATATGAGCCTCCTACAATAGTTACTCCAATTGCAACAGGGATTTCTTCTTCATTACCTAGAATAAGTTAGGACATGGACAAATACTTTGACTGCCACCAATTGTTGGGTCTCCTTATTTAGGGCCTTCAACACAGTCCCAAAGGACCCTTGACCCAAAAAGCCTTAGAATTCAAACAGATCAAATGAGAAATCAGGATTGTCATTCATGATTAATAAAATTAATAATGGGATGTGTATGTGAGAAATCGAAAAGAGTACAACCTGAACCAGCATAAATAGAAGTCCATCCCTGCGAAACTGCTCAACCTCAATCTTAAAATGTGAAATAAACCTCTCTTAAGAAACTGAAAATACCCTAAGTAGCTTATTGATGTGATTTTGTAGAAGAAGAAGAAAGTAAGGGAAACCCAAAAACTGGTCAAGAGTACCAATGAAGATGTAAATTAATTATTAAATGGAAGGGAGTGAAAATGATTAACGATTACATTTTTGATGAATTCCTTGGAGAAGGAGCATTTGGCAAAGTCAAATTGGCATTCAAAAGATCAAGTGGCTAAAAATATGCTATTAAAATCATGAGGAAAAGTAAACTACGACGATAAAGAGAGTATATTAAGGATGCTAAGGGAAGTAGGACTGACTATTTAATTAGATATGGTGATCAAGGATGCTCTCTAAGATGTAAGAAGAGAAATTGCCATCATGAAGAAACTCAGACACAAGAATTTAATACAATTGTTCGAAGTCATTGACAATCCAAACAACGATAAACTATTCATGGGTATTAACTTGTCTCATTATCAGTCCTGGAGTATGCTGAAGGAGGACAAGTGATCGAATGGGATGATGATGAATGCAAGTTTTATTAGGTCAATGAGTCAGTTGTACTTGATGAACCATTACTCAATTAGATATTTCGTGATTGTATCAAGGGTCTCAATTATTGTAACAGTCCTTCAATTCTATCATCTAGTGCACAAGAATGGAGTGGTACACAGAGACCTAAAACCATAGAATGTTCTCTTGACTGATAATAAAACTGCTAAAATTGCTGACTTTGGAGTTTCCACTATGGTCGGCAGTAAAAATGACGTCTTGGATAATACTCAAGGGACTTATTACTTCATGCCCCCAGAAGCTTGTGATAAGGATAAAGTTAAAGATGGCTATTCTGGTAAGGCTGCTGATATCTGGGCCTTGGGAATTACATTTTTTGCATTCGTCTATTTAGATGTTCCGTTTACAGGTTCCTCTATTCCTGATATACTTCACAATATCGCTCATAATCAGTATAAAATTCAAAGATTCTTAGAATTACATTCCCAGAAAGAAATGATATTAGTGATGGTCTCAAAGAGTTTCTCCAATTTATCTTATAAAAAGACCCTAAGGATAGACCTAAGATACCTGATATAGCCAAACATCCATGGTTGAATGCTTAGAATATGAATCTATGGGATGAAATGTACTCACTCATAAAATATATAGAAACAAAGAAGAGCAAACTGACATGGAGATCGCGTAAGCAGATATAGATAATGCTTATTCATTGAGTTCGATAATGATGATTAAAAATTGGGCATTCAAATGGAGAACCACCTCCAATCTTAAAAAGATTACAAATATCCAATAAACATAGGCATAACCACAACAAATCAATTCAGAATAGATAATTAAATGATAAAAATGAATAATAAATTATTTTACTCAATCAATCAGTTAAAACCATAATATGACTAAAACCCAAAGCAATATCCTTAATCTTAATATTTTCCAATCCCAATTCTGGAATCAACCTAGTGTATGTTTCATAATATGGGACATCCATGTATCTCAAGTCTTCTCCCCCCCAAATAATGCAGTCTCCTTTACTTGTTAAAACCGCAGATCTATCAAATTTAGCATATATCTTAACGATCTTCTCATCTGCATCAAGTGGTAAATTGATTTCAGTTTAGCCACTAAACTCAAAATCAAATTTAGACTTCACTCCCATCTAATTGTGCAATAGACAACCAAAAAATATTAGTCTATTGTTGCTAGTTAATACTAGATTGTGAGCTTATCCTGAAACAATCTATTAAATTGATTCATCAGGTTGTAGATCTAAAAATACTTCTGTAGGTTCTTTTATTCTATCTATTTCATTATTCATTCCACATTATCCATACATATTTTAACCACAAGCATAAATTCTATTATCAGAAACCTACAAAAGAGTGTGATGAGCACCAGAACTAATCCTCTAGATCTTTTGATTGCCAATATCCATCAATTATCTATGCTATGTAAATTCAACTAAGAACAACTATTAACTTTTAATCAATACCATAAATCTATTCTTAGTCGTTCCTTCTTGTTTCAGTAAATTAATAATGATTTTTTTTGCCAGATCCATACACAACTCCTCCTTCAGTCAATAACAAACTGTGTTAATAACCACATGCTACTTAAATCACCTTATCTTTAGTTGGCAATTACAATTATTTAAACTAAAATTAATACTTTAATTCACCATTCCCCAACTAGCCTTTGTAGTTTTCTCCCATCCCATAACATACTCCATCATTCATCTGTATTATAATAAAACTGCCTCCGACTGCAAATGATTTGATTGGAGCATCCATAATAGGCTTATTTAATAGAACTGGTTGAACAATGCCACCTCTCATCGATAACATTGTACCAAGAGGAGAATATTTCTAATGTTGACTCTGATTATAATACTTGCCATAATTAACATAGAGTGGGATTTCTCTTATAAAATGAGAGTGTTCTATTTTCAGTCATTGTGTCTAATTGCCAACCCCAATGTAATAATTGTCCATCTTACAATAATGCAAATGATTATGTCATGTTGGCTTCCAGTTATTTAACTCCCACGTTTTACAAATCAGGAACGAGTGCAAACTGCTCTAGACTTTTGAAATTGCCTTGTCCCAATTAGCCCATAAAATTCAAGCCTTTTGCAAATACTTTCATTAATTAAAATGTAAGATAAATAAAAACCAAAATTATTCCTCGAAAAATTATTCGATTTATTAGAGGTATATTCAATTGTAAATAGTCTGGTGAAGCAAGTAACATTATTCAATGGACTGTCGATAAAGATGCTATCAAAATTATTAATCGAGTACAATTGATTCGCGACATCCTACCCAACATTTTCAAATAAACATCTTATAAGAGCTTTACTAAATAGATGAATCTTTACAATTTTAAGAGTACAAAGGATGAAAGTGGCTTTACTGTCTTTATTAATCCACATTTTACTCAGAGTTCGCTGAATCTTACATAAATCATGGCAGAGAAACGAACCATTAAAAAGTCAAAGAAGGAAGACACTAAGAAGAGAAGTGAACTGCAACAAGAACATGAATAGCTCAAATAAAAATTGATGGCATTGTTCAAGTATTAAGTGACTCTTTAAAATGAAATCAAAACATAATTGGAAATCCACAAGCATCTTCAAATGAGAGTGGGCATAATTAAAAAATGTATTTATCATCGCAAAGAGAATGGATTAAAGAGAAGAAGAAAAATTTATAATTTTTTGAATTCCTTTTTTACACATCTCAAATCTTCAGTTATATGTATTCATTTAACATTTACAGAAATTAGGTCAAAAATTTCTAATTTTGAATCATGATCTAATTTGTTAATGTGATGACAACGATGAAGAATAATGTCTAGACTTTTAGAATTTCTAGGTCATTATATCAAACACCTTACTTGACACCAAGAAACCTTACAATTTTCTAATAAAATTCTATAAGATAATTACAAGATTTATTCTACGACGAAGATAATAAGCCAAAGTCTTTTTTATAATTAACACCTGAATAATAAAAATAATATATTGAAACTATCTGGGATGATTGATTTATATACATATATATAAATAATATCATTTGATTAATCAGACCTCTTCATTATCCAAGATAATAATTACACATATATTTTATACGTCAATCTTAGCTAAAATCACATAAATCAAATTAGAGATTATAATTCTTAATTAGAAATTTATGCTTTTATTAGTTGATTTTAAATTGTTTAAATTAATACACATTTTTATTAATTTTATTAATTAATGATTAGCACTCCAATAAATAATACTCAATCAGAAATCAAAGAATACATTGACAAAACCCAATAAACTATTCATGCTCAAAAATAAATTGTTGATATCCTTGATGCTCAAATTGACCAATTATTCAAATTATAAAATATCAGAAATCAAATTGATTAAACTTCTAATTACACTTAGAATTTAATAATCGAACTCAAAAAATAAGAAAAAGAGTTAGAAGGTATATCATCAGAGTAGGATGAGTTAATAAGAACATTAGAAAAAGCAGTTGCAAGTGAAGAGTAAGTAGAACATGATGCTGCTCGTTTGCATCAATAAGAAAAAACTTTAATTTAGAGAATGTCTAATTACATTTAGGAAGTATAGCAGTAAAATATTTAATTAGATTAAAAGCGGTTAAAACACAAGTTTAAACTTAACATAAACATATTTTTAAGTTTTAGATAAGCAAGCCTAAAAATGAATGTATATAAAATGTATTAAATGTTTAAAAATTATTTAAAACAACTTCTTTTCATTAATCTCAAATATTATGAAATAAATCTTAGGTATTTTGAGAGAGAGTTTAGACTTTAACAAAATAATAATTATGCAAAAGCAATATTGACTATTTTTATGTATAAATTCTATTAACAATTGTTCACAGTTTGATACATAACAAATAAATTCTAGGGAAAAAAATTTAACCTGGATTCTCAACTTAAATCAAATATTTATATTATTGTATACAAAATTAATATAAAATGAGATAAATTAATTTAATTTAAAAAAATCTATTAGTTCATTTAGTGTTGGCGAATCAATCTATTTAACAATATCTATCTCTATATTTCATTACAATTTCGTTTATTTCATCATAGTCATTCCAAAAAGATAACTCTGAAAATAACGACAAATTTAAAAGCAGAATCAGTTATTTAATTGCTTAATGGATATGCTGCCATTTTGTAAGCTAGAGTGCGTTCCATTCTAGTAAAAGCTGATTATATTGAAGTATTGTTTTCTGTTTATAATAAATTTTATTATTGAAGTTTGAATAATATAAATATTCCATGAATAATTAACCAAAAAACGAAAATAGAAGCTTTATGAAAATTCTAATTCAAATTTTAGATGTATTTTAAATAAATATTAAGAATTAATCATTATAAAATATCATTAGAAAGAATGAAGATAATAATGGATTCATTGTAGTAAATTAAAAAGAGTTTGTTTAAAAGATCCTATTCTAATATTATAAGTCAAAAAAATTTGCTAGTTTCCGAAGGTATTGTTATAGCTAAAATCGAGATCTTTAAACTCTTATGGATTTTAAGTCTATAAATTATAAAATGGGTAAAAGCTATTCATTAATAAGAATATTATTTCAATCAATACAAATATTCATAAAAGAAGTTAAACTACAAATTTTTAGAATTATTACTAATAAATAGAATCTGATCATCAAATTTTATTTTTATAACTTTCTTAGTTGAAAAGAAGTTAAGAATAGATGGAGGAAAATATTAGAAAACTACTTTCCATTCAATAGGAATTAACATAAAAGTTGCAAATTACAATGATAGTAAGAAAATTCTTGAATATTAGAAATATATCCAAGGTATATTAGATTCCTATCTAACAGGTAAGAAAGCAGAAAAATTTGTGTTACAATTTTGTTTTTCAATAAATAATAAACAATTCAGTAACTTATTGATATATTCATTAGAAAAATTCATGAAGAATATATTTAAAAAAGCATTATCCTTACCAGATATAAACTACTACCCAATTAATGATTAATAATTAGAAATATCGAATCACAAATACTCAAATATTGGATTCTTAGATTAAAACATAGAACCAATCTTTAATATAAATAACTTTTTCTCACTTTAATAATTTAATAGTATGTTTTTAAGCAATCGTAATTACGACAGTATAGAGAAAGAGGAAGATTATGATAGTAATTTAAGTAATTTTTTTTGTTTTAATCAAATAGAAATGTGATTTTAATAATGTATTCTAATTCTCTCAGTAATTAACAATCTCAAAATTGTCTGATTTAGCCTTTTGATATTTTTTCAAATAATTAATCAATACTTTGCTATTTTTATTTACATTCTGTTAAAATAGTCTCGATTGGTTCTTATCTAATATACTAAAATTACAATTAATGCTATTACCTCTAGATAATCGACGGGAGATTTTTAAAGAATTTATGTAGGACTCAATTTCAAAAGGTATGAGACAATTAAAGCTAGACTAAATAAGACTTAAATAATAATCTCTTATTAAGTTTTGAGATCGTTTTGGATTATCTAATTGTTTTAAATTTATTACATTAAATGTAGGCACTTTTGCAATAAACAGTTTTGTCTAATCTCTCAATAGTTCAAATAAAGTATATTATGAAGTTTTATTGATGATATCTGATATTTTCTAATCAACATTTCCTTTCATCCTTGCTCTTTCTAGATTTGTTTGGGATAACCTCAACATCTAAGAGAATTACGAATCTATAATTTTGTGTTCTTCATCTATTTTTTTCTAAAAATTATCATATTATTCTTGTAAATTTTGATTGAAACATTGTTCAAATTTGGTAGCATTTTTAATCTCATCAATCTGTTAAATTAATGATTGTGAAATGAGATAAATAATCTTTAAGATTACAAATTATAAGGTAAATGACTGAAATTCCTGATCAAAGAGTCTTACATAGCTTAGAGTTGCTGATAGACTCGAATACATATTTCTATCATAAACTAACTAAAATACCGTTATTCAATGTAATAGTCTACTTATTTCTTTAATAAATTTGTTCGTTGAGATTTAAAAAGATCTTTTACGATGGATAATTATTTTGAAAATTACTCAGATTCCTCATTCAAAGCTAAAATACAATTAAATCATTTCAAATTTTACCATTATCACTTTTTTGAGCAGGTTCTTCTATATTATTATTGACAGCTTGATTATTTTATTCTATCTCTTAATAAAACTATCTATTCTTTTCACAATCAAAGGTCTTTGTTACGAGATCTGATCTTGTAATTAATTTATTGATGGAAATCGATAATAGTGTAGACTAAACAATATAATCATTGGCAATGTTGAGTAATTTCAACAAAGGATGAGAGTATACTTATGACCAATTTAATCTTTGACTGGGTTCATACTTAAGAGTTAATTTGAGAAAATCAATTGTTTCCATGCTTACAGCTTGATCTTGGCAAGTGAAATCCTATTATGATAATTCTATTTACTATGTTATTTTATTTGATTTTTTCAATCAATTCGGTTTTTGTTTCACCATTAAATGGGAATCTCTTGAATATCATTTTAAAGTAGAGAACACTTGCAGTGTATAAATCAGAGGCCATAGAAAAAATTGTTTAATTTTGTAGAATTTCAGGTGGAATTATTTCTTTGACAATTCCAAATTTTTTGAAATCCTCTTCAGTTTACATATTTGCTAGTTAATCAGAACAGATGTTGATCTGTCCTATTTTAATTGAGTCGTTGCTTTTAAAAATGTTCTTAGGACTAAGATCTACAAAAGTAATCTTATTTTCATGCAAGGCTAAATATGCTTTTTTATCTTACATTTTAATCCATTTAAGATTTCTCTAAAATAACATTTCGCTTTATCTTCATTTATATTTGATGTATTCATAATATCATCTAAAGTCCCTTAATTTAGTTATTCCATGAATATATAGTAATTATTTTCTGACTCTACGAATTCAAGGTATTGAATGACATTTCTACTTTAAACCGAATAAATTTTCTTGAAATTCTAAAGAATATTAGGGATTATCGGAGGCTTTGCAATTATTTAACACACACATTATCCACTTTCGCCTGTAAATTAATTTCTGGAAATGTATACCTTTTTCTGGGTTTAGTTTGAGAGCATTATGATAGACTCGCTTTTAGTTTGCTAATATTTCTTATTGAATCAAAAAGTCTTTGATCTATTTATTCATTGATAAAAATTATAAGAATATTTATAAATATTTGTAAACAAAATCCTCAAACTTCTACTTCAAATTTGAATTACAGTGGGAATAGTTGATCAGTGTTTTATGAAAATTGCAACTTATTTGAAACTTAGTATTTCATTCTATTATATTTTCCTGAAATTCCAATAATCCCGAATCCATTTTGGTTGAACTAAATCTAAATGTGAAACTAATACTTTAGTAATCAGGAATAGATTTTCATCAACCTTGTGTCTCAATCCAAAATTTAAAGAAGTAGTATATTTGTTTAATTTATAAGTTCTATTGATTTTGAATGCCAATTGAGTGTTTTCTTTGAAAGGTGATTAAATCATCATGCTTGATTCATTTTATTAACTAAGTTATTAGAAACATAATAGATTACTAGCAAAATTTGATTTTTCTATCTCCACTTTCTGCAAATTGACAGAATTACGAGAATTATAATTACTTATTTTTGAAACACATTTCAAGGATTGTTTTCATCTTCCAATCATTCCATAAGTATTTTTTTCTAGCAAAGAAATTGAAATCAGATGACTTTTGCGTTTTGTTGTATTCACAATAGAATTAATACTGTTTCTCTAGAGTCAGTTTGAATCCTGCATTAAATTATTGGAGAACATCAACAACATTGGGAGATTTGACAAATAGTTTGATAGTTTCATCAAGTTTGTAAGTGGCGAAAATGCTGTAAGTTGAATCATTAGCAAAAGTATTGATTAAGCTGAACCTGGGAGTGATGTATTTAAATTTGGCTTAGGCAGCAAATTATTGATTGGTTCCATTGCATCTGGCTGAATAACTCTATTTAATTGAATAAGGGAATAAGATACAAAGGGTTCCTCTTTGTCTTTGGATTTGAAGACAAACTCAGTGTTGTGATTGTTTAGGCGTAATAAATTGGAGTCTTTTGGATATTAATGCATAAAATATTCAATAATATATATTTTAATAAAATGTAAAATAATCCTGTGCTATAAAAGTTTCTATAGAACAACCCGTTCGTAGAAGGAATTGTCTTAATGGATAAGGAAGGAATAGAGTAAGAAATATAGAGAAACTTAGAATTATAGCCGCATTCTAAAATGAAAATAGCAAGTTGAAAACAGGAGCATAATCATTGATGTATGTGGTGGCTATTCAATAATGCAATGAAAATTTAAGAAAACTCTCAGATTCTGAAACTAAGCAAATCACATTAGTTTATGAGTATTAAATGCTTTGTAATCTTAGTGAATGGATTCTCTATTTCGAAATTTGGACCCATTCAATTTTGATATTTTACTGTAATATCAAAGCAAATATTGTGTCATTAAAATAACTTGGTCAGGAATTAAAGCGTATACTTTCCCCGTATAATGATTTATTAGAAAAATAGCAAAAATGAATTAAATATATTTAATCATATATTATGTCCTTGAGAACATTTACATTGTTATGCTTGTTGTATATAGGCTATTGTAAAGAATCAGGGGAAAAACATCTGAAAATTCTTACATAGTCAATAGGATCAATGTTAGTTTCTGAAATTGGTGACAAAGTATATCTATATTTTGAGATAAAAATAGACTTTCTTCTTAGCAGCAATTTTGTCAATGAAGTTTAATAGACTAGCTGTTTTTGCTGGAGCAACAGCAGCCCTAGTCTTAATGACAGGAATCAGTTGTGCTTTCGGTATAATAGTTCCAACTCTCTTGCCCCGCTTTTATACTGCAATAGTCGTGACGATTATATTTTACTTCTTTGGAGCTAAATTACTCTTCGATTGGTATCATATGGAGAATGACGGGGATAAAGAAGAATTGAAATAAGTAGAAATGGAGCTTGAAGAATTGGACAAAAAATTACTGAGTAGCCACAAAATTATTGATCCTGAAAATCCCTCAGAAGGACAAAAATCAAGTAATAATCTATGTAGATAGATCCAGATTTGTCAGCTGTAGTGCCTATTCAATAAATTATATGGTAAGCATTTATCATGACCTTTTTGGGAGAATGGGGTGATAGAAGTTAAATTACTACCATAAGTTTATCTGCTGTTTAAGATACAGATATCGTGTTTCTAGGATGCAGCTTAGGCCATCTAATGTGTACAACAATAGCTATACTTGGAGGAAAACTCTTAGCTAACTAAATCTCTGAAAAGACCGTTAATTTGGTTGGAGGAATTGTGTTTATCATTTTTGGGTTGATGCATACTTACGATTTAATGACAGGACACTTAGATTGATATTATACAAATATAGATAACAATTAAATGATTCATCTCATTTCTTAAAATTTTAAAAATTAATCAAATCAAGATAAAATTTTTCAGAGTAGGCTAAAAATCACTTGATTTTATTATAGCTCTGTAGATACAGAGTGGGAAATATAAAAGTTTATAAAACTTGAATTGTTTATAAAAAAAAAAGAATATCTTATTTTTAAATATTAATGGGAAAGAAGGAAACAAAGGATAAAAAGCCTGCTTAATTCAAGTATTTCATTTGTGAATTGCTATTAGAAAGATCTATGAGTTGTTATCAAAATACACTTAAGTGATTATCGTTGGATTGGCTAATGTTGGATCCAAATAAGTGTAAGACATTAGAAGAATTTTGGCTAAAAGAAATGCTCTTCTCGTGATCGGAAAGAATGTAATGAAGCAATTCTATATATAGACATTATTTAAGAAGGTTTTGGCAACAAGAGTGTAAGATTTACCAGAAGGCCATGAATATTATGAAGAATTAAAGAAGTTTGGAGCTGCAATTAAAGAATTAGATGTCTTGAAGAATTAAGTAGCTGGCAAAGTAGGATTTATTTTCACTGACACCGCTGTCTTTGATCTTAAATCTGTCATTGAAGAAAATAAGGTTGAAACACCAGCAAGAGTTGGTGCTGTTGCCCCAATTGATGTTGTTATACCACCTGGACCAACTGGTATGGACCCAGCTTCAATTCAATTCTTCCATGCATTACAAATACCAACCAAAATCGAAAAAGGATAAATCTAAATTACCAAGGACTTTGTGGTTTTGAAAACAGGATAAAAAGTTGGTTAATCATAAGCTGTTTTATTATAAAAATTGGGAAAGAAGCCATTTTTATATGGAATGGAAGTGTTGTCCTGTTATGACAATGGATCTATTTTGAATAAATAATAAGTATCCGTTAATTTGAATGATGTTCTTGCTAAATTCTAAAAGAATGTGACAAACATTTCTGCAATCTCATTGGCTAATGGTATTTTGATATATTCATATTTTTAGGTTGGGTGAATGAAGCATCAGCTCCACACGTTTTGGCTAATGCTTTCAAGGAATTGGCTGCCATTGGATTGTAATCAGGATTTATTTTTGATCAAATCAAACAATCCAACGCTCCAGCTCCAACCTCAGCCCCTGTTGCTGCCAAAGTTGAGGATAAACCTGCTTAATAAGCCCCAGCTAAAGCAGAAGAACCTGAAGAAGATGTTGATATGGGTGGCTTATTCGATTGATAAAGTATAGTAAAAATAATAATATAAAATACAATGAGTTTATTGGAGAAATTTCTTGAAATTTAGAATAATCTCTCGAGTTCTCAATTATTCGCTGTTAATCTTAAAGGGTATCTAGTATAAAAATACAATTTATAGGTTCGAGTAATTTTCTGAGGAATTATTTTGTCGCGATTCTAATTTCACTTAAATTGATAACTATTCTCTATGGTAACTCAATGAATACACTTTATAGCATTTGTTAGGAAGAATCGATACAATTAAAAGGTTTGATTGCAAATTTCAAAATAGAGTTCAACATTGATCCTCAAATAATATAATTAAATTCGTAAGAGCAAGTTCTCAAAGTTGATAAGCGCTATTAGGTTCATTTCGTGTGCTTAGAATTGTGGAATTTCCTAATGAAACATGTTAAAGGAGGTTTTTATTATTATAATACTTTTATAGGGCCATGCATACCTCTATACACCATAGAAATAAATGAGATCAGAAAAAGCACTATTCATGACTTTACATTTCTATCGCAACACGACATTTAAGATTTGCCAAAGGGTCTTGTAATACCTGTAGACATGACATAAATGGAGTTCTTGATTTAAAATGAAAATGATTCGTTTACTTATATAACAAAGGTTGTACCCTTAGCTTTTACAATCGAATAAGTTATAAATAAGATACTCTCACCACAATTCAACGTAACAAATCATTTGTGCTTTAACCAAACCAGCAGGAAGGTCATATTAAATAAAACTTCAACTTTAATCTATGAATTGGAGTTTAGATCTCTATGGTTTATTAAACCCAACCAGAAAGACAATGGATTTTCAGAGAATTTCGATGAAATCACAATGTAGTAGGATTTTCAAAATCACATACCTGGTTCAACAGAATCGACCTTTGAATCAAGGGAAATCCAATCTATACTAGACAGTTCAAAATCAAACGAATTCGAAGATGATATCAATCCCAACAACAACAGCAATTTGAGTATAACTTTTAAATATTTAGTGTTGAGAGATATCAGTGAATTCAAAAACGAAATAGAATCCATTCTATAAAATCACAAACAACAGCCTCTTATACTACTGAAGGAAGAATAGGCTATCGAGAATATCAATCAAATAATTTTGTAGATTGAGTAGGAAAACTGTTTCAAAAAAGAGTAACAAGAAGAAGGTACTAATGATGAACTTATCGATTATTAAGATATTTGATTTCATTATAAATTCAGTCAGTTTTAATATGCTTCTTTATTCTATCATTTATTTAATATTGATTCTTAAGACGTTGATTACATAATTCTCTCAGAACCAAATCCGTGATCTCTCCATTCTCGTTAAATTCAACTTCCTTGTTTGATAAGCTATTTTCTGAAATCAATTCTAAAATCACTTGTTAATAGTCATCAATTAAGAATTTGAAACACTTCAATTTACAAATAGGACATTTCCAAATCTTTTTGTCTTTTTAATCATCAATTGCAGTGATAAAGTTCTCCAAATCGAAACACTGTAGATGATTACAAAATCTGCCTCTGGCTGGAATATTAATTAATTATAAAGTGATAGGACACAATAGACTGATTCTTATTGATTTTATTTTGACATCCTTGTTGGTAGAGCATTCTTATTTGAATAATTTGAATGAATCTTCAATACTTAAATAGTTTTTATGATATTGTTTAATATCTAATAAGAATTCTTTGGCATTCAATTAATTTATGGAAAATATACCTATAAAATAAATACATTAATGTTATATTCTAAATTATTTTTTCAATTCCTCATTAGATTTATACTCAATCAAAGTAATTCGATTTTATTCATTATGTTTGATATAATTAGTGATATTGATGGAATCATCCTTGCGTTTCTTAACACTATAATTGATGCTCAAAGGTTTAAACTCAGCCAGTTTGACACCATTCATCTATAATTCCCCATAATCAGGCCAAGTGATTTCATTCAATCCATCCTTGCCGTCTATTCTTAAGCATCTAATCTCTAATTGAGACCCTTTGTACTTAACTGGACAATGGAATAAAAAATGTTTTTCGTTTTTGAATTGAAGAAACTACTGAAATGTAGATTAAACTATTTAATCTATCACTTTATTTTAAGGATTTAACATAACAAGTGTACAATACGGACAAATGAAGTCTTGAATATCATGATTAATTTGTAAACAAAATCCATGAAAATTCTATGAGCAGATTTTACATTTGAGAACTTTAGAACTATTTAATTTAGCCTTAATTTAAACATATAAACCTGGCTGCGAGTGACAATAGCATTTTAGAAAATTAATATCTTATTGCGTTTCATTTTATTTATCATTATTTGTTTGAGAATTTCTCATTTAATTTAATAATTGTTGTTCTTTATCTTTAATAAGTTTTAATTTGTCACGAATGCCTTCGTAATAGATATGAATTTATTTATTAATGAATTTTGTTAGTTCTTCTAAAATTGAGTAAGATTTGATGATCTTGTCTTCATAATAAAACATTGTGATTGTAATCAATTATCCTAAATATATAGGTCTTGTTGGATTAATATTAGTGGATTATAAACTGCATTTCTTCATTCTAAGTAGATGACTGAGTAAACATTCAGTTAATTTTGGGATGAATTGTTTATCCTATTTATATTTATTACCACCTAGACACTTAATGATATCTTGCTTTTTTTACGTTGAAATTTAGTCAACTTTCAATTCAAGACAACCTTGTCTGATAAATTCAGGAACTTTGAGTTCAATGTCTTATTTAATTGTTAAGAGTTCCTTAGATATCTCATCTTGAAGTTAATTATTTTAGTTCATATTTTAAATAATTCTACAGAATTTAATAAAGAAATTAATTTTTAATGAAAATTTTAAGCAAGAAAATAATAAAGGGAGTTGGATTCATAAAAGTAGTGCCTGAAGAAGATGATGACTTTTGGCATTTGTATAATCTATTGTCTGTTGGAGATATAATAAAGACAAGCACACACAGAAAGATAGTGAAAGAAAGTAATTATAGATATGATTGATTAGGTTAAACTGGTACTAAGGTTTCTGAGAAAAGAAGGATATTTGTATTTTTAAAGGTTCACGAAATTAATTATTGGGCAGATCAATATCTATTGCTATCAATAAAGGGCAGAAATTGCTAAGAATCTCATTGGTTATCTTTGGGCTAATTTCATACCTACGAAGTTGAATTGAATTAGAAAATCGTAATATACAAAGAAAATTGGGATAGATTTCATTATGCCATCTTGGATTAGATCAAACAATAGTAAACTTTATCAGAGGTGGCAGCATTCATAATGGAGGAAGGAGTAGGTCACTTATGTTTGATAGGATCAGCTACTACTAGATTGAAGTAAAAAGTAGAGAAATAGATAACAAAGAAGAGAAGTGCTAATGAGTAAAGAGAGAAGGCAATGGAAGAGTTTTTTAAAGCATGTTTAGCAGCCTTGGAATAAGATTCATTATTTGAATAAGTAAAATGTTTGATTGTGGCATCTCCAGGGTAATAGTAATGAATATCATATAGATATGTGAAGGATGATTTCTATTAGTTTCTGAGAAATATATTTTAAAAGGAGGAGAAGTATAAGGGAAAATAGAAAATGTTAGATAAGATCTTTCTAGTAAGATCAAGTTCAGGCTATTTGAACAGTTTAATGGAAATTCTATAGGATCAATAGGTTTAGTAAAGATTAGAAAATACAAAGTAAAATATTCGAAAAATATTTAGAGCTATGCAAGAAGTGATGATCTTGGAGAAGTTCTTTGAGTAACTTCGAATAGATATAACTAAAGTTGCTTATGGAAAGAAAGATGTTGAATTTGCTCATAGTCTTGGTGCAATTCAGACTCTATTAATAAGTGATAAAGTGGCAAGAGCCAAAGATCCAAAAGTAAGGAGATAATGGCTGAAAGTGATTGAAGAGATCAAGAACAAGGGTGGAGAAGTGTTTATCTTCTCTAGTTTACATCCTTCTGGAAAACAACTGAACAACTATACTGGAATAGCAGCTATTTTATATGTTTCAGTTTCGTTTGATTATGAAGATGATGACGAAGATGAAGATGAGCAAGAACCAGTTGGTTAATAGATTCATTAACAGTAACACTAACATGCTTAAGATGAATTCAAAATGGACATGGTAGTCTAAAAGAAATTTGAAGAGTTCGGCATGGAAGATGGTGATGATGTCGATGATGATATTTGAATGTTAATATACAATTATATAGATAAAAATATAACATCTCATCTTCTACTATAAGGATACTTCTTTCTGGCCTTATACAAACCAAGCTTCTTTCTTTCCACTTATCTACTGTCAGTTCTGGTTAACAGTAACTTTCTGAATATTTTCTTGATACTTGGACACATTTTAACAATGGCTCTACTCAAAGCTGAGCAGATGCATTGAGATTATGCTGACTAACTACCTCCTCTGATTACACTAATGTTTACAATAAGATTATTACACATTCACATCTACTAAACATGAAAGATGAGCCAATTCTAATACTCTCAAGGCTGTTCTTCTGTATATTGGATGAGTAAAGTAATTGATTAAGTTCTTACCATTTACAGTCACTTCTCCTACTCCTTTCTTTAGTTACACATAACAAATTGATGACTTTCTTCTTCCTCTTCCCACATAATAAAGTAGAGAAGATTCACTATAATCTTTTTCTATTAATTAATCAATTTAGATTGCACTCTTCTCCTTGAAATCCTCAATCTTAACTTCTTCTTCAACTACATCCTCAAAATCTGGATCTACATCATCAGCCATCATAGCTGTGCTTGGTACTTCATAAGTATATGGATTTATGTTGTCACTAAAAGCTTACAATCCATCATTAATTTATTCTCTATTTAATTTGAATATATTTGTTAAATAATGGTGGAAGAATTCCAAATTGCTTGGCTGTTGGAATTCTTTGTATAATTCAACTGAAAATTGATACTCATCTTTTTTCACTTCATCTACCTTCTCCTCAAAGAATTCCTTAACACTAACATATAATAATTCAATACTGTCTATTATAGGGTTGTTTCTTGATGTCCACAAAGGTATCTTGCTATTTGTTGAGCTTGACTTTAGGGAAGATAGTCTAAAATGAAGACCCAAAATCTTTCCAAAACAGACTTTGTCCTTTATTCTTCTCGACATCTTAAAACACAGATTCGTACCCCTTAATCTTATTTTTTGGATCATTATACAAATCCTTTATGAATTTAGGTGCACCTAATAACAAAAAGTCAATATTGTCAACAATATCCTATAATTTGACAGGATCTACGATTCTTTAATTAACTTTCTTGGCTTTCATTTGAAGTTACAAAGATTAAGTATCTAGATTCTTGAGGTATTTATGTATTTATTTGAATTCCCAATTTTATTGATCTTTAGCATTTATTTACTTTCTTGATTCTTTAGGTTCTTATTATTTATTGGCTAATCTTTTCAAATATGCTCGTTTAACAAAATTTAAATTAACCTTATCTATAATTGTCTATTCAGTTTATAAAGCTTCTTGACCATCAGAGGGTCTGATGTATCTCATTTTTAATAATCGCTCGTCATCTGATATTTCTTCGACGGTGCATCCAGATTCATAGAATTCAAGATCTTTTAGATAGGCCTTTCCAAAAGTGAGTTATTGATTTTTATCATTATATTTAGGGTCATAAATTTAAAAATCTTCTAAATCCTTTTACAAATTTTCTCTTGCCATCTCTTCAGCTACTGCTTTCACAGAATTAGTATCGACGTATTTATTTAGAATTGCTTCGTCATTAATTTTCTTATCAAAATCTTAAGCATCATCGCCTAAGATTGTCTTTCTATCTTCCTCTGGTAATTTTTTTATTCCTTCTAAAAATCTATCAAAAACAACCTTTCTAGCTTTGGCTATATATTCAGGTGTTTCACTTTTCACCAACAAATCTTGAGATGTTCGTAGAAGTTCAGTTTCTGACATAACTCTCTATATACTAAACATTATACAAGTACCATCTAAGATAACAATCCTTGAACTTTACGATTATACTCTGCTTCATATTATTGTCCTCTTTTCAATTTTATATCATAAACAAAGTCATCAAAGAATAATCCTAAAGGACAATTGGTCTCTTCATCAATGTAGACATGCTTCAATACATTTTATAGTAGATTTTAGCCATCCTTTTCAGTCATTTCCAATTTGTTATCCTATTTAGGTTGCATGTCTCTCACTCGTCTAAGGTTAACTAATTTAGATACTGTGTGACTCTGGTTTTGATTTTCGCCAATTTCTTCTTATAGACAGCATGCAATTGCTTCTGTGAATCATCATAGGAGGTGATCTTGGGTCTGTAGGCCAAGTCTTCCTTTTCTGGATAGAGTGGAGGCACAAAAAAGAAATTTCGTTGTGCTACACAGAACCTCGCTCTGCTCACTAATCTGAGCATAATTATTTAAATAAATTATTTATGCCTAATTTATATATAAATATTTAAAATATTGCATTTATTCATTAATTAAAATTAAAGATGCGAATTCCCTAAGCTTACTATGAAAGCATGGTTAGAAGATATAAGAAGTCTAAGCATGTCGATTCAACTGATTACTCTTGGATTGAAACAACCAAGAAGCCTCTTGTAGAAAGAATTTAAGATTTTGCATAATGCAAACAATTGTAGGATCCCATGTATACACGCATCATCTGTGAAACAATTGACACAATATTCGAAGCAGCAGTTGCTTTATTTCAAGACCAAGACCAGACCCTCTGCATTCAATTGCTGGGTGAATCCGATTCTATTTAAATTTGGGATTTGTGTTTATTGTGTTGCGATTACATACTCAAGTCAACAAATTCAAAAATACGTATTTCTATTTAAATAATTTAAAGTCGACATGTTTTTTAGTTATGAACATATTTTGACTCTAATATTTCACAATCCAGATTATGAAATATAAAAAATATATAAGTTGGTGCAATGCATGCAGTATTTGATTGAATCAATGAATGCATCTAAAGCCTGTAAATTTAAAAGTACTGATTAAATTATTAATCATAGTTGAATAATTTGAGAAAGTCTTTATAAGATTCATGTATATTAGCGCATTTTTGTAAAGGAATATCTACAATTTGTCAGATTAGGAATATCAGGAATTATTTTAATATTCTACTGACAATTACAATCTCAAAATCACCATCCCAAATGAAGACATGAATATTTATCAAAGGTATTTGGAGCTGAGCAACATCAGAAAAATACTCAAGTCTCCACCAGTAATCTTAGACATTCCCTTTGATTGTACCAAAAATCCATTGGACCAAAGTTTATAGATTGCAGCTGAAATTAAAGTCTAAAAAGATAGTATACTATTTGATTAGATCTTCATCCGATTACTTTGTCAATATTCTATTGATGAAAAATTGCTGCAAAAGATGTTCTTAAGAAATTTCATATTTCATTTTAAATGCACTTTCTCAGAATTGCAGTTAATCAATCCCAAATTTATGACAGACATCACCAATAGGTTGATAGATCAAAAGGATTTCCTATTTTTATTAATAAGGAAGATTGCTAGCGAAAAGGATTTATTTTTAGAAGATACCTTGGTGGAGAGTTACAAATTTATTAAATCAAAGCAAATTTAATTATATGAGCATAACACATTCTTGGATAAATTATGGTTATTTGAATTATAAGGAATACAAGACACTTTAAATTGGTGGAAGAAAGAATTCAAAATCACTGAAGGGAATTTCTATGATAGTAAGATGGAATTAAATGATAAATTAAAATAATTGTTCTTTTAATAATTGTGTGATCAACAATTTACATAGATGTTTAAAAAATAACCAAACTATACATAATGGAATTTCATCATTATTCAAATCATAAGAAAATCATTAGTATAAGATGATGGAACCAAATTGCCATATTACATCTTAAATCCAATCTTAACCTATTCTGTCAATCTGATCACTGAATTGCCTGCCAATAACCAAAACCAGCAATTGGATTATCAATTAGAAAGTCAGATAATTTAGGGATTAATGGAGATCCTTAAGAATTGTATTAAGAAGCCCCAAATTCAATTATAAATCAGAGCAATTCAATTATTAAATCAATTGGTGACATACTATAAACAAGAATTTGATTAAGTGTAGATTCAAAATGCATAGTCCGAATTCCTGATACCAGTTCCTGAACGATATCACAAATTATTAACTGAAATCTGGTCAAACAAAATTTTAGAAGGTACTCTACTTGCAGCTCAAGAACTCAATGAAACATTATACACCTATTTGATTACATTATTAGCTATAACAATGGGAGAGAATCCTGCCAGAGTAAGATAATTCTGTGAAAATAATAGTTTGTAACTTCTGATCGACAAAATTTTTGAATTATTGAAGATATGCTCAAGAGCATCCCCATTAATAGTAACAATTATAAATTTGTTGATTGCAATCAGTACTAATGAATAAGCAATTTCATTAACTTAATAATCGAATAATAGTGGAGATAAATAAGAAAAAGATAATTTGATTAAGAGGATATTTATCAAGTGTTATTTGCCTTCAGTCGAGTTAATAAATGACCCAACAGTGAGTGATGATTTTGCCAAGAAGATTATTATGCTGTATAGTCAAAGCATGTTGGCAAAAAAGTAAATAGAGAAGGTGATAGAGAACACATTTGTTCAGATATCATCATTGGTGGATTTGAGTAAAGATAAGATAGAGGAAATTGTGAGTAATTAAGATAAGCTACAATCCTTTTATAGTTCTTCAAAAAGCTTGTAGGCATTATTACAGTTGTTCATGCAATTACAACCAGAGAGGAAATCTTCATATCGATCATTCCAAGGATATGAAGAATTACAACTAGAGGAAGCTTAGAGATAAAAGGATATATTGTTCAACTCTCTTTTGAAGAATTAAAAATTCGTAGAAGCCTTGGAGAAGATAATTATGAGTCCAATTCTGATAGGTAGTAAAAATAAGGATACCTATGTTGAACACTACGTTGGCATTTTGTGTAAGAAAAATAAGTTGAATCCTTATACTTCTTTATGGAAGGAATTGGATTTAATCTCTTAAAACTATATGGTAATAGGTGACTAGAAGATAATCGATATTGGGAAATTAGTGGATTATGATGCCTTATCCATCCATATGAGTGACAAATACTTTTTTAGAAAAATCATCAAACACATATCTCCTTAAACTTACAGAGGATTCTACATATTGAGTCGTTTCCACTTGATACATTATTTGATTAAGATGTGTGTGAATTAGGGTGTGGGATAAAATTAAGATGCCCATCTAATGATTTCATAATTGTTAGAAATCTATTTTCTATCCTCACAACATGCTGGTTTCCATGAATCTATTATGATGTTTATGTCAGCTAAATAATAGGTCCAGAAACATCAGACTAGTTATGATGAGGACTCTTAAATAAGGAGAAGAATTAGTAAGGATAATTTGATTCCATTGCAATCATCCTGTTTGGATTTGATAAGCAAATTGTAATAGCATGCAGAACAAAAGGATTTTGTGGTCAAGAAATATGGGGAAATAACTTAGTTGTTCTTTTAGAATTTCTCAGAAAAGTGTCAATAACTTAAACAAGCTCAAGGAATTTAAATTGTTTCAATTGTAACTTATTTGTAAGATATGTTAAAATCATTCAAATTCCTCTAGAATTTGTTTTTGAGTTTAGAACAACAGTACTAACCATTACAATTTGCTGTAATCTGTTTCCAAAATAGCAATTTCTTTTTGTCTTTGGTTGAGATTCTATAACATTTGGATAAGATCTAAAGACAGTAATAATTTAACGGAACAAAAGAATAAGAAATTATTAGAAAGATTTTACCTGGATTTATAGAAGCCATACATCAACACATAGATAACATTATCAAACTATTGATTTTTAAGAAGATTTCAATCGATAAGATACAATTGTCAGATTAATTAATTCAGGATCCCTAATAATTGGATATTGTATGCAATGAAATCTTTGTAGCTTAGGCATCAATAGTCAATTAAATGATTGATCTTCTTCTTTACAATAATTGCGAAGGTAGTTTAAAGACGCTGTTGGAACAACTAATATAGAGATTTTATTCAATCAAAGATCTATAAGTTTAGGATATGAGAAAGATAGCTGGAACTGAGACAAAAGAATAAATAATTGGAAATAAGGATATTAATACAATTTTATCTGGTACTGATGGAAGACAAGAATAGAAAAAATCTTTGTTTGATCGACCTGAAATCAAGGCCATGATCGATGACATTTGTGATATGGGATTCAAATAACAATTAATCAAGAAAGCTATTCAAAGGATTGAAATTCCTGAACCTACTATGATCATTGATATGTTGATCAATGAGAGAATATCTGATGATGAAGAAGAGCAAGAAGATCCTTTTGAATTAGTGAAGAATGCAGAGTAAAATCAATAGGTTTAAGACTAATAAGATCAATAATAATAAAATGTAGAAACTGAAACACAAAAAGAACAGAAGGAAATCTAGGCTTTGGATTAAGAATAATTTATGAAAATTTTAATATAAAATTTCCCATTAGCAAATACCTAATTAAATATAACAGAAAGGTTTTTGGGATTCATTGGTGATTTCTAATCAAAATTAGATTAAAATCTTAGTAAACTATTAGATTAAAATTTACATAATCAAAAATCAAGTGGCAATTTGTTGGAATATCTATTTACAATTGCCAAGAGGTCATAACATATAAATAAGATTATTGAGTATATTTTTATGATCTTGAATCCCTTAAAATAAGATAAATCTTCTTAAGATTTAAATGCTACCATGATTCAATATTAGAAAGCATTACAATGGCTCAATTTATTGCAATAGATCGCTCCTCAAGAACATGAAAAACTATATTCGAATTTGGCTTTAATAGATCAAGAACCATAATCAAAGTATGTGCTCCAATTTCAATCTATGATTACAATTGGTTTTGCATTATCAAATGATATCTTCGATTAGTTTAAAAAGATTGGAAAATTAGAGTTGGACCAATTGAAACAACTTAAAATTTCAGAAATGACCTATACAGAAATCTATCAACAAGCACAAACAATAACTAATAATCTTAATATGCTATTTGAAACCAAGCAAACCACATTAAAATTATTCTGTAAAGAATTGTTAGAAGCACAAAAGTACCTTACCAAGTTTTTCTTGAATCTGCAAAATAAGCATGACTAATTAATTGAGAGATATTGGAATCAAATACTTATATATCTAGAATTTTTAATTTAAGTTTGCACAAACAATCTAGAATTATAGGAATACTCATAATAAACTTAGAACTTCCTTGATGAATTAGAAACAATAATTAGCAATAATTAATAATTAAAATAATAAAGAGATTAATCTCAAAATAACATTTAATTAAGATAACTCATTTAAAGAAGATTCAATTCTGATAAACAATTGATCACATTATTATTACAATGCTTAAATAATTTTGGATTGCATAATCAAGGCAAATTGTTCAGCATGTTAACCAAAAAGTAAACAAATTAAAAATAATCGTTATTGGACACTCTACTATAATTGAAATTTTATAGCAGTCATTTAGAATATGAGGAATCTCAACCAGTGTTTCTTGAAAACTTAATCTATCTAGTCGCGATTGATAGCAAAACTACTAATGATTTAGTTTTCTAAATTTTGAAATAAGTTATGCTCAACGAACATATCGATTGGCATGCTCAATAATTAAAAAATACAGAAGATCTCAGCTAAATACAATTCCCTTAAAAATTTATTGAATGTCCATTATAATATTTATTATAATTCCATCCTGTTTTAATTAATAACCCAATAGTCTATAATATGATAATAGAGCAATAAGGTTTATCAATTACTGACAAATTTTCAGAATTACAAAGAATTCATGCTCCAAAATAGTCATTGCCTTAACCTACAGGGAAATTAACAAAAGAACAAGAGAGATTATTGAAGGAAAGAGAAAAAGAATTATAAGCTTAACCTTAGACTGACATTATCATTAGATACGAGGTCGAATAATTGATAGAGCCATAATTGAACGAACACTTCATTGATTTAGTCAATATTATTGCTTAAACAACAATAGATAGATTTTTTGAAGAGAATTGTATTTTGATAGAATAGATATTCAAAATCTAATGTAATCAATACAAGGACGACAATAGGATTTATCTTTATGGCTGGGATCAACTATTGAGAATAATTGAAATGCTCATTATTAAGATTCCTTAATTGGTATTATATCTAAGACAATATTAATTTGTTCTACCGTCTAACTCAAAAACTGATTAGAAAAAGATCACTTTCATAGAATTTGTAATCAAATATTTGACATGGGTGGGAGGAGATAAATTGGCTAACTTTATGCACAACTACATCAGTGACATAAACTTGTTGTCTATTGGATATGGAGTCACTATTGCATAAGAGGTTTTACAACTATTATTGAATGAATTGTAAATAGACATCAATTAGGAATAGATGATATAGAAATATTATCACATTTTATAACTATTAACCTTATTCACCTAGACTTTAACCATGTAGAATTGCTGCATGATCTTAACAGATCAACGATCATAATTAAACATAATTCCTTAATTGATTGACACCTTGAATAAAATTAAAAATTGTGAAAACAAGTAATTTGTTAAGACATATCAACAGACCATAGCCAAAGCATTGGAACCATTTTTGTAATCATAAATATACTATGATCACATTCAATATGGTAGATATGGTGAAGTGTTCAGATTGCAATAGAGTATTACTGACAATCCATTCAAATATCATTATTTGCATTGTCTAAAAAATCAATTGATTTGTTATTCTTTGTATCCCGGTTTTAAGAGTACCATAGGATCAGCATAGCATTTCATTTCTCATTAGCAAGTTCAATAAACTTTGAAAGATGAACACCAATAAGAATTAGTTTGGCCTCTTTATTAATCGAGGAAAAACTATAATAATCAAAGATAGAATAACTAGAAGTAATAAGAAGAAGACTTGAGTGATTCAGATTCAGATTAAGATATTCTTTAAGTAGATAATAATTAAATCAAATACAAAGCTAACTATTCGAATATTAATTCCTGGGGTTCTGATTACTATTATTATGACAATAATGATTTCATGTCTAAATACAGCATGAATCGAGATGATGACAGGGTTTAACGTGAAAATCAATAAAACATTTTCCCATAAAAAGACCTTAATATCTTATTTTGTAAAGTTGATCCACAGACTATTACTTTTAATTTACCCCCCTTATAAATCACAAAAGCAAGCATCTAATATAATTCCAGCGATTATAAATAGTGGATCACCTCTATTGTAGGATTGTACTATAGCTCTAATGAATATTTTGAAAATAAGAAGTCTTTGATTTCTAAATCTTATGAAAATCAACTTAAAATCACAGTGGAAAATATTAATTAGATCAATAGGATTTTATTGTCCTCAAATTATTATAGAAATAGATCAAATGATTTTATGCAATAATATCTCTCATACTATTTGAATGGAACACTCAATAACCTGTAAGTCTAGGCAAGTATTTGCTTCTATTCTAAATTTGGTTAGCCTCCTAATTAATTATAATAAGATTACCAAGCAAATTCATTGTCAATTAATATCAATGAATCAAAATAACAATAACACAGAATTTTATGTTAAATATCATGCAATATTCTCCAAAGCAGAGTAGTTTTGAATGGAATGCCAAATGATTTACAAGATTAAAACTTACTCAAAGCCAAACTATCAAGTTTATTACATCCTGAAGAACATCTTATAATTCAACCAATTATCTTGTAAATTCCAAAAAGATAATTTGCTTAACCTGATCCATAGCAACTATTCACCTATGATAATTTGGTTCTTGAAATTTTCATAAATCTACTCTTAGATGCAAATAATTTCCCTCAGTTTCCCTTTAACTTATTCAGATAGATTTGTAAATGTCCCCGACTTGGATTTAAATTATTAATTTAGCTATTACTATTATTTTAGGAACAAAAACACAATTTAGATTTAACTTTGAGAATCTTGTATCTTGTAAGTCAAAAAATCCCTTCCACTATTCTTAGAGATTTGTTATCTGAATAATTATAGGTGAGTCCCATCTTGAATAGAAGAGAAAAAGCTAATCTGGCCAAGGTCTAAGAAATTAAAGAACAATTTGTGATTGAGGAAGAAGAAAATGTAGATGAATAACCTCAAGATGAGGATCCTGAGAATCCTTTAGTCTTCTTAATTAACTAACTCAACACCTATTGTGAGAAAAATATTTCATTTATGAAACTATTTCATAATCCAGAATCTTATATACCTTTAGAAAAAAGTATAATTAATTTTATCTTTAGACATACTCTTGACACCATTATTAGCTAGCTAAACTGGAATGCATTTGTCTTACTTGCTATAAATCATCAGAGGTTCATTAATAGTGATTACTGAAGATCCCAAGGATAAGAATAGAAAGCATGATGAAGATTATTTATCAAAAATATAGAGAAGATAAGCCACAATCTTTACAAATAATAACCAAGATGAACCCAATCATAAATTATTTGATCTTGTCTCTTAACTCAATAAACATGAGTAAGACGTAAATTTTGAAGAAATGATCTTCAAAACATTTGGAGATAGATATTCTGATAACTAATATGATTAATGGGAGCCAATATCTTACTTTAGTAAATAGCCTTTTTCATTTAGATAACATGAACTATAATAATAACAATAATAATAATAATAATAATAATAATAATAATAATAATAATAATAATAATAATAATAATAATAATAATAATAATAATAACAATAATATTAACAATAATTATAACAATAGTAATAATAATAATAGTAAAGATTTATTCTATAAAATACATCTATATTTTCAATGCCACAACCTCCCTAACCTTTACTACCTTAAACACTCCCTTAAAATCATCCTCCGATACCCTCTATATCAATACTTTAATAACAACAATAATCATTATAATAATTCTAATAATAACGTCAAAATTAATCATAAATTTTGCAATAATCAGGAGCATAACAAGTTAGACAATTTTATGATAAGTTCTTTAAAATGAATGAAAATTAATAGGATTAATCTTAATCATATTAATAATACCTTAAACAGTTTTACGATAATATTATATAATCAAGACAGTAATAATAAAATCAGCAGTAATAAGAATAACAATAGAATCAGAATCAATAATAAAATTTGATACAAGAATAGCAGCCATAATAAGCTGAAGAAAAATTCTTAAATAATATTGAGGAGTTAGATGAATCAGACTCGAAATAATAAAAAAGAGAGAGAAAAGTGAGTGCAAAGATATCACATGTAGAAATCGATATAATTACCGCATTGTGCAAAATTCTGAATAACCATTTACTTAGAGATTGCAATTCTACTGAAATTATTAACATACTTAATACATATGCAAATGATAGATTAAAAATAGAACATGCTATAAATGAATTGACAAAATATATAATATAGCAATCAAAGATATTCAATTATGAGTTGGATAGAAAAAGAAAATAACTTAGAGAAATCACAAGCTAATTAGAAAAGGTGGCCGAGCATGGTCCTGAAAGATAATAGTAGTTGTCTCAATAAGAAAATGAAATAATCAGAGAACTTAATTAAAAAACACCAGATCCTAGTATCATTCAAAGATGTTTTATAGCAATAACAGGGTTTTTGAATATTAGCTTAAGTATATCAGATTAATAAAAATAATCTGCAAATAAACCAAGTTCATAATAAACTAGATAACAAATTTAATTAGATAAAAAGAAATATAAATTGCATTAACAAGGTAAAAATGTAGATGACTCATAAGAAGTTGACATTTTATCTAAGAAAGATATTAGAAAATAATTCATTAATATATTGTAAACAAGATAAACTCATCATTTGTGGCTTAACGTAGTGGAAACATTATTATTGATTTTCAATTGTAAAGGTCAGAGATCATTAGAATTGTTATAGAAAAAACTTTACCCTCTTTTAGAGTGTTTCTTAAGGCTTTACTAAAATGTACATGACGATTCAAATAATTCAGATTCCCTTATTTCAGGTTCTTCTGATCCTAACTTTTTTGAGCGAAATGCAAGTGGATCTGCCACTAACTCATTGTAATTTGGCTTATTATAAACTCAGAACATTCATTTGAAGCGTTCATTTTCTGCAGTAAGAAATGAAAACGAAATGTAAATGAAAATAGATGAACTATTCACTTATCTTTGTATTAATGGTAAACGACTCATTAATCATTTGATTTCATAAAGGCTTCAGTAGGTTACTATAGACCACAAGTAAAATTAGAATTCAAATCTCATCAAATTATTCAAAGAGACAGATCCTTTGGCTTTTGTTTTCTTTAAAATGAGTCAAATAATTTCTTTCGAGAATAAAAAGCACTTATTTGAATTAGATTTAGAGGCTTTGAAAATAAGTGAAAAATCAAATACTCGATCAAGAGGTAGATAAAATGAAACTATTGAAATAAATGTTGTTAGAGAAACAAGGCTATAACAATCGTTGGAAAAGGTTATTAATATTGATAAGGCGAAGTTTAGAAAATGCGATATTAAAATAAGATATCAAGGAGAAAAAGGTTAGGATGAAGGTGGCATTAGAAAGGAGTGGATGACTAATCTTGTTAAAGATATCCTTTAAACAGATAAATTCGAATTAACACCTAAAAGATTTTACAAAATTAATCCAAATAAAAAAGCATAAGAGGATTTGAATCATTATAAACTATTAGGCAAAATAGTTGCTAAAAGTATTTACGATGGATTGCTTTTACCTGTTTATTTCATCTCCCCTATTTTTAAATAAATTCTTTAGAAAAAGCCTAGCTTTGATGATCTTGAGCATTATAATGAAGGATATTATGACACCTTTATAAAATTCTTAAATGATGAAACATAAGTTCAATATAAAGATTTATTTGAATTTTGGATTCCAGAAGAATATGCAAGTCTAATAGAATAAAACAAAAAACTTATCTTTGCTGATCTACTTTAAGACTATATAGAAAAGAACCCTATTGAGATAAAATAAGAATAATAATCAGAGTAAGATTCTAAATAGGAGCCTTTATAAACTTAGGAGTAAGATTAACCAAAATAATAATCATAAGAATAATAATAGCAATAGGAATAATAAGAATAATAATAATAATAGCAATAGGAATAATAAGAATAATAATAAGAATAGCAATAGTAATAATAATAATAATAATAATAATAATAAGAATAATAATAAGAATAGTAATAAGAATAATAATAAGAATAATAATAAGAATAATAATAATAGGAATAATAATAGAAACAATAATAATAAGAAAAAAAATAGCAATAGTAATAAGAATAACAATAGTAATAATAGGAATAATAAAAATAATAGGAATAATAAGAATAACAGGAACAATAGCAATAGGATTCATAACAACAAGAATCATAGGAAGAAAAACAATAAATTTTGGAATGGGAATAACAAAAATATGAATAAGAAATACTATTGTAATAATAATTGCAACAATAATATCACTTCTAGAAATATTTATAAATATAAGAAGAATTAAAGAAAGAACAATTATTAATTTAATAATAATAATAGTAATTATTAGATTAATATTTGATTTCTGAAACACAAAAACTATAATTCCTTACTCAGAATGCATTATAATAAAAATAAGAAGACTTACAGTAATAAGAGGCATCATTATTAGAGCTAAATTTCGAATAATATGAATAATAATAATAATTATTATTATATCTATAATTGCAGTAAGAACATTAACGTTAATCCTAAAAACTTATGGAAGAAGAATAATAACGATTGGAATAGTAATAAAAATAATAAGCAGAATAAGCAGAATAAAATTAGGTAGAATCAGAAGTGATGGTTCCACTCTTAAAAGCTCAGTCAGAGGGAAAATAATATAAAATAAAGAAGGAATCTGAAGACATTACAGCTGAAGATATGGAAAATAGGGAGAAGAAAAGACTTATTAGAAAGAATAAAAAAAAATAGTTGAATGATGAAGTTGTAAAATGCATTAAATTGTAAGAAGTGTTTGATAAATAAACTGCTCTTGTATCAATTAAACATAAAAGATTAATTTGTGAATTTATTAGTAAAAGGATTATGTTGGAGGAGATCAAAAATTAAATTTCAGCATTAAGAGAAGGCTCCTTTGACATTTTATCTAAAGAGCTTTTCTCTTACATGGATTGGAGAGATCTTTAAAAACTGATAATAGGAGTTCCTTCAGTAGATCGGTAATTTATTTTAATATTCCTTTAGTGGAAGATTTATAAGCAAATACTGAATACATAAATTACGATAAGAATAACTAAACAGTCTAATGGTTTTGGGAAGTCTTGACGACCTTAAGTGACTCTGAGAAAGCTGATTTCCTAATGTTTGCAACAGGAAGTCCTCTAGTTCCTTTTGGAGGATTTAAGAATCTAAGAGGTCCAAATGGTCCAAGAAAGTTCTCTATTTCGAAAGACTTTAATAATGAACATTTTATTAAGGCTCATGCATGGTATTTATATTATTTATTTCTAGCTTTAATCGTATTGATTTGCCAGAATATTCTTCTAAGGATATATTAAGAGAAAAATTGCTAAAATCTTTAAAAGAATCAGGTTCAGGATTTGAATTAAGTTGATATATTAATAATATTATTTCTTATAAACAAGTATTCAAGACTTTCATTGGCTTACAGTTAGATATAGAATAATTTTAACCTTATCCTACCAAATGGTTTGCTCAGAAAATATTTTCTATGTTTTCTATAATACAAAAAGTACACCCCAACACTTGTTAGTTAATATGATGTAATCATCATAGACATTACTATTAATTGCTATAAATGATTTTCAGTTTTAATGCAAAATAGCGATCCTTTCTTATAATAAGTATAAAAATCCTAATAAATAAGAGTAGCAGCTGAGATAAGTTCGCTCAAAATTATAATAAATACTTATTATTGTTTATTTTGCATATCAACTTATTTGAGATATGCAAAATTACCAATTGGTTATTAATATCTTACCCTACTAAAATAATAATGGATGTCAGCTAGTATAAAAGATCCAGAATAGAGATTCACAATCGCAACAAGAAAGATCAAAAATGATATACAAATCCAAAATGATTAATCACAATAATAGAAATCTCCTTCTATGATGTAGATCGTTGCCCATACAATTAAAAGTATTAACAAAATAACAAATTTAGTTCTTTTTGATAACTAGTATTCCTATTAAACATACATTTTCGTAAAACGAATCATTTTTGTTTTGCATAATAGTAAAATTTTCTAAGATTAAAACAACTGATAAGAGCCTTGATATTCTAAGTGCACCCATAAATAAAGTTAATTATTTAATTATAAATGCCAAATAAAGCAGTTCTAAGTCAATAAAATTGTTTACATTAGAATGTAAATAAATAAAAAAATATTCCTCTCTACTTTATCTAATACATCATTAATGTCTTTTCTGATTCTATACGATGCAATTAACATATTCATTAATAAAAACCCAGTTAGAAAATGCTAAACAACCTTATTAGATTGTGAATTCGTAATTCATTAAATTAAATTACACAAATTATTTATATACAATTTAGTCAACATTCAGTTTAAATTCGAATTCTCTTCATTTCTCGACTAAACATAGATGATTTGTTTCGTATTAGTGAGTTGATGTTACTGTTATTATCTAAGGATTGATTAATTTCACAATCTTGATTTGTCACAAAAAAATGACTCGGTTTAATATTTAATTGATTTTTCGAAAAGTAAGGTAAAGTTAACTATCTATTTTTTGTGGTTGAGCGTTATTAGATTGGTCCAATCAAAGACTTTAGTTTATTTTTTATCCTTTGATTCTATCCATCCTCGCATTAAGTAATAGGAGATGTATCTAAATTGCTTTGTTCTTCTGTGCTTCGTAGAGTAGTCTACTTGATAAATATTTAGATTACCTCGATTTTTATCATTTTTGAGTCATCCTACTTGCTTTAATTTTATTCAGGTTGTTAACTTAATTAGTTCTGAACATTCTTGTTCCTTTATAGAATAAAAAGAAAAAATTTACATATTTCTAAGCCTATGAAACAATTAAAAACGAGACTGGCTTTATAAATTAAATGAAATCGCTTTACTCATTGCTCTTGAGTCCTCTAAATGCTTACTTAGATAACTCTAATACTCTTATGCAGATTTGTCCTATATTTAATACATTTTATTTAAAGATGTATCAATGTATTCATATTATTTTGATTTATTCATTTAACAATGTTAAATAATATCCCTTGTTCTATTTTTTATCTTTTGATTATTAAGAAATGATTACATCAATAGATTTAGTAGTATTATTATCTGATTATTTTTTAACTTAAGGAATCGGTAAATCAATTCTGCAATTCTTTTTTGTACTATACAATAATGCCAAACTTTTCTCGCATTTCATATTTCTCCACTTAATAAAGGCCTCCACATTTTTCCAATCACTCAATGGTTTTGTATACAACTTGTTACATAGGGGTTACACTATTCCAACTGGTTCGCTTGATAAAATTAGCTAGATTACTTGAGAGTAAGAGGGCAGTGAGCTTATATTTCTTTAATCAAACTCTTTCTTTGAGACTTCATTTAGATAATAAATTAACTTAATTATTGTGTTAACTAATTCAATCAAATTAATAATCATCCAAAACCGCTAATATGTTTAATTATGCTATAATTTGTCATATGTCTTTTGCTTTTATTTTTAGTTTATCTAATCTCTGTAAAAGTACCTATATTTTTTAAACTATGTAAATCTTTTGAGAATGAAGGCTTTAAATTGAATTCATCCTCTCTTATTTTCTTACTTTGTTAGAGTGATCTGTGGCTTTTTGAATTTGATTGCAATTTTACCAAGGTCTTAGTAAAATTGGCTTTCGTCTCTCTTTAAGTTTATAAACCTGATGATGGAGTATATGCTTTTGAATATTTCCTCTCTGTTTATGATCGATGTATCTTACTAATAAAATCAATAATTTACAGATGTAAATGTTACAGGCAGACTGACTTTTTGAATGGATTCATTTGATTACAAATTCTCAGTCAATACGTTTTGTTTGAGATTTTGATTTCTAATATCAAATAGAATAATGTTACAATGATTATAATTTTTTCAACAATTAGTCTTTTGTTAATTGTTTTAAATTATATGTATGCTAAGATGTATTATCAATTTCAATATGCTTATCTAGAGATTGTTAGAATTTCGAAAAGGAGTTGTCCAGAATTGAAGACATCTTACTGTCAAATTATGATTCTTAGAATTCGAGTCTATGTTTTTACTTGTTTAATTGATTTTATCTTATATGCCTCAATAAAAATGATGTGCTCTAATTAATAACATAAAGTAGTAACATTTTTAATTTTCTTATATTCTTCATTTTCAATATTTACATTTTATATGGTATCAAAAAATTGTTGATCTGATCTATGAATTTTGTACTGCTAACACAATTTAATTGCTAATCTTTTATCACATTTGAATAATCTGAGCTTGATAAATTAATCACAATCTGTCCATTCAATGGGCTTCCTAGAAAGATTGGGAAAGTCGTTTATGTTAAGTTTTTTGTGTTCTTTGTTTTATTTAAAGAGATTGTGTTCATAAGTTTTGAGTTCTTTTATAATACTTTTTTGAGGTTTCATCAAATTTATAATGATATTTTCTAAGAAATAAAAAATTATAAACAAATCTCAGAGAGTTCCTGTTTTCTTGAATAACAATATGCGAAACGAATTACTAATAAGATAAAAATAGAATTTATATATATTGATATAGAAGTTGATCTCACCTTAAATCGATTTAGCTTTTTTATTGATTAGCGTGATTCATTTTCACTATTGCTTTTGCTTTTGATTGCTAAATCATTAAGATGTTTAATTTACTTAATTCTCCCAAACTTCCTTAGAACTCTTAAGAAATATTTTATTGATGTCTTTTGGTTTTATTGGAACTATAGGAGGTGATAACTATTGTGACATGGCACTTTGAATAAATCTCTTCTTTCCATTCTTTATCTCTGATTAGGTCTTACATATTTAGTACGATGAGAGAAGGTTTTTTTGGTTTTTTACCTGAGTCTTAAATAGTCTATCAGTTTAACTCTAAAAAGATTCTGAATATACGTATAAATTTACAGTTATTCATATGACCTTAAAGGTCGAGATAGCTTTTTAGTTTTTAAGTTGACTCATGTGATTTATATTTGCCTAGACCATAGTTATCTTCCTTATAATCTTTTACTTGCATCTAAGATAGCAAATAATATTACAGCACTAATTGGTAAATTAATTCGATGAGAAAAGTCTTGTTGTCGTTATTCACAAGTTCTAAAATGATAAATTTAACATACTTTAAAATTCTTTTCGAATCCTTTTAAGAACTTTCGTTATTAGCATTATATCTAATATTTGATGAACATCTTTTCTCTGGTGATTGAAATTTGTCTAAACTTGGAATCAATGTTCTTTTGGTATTTGAATCTTCTCGTGACTTTCTCTCTGTGGCATAATTTTTTGGTCTGGTTATTTCACTCTTGATTGGTGTAGTATTTTCCTTAAAAATTTCAGAACTCTAATGTAGTTTCTTATAAGCCTCATTGTTAGGATTTCTCTTCCCACTCAATACTGTTGGATGCTATTTTTTGCATGATGAATTTAGAGCCTCATAATTGCTTGTAGTATCTTTCTTATTGGTTAACCTTAAAAACAGTTGGTATTTGTCGTATTATTCCATTATATTGGCTAACAGATAATATTTATTTATATAATTTATTATAGATTTATAAAATCAAAAGAATTCATTATATTATCTTAAATGAATTCTGCAAAAATGCTTAAAGTTGTTTCAATAATTCAGACAAATCAATGATACTTAAAGGAAATTATTTTTTTTTATATAAAATAATAAATTTTTATAAGAAATTGGGAAAATAATAATTAATTCAAAGATTTTTTATTGAAACTAGATGAAAGTAGATAGATGTATGATTTTTATACCTTTAATCTGTCGGGATTTATTTAAGAATTATTGAAGATTCAAAAATTCTAAGAATTTAAATAATTTATACTATTTTAACCAATAATGATTAAAATTCTTATGTATATACACTTTATTATGTATATATAAGATAAAGTTGAATAAACATTTAAGAAAATAGTGTAATTGCTGATTATAAACATGAAATAAGAATTCACCATCCAAAATATTAGATTAAAATATTATAGGAGAATGTTTGTTTGTTGAAGAAGTTGTCAATGCAACTGTAGGAGAAGAATAACTAATATATATATATAAGCCATTACCACTTGAGTGATTATTAAAACAGACAATAAACCAAAGAAAAAAATTAAAAATGTTATGAAATAGTTGGAATCATCTTAATTTTCGTAATGAGAGTATATGTTATATGAGGCAATTTTAGAAATAAGCTATAACATCAAATGTAAAAACATCAAGAAACTTAGATTGTTTGATTTTGCTTATATGATAAATCCAACTCTATAAAAATTATAATCATAGAATTATCTAAATTTATAAATCTATCAAGCAATAAAAAGCTAATAAGTTCATGATTCAGATGCTAAATCAAACACCTTTCTTAAAAGAAAGATTAAGGACCTTCACTCTCTTAAAAGTTATCCTGTTAATCCTATATATGAATCTAATTATTCAAACTATTTTAAATTTTTTTGATCTACTTTAAAATCTAATATTTTTCTTTAACTTTCAAACTTCTGATTCTTGTTTATTCTCACTCAATTCTTCTTCTTGAATTATTATCTCATTAAAGTAGATATCAATAGATATGTTAGTATCAATATAAAGAACAATAATATCTCTTTCATTAATGAATAATAAACTAGCTGTATCATTTCTAGAATTTTGGTCTTCATCAGATTAATTAGTTTGAAAACAATCCTTCTCCTGTCTAACTTTATCTATTAATTAGTTTAGTTTTTGACCTTTCTATAAACTCTGAATTTTATCCATCAAGTTTGTCATCAATTTAATTTACGTTACTGTTAGGATTATCTTTGATTTAAGTTATGTTTCTTCTTCCTTCATTATGTAAGATGAGATGATTCACTTAATCATTAATTTATAGTTCCCTCACCTTTATTCTACTTAACTTAGACAAAATCCATAGAATCCTATATTTTAATGCACATTCTAATTAGTGGACTTAATAACTTTTTAATAATCTACATATATGATTCAATAAATGCTAAATTTATGCTAAAATTTAATTAAATTGAACATAATTTATCCTTTTTGATGAGAAATAGAATTCGTTGACATCTTGAGATAATATATTATATTCATCCTACAATTTGACAATGTTTACTTTGCGATTTGCATCGTATTTGTTTTTTGATAGAAAGACTATGAAGAAACGAGGATTTAGACTTTAGTTATTAGTTACTTAGTTATTTCTTCCAAAAGTTTATCCATTTGTTTTTATCAATCATGGAGAATAATAAATTTGATAGATGCAGGAGGTTCTTTAAAAAAGAAAAAACTAGGATTTTAAGCCTTAATTTCTTTCCTATTTTAATTAGGTTAAACAAGTTTTTTAAGTTAATTTCTATCTTTTAGCATCATAAAAAACTGAAATACTATTATTGGTCTTTGTGCATGTGATAAATTCACTATTTTGATAATATTTGGTCTAATTAGGTTATTTATCTTCTCTTAAGTATTATAGAGTGAAATAGACATACTTTATTCCAATGTCTATTTGGTGAAGGATTATAATGATTAAGAATATTCTATGAAATTGAGTCTTCGATCTAATTTTATTCAATAGAGTCTTAATTGAGGCTGAAATTATATTCTCTTGGTTATAATTTTTAAAGCAGATATTCTTAAAGAATTATCTTGAGGTTTCATATAAATAGTGTAATTATTTATTATCTTAATAATTAAAGGAAGTTTAATATATAAAATAATCAAATAAAAAATATTAAATATTTATACTATAGATAATTCATTTATTTTGTACCTTAGGATGCTTTTTTGCTTATAGCAATAAATCTTCCACGTCTTTCTAAGAATAAGATTGGTATATACAGTTTATTAATCTAAGTGCAACAAACATTCGCTTAAATTATTGACTATCTGATCCCATTCAGACTCTTCCTTTTCCAACCCTAGGATTTTCTCTTGTATTTTAACTACGTAATTGATTTTACGTTCCAAGCCATCCAATTCCTTGCCCAATTATTTAATGGAGTCAATGAGTGATTCTTCATCTATTTCTAAAATTATATATTAATAGCAATAATACCAAAAGATGTATCCTGTTAAGTAAGTTAATCGACAAGGGCAATTAATTAGGCATGAGTTTCGTCTTATTTTTTGCTGATATTCAAAAATACTTTATTCCATTCATTATAATAGTTTTCAACCTTCTATGTATGATTTCTGCGATCCCCTTTCACCAAAGTTCTTTGCAATTATTATGGATTTGAATTGATTCCAAGTGTAGTAGCTGGCTATTATTATTGCTAGATATTCTTCAATGAGTTTTTCTCAATTAGTTACAAATTCTTTTAATTTTTCTCTATCTCCTCTTTGTTTGCTATTGCTTTAGTCAAGTTTTCAATATGTATTTTAGTTTGTTAATTAATTTAATTTAATGTGTAGTTTTTTGGTTATGCAGGTTGCTATTATGCAGTTGATGGAGTTTGTTATGGTTATTATCCTAAACCTAAGGGTTGTTATTATTGAGGTTATCCAAGTAAATTGGGTTATTAGGTCTGTCCTAATTGTGGTATTTATTATTGCGGTTGTCCTAATAATGAATTTGTTTATGGCTATTATCCTGTTAATAAAGTTTATTACTATTATCCTAAAAGTGGCTATTATTGTTATTATTGCTGTCCAAATATTCCAGTTGATTATTAGTTGTTTCCGAAGGTATTGGTCTATTGTGGTTATCCGAATATTCCTTATGGTTGTTACTATTACCCTAAGGGATTTTGATTCTGACCAAATAAGTTATTGGTAGGTGCAGGGTTGTTGAAAATTGAAGAAGTTAGGTTGCCTTATTGTTAGGTTGGAGCATTGTTGGTACCTGGAATGTTTCCAAACATTATTAATTTAAATTTTAAGTAAAATGAAGAAAAATTATTTTGACAAAATAAGTATACAATTCTTATTTAACACTACTAATAGAAAATTGTAATAATTATTGTTACTTTTTGAGCTTCAATTGTTGGTGGATTATGAATTATTTGTGGATAATAGATTGCTCAATTTGCTTTATACAATCAATTTAAATTTAGCCTACTTATTGAAAACTAATTACTTGATAACAAGGATTATATTTGATACATCCATATTTATTATTATTGGTGCATGGTTGGGATTCAGTTTGAAAATCTTCAATTTCCATTTGAGGTTGTTCAATTGTTGATTTTTTATGATTCCCTTCTTGGATATCCTTTAATCTCATAAATCCTTTTCTCCTATTCTTCACCTGAGATTAGTTTTCAGAATCAACCCTTGTTAAGATCATATCTTCAAATTGATATTCATCTTATTCATTCTACCATTCTTAGTTTCAACATAAATACCTTTATTTCAATGCCATCTTTATAGGTTTTTCTTTGTAATTTCCAAGGATTCCCACAAAATTAAGGTTCCAATCTTATCTCTGCTTCATCAAAATCCAAATCCACATTTCTTAATGTTGGTTGAACTATTGGCATTTGGGGTAAACATGATTGAATTTCAAATTAAGGTAAGAATTTATTAAAATTGATATCCTTTGTTGATTAAGTAACTTATCTAAATTCGCATTTAATTTATTCCTGAAACCCTGTCTAATAGTTTTCACTGAAAGCAGCACAACAAATACTCTTTTTAGAAATATGTGATTATCTATTTTTATAGTTTTCTTCATCAGCCATCTTTTTTATTTTTTGCACTTTTGCTTGATATGTTTTAACTTTTTACATATACAACTACTGATTTGTTTCATCTATTAAGAATAACAGATATCTAGAAATCTAATAAAAATTCAACAAATATGATACTTAGATGTTTTATTCTGCTAGATTCTTTTTAATGCATGGAGCATAATAATTTGGGATTGTTTACAAATATTATAGAAATTTTGACTCTACAGATCTTCGTGCATCATCTCTCGTATTTACTAACTGAGTCAAGAGTTCAGAATAAATGTAAAAATTTGGAAAATAGCTGAAATTTATATAAATCTGTATTACAATCTTAATTCCATAGTGTTTTGACTTGATGAAAATAGAAACAAACCAACTAAGTATTTTGTTACTTATTCATCTCTTTATTCTTGATAGAATATTGGAAATTGTAATAATTTACTCTTGTTTGTTGTTATACCCTGAACATATTTTAATAAAGTTGCATTTTCTATTACAATCTCTTAAAATGGTATGTACTATGGTAATCTTGCTTGAAAAGTAACAGTGAAATCAACAAAATATTCAGGTACCGATGGATAATTCTACTTACTTGATTTTATTTACATTGAAATCTACAAGAGGGTACTACTCGGGCAAATAGACTTTGGTGAAGATATTAACATGAGGAGCACATCTTAATCTAGCTTAAGCAAATTGCTAATTAATTTTCTAAATAGATCTAACTAACCAAGAATTTTATGGGGGATGTACTTCTATTTTAGTTTTTTCAATCACAGATTAGATTTCTTCATATCTAATCGTTTGATCTAACATTGTTAATTAAAGAGAGATTTGAGGGGAGATCAATTTAGGATCATCTAAAATTTAGAAGAGAATATTGTAATCTTAAATTTCAAAACAGACACCTTATCCTATTGATTAAGCGATGTTATGCCAATTAGTTTATATTTAGACTGGTGTAGACTCTTCAATACCTGGTGGTTAGATCAAAAATACAAGAAGTCTATAATCCCATCTTATCAATTTATGGAAATCTAGGCCTGAGTACTCCCGATTAGTAAAAACTAACACTATTGATGACTCTATCTTTTAGACATCTCTTCCACCATATAGATTATCAGTTCCTGCAATTAAAATATATATATAAATAACCATTTAATGTTCTAAATTTGTTTAAATTGTGGAAACACTCTTCTAAATTGAAATTGGTCTCAAATTATGGTTACACTGTTTTAATTCTTTGTAAAAAATGGCCAACATCATGTATCCAAGTTGAGATTGAAGAACTATAGACAATATGTAAAGAACAAAAAATTACTTAGACGAAAAAAGATGGTATTGATCATACTTGGTATTCTGGATTCTTAGTTCTCTTTTTAACAAAGTATTCAATAGCACTTTTGGCATAATCTAATATAGTAAGTCCATTATATGTTATTTAACAAGAAGATAAACAATTATCTATCATAAAAGTGAAATTCATTTATAAAGGATGTTTATTTTATATTTTAATTTATTTATTGATTCTAAAATGTTAAAACATACTTTATAATTAAATCTCTTTTTACATACTAATAACTATGATAAAACAAACATTTAATAATTACACATATAATCAACTTCAAAGCAGATTGACATATATATTGTAAAGCGGAGAAGGATTCCATAATATAATTCAAATAGACTCCCAATCGTTAATTATTAATAATCTACTGGACTTTGATCAAAATTCAATAGAATTTATAAATACCCTCTTTCCAAGGACTCTAAACATTTAATTAAATCATATACATTCGATATATATATATAGATTAAGTCATGTAGGATTTTATTAAATAGTAAAAAACACTATACTAGCCAAGTTGGGGCTCTGGAAAAACGTGAAAATGATGTTTATTATTAGCCATCTTATTTATGCTATAATATCCACCTTTTCTATCCTTTTTAAATGTATTTATTTTTTTAACAATATTTGAATACCATTTTTCATCATCTAGAAAAAATATATATATTTATATGATAAATTGATGAAGTTAAATAAAATTTATTATTATTTATAACTACGTTTTACCGATACCAAACAAAATTATAAAAAATAACAAAATCCTTTTCAAAGAGTATCTTCATAATTGTGTTGTATTGAGCCCAAGAATTTGAACTAGCCTTCCTGGCACTCATTTCTTCAGATATTATTATAGTTCACTATTTTAGATGCTTATAAATTAGCAATTTATATATATATAATATATAATGTTAATATCATAATTATATAATAGTTTTCTCATAATTTTAGGGCTTTCAAGTATTGATTAACATAAATAGTGGAAATGAGCATGAAATTACTTATTAATTGTACAATTTCTATTTATATATAATATTGAATGTTTGATTGTTGTATTGTTTCAATTTGCTTATTTTGCGCCTGAGATAATATATAAAATATTATATAAATATTAAAATGATCTAGGAAGTGAATTCTTTTTTCGATATCCAAGAGAATCAAGGAAAATCCTCTAAAATCTGGTAACCTGTCAATATGGAAATATATAATGTAATATTCATTTTATAAACGCTACTAAGAATGACATCATAGTATTTTAGGATGACTGCAACAAAATCAGTAAAAAATCGAAACAACCAAAATCGATAACAATATAATTAGGGAATGAGCATATTTATCATATTAAAGACTCAAATATAACTTAGCTTAATATAACGGTAGCTGTCATGACAACTTACAAACATGACCAATTTGGCAATATCATTAGAATTTCTCGAAATGGAAAATTTGTTGATTTATAATTAGATGATTATGCTGTATTTAAGAATCTGATGTCATCGAGATGTCTATAAACAACTTTTCATGATGAATTCGGAGTTACAAAGATGATAGGAAAGGGAAGTTTTGCGAAAGTGTATTTCGCTACAAAGAAATCCACAGGAGGTAATTATGCGGTCAAAGCATTCAACAAAGAATTCATGTAAGAGTAATTCAAAGGAAGGGAATCATTAGAAAATGAAATCAAAGTCATGAGACGTTTAAACTAAGAAAATCTAGTAAGATTATACGAAACTTATGAAACCCAGAATTCAATCTATTTTGTATTGGATATATTAAAAGGAGGTGAACTCTTAACTCGAGTCAAGTAATCACCCTTAAGTGCTCCAAGTTTATAAAAATTAATGTACAATTTGATGAAAGCATTATGTCATTTGCATTCTAAAAAGTGTATGCATAGAGATTTGAAACCTGAAAATTTATTATTAAAAGAAAAAGATAATGATACAGATATTGTTATAGCAGATTTTGGATTAGCTAGTTTTTTAAATGAAGACATCTTATTTAAAAGATGTGGAACTCCAGGATTTGTAGCTCCTGAAATATTATTATACAAAGAAGGAGATCCATTTTATGATGAAAAATGTGATGTCTTTAGTGCAGGTGTTATCTTTTATGTTCTGCTAACAGGAAGACAACCATTTTAAGGAACTGATTTCAAAGGTATTTTAAGAGCAAATAAGAATTGTGAAGTTAATTATGAAATAAAATAGATTCAAACTGTAATAAAATATGATAATGAATATAGGCACCCCTTTAATTGGTAGATTTATTAAAGAAAATGCTATGTCCAGAACCAAAGACAAGAGTATCTTCAGAAGAATGTCTAAAACATCCATATTTCAAGGAAATCTTTAAGGAATAAGATCTCATAGATGTTTAAGAGAGTCTCAGAGATTACGATAAGGACTTTGTCTATGGATTAGGCAAATAATAAGGGTAAAACAGTAATTAATATCAAAGTCCACCAAGCTAAGTTGGTTCGATGTAATTGTAGTAGAGATAACCAGCATTGAATGGAAGGATTGACACAATGGGTTCATTTTCAAATGTATCTAATAATGGATCAGTAACAAGATTAGATTAGAAACCACAATTACAATAAAGCAAATTTAGTTAATTTGGACATATAAATAAGTAATAGCCTTAATCAGATGCAAGTAAGTTATTTGAATATATAGACTCACCTTAAATGAAGAAAAATTTGTAATCTGATCTACGTAAGACAGCATTAAAAAATTCTTTTTAATAACAAATTAATCAATTGAGCAAAGATGATGATTGTGTTAACGATGAGGCTGCTCATTTGGAAGATGCAATATCTAAATTGAATGCTTAAACACCCAAAATGGGAGGATTAAAAAAAGCAAGCTCATATAAAATACCAAAATCATCAATGGAATGAGATATACTATAATCATTAATCCCGTTTGCCTGAAAATATTCTATTTATCATCTTCAATTATTGTTTAGTCTATAAAAATGTTACAGGTTAACCAATATTTGGTAACTTGATTTAAGTTCCTCTTAATTGTTATTTATTAATTGATTGTTTCAATTGCAACTACTACATACATTATTTCTTTGGACATTCAATTTCTTATACGAAGTTGCTCATTGTCTCCCTTTTGCTTTATCCACTATGAATTCTTAACGCTTATCTGAATCCTTAACTAGAGTTTCTTTGTTAGAAGATTTCAGGGAGTTTCTTCAATTATTTGAAAGGAGGACTTTAATTTTCATCCTTCATCTATAAGAATTCATTCATAAATTGAAATTAATTTGCAAAACTAATTTGTTATGGGTAACTAGAACGTTGATTTACATTAGAACTAAATATTCGATAATTTTTTGATTATCTATCCTCAGAACCTATCTATAATTCACATCTTTTTTTCATTCCACTAATCTACGGAGGAGTATGCTATCCTTCAATACCAGAATTATCAGAACTTCTCTTGGATGTAGTTCTTAGATATTTATATATTCAATTTACATTTGGGTTGAAGGGTTGGAGACATTATTCTAAACTGGATGTTTCAACAATCTTCTTGAATGAACAAATTTTTATTTCATGCCTTAATTATCTACGGGAAAAAAAAAATTTGCTGTCTTTTCTAACTCATCATTCATTTTTTATTTATTAAACTTAATGCTTAATTTTATTATAATTGCTAGCTTTTCTTGTTCATTCTATTTCTATCCATATAATTAATAATAATATCCAATTAAACAATCTACAAAAAACACTTAAACTAATTTAAACTATGAATAATAATCCAGTTGAAAAATCAATAATAATTAGATATGTATTCTCAGAATTATTATATATATGAACAATAAGATATATTATTTTGTATTTTATTTAATATTCATTGTTTTGGAATTTGTTCAAAGAATTTAGTTAATTAATCTGGTGGCAACATTCCTGTAAAATTATTCACTTTCTTTCCATTTTAAAATAACATAACAGTGGGTACTACTTCAATATTATTTTAATTTGCTAATTATTCATGTTGATCAATGTCTATTTTTATAAGAGTTACATTTGGATGCTCTTTAACTTTTTGCTCCAATATTGGAGTCAATCTCTTGCATGGTCCACACCATCTAGGTTATTATTAAATAAACTTACGTTGCATAAAAGTCAACTATGACTGGCTTGCTAGCTTTAACAACATCATTCTCCCAATTTGTGAAGTTTTAAATACTACCAAAGCTTTTAATTAACTTGTTTAATCTGAACATAATTAAAATAATATAATTAATTACTTTCACAATTGTAATTCCGATGACAGATGTGATCCTCATTAATCATTTCATAGATAAATATGAAGATCCTCGTCATTTTTAAATAAAATTTACAAATATATAAAATACTCTATTAATTGAAAGTTATTTAGATAAACAATATAATATAAAATATACCTATATTTATTCATAATTGTTATTCTTCTTCTTTTTCTCTATCCACTGAAGAATTTTACAATTCAACTTCTTAGTTTTGATTGATAATATTATATGCTTTAGCCTTTTTGCATAACTTAAATAAAATTGCAATTAATGACAGAGCGCCAAATATTATCATTATGTAATATATAGGGAAGGTACTTTTATTTTGTAATGAATAACTTTAGCAATCAATTTATGAAAATGAAAAACTCTTTTCATTTTGATTAATTGTTAAGTATAAATTATTTAAAAAAGTAACACCTAATATGAGAGATTTCTTTCTATAAATAGGTTAAAATTTCATACTTGGATTGCTTAAAAGGGAGTTGTATATAATCTCCAGAATAGTACAAAAATTGATATGGTTAATACTCTAAATAAAAGGTTTCATTTATATATATTTTAATCGCTGATATATTTTATAGTATAAATTTGTTCTCATGTATACTTAAATATCCATAATTCATAATGCTGAATCCAAATTACTTGTAAAAATTTGCTACTTCGCTTTTATTAATTATTTTAATACCTGAAGATACCTTAGGGTAATTCAGTAAATGGGTTTAGAGAATCTACTTAAATGTTCACGTTTTCAATATTGATACTTGCATTTAACCCTATTTACATTTGCTTAAATTTAAAAGAATAAACATTCTCATGTTAGAAATAAGGTATTGTTATTGAGTTTTGTTGATTCTTCTATTTTGATTTATGAATAAAGCCTAGAGATGAGAAGCACAATGAAACTACATTTGATACAAAGGTATTTTATGGAAAAGTAAAATTCTAATGATTTTCTGTCTTATATAATTAAATCGGTACATAGTCTTCTCATTCCAAATCCAATTTAATTAGTTTTAATGGAATGTAGAGCTATAAATTCTTCGAATTATTTATCTCCTTTAATATTTTCAATCTCTATCACTGATTCTTATAGAGTTCCATTCTACTCCAAGTCCAACTAATCTATAAATGTATATCGACAGAGTTGATCGCAATATTGGCATTTATAATTAATATTGCATTCTTAATTGGTTCCATTAATATCAGTAACACTAAACTCATTATTTAAATCTATGGTGTATTCTTCCTTGTTAATAACAATGTAATATTTCAAAGTCAATTCATTTTGTCTAAGTGGGTATGTATCTTTAGGAAGATCAAAGCTTAAGACTAATTAAAATAATATATAAATTAACATTAATAATAAATAATTTATCATTTCAGAACTTCTACTTCATTATTAGAAATCAATTGCTATTATTCAACATTTTTATTCTTTTTCAATAAGTGTTGAGCTCGTATCTTTCTAAATATTGCATAAATAATTATCAATATAATTATTATGAAGATAATCTTAAACATTAGATATTCAAAGATTGTTTCTTTCTTGATTTGATTAGGCTTGCATCTCTCTCCCTATAATTATTCTATAAAAATTTCTTTAGTTTCGGATTAATAATGAATAATCTTATTTTTCAGAAAACTATGACCTAAAACAATTTCAGACAAAAAGTTAGAACCAAAAAGCTTCAAAACATCTAACCCTCTATTTTCAAAATTATAATAGAGGTAATCCTCAGGCAAAATGACCAAGGGCTGGTGCTTAACATTATAAAATTTGATTAAATTTAAATTTTCAATTCTTTATTAATTTGTTTCTCTGATATATACTTCGTACTCAGGGATATAGGAACCTTAAATAAAGTCATGCGATAATGATTTAAATATTTTCATCATAAGTTCTATAGGAATACTACAATAATCTATTTGATCATTTAAGACGATAGAATAATTTGAGATATTAAAAATTTATTGTTCAACTTCCAAATAATCAATTCTAATTGAATAAAAATCGCTTATTTAATCAATTTCCTTTATATTGCTCTTGATTCCATTCATTTTATTTTGATGATTAAAGATTGCTTCATTCTGATTAGTTTTAAGATAACCATCATCATGAGAAATGCATAATGTATACCCAAAATATACAAAAGAGTTGTAAATTGGTGAAAAAGGATTTAATGCTATAAAATTTTAGATATCTTCATTATCTTAATATTCCATAAAAAAATGGATAAAGGAAAAAATTTCTGTATTATATGAATGCTTTTCTTGATCATAAATATCAAATTCGCTAATTTTTAATTAGTATTAATTTATTTAATTATTTATACCAATCAGACAACCTTAAGTAGCATATGGGCAATATAAATAATCATTTTCATCTGAAATCTGTGAAAATTTGCCTTAAAAGGATATATATGCCTTTAGTGACTAGGCTATTTCAATCAATAGACCATCCTCTTTCACCTCTAAATTATATAAGGAATAAGCAATTTAGAGTAATGCAAATATAATAATCATAATATAATATTTTCAACAAGAATAGTTAATTAATCTCCAAATAAATAGGTTCATATAATAATCTAGTACCTCCTTAATTTTAAGGAAAAACATAATTTTCATATTGACTTACAAAATTTAAAGCTTAAATTGATAAATTAAAGTGAATATTTGATTCTTTTATGGAGGTCGATTGATGTTTAATATTAGTTCTTTATAATAGATAATTTAATTAATAAATCAATGAATTTTAATAATAGGAGATAATAAAATTTTTAATTATGCCTAACATCAATTTGATTATAACGAAACTATATATTTAATGTTTCCTGGTTGATGATTTTTTGGCATCACAACATATTGAATTTTTTAAAATCATATATAAACTTTGTTTATGTTTAAAATTTTGTTTGGAGTGATATTAAATATGATGTTTTAATTTCAAATAAAATGAGATCAACCAATCGATAATATAAATATAGAAAATAAATTCATCATACCTTAAACGTAAATATTAATTGAATAATAATAAGAGAATTAGATACGTTTGAATTGATAAACTAATAAATAAAGTGGAGTTAATCTTACTAAAGTTCTGGTTGCATATTTTTTAAGAATATTATCGGATAAGAAAAAGATTGGGGTTTCTTCCAATAATATTTAGTAAAATAATTACTTTAACATTAGAAAGCTGCAAGATTTAAATAATTAACAAAGAGGATGAAAATAACAAAAGAACAAAGGCTGTAACAGAGAGTCTATTCTAAAAATCATCAATTGAAGCATAAACTAATATAGAAGAAAACATCAAGATAAACTAACAAGTAGGGAAAATTATTAGCACTCAAAAATAATTGGTAGCAATACTACCAAGATTAGCAGGACTAGAATTAAATTACTATAATTTCTATTAAATATGAGAGTGTTTAATGATAACTTCGATCAGCTTATGTATATTTGCTATGTTATAAGGAATAAATATCAAAATAAAGGAGACATACGAGATATATATATATGTGCAAGTCAAGTATTTAAAACTTACATTTTTGAATACGTGGCGATTCTTTTTCAATTGAATTATTGACAAATAAGAATTTTACTTCTGAGTCGGCTTTTGATATTTATTTGTATTAAACTCGGAGCTTTAGTGGAGATGTTTAGTAAATTTATAATGAAAGTTTTGGAAATCAATATTTAATTCCTAGCTTCTCTCTAATTGATGTTGATACTGGTTTAAAAATAAATATTTCATATTATCATTGGGGGGTCATTAAGATTCAATTTATTCTCATAGATTTTAAATGTCATCAAACCTTATACCTCTAGCATTTTAATAGGGAGGACTTAAGATAGTAATTTTCCTTTTCTCTTGTTGACCTGAGATTTATAGTATTTGGCAAATAAAACAATTAAAACTAATTACTATTTAACTGTATTCTGCCTAATTTATCTGAGTAAATTGCTTTATTAGTATCTATCAACTCATGAAGGAATAGAATACTAATCATTTATAATCTTAAATATATTTAATGTACTGGTAATATTAATTAATAGCACTAGAAATTTACCTTTAAATAAAAAATTTTAAATAATAAATATATTTTCATAACCAAAGTTGAAATTGATTAATATACTTTAAAATTAAATGAGTTCAATTTATCCTCAAAAGTTCCTCTGATTAATCCTGTTTTATTTATACAAAAATAATCGAATAGAATTTTTTTTCAAATTTCTGAATTGATGTTTCACTTTGAAATAAATTCAAATTTAATTATTAATATTTTTTATGGAGGAAGCCTTATTAGCTTTAAAAGAGAATAGCATTTAATTGGCAATAAACAAATTTCAAAGACAAAAAGTTGAGAATGAAGGAGCTAAAGTTCTTTTAAGTAAAATTAATGAGTTTTACTAATCATAAAGAGAGATGGCTTGTAATTGGATCATTCGGAATGAACAAATTTCAATAGTTAATAAATTTCGAGCTTATAATATCTTAGGTATCAACTTATATATAATTAGGTTGTACCTTAGATGATGAAAATGAGAAATATACAAATTTTGCAATGGCATTAAAAATGGGTATTAATTAGCATTTTGATATCTCTGACACTCTGATAAATTTTCAAAAGGTGTGCTTACGTTAATAAAAATATGATTATGTCGTTAAATTTGCTAAAGTTTCTAATTCATTTTAAGGAAGACATCGAGTAGTAGCATTATACAATTAAGCTAAAGGTCATCTTGGGTTAAATTAAATAAAAGAATGCAAAGAATGTTCGTAATAGGCTTATTAAGAATGTAAAAGTCTCTACGGACTGAAAGATCCTATGACGATACGATTAGAGGAATACTTAAATTTATTAGAACAGAACTAAGATTTATATATAAGCTATCAAACACCTAATAATCTCGATTTATCAAGATTATCATTTTAGAGTAGTTAACCAAGAACCAAATAACGTTTTGATAGAACTTTTACCTAATTTGATAATAAAAATATGTCAAATGATTTCAAAAGAGAAAACCTAAATACATAAGAATTAAGAGCAGAGTTTTTTTATTAAAATAAAAAAACAAATACATTAGAGAATTAAAGTTTCTGTTGTGATTTAATCTAAGAGTTTTTCAGTTTTGCAGATATCACAATAATAGTAAAGAATGTATAACCTAATTCTCCTTGCTAAGCATTATTTTAAGATTATTAAAATTTACTCTAAGAAATTCTAGATGAAGGGGAAGAATAAAATAATTAAATATCTCAATTAAACAACATTTCAGAAGAAACTACTAAGAACAATGTATTAATATACTAATTAACACCACAGAATGAGAATAATATATCCTAATTAGATAAAATGATCTACATTTAAAGAGCATAAATTTAGGGCCTTCTTATATAAAGTGTTTAAAAAGATATTAATTTAAAATTAGATGAAAACTTATTCTAATATCAAGTCATGAAAGGGTCTAAAGCAAAACAAGATGATATAAATGATTTCTTTCTGAACCTGAAAAATACTTTGGATAGTATTGTAATATTAACATATAAATGTTAATCTGAGATAGAAGCAGATAGAATTCTAAACATTTTAAAATAAAAGATTATTTATAAAAATATTAGCAGACAACTGAATGTAGAAGATTTAGATATAATTTTATCATCTGAAATCAATCTAACTGATTTTTCAATTTATCCTACTTTATTAAGATAGGCTTAAAACTTAAAATCAAATACAAACTAGATTATAGTTATTTGTAAGCTAAGTAACCCATCTAATCTTTAGTAACTTTAGAATTAGTTCTAAGGATTGGTATAAAAATCCTAATATTTATAATTAATAAAGGATTAATTTGATATAGAACTTGTATTTAATCCTGATGTAAATGATATAGATCAAAAAGGAAGGTAACTTTAGTAGAATGAAGAATAGTTTGAAATATCAGTATCATAACCAGAACTTAATGTTGGAAATAAAAAAATGTTTGTTGTTAATTCAGTAATACAATTCTGGATGGATAGTAGGACTTAATCGATGAATGAAGAAAAATAAATATTTACAAGAATCACACATTTAATATTGTAAATCTATTTTCCAAGCTTATCCATTACTGTAAAAGATGAAAAGCAAATGAAATTATGGTAAAATTTCTTGTATCAATTTCATCCTAATAATCCAAAAGAATCTTACATTATTAATACATAGTTATTAATAGAAATATAAGGAGAATCAACTAAAATAGAAGACAAATATAAATCAATTATAAAAGAGTTAACAGAATTTCAGTTCAAGAGATTTTCCTTTGACGTTCAAGAGGAGATTGCAAAAGTTTTAGCAGAAGAACAAAATTTTGAAAACCAATTTAAATCTAGTTTAGAAAGAATTTCTCAAAAATAAGGGCAATGTCTAATTTAGATTGTTGGGGTTAGTAATAATAAAATATTAGTTGATGTTTATGTAAATGATAAAACAAAATTAAATAATATTTAAAGTGACCTTTAAAAAGATTTCTTTAATGAGTTATGTATACATGTAGAAAAGAACCTTGACATTGAAGATTTATACGCTTATTTAGGAATGGATAAATAATAGTTCAAAGCTGAATATGAAGTTGAAGTACATAGGTGCAATAAAGAGTATTTTTTCATTTGTTTAAATATACTTTTAGACGAGGTTAAACAATTAATTGAGTACACAAAATAGGAAAAAAAAGAAAATAGAAAAAATGAATGTATTGAGTGCAAAAATACCCTTGTATTCCTTGAAATAAAAAAATAATTCGTGAATGAATCAACTTATGGAAATGAAGAAATTCATATCAATTTTGCCTAAAATAACAAAATTATAATCAAAGCATCGAAATAAGAGTTATTAAAAACAACATCTGAGACAATAATTTAAAAAATGAAAAATCTTGAAAATTAATTGATAAGTAAAGTTTGTACATTTTAAGAAAAACAGATGAAATTTTTCAAAAAGAAGTTCGAATCATAATACAAAGATTTAGAAAATGAGAAATCAGTAGCAATCAAATTTTAGACTAATTAATTTTCAATAATATCTAGAGTCTTATTCGAAGATAAAAAACTTCAGTTGATTTAAGCTAATATAATTTCATTAGAATGCGATGCTATAGTAAATTTTCATTGTTCACAAAAAAACAATTTTGGAGTTAGCACTTTAACACAAGAAATTTTAGATTTTGGAGGATCATTGTATTAGCAAAATTTTCTTGAGCTTTTAACAAACAATACTCCTTCATAAAATGAAATTGATATCACAATTTCTTAATTAAGTTCATTTCGAAATATCCATTATATTATCAATTTAATTATTCCTACTTCAAGCATCCTGAGTAATAGTAATCCTTAAACAATATAATAAATTATAGATAGTCTTTTCGATCACATTCAAAACAAATATGAAATCTCTAGATTAGCTATTCCAATATTTAATATTTGTGGGAATACTCATACCTAAAATATTTAAACATATCTTAATGCTATAATTTAGAGATTATTCAATAATGAACATCCAGTCAATTAAATCTATTTAGTTGAAATAGATCAATAAAAAATACAAATTGTAGATTCTGTTCTTTCGGATATTTCAAAAGTTTCTCCAAATAGTCACTCACAGAATTAATGGCAATGGAGAGATACAATTAATTTTGTAAATTATAATGAGGATATAAATAAATAAATAGATGATGCTTATGAAAGATTTGAAAAATCAAAATAAGAAATAATTATTGATTTAAAATTTCAGATTGAAAGCAAACCAAGTACTCATACTGTTGATCTAAAAAATTTAAAAATAAAGGAATTATCATCTAATTTTGAGTAGAAAATAATTTTTGAAAGAAAAAGGAATAAAATAAGTTATTTCATTAACGATGAAGAATTAGAATAAGAACTGACTTAATATTTTATCAATATGTATAATAAATAATGCTTTTTATTTGACATTTTTTGGAAAAATTTGTAAGTAGTATTTAATAACTAAGGTATGTATTAACTGAATACAAATACGAATTATAAAAGAATTATTTAAAAAATTCCTTATTTGCAAGACAAGTTGGGAGCAAAACAACTATATGAATTAAATATTAATAAGATTTAAGATTGCTAAAATTAAATTGTGATTTAATCTTTCGATTCTGATTTGAATGATATGATTTTAAGAGAGATTAAAGAAAAATTGTCTCAATCCTTAATTACTTAAAGAATAGTTTTACCTTAATTGAGTAATAACGAACTAAAAAATTTTACTGGATATATAGAAAGCATAGCTTAAGTTATTCAAGGTAGAATGATGTCAGGATAAACTATTAATGTTGAAATTTTTAAAAATAAAGAAAAAAAGTTGTTTCAACAATTAGAATTAGTCAAAAGTTATGCAAAAGAATACCCTAAGAACTGGATAGCCTAAACAGAAAATTACATCAAAGTTCTTCTTGATTAAAATTCCTAGGAATATAAATAAATTAAAAATCTGTTTTAGAAAACAGAGAAGGGATCTATTAAAGCTATTTTTAGGATATAGAATAAAGTGTTATGGGATAATTATATTGTAGAGAGGAACAAGTTATTTGAAATTCATAAAAAGTAATCAGGACTATTACTTCCAGAAGAACGGGAGAGATATCTGTGGCATGGAGTATATTCATAACATCCATCCGTAATATACAAGAATTAGACAGAAGCTTTTGATGTTACATATAGTAGAGTAATAAATTTAATTCAAAATAGGTTGGATTATGGGGATAAGGTATTTATTTTGCCGAAAATGCCTCCTACTCCAGAACTTATTCTTATAAAATTTAAATTCAAGATGATCCTAAATATGCGGGCAATTTAGTATTTTTATGTTGCTTAGTTACAACTGGTAAAGCTGAAAATTGTTAGCAAAATAATAATATTAGAAAACCAAGCGATGGATTTGATTGTGTTACTGGATTTACAAATGGAAGCAACATATTCGTTATATATTAAATGCATGTAAGAAGAGCATACCCAGCATATGAAGTTATCTATTCATGATTAAACTTACATTATTTAATTTTATAATAAGATTACATGACATTGTTGTTTTTAATATATCTGATTTGAACTTCAAATAAATTTATAGTTTAATCCAAATTTTTATTTTTTCAATTTTCTTATTCTAATAAACTTCATCTTATGTAGAAACCAATTATTATAAGAACCCTTTTCTAAATTATGAAGGATTGATAGAAAGAACCTTCAAATATATAAGATTCTAAAATATTGATTGCGTTCGTGTAAATACTATCCAAATAATAGAATATATTAAATTATGGTCTTTATACAAAGTTAAATTTTATTTTCCTAAAGAAATTGAAAATACTGATCTTTGGCATCTGAATAACAGTAAGAAATTTAAATTATTACCTGAAGTAGATTAAACTTTAAAAGTAAATTTAACTAACTTTTGTGTAATATCTAATTTAAATATATATTATTTAATTTTATGAGTAGTTTTAGAAATTAACCATCCTTTCTAATAATTATTCTCTCTCAAAAATTTCGAAAAGACTAATAGAGAATCTGTTATGAAAATAATCGTTAATTGTAGTAAAGATAAAAAAAGCTCATCCAGCTCAAAATCATTTAAGCTTGATAATTTTCCCAATAGATTTTAATTGAAAAGTAGAACCTAAAAAATACGTTTTAACTATATTTTATTTTTAATCACAAATTAGAATTCAAATTATTTTACTCTAAAAGAATAATCTTTATTAATAATTAATATGGTAGAGATTGAAATTGTTTTAATAGGAACTAAAAGAAGAATTTGAGATTAAACTTAAAATTTAACATGTAATAAAATGAGTTAACTCGCCTTCTCCTAAAAATACTAACTGCTTTGAATAGACTCAAATTAATGACCCTGATGTGTTACAAATAAAAACCTAAAAAATAAGTTTAAAATCTTAAAGAGAGTAGTAGAACTATATATTTTGATATAGCGATTCCTTCATATTAATAAATCACATTCGCACGATATAAAGTTCTTCCCTCAGTGGGATTCAAAATGATATTTAATTTGCCATAACCATTTTCTTAATTTATAAAACTAATAGAATTAGAATCAGATCTTAAATCAATTTCCTAATAGAAAAGGTCTTTGATACATCTTTTAGTGCTCCTTATCTATTCTTGATCCCTCTTCCTAAATCATAGACCTAATTACTTTTATGCAGATTGCTCTCTAAATAGGAATGGGTTATATATTTATTATTTCTAAATTTTAATTGGTTAAGGAGAAATTTAATAATCTTCTCTTCTTCTTATTTTAGAAATATGATAAGTCCTGCAAATAAATACTATTTTTTTTAAGATTCTTATTCAGATAATCCCAGCAAGTAATAATGGACAATTTGTAATACGAAATGACATCTATCATAAAAGGATAAGCTTTTATAATTTTTTGTTCCTACATTGTTACTTCAACCCTAGGGTTTATTGTTAAAGGAACTTAGAAATAATATAACAATATTTTTGGTCTAATTGATTTATTCAAGTATTTATATAATTTTATGAGGAATGATACTGATATTATTTATAGTTTAAATGTGATATTTCATTTTTCAAAAAGGTTACAACTAATTTAAAGATAAGTGGGTAGTTAAAATATTTATTTAATCCTGATCGATTTGAAAACACAATAACCATTGTATAATAATTTTTATTTTTTTTTCATTTTTTTTATGATCCAAGATAGATTAAGTCAATTTAAACGTATCTGTATGATTTTATAATTTAAGTATCAATTTGCTAAAAAAAATGAATGCATCTCTTTTGAAAATGCCAAACTTTGAAAAAAGAATAAACTACTATCATTTAATATTTTCGATTAATTTATTAATAAAAAAACAAATTATATATATAAATATTGAAAATTTAATTATATATATAATATCATTTATCTTCTAATAATCTCACAAGCATATCCAATAATATCTTATAATATTGCCTTTCATGATAAAGCACTCAATATTTTATTCAATTTAAAGTACTTTGATTTTTGCGACCTGTGAAATTTTACACACTAATTCAACATTATTGCACATCTTTTTTGACTCAGTATAAATATAAAAGTTACAAAAAATCTATGAACCTTACAATCCCTTGATCATTCTTGGCAAAAGCTCCTTATCATGCGCATCCCACTGTAAGATAACTACTTCTTTATGCAAAAAAGAATATTCAATAACTATAAATATGATGATAAATATAATATCCAATTTAAATATTATTTATTGAGACATAGAAATCTTTCAAAATTATATGATGTAGCTAGCAATGAAAGAATTACTATTTTCTGAACCAAATAATTCTTATAATTATAACTATTTAATAAAAACTAGATTTTTCCTCATAATTGAAATACCAATAAGATTACTAAAGCTATTAGTATTAAATCTAAAATAAAAGTCAAATCCTATAATTTTGTACAAAGAATTAGAGATTTTAATTACATATTCAAGATAATGTTTGTTACTTTAAGAAGGTTTGAATCATAATATTTTCGATTACATAAAATTAGGAAAAAGCGAGAATTTTCTTATTTGTCATTTGATTTAATTCCTCTTTTCCATTTAATTGTAGCGAAATTACTTTAGGACATGCCAATAATATTTAAAATTTAAATTGATATTTTGACGACATATACATAGATATGAGAGTTCCGAAAGTAAAAAAAATGAAGAAAATTAATATTCTATAACATAGGATTAATCAAAAGTTTATGTAAATAATTTAGGCATCAAAATTATAAAAGTAACTTATATTATTATTCAACATAATATTTTTCTTAAATAGCAAATTTAAAATGATCCAATCAGATATATCAAGAAGGGAGACTCCACTATAAAGAATTTAATGTAAAAATCTCTGAAAAGGCTAGATGAGTGAACAGAATAGTCCCTTTAAAAAATAATTTATCTTTCATTTATTATGATGGAGGATTTTATGAATTATTTAACATGAATATAGAAGAACTTATTCTAAAGGGAAAACTTCCTGATAAATTAACGTTTTTTCTTGAACTTTACACAAAGTAATTTTTAACAATATTTAAAAGATTTTTGGTATTTCATGATACCCACAGATGTTTAAATCAAAATATTAGACTTGAATGTTAATTAAGCCAACCTTAATTTGCTTTTAGATCAAATGAAAAAATAGTAATAAATAGTGACGAATTGACTAGAGAAATATTTAATGATAGTAATATAATATTAGATATTATGAATTTAGGCTTTACTTTCTCGATTGTAAGGCGAAAAGGCTAAATATTTGATATCCTAAGAATTAGAAAAGTAAAACTCAAATAAAAGTTTTTCTAATCTCACCCGGTACAATTTAGCATGAAATGAAAATTATAAATTTCTCTAATCTAACTAATCCTTAGTAAAAATTTCAAGCTTCTGAATGAAATAGAATGGTAAAATTGTGATATAGAATTTCTAAATATATTCAAGCTCAATCAAATGAGAGGGACTTTTCATCATAAGAATTACAGAAATTAATGGTTTATAGTAATATTGATTTGAGAGAGCAAAAAAATTGAATATCAAATATGCGTAAATCGTAAGCTAAATTTTTAATTTTAGAGAGTTTTGTATGAATTGATAATCCTATGGAAGTAAATGATGTACTTTGGCGTTTGTTAAACATTAAAGAGACCAGCCAATTCTCTTAAAATATAAAACATGTTTGATGTTTCTAGAAATAGTTGCGATTTCATCAAAATATAAGATTCATTGTATTATGTTAAACAATTTATAGAGTTAATTCTTATGATTTGTATTTTATATTATACAGATCATTTGCATATGAATTATTAAAAAATATCATTTTTAATACAATTTGTATTAAAGATTAAATTTTTACTATTATAGTTGAATTTAGAATCATCCTTATTCTTCAAGGATTATTAATTTAACACAGAGATTAATAATTAAGTAATCATCTAGATCATATAAAGTATAAATTAAAATAAGATAGTGAATGTTGAGGAAATAAACAATACACGTAGAAAGGTGTTTAAACTTGTTTTTTTATGAATATAAAGAAAACAAGCGAGATACTGTTTTCGCTCTTATGCATTCATCTTTCCATACTTTGGTGAATGAAGATATTTACTATCATATATTCTAACAGGATAGTGTTGATGGAATCCATCATGAAATATAGTAAATTATACTTAGCATGCTTTAATCAAATTCACCCAATCCAAAAAGTTAATCTATGAGTGATGTTCCAATAATATTTACAATTAATTAGAATTATTCATGAAATTATTAATAATCATATTACTATCATTAATATTGATTAGAAAATGTTGTAGAAATAATGAAGGAAGAAAAAAATCAATTATAAGAGGAAATTATAGAAATGTGCTGTAGTTAAATAGTGGAGCCCTTATAAGTTCAAGAAAAATGAACAATTTTTTTGAAGGAGGTTAAACATCATTG